AAAAAAAGCAAAAACAGAACCGTCCTGACTGGCTAAACTGCGCACCACCACAGGTAGGAATCTACGGGTACGGGCTGAACCACGACGCCCCGCTGGCAGTCCCTCTACCCCTGGCCTCCGCCAGACGTCTGCACAAGACGATCCGAGAGAATTTCAGCACGTTGGTCTTCTGCCGTCGCTACCTCGACCGGCTCGGCGCGGAGAGGTATCTAGCTGGCGTAAGTATATATATCACCCCCTCTGGCGCGCCGCTTTAGAAGGCAGGGAGAAGCCACATACTGACTGATACCCAACGCGGTCGGTTGCCCAGATGAACTGCCTCGTCTCCAACGGCATCGTGGAGCCTCATCTACCCCTGATGGATATCGAAGGGTCGTACTCGGCGCAGTTCGAGCATGTGAGTTTCTCCCCTGCTTGCGCTTTCACGAACATATAGCACGACGCGAGGCTTACGATCGATCTTCCTTTCTTAGACCCTGCTCCTTCGTGAGACGCACAAAGAAGTCTTCAGCCGCGGCGATGACTACTGATGACTGCTGAATGGGTGGGCGCACCCCCGCCCCTACATCCATCGATCCTTATGCTAGGTTATGATTGGGGTGCTGCGCAGTTCTGTTGACGGTTTCGCGTCTATCTGCAAAGTACCGACTACGTTCCCTTTTCTTTTGTTTCCTCCTTGTATCCCTTGGTGCTGGTTTTTTCCCCCTTCTCCTGCTCGGCCCTACATACTACCTACTGGGAGATTGGGAGGCGGGGTTTTTTTTCCCAGCACCGTGACGCGAATGCGAAGGGGTCATCTCGTATGGGTGTTTCATAGGTATTTGATATAGCTGGTATGGGTACGGTATGCATGTCCAATTCACAATCGGAATCCATTGAGTGTCGGTGACGTTCCATGGGCCATTCTTTCATGTTTGGAACCAGATAGATGAATCGACCATTAACCTGCCATGCCCCGAACGCCACATCAACCTGAGTTCGAGGACATGGAAGGGCCGAAGACGGACAAGTCTCTCCCTCAAACTCCCTGCGTGGGAAGAGGCCCCGATACGGGATTGACTATAGGCTTGTGCACTAGGGCTAGGAGCACTGATAGTTTTGTATGATTTCCGAGGTCAAACGCGCTTCATGCGTATTCGAGGCCATGTACATACATCAACAGCGGTTGGTTGCTCAACCTGCTGCAGCTTGGCTTGGACAAATTTAGACTCGTCTGCATGCTCATATGTCCTCCTAGACTTTGGCTTCGCGTACTTGGTAATGCCCTTGATAATCAAAAGGCCATGGCAGCTCCTCTTTTGGTAGAGTCGGTCACACAATGCGCAGACGGTTCAATAAGCCATCCCACTTGACTTCCAATTGTCAACCAAAACTGGAATTCCTCATCTCCAGCTGTTCGTCAGCTGCAGAGATCGAAGAAGCGCTCCACGCGGGATAAAGATATAGTCCGTGCTTGAACGTACCGGTCCCGCTTGAAAATATCTTCTAGACGCACGAGCCGCGTCGCGAAGAACGAAATGCAGCGCAAGCCTCAGTTCGATGTCTAACGGTAGCGAATCGCCCCTCTTTGCGTATCGAGGATCTTAATCAATTTTGCGAGAGTGTGAGGCTGTTCAAGCGCTGTAAGTGCGCAGATCCCCACTGATTCCAGGGTTGACTTTTGGCACCTTCGGTAATGCTGAACGCGACCGAATCAAGTTGAAGTAGTCCAGAATCTCGACCTGAGAAGACCGTAGCCAAGGAAATGGTAGCCTTTGTCAATCTCAGGACTACCCACAGCCAAAAAAAAAAAAAAAGAAAATCAATACTAATTAGTACCCGGCTTCATGGTCAAGACGGTCCACATTGTTCTTCGGAGCAGCTCACCGGCATGTATGAATTGAAGACACGGAATAAAGCGTAGTCCGACGTCTTCAACAAGCCCGCCTACGGACTTACCTGTACCCCCGAATCTTCTGGTCGTCGTGATTGGTGAAAGTTAGTTTTCTGGCTGACGAGCAGGGTGGCGGTGAGTTCCACGAGCGATGGCTCAGGGTCAGCCCCCTCCCACGCATTCCTACCCAGCCTGAAGGTTACTTAGAGCTCGTAAAAGAGGGCTTCGGGACGCGTAGTCTGTATCTTCTGCCCTGCATCCAGAACCGTGATGTATTGTGGACGTGGTTCGGGTCCTGCGTCCACCCACAGTGGCGAGTTCAAAAGAACGTCGATCTCCTCGCTCAGAGAAAGATTTTCGACTCTTGTGGCGCAAAACATGTGGCGTCCGGCCACGCCGTTGCGGACTCTCTACACAGCTCTCCTTAGACGTCGTGCTCCCCTTGGCACAAACATTTGATTGCGCGTTCTTTGCTTTTTACACATTCTCCATTGTGCATACGGTGGTGACCTGGATGCATTCTTTCCAGGGAGGCAAATTTTCGAACATTGTTGATGCGGAATAGTGCCGGGTCGAGAAGGAAAAGTTGTTCAGCCCGAAAATGCGGTCAGAAAAGTCACTTCAGCATGCCGGTTCTGGAACATCGGCAAATATACTGGGGACTTCCCCGAAGCTCATTTACCAAGCCAACAGCCCCGGCCCAGTATTTCGGATGCAATCTCCAAACGAAATTTCTTGTCCCTAAGACTACGGGGAGACCCCGCGGGCGTTCTGAGCTGGTGGTATGATTAGAGACTTCGATAGACCATTCTTTAAAAGTGCCATAAAAAACGGAGTACTGGACGAGGTCTTTGGCAACTGTCCTCGGCCAAATTGGCATGGCTGTCACAGGAAAATGGCATGGCGAATAGTGTCCCCACGGCACAAAGCCGTTGGTGGGGGGGCCAATTTTGTGCCACAGCTCGTGTCGCCTGTTGGCTTCCCGCAAACTCTCCCAAAACCCGATCTGGTGCCCCCGTCCACTTTCAGATGGGCCATCTCAGGCATGGTCCAAATGGGTGTGCCGCCCAAATTTGTTCCACCCGTGTTCCAGCTGTCTCGAATCGAGATTGCCGGGGTCAGTCCTTCTGAGAATCCACTCAAATCATTGCCCAGCTTTGTAGCCCGACATGCTACGTAGCATCGATTGACGACTTGCAAAAATGAACTGATGTCTTCCTGAAACCGGATGGAAGAGAATGACCTCATTCTCTTCCAATTGTGCAAGGTCGCCTTCAGACGCGAGCACCTGTAATAGGGAGTCGGAAATTGAGGAGATAGTTCCTGGGCATATCTCTTGGGGATCGCTCGCGTTGGACTGGGTGATTCCCTAGAGTTCCCTAGAGGAGTCTCCCTAAAGGTCCAAAAGATGGCTGATTGGAGGTATGACGGGCGTGCCGCGCAGAATGACGAATAGTCTGTGAGATCGAAGGCGGGATTGTCAAAGGGGTCACTTGACCTTGGATGTCCTCGAATCTCTCTTGTCGTGCGCCCGTTCTGTTTCATGTTGCAGAAGTCCTGGCCACATTGGTTGGTCAGGGCGAGAGACAATGATGTAATGTCGGGAGCTGCATCATGACGAATTTTTCGCCGTGTTGCTTCAGGCACCGTAGCGTGAGACTCGATTATTGGTCACTACGCAGCCAGCGGGTTTGGGCTGATCGCCCACCGGCAACTCGTCAGGTGCTCTTTCATGTCCCAGGTCAATCTTGTGTGTCGGGCATTGACAATGAGAACCTTCGGTGTTTTGGTGGCCGAATACGGAGGTTCGGCCATGTGGATCGAGCTCCCGATTGAGGAGGAGCCGCAGCGGGTGTCATCATTGAGAATTATTCTACCAGCAAACCGTCTCTTGATCTTGACAGATAATTTTTCTTCCTTCTCTGTGCTGTACTCGTACCGTACTGTATCATGCATGCGCGTCCCGCCGAGAGTGAGATAGGATTCCATGACTCAGTGGTGGCGCCATTGGTGGTAATTGGTCTGTTCGCGGAGACGGCTTCTGGGCGAAATGAACAAAGAGGAATGATCGACGACGAGGATCATGCTGATCCTCACGGGCACGTGTGGACGATCAGCAAAGTGCATGCCCTTACTGTGATAGACTAGCATAAGCGAGCTCATGACGATGATAGCGGTGATCAAACAATCGCCTGTGGCTGAAGATAGATGAGTAACGAGCGTTTCACCTGTCCGCCGTCATCTCGTTGCAAGAAAAAAAAAATTTGGAGGAACATGGAGGAATTGCTCTGGGAGCAGTTTTGCCAACCGAGATGGGAATCAGAGATGGGAAAATGAAAAGGTGCAAGCCACTGGTGCCTGGGGTGGATGCCCGGCAAATGTGCTGCTGACGAAGCGCGGCTCGCTTCCTGCGCTGGAGCAAAGATGCTGGTCAGGCTGAAATATCCGACTCTTTTGCCACAAAAAAAAGCCACAACCTGGGATGGTCCAGAGACGAGTTGCCGGCTCGAAAGCCACACAGTCGGAGGAGGGTATACGTGTGGCTGTGTGGCTGTGCTTGAGGTCGGGTCGATCTAGTCGATCAGCCTATCTAGACCTTGCATGAGAAGAGAAATTCTACCATGGCCTTTGACGCTCTCCATGGTAAGGATGAGCCTAGTTCGATAGAGCACAATGAGAAGCAGGCACAGAGGGCAAGGCAGCAAGTTGAGAGGGGGGACAAGGTAGTGACTGTGAGAGAAGAGAGAGCGAGAGGCAGAGGTGCATGGATGGTGAAACGCAGTCGGCTGGCCAGTCAGCGGGTGCTGATGACCGGGCAAGTCACCCGCACAGTTCCCCCGAAACAAGCCACGTCGGTGGGCGTCACGGGCGTGGTGGGCGCAAGGTGCCGCTGGGTGATGCCACGGGCTGCCACTGAAAATGAATTGAACGCCACGTCGGGCGTGCGCACTAAGCCTATTCCAAGTGGCAGCTCCGGTCCGGTTGGCGAGGAGCACCAATGGCTCCCCCCAGTTCCTCCCCTGGTCCCTCGTATGCGTGGCTCAGTTAAAAGCATTAGGCGCATTGGTGGAGCTGGTGGAGCCCCCGTGTTTAGGCTTTTCAGAATTGGGCTCCTAGCTAAAACATGGGCTCGATGTTGCCGTACGCCGAACGGAAGCCCGTACCTGCTTCGTTCAGAGGCACCAGAGCCAGAGACGCAAATCGACATCTCATCCCAAATTCTTCCATGGCCGCTACGAGGCTCCACCAACTTAGGGATGAAGCACCCTGGATCCCTGACCTGTGGCCCCCAATCATGGCTGCTAATCATGGACCCGGGGTGCCATGACCGTGGCTAATTCCCATCCATCGCTGCTGCATCCGAGGCCCCATGCCTCCAGTATATCGTGATGAGCAACACCCACCCCCCCGGTCCGTTCATTTTTGACGAGACTCGCTCCACCGCGTGCTACGTCCTACGTGCACCGACCTACTACCTCACACCTCACACACTTACCACACACACTCACAAACCAACAACCTTGCATCTCCATACCCTCCGTACCTCTCGCCGTTCAATCCGTCGATCCTTTGGTTGACTATCTTTTTCTTGTCCTTTTTTTTTTTTAGGCCCTTTTGTCTTCATATTGCTCTCGAGAGCCACCCCCCTCCGGTTCTCACCTTGAAGTAGAGCCCTTGGGATCTCAACATCGATTCAGCCCCCATCCTCGAACAGACTGTCTACTCGACGAAACGCGCACGCAACAAGGCGCAGCAGTTCATACGAACCTCTTACATTCCTGCATCTCCTGCAATCAGATCTCCTCCGAGCACTGTCGCCAGTGAACTGATGCACGACGCTTGACTGCCATCGCCCCCGTCGACAGTTCGACGCGAACTTGGCCGGCTCCATGTGGTTGATTTGACCGCGGTCTCTCTTGGTTCATCAGCCTGAGACGCTGTCCCCGCCGCAAATGTTTCGCAATCGGTCAGTCTTTGCCTTGCGATCTATACCCGTTTCATCTCCACAGCCCTAGCCGGCACAAAGCATACTGACTTGCATTTCGCCGTGGTAGGCGCAATACTCAGAAGCCCGATGAGGAGCTGTACGCGGCCTTTAAGCAGAATTTCCCCGAAGTAGGGCCTGGGTCGACCTCAGCTCTGCAAGGAGATGCAGGTCCTGCCCGCCGATCGTCGACTCTAAGCGAGGCTATCGTGGATGAACCGTCGACTTCTCAGCGGTATGTTTAGGATTTGTCTTACTTCAACCCCCCAGTCCTCTCCCTCGGGCGGCCCCAAGTACTGCCCTACGTTGACACAATGTCTCCAACTCTCCTCCCTTCTGGGCATGGCGATGAAGACGCCAACAACGCTGACTATTTTGCCAGAGCCTTTGAAGGCCAGCAGCAACCCGAGGTGAAGGAGCAAGATGCCACTCCCAAACCATTTGCCGACGCGTGGAGATTTACTCCATCCCTCATGGATCCTAATTCTTATGCCTTCTCTGCTTTTGCCAACCAACCTCCGGGATACTATACTCCCACTCCCGGCGGCTTTGGCACTCTCTACCACCCTCAAGCGGGCGACCTTCACACGCCCGGTATGGGAATAAACACTCCTCTATCTCTACCCCATTCTATCCACGGGCTCCACGCCCAGGACCAGTTGATGCACCTCCAGCACTTCCACCCCCATCTTCTGCATCAACCACATCCCTTCCAGGATCCGTTCCATCAGCAACCTCCTCTTCATGTCCCGACCCAACAACCACAGACATTCGCTCCGCAGCAGTTCCTGCAACATCAGGACTCCGGATATGTGGCCATGGATGACACTCCTCACAAGACGACCCCGACACAGGCCGAAGTAGCTATTGAGCAGCAAAGCATGAATCAACCAATGCGACAGTCGATGTCCGGGAGCGTTGCTTTGACTGGCCTACCGCTGGGGGAAAAGTTAGTATCGACCAGCTTCGCGCAGGCACTTGCTAACGTTGAATGGCAGGTTTCGATTTCATACGACATTAAATGCCCCGACAGCCATGGTCCGGCATGCGGATGAAATTCCAATCACGTACCTGAACAAAGGTCAAGCTTACACCATGTCAATCTGGGACACCACTCCTCCCATCCCACAAAACGCTCCTCTCCAGTATCGTACTTATGTCCGTGTTTCCTTTGAAGACGAACAACAAAGAGCGCGACCTGGAGCATGTTGGCAGCTCTGGAAGGAAGGCCGCGGGTCAAACGAAGCCCATCAGCGAGGTGGCAAACTCCTAGCTGTGGAATACGTTGACCAAAATCCAGGCGGGGATGACGAGTTGCGGAGGCCTCAAATCCAACTCGAGAGAGCCTCGTTTGATGGTTTCGCGGTGACTTGGTCCCCAAATGCCGCCAATGGAGGCCCGGACTGTTCCCTATCATTGCGCTTCAATTTCTTGTCGACAGACTTTAGCCATTCCAAAGGGGTCAAAGGCATACCAGTTCGACTTTGTGCCAAAACCGAGCTACTGACCGCTCAGACAACTACCCACGACGAGCCCGAGGTGTGCTATTCCAAGGTCAAACTTTTCCGCGACCATGGTGCAGAACGTAAATTGTCAAATGATGTCGCACATGTGAAGAAAACAATCGACAAGCTCAAACAACAGATTGCTCAAGCCGAAGCTGGTTTAGGAAGTGCAGGAAAAAGGAGGAGAAGCAGCTCAATCGCAAAAGCCTCAGCATCCAAGCCTGGAAAAGTATTGAAACACAAGCGGACTTGGTCCGTTGACTCTGAAGCGGAGGGTGTCAAGTTTTCGGCCGAAGAGGATCTCCAAATGAAGCTTGCCAGCATGCAAGACATGTTCTCTTCGACCAGACCCGTCAGTATTCTGTTTTTGCGCGGCGAGCCAGAAGATGATCCGGATCTTCACCCAGTCAAGCTTCCTGGCGACGACCCTGAAGGCAAGGAAATCCTGCGCACCACTACATGGGAGTCGAGACAGAGTACGTCCGGCTCCCCTACGTCAAATGCCGGCTCGCCGTCTTTGAGCTCCGCTTCGCAGATCACCCCAAAGAGAAAATTCTCCGACCTGCAACAAACTGCCATTCTGGAGGAGGGAGAAGGCGAACAGGACAATGACCACGCCGGAAGTGCCTCCGAATCGAGACCGGTGAAAATTCCCAAGACGGAAGCCGAGTCTGTCGTTAGACCAGCCCTTTTTGCGGTTGATGTGGACAGCAGCTATCGACCTCCTGTTGAAAGGCCCATTCGTCCAGGTAAGTGTCCGTGTCGATTACCCAAGTATCAATCTGACGTGGTCAAAGTTGCATGCTTCTACGTGCGCCAAAAAGATGCAGCGAAAGAATACTACCGCGCTGTCTACTTGATGCAACGTACCGTGAAAGACCTGATCAACAACATCGCAACGAAATTCCAAATCGACCCTCACAGAGTTACCCAGGTCACGCATGTCAATTCTCGCGGGCTTCACATCATAGTAGACGAGGATGTCGTGAGAGAACTCCCAGAAGGTCAAGATATGATTGTTGAATTCACCCCGCTCGAAACCGACCAACCGGTCAATCACGAATTCATCTCGCTCGCGGCTACGGAAGTGACGGTCGACAGCGAACTACCACCTACGGAGTCATTCATTTCGGATCCGTTAGAGATGTGGTTAAATTATTGAATATTTGTACACCAATCCAGGACCCGGAAATTGCATGAGATACCCCTGGCTTTCTTGATTCTACTTGATTTTCATTACGAACACGACAAATGTTACGGCGGCACATTCTAGAGGAAGGTTCGGATTTGTCGTCATGGGATGAATCTACCTACCTTATTTGATACCCCTTTAATGGCCAGAGGCCATATCCGAACTCGGGCTCTGGACTGCGGACACCCAGTTTTGAGTGTACAGTTAGGTAACAACGGAAGGAGGACAATTTTGCGGCCCGATACCTGCGACAAGGACTTTTTGCAACAAAGTCTTTTTTTTTTTCATTTTCTTTTACTTCAGTACAACGAAGGACGATTCGAACGAAGGGATGATATACGGGTCCCCGAGCGAGCTCCGACCATACTTTCACGAGAAACATGACTTTTCGAGATACCCACATTATTGGAATTTTCGTTTGTTGGAAACGATGATACCCATACGTGACTTTTACTAGAGGTCGTTATCACAACCAATGTATCGACCAACTAATATGGATTTACACAATTATTCAACTTTTAACATTTCTCTCTTTTTGTCGACGGGCTGTTGTTCGTGTCGAATCTACGGCTTGGTATTCGAAGCGCACACAGCGAAATCTCCCGCCAGCGAATTTGCAACATGGGGTTTCTTAGCTTCGGAAAGGAGGATGCCAGGGCGCTTGCCAGGGACTGCTGGGGATTGAACATTCAGAGAGACAAAGCTAGTGGTTCTCGTTCTGCAGGAACAGAATCATTGTGGATTACTGTATTAGCAAGGGCAGATGCAGGAACCAATAACACTCCTGAAACAAGGATGCTGGAGCCAATGATGCCACGTTCCAGAGCCGAATCGAAGGTCGGCAAAGGGTGGGGAGAAGAGATGGCTGTCTGGAAGGCTCCGACGATGGAGAGAGGAGTATCTGCCCTAGGCGGTGGCAGTGTTGCAGGCGAGAATTGTAAAGGTTGAGCAGCCAGAGCATGGTTCCGAAGATAGAAATCAGCTGACTAGCTGGTCTTTTGTTCGGTTAACGCCGCGTCTGGATATATGATACTTGGAACATGCATGAGGCTAATGCCGTCGCATGCACGCTCTACACCAATGCCAATGCAATCCAATCCTGGCTGTTGACAGCTCGTGCTAGAAGAGGCTCTGATCATCTACCCAGTAGACTCTTAGTGAGTCAAGAATAGCTCGGTTCACGAGAGATGAGCGGGCCACGTCAGCCTCAAGCCATTCGAGGCTGTTTTACGGTGTCTGCATCCCGCGGGAGCAGAGGCGGATGGCCACAAGCATCAGGTATCGGCGCAGCGATCGTGACCTCAACCGCGGAACAGAGGACGATCAAGGAGACGTCGCAGGGGCCAGCGGGATCAAGAAACCGAGGCCGGGTGGTCTTGGCTGCATTGGTCCATGAACGATGTCCCAGTGGGATCGAAGATGTACAAGTGGTACTACTCTGTACCGACGTACCAAGGTACTTTCTGTACATGGCAGTGCCGAAGTTGGAAGAATGCCATCTTCACCGCCACCAACCTCCCATCAGGGAAAACGCGGGTCAGAGCTTACCGACAAGCGAGACATGCGTGCTGCTAAGACAGGCTGTTGCCTGCAGCGAGCAGTCAGTGCCAAAAGGGAAACGGAAAGGGAGCAAAGGCATAGTATTCCCCAGCCACCGCGTTTTTGAGGCGGGCGAAACGGTCGCCAGCAAAGGAGAAGCGCCTCGTGAGGCCGGGAAATGACAGGATGGTGAGACATGCCCGGCCTTGGAAAGCTAGCCTTTGTCGGAGAGCGTTGCATTGACTGCTGGGGGCGCGAGCATCGCCATGATTGTCGATGATTGCCGATGATTGTCGATGATTGTCGGCCTTTTAGTGCGGTGCTCGTCCACGTCCTCCGCACAGTACTGGGTGCCGGGTACGAGGCAGCGTTTTGAGACATACCGACTATGACGCAATGGGCCCTGCCTTGAACCGCCACATATCACTGCCACAGTCACGTGAGTGCACGTGGCTCTCCACCTCAACCTGGTTGTCTATCTCGACTTCTGTCTTGGTTCCTCAACATCATCATCGTTCTCTTCACAAGTTCTCTCAAGTAGCTCTCCCAACGCCATGGCTATATGGCTATCATACCAGACAATGGACCGCCTCGGTTGAACGCAGTCATATTCTTGACTCCTTGTCACGATTTACAAACCCATCGGTGGTGTCTCCTCCGTCGTCGACCACCCTGATTCAAAATGTCACCTCTTTGTTGAGCCTCCGTTTCAACAAGCCTTTTTCTTTCTCACCTTTGTCCCTTGAACCTCGCTTCATTGTCCGGCCTGACATGAGCAGCTTGGAACAATGCCGTTGCATTCTGTAAAAGTGTTCTTTGAAGCTTTATTCACTCATGGTCTAGTCAAATAGATTCCAGGTGAGCAACTGTGTGCAGCAGTAAGAGGACAGTCATCTTTTTTTTTTTTTTTCTTTTTTTTTTTTTTAATTCTCGTTATACTGCCACACCCACTGCGCCCACTTTCTTACGCGCAGATTCACTGCTCCGTCTCCGAAAAACAAACACTCGTTTCGTCGTGTCTTGCTCTGTGCTACAGTGTTCCATCACTTCCACCTCGCCGCCGACAACATTCTGCTCCACGACGGCGAAGCAAAACACCCATTCCTTATCTCTACGGCAAAGCAAAATGACAGACTATTACTCCGTGCTTGGTGTCTCTCGCGATGCTACCCATCAACAGATCAAAGCAGCATACAACAAGCTAATTCTCCAAGCCCACCCTGATAAAGGTGGATCTCAGCCAAAGTTCATTCAAATTCAGGCTGCATGGGAAGTCCTCAGAGAACCTGCCGCCCGCGCAATCTATGATGAAGGCCACAACGCAACCAACCAGAAACCCAAGAAATCTCAACCACATGGCAAAGCTCAGAACGCTCAAGGGGGTCAATTTCCACGCGATCAGTCCCATGGCGCCTCAGACGACGACATTCCCATGCCGGGTGGCGGTTCCTCTCAAACGTCGAACGACAACCACAGATTCGGCTCCGGCTCAAGACCTAACGGCAATTCCTGGACTGGCTATCGTGAGTCTGCTACAGGATCCGCGTATACCGACTGTTATGGCGCGTCTGCTGGCGCAGCAAACGACAACGACACGAAGCCGAGAGCTCCTCGCACCTCAACGCCAGAAGATACTTCACACCACCGATCTCGCAATGAGCGGTCCAACTACCGAGAATCCTACCGCCAGCCGAGACCTCGAGGCTATCATGCTTCTCCTCCGCCCCCTACCGCGCCAGCCGAACTCAATCTAGAGACTGTCAATGCCCTTGTCAACAAAGCATCTCGAAACCTCATTCAGTACAAACATCTCCTCGGCATGCTGCGCTCATCTACCAAAGCTCGTCCGCTTTCGCCAGAAATTCAGATCAAACTGGAGCATGTACATGGTTTCTTACAGAATCGTGTGTTGAAATTAAATCAAAAAGTCAATGATGTCAACATGTACAACCTCAACCTCAAGACCACATCAGAGATGACGGACTCATTCTTTGTGCCTCTGTGGGAGCTCACCGTCAATGACGACAATGAGACGCTGTCGGACCTGGGCACGTCAATGTCAAGGGTGATGGCGGATACCGATGGATTCATGCGGAACAAGATGGGGTTGAAGGCACGTGGCCTTGAAGCCAGCGAGGATGACAAAGCCACCCAAGGCTTGAGAGCGAGTACTGAAGCGCTGGAGAGACTATTGACCAAGGTGCTCCTCACAGCGCCGGGGGTTGCGCCACCCAGGTCCTGTTGAGTGGTGCACCCTGGGTCGCTGGAGAGGATGGTTCTTTTGAGCTGGCTGGCAACACGGCGGCTGCACTTCACACTGTTGAGCAATACAAGACAAGTGGTGAAAACAAAGCAAAATCCACGTGCCCAGTTCCTTCAACCGGACGTTCGCTTCTGACACAAAGGGACACATCGATCGTTGGATGAAGCGGTCGTCGTCGGTCGATGTCGACAGAACCCGGCAGAAGCATATTCTGGTCCAGGAAGGTCGAGAACGATCGCCCCGCCTTTGACAAGTGATCGACAACATGCATACGCTCCTTGTGTGGCTGTGCAGAACGTCCAGGACCCTTATTACCTCCTGCATACCGCGCTACGCGACAAAGATACGCTACGACATGATATGATGCGCCAGTGAGATGCTGTGGTCACCCTCCTTCACCCTTCCCTATCCCCCCTCCCCCCACTCCCTTCCTAATTCCCCGTTCCATTTGCCGCAAAAAGGTATAGCAGTCCTTTTGTACATGAACTCTAGATGGCGAAGGGCCAACGCTAAATATGCAGGGTCCACACTGGCAGAGGCTTCTCAACCTCGAACTCCGGCATCCCCTTGTCCTGCTGAAACCGAGGAACACTTCCCTCCCATTCGTCTAATCTAGGACATACACATACGCCCCAGAACGAAAAGGGGAATTTGGAGAAAGGCTAATAATCTTAGAAACGTGTGGTATCCAGTTAGAGTTGCAGACACGCGTACGGGGGTATGCACATATCTAGGTACATACAGGCACTGGTTTCCTCTTGGAGGTTTTGTTCCGCGAGGACATCCATGGAGATGGGGGTGGATATGGACAAAGCCTCTACCTAGCATTGCGGCCACACGAACATACCCATCTATTTGTTTACTAGGTCCATTGCCCTACCCCGGCTCCTCATCATCGCCACCTTGTCTGATTCCCCAAGACCAGAAGACGCGAGAGAGAGGATTAACTTTCCAACGAGTCTCGCGGATCCGGAAAGAGGCATCTATCTATCTCTCTATCTTGCTGTCTTATCCTCTTGCACCCAGCCCTCCTTTCCCTCAGCCCAAGTCCCATCGCATCGCGCCGTGGGTGGCGATGACAATGGACCATTGTGCGTTCCACTTGCCCTTCCTTTACCTTTCCTTTCTTCTGCTCTCCTCTAGTTTTTGCCATGCGGGTATCCCTCGGTGCGTTGCGGCCGCTACACAACCGTGGGTAGGTTGGTCGGAAGGTGGGTACGGGGACAATACACTTCCTCTCCCCCCCTTCCTCTGTCTACCCTGGCAAACGCAATCGAACTGTTCGAGATTCTCTCCCCCAACGGCGCCGAACCCGTTTGTCAACTATACTAGCCAGGCCTGCTACCCTCCGAACCCATGGTACGTATGTATGTAGCTCCCTCGACGATGCATGGCTTCGTCGCTCCTACCAGGCAGCCAGCTGGTCAGCCATGGGACGCTGCCGGGCGTGAGAAATCGCCGCTTGATATTACCACATAGACCCTTTTCTCGGCTGGAGGTGTTCGGTTTGATAGGCGGAGTCTGGAGGAGGGAATTGTGAGATGATGCGTGAGCCAGAAGGGATGGGATGAGGATCGGTTGTGCTGATGCTGAAGAAAGGGGGGGTGGGGGGGGGGGGGGGGGAGGTTACGGGGAAGGAGTTCGGGATGAATCAATAGGTGGATGGATAGAGATTTCATTCCTTAAGGGACGGAAGTAAAACACCAACCTATTAATACTGATGGCTTTAACTACCCAGGTAATTCCTCCCCAAAATGATGAATCAAGTGGATTAAAATCTTGCGACTAGTAAAAAAAAGTCGCGCTTGCTTCCCGCCTTCACAAAGGAAACATGATCTGTATGAGTGACTTGAGTGACTTGTATTGCTGCCGTCTTCCTCTGTAGCTTCGCCGGACTGACCAGGTAGGAGAATCTTGTCTCCTGCTCAATTCAGGGCTTCTAGGTGTCCGGAGCCGCAGTCACCCTCACTGACGATGCAGGTTTCAATCGCTCTCACACCTGGGTTTCGTTCCAGCCAGCCAGACTGGAAAGCAGTACTCGTATTGTTTTTCCAGGTCCTATTCAGGATATTAGAAGAGTGCAGCATATGTGGCTCCAAACCCAGTCCCGAAAAAACCCCTTCTTGCCCGAGCGAAACACCCTCGTTAGGCATTGCTCTGTTCGACATATTATTGCTCCTCAGTTTTGTTCGAGTCATTCACGATCAGATCCTGCGCTCTTTCAACGTCCTCGGTGGCAGGTGCCCACAACAGCCAATAAAAAATTGGCTGCACGCATTGAATCCTTCCCAAATGTAATCCTCCTAGAGCAGAGGTAAGTTGTGAATTCTGGTAACAACATTTTGGCGGAAGAACGCGCCAATTCCCTGAGAAAGTCTTGGGTCAGCGTTTTTCTTATATGTCTGTTATGTTTGCAGGGAACATGGAGATCGGTTCGCAGAGGATTGAACTCGACCAAGATTGACCGGAGTTGGAAAGCTGGGTTCGCCAGTTTTTCGAGACCGAATGTCCCTCTCCATGACGGGATACCTTTGGGCAAACCCGCTAATAATAGTAATCCGACGTCGTTTGGAGGGTGTGTCGGGAGACAGTATCGTTGCAGAGAAGCGGAGTCCCGAAGAATGGATGCTTGATTCCATCTTGGGCATATCAGTTTTCAACCTCCAGCTTCTGTTTCAATCCGGTCTCTCAACCAGCCTTTCATCCATTCTCAAACTCTGCGCAGTGCTGTGAACTCATTACAGTCGCTTTGTATTTGCATCTTCGATCGCATCTTCCAAATCAGTTTAGGCTTCCGTCCCAATTGACAGCTAATGACTCTAAAATACCATGTATGCCGTCTCAACGTAAGTATCCTCTTTCATCTCGGACAGTCTGCGATCTGGGTCCGAACCATCGACATTGCTGGCATTGGATTTCCTCTTCGCTTCCAGTGCTCTGGTACGGGCGTAGACCTGCCCACTCTCTGGATCTCCGTCAAGACCCATCGTTTCATGTATTCAATGTCAAGAAACGGAATCTGTGTCATGAGCGCTTCGATGGCTTGAAGATTTCTGTCGTCTGTCTCTTGATCTCCATACTCAAAGGCTTGGTCATGTTCCTTCTGTACATCGCAAAACAACCGCAGTGATTCGGGAAGACTCTTGCCGGCGTAGCGGGACCCAGGCAGTGCGTCTGCCAGTCGACTGAAGTCGATGTCTTCTCTGTCTCGGACTGGAGGTTCAGACGCTCTAGACCGGGAGGGAGCTTGACAAAGCCATTAATCGAGCACCATGAACAGGAGCTCTGGAGTCTCTGAAGCAGCGGTCTGAATAGATAGGTGTTCGAGGCGTTGAGGGCAGGCTCCTTGAGATTTCTCAATCCAGAGAAGTCGAATGCACTGAGTTGTGCCCGGCGCCATCCTGGACTGTCAGTCTCAAATGCATTATTCTTGGCTGCAAGTGCGTGACCAGTTACATCGCTCGCAGTTTCAAATACTTCGACCGGGCGTTTACGACAAATATCACCTGAACAACAAGCCTTCGGCCAAATGCAGAGGCGCTCCAGGTCTGGGAATGAAGAGATAAACTCTGTCATCTCTTGAACTCTTTCATGAATATTCTCGATAATCCGGAAGAAGTCCTTGGTGGTGAGCATAGTGAGGCCGACGTGGATCGCAACTTAGATACTTCATGAGTCTGTTGTACTCTCCCCAGTCGTGGACGGAGATGCACCTCCACCAAAGAGGCTTAGATACATGGAATGCCTTCTTGCAGGCTGCACGGAAGTTTTTAGCTGTATCCTCGCAGAATTCTGTGCTGAGATACCGAATTGGCTGTGGGCCGGCGCTAAGTTCTTGACTATTTGCTACAGGACTTCGGCAGGGAGGTCCATAAGTATACGTTTTTGACCATCTTCGTATGCCGCAATGTCTGGCATGGGATTCTATCCGAGGAAGGTAGAAAAGGGAGGTAATTGGCGTTCAAGAAGACGAAAAGCAAAAGCAGGGAAGGACAAAAGCGGCGGACGGCGGAGGTGGAGATAGAGATGGACGGAAGAGGCGGACGCATCCGCTTGCGCCGCCAAGAGAATAGATCATGCTGCTTTTACTGAGAGTACTGTCACTGAAAGACAAGTTCGCTTGACACTTGCCTCGCCGCCCTAACTCGTTCCTTCGCCTTCTCAGCCCAATTTCAAGTCGACATCGACAATCTCTCGACAATGTTCGATGGAGAGGTGCTCGGATCCTGTTGCAGGGCCGTTCGGTCGAGAAGGGTCACGTCCGAGACAGTACGCCGACGATACGGTCAATTTCTTTTAAGTAACTGAAGCCGCAGATCCTCCTCAAAAGCGGTAGATGCGAGATAGAGCCGATTCGGCCGAAGCTCAAGGCTGCCTATATTGAATCATTGATCAAATGGTAGGTATCGGGAAGGCTGATATAAAAAGGACGGCTGTCATGGCTCCAGCACACCCGATCTATCCAGCAAACCTTGAGGTAACGATTTGTTTGCGCGGGAGCCACCCCGTCAGAAACAATCAGCATCAAAATGTCGGGAACATTGGCCGTTGTGAGCCAATCGTGCAGTTCTATCAGCTTCTTCGACCTTCAGTCGAGCGAAAGGACGGCATACCTGACAGACCTCATCCCAGAACCGCATGAAATATTATTCGATAGCAAAAGAAATGTCATGTACTGCAGCCACGCCTACCATCACGGACACTTCTGGTCTCATGGAGACAATGGCCATCAAATCTCTGTCATCGATCCCAATAAAAAAGAGGTCGTCGACATAATTGAAACAAGACCCGCACTCGGCCCTCATGGGCTAGTCCTTGATGCGAAACAAGACATCCTATGGTGCAGTTATGAAGAGCATGAGTCCAGCTCCAGTGGAGGAGTGATTGGCATCGACCCGAACACCCGCAAAGTCATCAAACAAGTCGAGAGCTCGACGAAGACCCATTGGTTCGTCGTGACGCCCGACGGGAAGAAAGCGTTCACTTGCAACAAGACTGCACCATTCATCTCCGTGCTTGATTTGGAGAACCAACGGATGATAGGGAAGATCGAGAGCCCTGGAGGAACAGAAGAGTGCAGTATCTCACTTGATGGGAAATATGCCTATTTTCCAACACCCGGCACTCAATTCGGCAAGATCCCAGAAAGTCCACAAGTCCTGGTTATCGACACTGCGATGGACAAGATTGTTGCCAGGATCGCTCTGCAATCTGGAGCTCTGTCGACATATGTTGCAGGAGACGGAAAGATTCTTGTAGGCGAGTATCGATACGTCAACGGCTTGGCGGCAAAAGGGCAATTGTCCGTGTACGATTCGAAAACAAACAAGCTGGTTGGAGCAACCGATATCGGAAAGATGCCGCTCACTCTGCGCGCTTCTCCAGACGGCAAGCTCGGATTCACGGCGAATATCTTCGAGGGATCGGTGTCCGTGGTTGACATGTCGACAATGGAAGTTACCAAAACGCTCGTGGTAGACACAGAGCGCAGCAAGGTTTCAAATATATGTCAAGGCGCACATGGAATGGTCTATTTCCCTCGAGACTGACGGTTAACAGTTAAATGGCTCTGGGGCAAGCTGTCGACATCGCCATTGCCTTCCTAGGACGTTTTTCAACACCACCAGGCCCCGGACAGTGGTATAACTGTGATCGATGAGTACCTTTATAGGCGATACAGCTTCTTCTTCTTCTCTGTGGCGGGGGGCCTCACCTAGTGGATTTGTGGCGTTCGCAGTCAGCCATGTCAACTTGAATCCTGGATGTGAAAAGATGTAGGATGATCCAATGGACAGCTCCAAATTGGGTAGATATCTTATTGGCCTCAATTTGCTCTGGTGAAATATGTCTGATTCTGTACACCTGCAGCGCCAGACATATTTACAAGCAACCTTGAATCTTCGCTTCACCCTCGTGCCTGGTGTATTCGTCTTCTTTCATGACTTTCCGCCGGCCATCTTGTTTACCGTCCCGCCGATGGCGCCGTCCTCTTTGAACATGCCCCCGATCATTCCATGTTGATCCAAGGGACCCCCAATCTTTTGTGCCGCGCCGCCAATGGCACCCCTGAGTTTTTTTTTCCCCAAAAGTCAGAGTGGTATCCAGCGCTCGGGGGGACGAGTGGATGAGCAAAAGGAGGGGAAGGGGGGTCAGCGTGCCGACTCACTCTGCTGTGAATTGATTTCCGACGGAGCCTTCGGAGGTCAGCATCGGAGCCTACGGGGAAAGAAATTGCATTGTCAGTGGTTCAACTAGTGCCATTGATACTTGAGAGAGGGGGAAATGGCACAAGCAGGCGTGATCACAACCGTGGGTGATTGACGTACTTTAGCACCTGGAGCAGGATTATACTCCATGACGGGGTTATTGTGCGGATGTTCTGCCTTCGACTCGGGACCCTGCCCCGTGAACTTGGAGGTGTCGGTTTGACCTTTGGCGATGTTGGGCGTCATCTTGGTCTTTGGTCTCGTAGGCGACGATATACTGCAGGGTTATTGATCTTTTAAATGGGAGAATTTGGTGGTTCAAATGGATCAATGTCGAGGCCGGGGATTAAATATGTCGGATAGGAATGCATTCAATGACCTAGCACGATGAAATCTAGTTGTGTTCTATGACCTACCAAGCGAAATACCTCTGGTTGTCTCCTCCGCAGTGCCCTCGTTGTTGCGTCATCTGGGACCGAAGCATTCTGGGCTCGCCGGTACCAGAAGCCCTTCAGAAGTGTAGATCATACGGAGGGTTTGAGAGCGAGGAGGCATGGAAGCGTCATAGCGTGCTTGGTGGTGGATGGAAGACTCTGCCGTCCGCTTCTTTATTGTTAGTCTATCCGGAGCGAATCATCGGCTAAACCATGCCCAGTTTTGCCGGTATCAAGCCTAGTGAGCCTACAAATGTGAGTGGGCGTCTTTGGTGTACCGAATATGTACTCAGTAATACTTGGTATATGTCCTGCACGCCACTTTGAGACTGCACAGACCCTGGCAGGCGATGCATGGTAAACAACAACAAGCGAATTGGCAGCAGTCGTTCGAATTGGACTTTTCATTAACCCTTGGCTCCAGATAAGTGGTTAACCAAATACAATAGGGTCCCGTACATTGCACTATGACATTCATGTCTGTGTTCCCAATGATGGCGAATGCTTTCGCCTCGGCGCTCCTTTTTTGGGAGCACGTTGACCCGTCCAGGCACACCTTTGCAAGCACATAGAAGATTCCCTTGACGAAATTGGCCTCGACTCACATTAGGGTAGGGTCTCGGCACAATCAATTAGCAAATCGCATGGGTCTTCCCGTGTTTGCCCTGAAGAGAATGCTTCTCATCTTTGTAAGCACCGATATTACGGCCGCTCCTACCTGTTTTGGTGTGGTGCTTCTTGACGTGTCTGCCAAAACCTGTCAGTAAACTTGTGACAAATATGTTGCATCAGACAACCTACTCTTGGTAACGCTCCATGGTCTTTTTGTCCATCTCTCCGAGCACTTGCAATGCCATCTTAATATCAGTCACCAGAGAATCACAGCGTTGCTTGCTAAAGTCCTCACGGACCACAACACGCATCAATTTGAGACCCTCGCTATGAGGCGCCATTGTGTAGGCGGGGATGATCCAGCCACGTTCTCGAAGCTGGTGGGCAATCGCAAATTCGTCAAACATCTGCTCATTGTCGGGGTCAAGACGGAATGCAACCACAGGGAGGGATCGACCACCACCGGGCGACATGATGATGAAGCCTAGCGCTCTGAGCTGAGCAGCCAGGTAGTCAGATGTCCGGGTGAGGTTGAGCATGATGCTGCGATAGCCTCTCTTGCCCAGTCGAATCATTTGATAGTACTGGCCAATAACGTGGCTAGCACCTTTGCTGAAGTTCAAGGTGAAGGAAGCCTGGTCAGCGCCGAGATAGTTGATGTTGAAGACCAGTTCCTTGGGCAAGTACTCGGGTGATCTCCAGACAACCCAGCCGACACCAGGGTACACCAGACCATATTTGTGACCTGAGACATTGATGCTGACAACCTTGGGCAGGCGGAAGTCCCAGACCAAGTTGGGATTGACAAACGGAGCGACAAAGCCGCCGGATGCCGCATCCACATGAATTGGGCAATCAATCTTTCTCTCAACCAGCAGGTCGTTGATCATTTGGGTGTCTTCGTACTCGCCGGTATAGGTCAGACCGAGAATGGTACAGATACCAATGGTGTTCTCGTCCACCAGGTTGACAGCTTCCTCCGGGTCAATAACATAGCGGTCCTCGGTGCAGTACACATATTTCTCCTCAACGTCAAAGTAGCGAGCAGCCTTTTCCCAGCACACCTGGACGGCACTGTTCATGACTATGTTGGGTCTGGAGAAATCCTTTCCTTCAGCTTTACGTTTGTTTGCCCATCTCTTCTTCATGGCTAAGACAGCAAGCATGATGGCCTCGCTCGATCCGATCGTGGAGGTTCCCATTGCGTTCTTCCCGTCCTCAGACTCAGGCCCGTTGAAGAGACGAGCAATCATGTTGACGCAACGATTCTGAATCTCGGCTGACTGGGGGTATTCCTCGTAGTCAATGAAGTTCTTGGAGAAGGAGTCGGTCATGAGCTTCTCGGCTTCGTCTTCCTGCACGCAGATTGTAAGCCGGCTATCAAACTTGCGGAAGGTGGTAGCGGACAACATACCATGAATGTCGTGACAAAGCTCGCCAAGCTGGTTACAAAATCTCGTCAGCCTGAACGCCGCCGGTTTCGCGATGTTGTACTCACTTCAGCATGGGATTGCCATCGAGACTAAGCTCATCCTTGATCATTCGATACGCAATCTCTTTTGGCATCTCTTTCTCAGGGATCTCGTGCGAGGGAAGATCCTCAGCAGCAAAGCGGGAGCCATAAACGGACGTGGAGAACTCATCTTCCCCAGGAGGCTCCAGGGAGATGTGCTCGAGACCCGGAACCACCGAAGCACGACGTCTAGGGTGGCCAAATTCACTACTCTCGCCCTTTGAAGGGTCTTTTGTAACTTGGGCTAGGTGAACCATGTTGATTGATCAGTTCTCAGAAAGCGAGGGAGTGTCAAAATGAATGACGGAAGATGGAGAGTTGAAGATAGGATGGAAAGTAGTGGAACAGAAGGAAAGCTGTGAGGTTATGACGAGCAGCCCGCCGTTTGACTGAAGGCAAGCGGTGAGAAGAAGAAAAGAAAAGGAGGATTCACGAGTGGAAGAGTATGGAGGGCAGAGTCGAGCTGTGCAGGATTTTGATCTGGTAGCAAGGGGGCGAACACGTCGATTGAGGACAAGTACAGCTGGAGCTGCAAGTGACAGCGTGATGATTGGGTGAGCAGCAAGCTCAGGCTCTCATTCCATTCCCTGACTTGCCGTCACTGAATGACGAAGCTTCAGGGAAGTTCGGATGGTCTCTGCAGATGACTGAGAGAGGGATGGGATGATGAAAGCAAGTTCCAACATTTGGGTGACAATTGGATGGATTGGTGGTGTGCGTGGTGGGGAGAGGGGGAAGACGACAGGTGAGGGGCAGCAGAACCGTCAGCCAGCAGCAAGCAGAGAGCCCAGGGAGGCTACAACGATAGGCCCACGGGAGCGCAGGGGCTGACGTTTGTACCTAGGCAGTTAGGCTCCTGACTAACTAGTTAGACCAGTGGCCAAATCCCCAGGGGTGCGTCTGCTAATTGGGGCCCCAAAACACCCACCGGGATAATTGGGTCTTGAACGTTTGGCATAAAACATCAGTCCCTCTTCCGCACCCACCGCTCCCACTGGACAATCGAACAGGCCTAACGATCGCAAGATCATCCTCAACCACAACTACACCCACGGGATCTAGCGAGCTTGATATTGCTTGGTTGTTCGTCCCGCGTCGGCCCTTGCGCAGATGCAGTAGCTCCTAGCGACTTCCTTCCGATCAAGGTTCCTCGATTGATTTCTGGCCCCCTTGCTTTGTCCTGCGACTTTCTCTCGTGTCTCTGATCAAAACATGATCGAGGAGGACCCAATGGTGAGGCGAAATCCGTACAGCGAGCTTCGAAGGCGATCGACCAATGCAAACTGAAGTGAGTAAAACAATCCATCCATTCATTTGTGCGTGGCCAAGTAGCTAACCAAGGTGTAGTTACTGGGTACACTAATCGATACATCAGGCAAAACAATTCAGGCATGGTCAACACTCCCTCGTAACCCTTCATGCCGCGGCACCCACCCAAACCTGTCTCACAATCCCTTCGGCCTCAGCTTTGCTCTGCTCTTTCATGTCGCTGAGTCCAGATTGTGGCAGACGGATGGCCTGAACATCATTCAGAGAAGCTCGAGCTGAGGAATAGGCGGGCCCAAGATGATGATACTTGTCAGCTCCTGGAGCCCCATACATCCGTTGCAGTCGGGCCCGGACATCCTCTCGTCTTTGACTTTCCAGCTTCAGCGCGGTTTCACTTGGACTAGTGAGCTTCGAGCCCCTCTGGGTCGTCTCGTCGTCCTCCTCGACGAATAGCAGTTTTTGTCTCAGCGAGAGGCGTCTGCCCAAAGGCCAACTAAACTTCCGGGCCAAACGACTGATAGGTCCGAGAGACATTAGATCCAGCTCCTCACAGTCTTTGTCCGCAGGGATTCCTGGTCCGATGTTCAGTAAGACTGAGATTTCGAGATCTTCCCCATAGAGGCGAAGTGCTTCGTCGAGAGCCAATGAAGAAATTGGGTGGGACTGCGGGAATATCTCGTCGTAGAAGACGGTGTTTCCGATTTTATATGGCGTCAAGAAGAATTTGGCCGCCCCAGCAGCACAGAAAACTTCTGGAACTCGGCAGCCTTCTGAATTCGGACCCTCCAGCAACCGTCCCTTCTGGTTCTCTTGGACACGGTAGGATCTGAACAGGGCATATGTTGGGTGCTTGTTCTTGTTCTCTCGACACTGGACCACTCCGGTCGCAAACCTGGCTTGGTCAGGAAATGTCCCTTATCAAGGAAAGAGTACATACGAGTATTTGCATCTGCTGTTTTTGTCGCTCCCTTCTGTTGTGCCGCCTTCTCTGGGCAGGAGCGCCGGATCCAAGCCATATCGCTGGAGGGTCTCTCCAACGACAGCGAGGAGCCGGCTCTGATTCAGCTTGAATGGGCGATTCCTCCTCGAAGGCGACTGGCCCATCTCGACATCTGTCTTCGTCGCGATCTCCATATAAATCGCCGTACAGGTGGCAATATCGAGGCGGTATCGTCCTAGCAACAATGCAATCCAGCTGGTACCGTGTTAGGGGGGAAACTGTCACATTTCGCATTTTGATTGTACGGACCCGCCAGTTCCAACACCGCCGATGATGTCGAACAATTCATGCGGAGCGGGAGGCCGATCAGCTCCATTTTGATTGGCAATGGCCCTGCAGACAGCGTTGAGACTACTCAATGTCGCCAGTGCTTGAAGCCCACCACCATCTGGCCGAGTCAGTTGATTCAAAGACAGGCAAAATCGGGCAGCAAGTTAAGTGTTTGCACATACCTAAGGTGAGTATTTTTAGTGGCTGCTGTTGACTCATTCCTTGGGTGTTGTTGTATCGCAGAAGTTTGGCAGAAAGGTGTCGAACTTGGGACACTCGAGCAAGATCAAAATCCTCTCTCCTTCAAAGTTGTCCTGGCCACATTTCGAGGTTGAAATATTGAGCAGGCTGAGCAAAGACTCAGCCGGGGAAGCCACGACAGATCTGTCGCTGCCAAAGCACAAGTCACCTCCGTGACTGGGGGTGCCTGGCCCCCAAGTCTCAGAAACAACCAAAAATCCCTCGCTGCGTGAAATTTCTGTGCACAGCCTCGTTATCCGCTGCCTTGCTGATGGCCAGCTGGAACAGTGTCCTATTCACTGGCAAATTCCCCCCAAGTGCTTTGCCGGTTGCCTTGCATTGCCTCGTGAACATCCAGCCTGACCGGACCTTGGCGCTGTCCTCGCCTATGAAACCAGGGTGTACAACGGCAGCCTAAGTCCGCCTTGGGTCTGGGGACTCGCACCTTTCTGAATGATTTTCGTTGAGCCGCATCCCCGGTTTCAGGCTCTGGCTTGGGGCGTCGACTACTCATGGAATTTTTGCAATTTCCATCTGCGTGGGCGGGGGCCAGTCCGAAGACACTTTTGTGCTGTCAATATTCCTCTTACGTCAAAAAAAATGTCCAGAAGCATTTCCTCTGTAGTATAATGCCCCCAGACTGTCCACTCATTGATGAGCCTTTCTTTCTCCTTTAAGAACCTGGACCTTCCTTTGTTGCTGCAACGCGGTTCCCGGCTTATATCGAAAATTATAATTTTAACCCACCTGCCTGGAAGTTCATTATCTTGACGAACAACCAGCAAGCCGAATTGAAAAGTAAGTGCCATAGTCTAGTCCAAGACACACGCCATATCCAATGTAGCCAAAGAGGGCTCAATGATAAGCTAGTGGTCGCTATATCGAACACAGCTAACAGCATAGGTAGAGGACAGGATACCTCTATTTTCAAAGATCAACGACACCCCATACCAACGGAAGGGGACCTCTGTTCACAGCAAAGGAGTTCTAGCGTGCTCTCGTCCTTTAATTTCGTCAGTCAGGTATACGAACGATCAAGTTGCTCTACGATCATGGGGCCACTGGCCGGTGATGGAGAAGTCTCGCGGTCTTCTTGGCCCATTGCAATGTTGTCACTTGGTATCCCAGCCTTCCAACTAGAACCTAAATAATAGGCTAACGGTTTGCTTAGATGGTGGCGGTGTGCGCGGTCTATCCTCGTTACTTATCTTGCAACACCTCCTGCTTCTTGTGACGCAGATATTGGTCGAAAATGGACAGATACCAGATGAGCATACGCCGCATACAATGGTAAACCCTCAGGAGATCTTTGATATTGCCGTCGGCACCAGCACGGGCGGCCTTATCGTCCTCATGATGGTTAAATTGGATATGTCCTTGGACGAATGCATTCAACAGTACAAAAAGCTCTCCCGAGATATCTTTTCAAAGCAGCGTCCACTGCTAAAGCGAATCTTCGGTTCTGATTGGTCAAAATATTCGGGAAGGAGGCTCGAAGCAGCCGTCGAGGAATTGTTGAAGTCCAACAGTCAACCGGTCTCGCTTGAAATGCGGTCCAGCACTCAGCAAAACGCCATGAGAGGGTATGTCGCCATCCTGTCCCATTAACTGCCAATAGCTGATTGCTGATACTTCCCAAGCACTGTCCTCTGTCACGAGATGCCACAGCTTCACTCCGTTTTCTTTTGCACGGATGAATGTCAGGGACCATATAGACAGCACATGCTGAAGTGCGATCTCAAAGTCCGGCATGCTGCACGAGCCACTTCTGCCGCTCCATCCTATTTTGAAGAGGTGATCATTGAAGAAAGAGCTTTCGTGGATGGAGGCTATGGCAAAACCAATAACCCCTCATGGGAGAGTCGAATCCACTATGAAATGAATCACAAGGTTCCCACGAATCGGCAACTCGTCATGATCAACATTGGGACCGGAACCCTACCACAGAATGCTGATGTTGCACGTCTCCGGAAACGCCCGTGGTGGACGATGCTCTTGCCAAAAGGCCTGGTCAAAGCGTCTGGTCTCTTCGCAGACCTTATCAGCATGGCGACAGAATCCGAGGGTGTAGCAAGCGACTTGGAATATCTGTCTAAGGATAATCCCGAGCGACTTTTCTTCAAGCGATTCAGCGCCAATACCGGCATCCACAACATCAAACTAGACGACTGGCAGGCCGTGGCAGGCGCCGATGGCTCCAGTGTCATCGAGCAGAGGACAGAAGCCTACCTGAGCGACCCGGTTGTGCTCGGTGAGCTGAAAGCAGCGGCCGAAAAGTTGGCCGAGGTCTATGTCAAACGTCAAGAGCTTAAACGTCAAGAGCACGCCGGCGATATACCCTCCGCCGCCAACAACGTGAACAACGAGGAAGGGATTGATCTTTCTGTCTCGGTGGTCGTGCAGCCGGCTGCGGCCGGCGCAGTACCTAGCCTTGTCACAGGATCAGAACCAACACAATCACCTGGTCCCTCCCCGCCACGGACTCCAGAGGTAGGCTGGGGACCGCCGTTGCCACCCATCGACACGGCCCAGAATAAGGAAATCCTGCAAGGCCAAGGGGGGCAGTTTGAACAAAGCATTCTGCCCACGGCGTCTCTGCTCAGCCCGACATCTCCTAATCGATCTGTGCCGAGGACGGTTAGACGAGCTGTCACATATCCACCCAGATCAACTCCGCCAGAGGAGGAGTGAGCCCAGTGGCCACTTCATCGAATATTTGTTTTTGCCTTGATCGATTGTGCCGAGGGGTCATCGCGGGTTCAATAAGGAATGATGTTTGTCAGGAATCACAGCACAAAGGAGATGGAGCTTATGTGCCCTTTAGATGTACAATTAGCGTCGTGAATATTTGAGATAGACGTCTGACTGTGGGATCTGCCCCGGCTGCCCCAGCTGCCCGCCAGCAATCAAGTAGATATGCGGGTTCGGAAAAACGCTAATGCGGGTTCGGTGGCACCAACGCGGTCAACTAAACTCAACCACAACCTTTTTCTTTTGTTCCTTCCACCCCTATCCTTTATTTTTATCCTCAGATTCTCTGTGCAAGCCGGCCGCGCAGAATGCCCCTTTCCCAATCATCTATGGCTGAATATGGCGCATCATGCGACCGCCCTGACCTCGGTTCCAGCTCGAGTGCGTCCACCGCTCCTCCTCAGGCGAATGAAGAGAGGCCGTGGCTGAGCCCCATGTCATGCCCAAACGCTCGTCCGACCGTGCCGGGAACCAACCCCAGCCTCCACGTTCACACTCTTTTCCGTTCTGCGGGGAAACGGCCTTGACCATGCCTATACAAGATGGCTGACCGTTCGTATTTTCCTAGACATTTCCGGCACAGGCTGTGGCTCTTCCCTCCTCCTCCTCCTCCTCCTCCTCCTCCTCCACCAGCTCCACGCTCCACATGTTGCCCGATGGGAATCCTCGAAGCTAGTACAATCCCGCCTGGACTGTCCATTCGAGCTAACCATCCAACCATTGACAGGAAAGTGCCAACAGCTTCCTTGCGGGGTCCTGCCAGTGAGCCATTGCCAATGTCCCTGGAGATCGAAGCCGAGCAGTGGCAGAACGCCATGCCTTTCGGCCATTGGTGCCTCTGACTTCTCACAGGAGCTCAACTGACCGTGGCCAAGGCAGGCTCTGAACCCTCCACTTCTTTGATCCTGGATGACTTTGCGCCACGCGACGTCTTAGCCCGTCCCGCTAGAGGAAAAAGTAAATGGAATTATTTCTGTGACCGATGCACGGATGCATTCGAGATTTCTACTGCATCAGGGGCCGGCAGTGTAACCCTGACCAGTTTAGCATTCGTTCCTTCACCTTGCCCACATCAGACAAGCTGGGGGTGTGGTTCTGTTTTTTGTTCGCGGCCCCACGTCCGGTCTGCCACGGCGCGCTCGAAGCTGGAGGATGCGACCAGGGCCAGGTGTTTGCGTGGAATCAAATAAAGAGGGTGGAAGCTGCTGCGGCCTGACCTCGATCGGCCACGGTTGAAATAGCTATCCCTGCACCGATCCGAAGCTCTTACTCTCCCTCGGTGCTGTCCCTTGTTCGTTTTACAACCGATCTCAGGAATCAACAAACGTCCAAGATGGCGACTGACCTTCAACACACCCCTACCTCCACGGAGAGGGACATGATCGAGGAGAAGCCTGCGTTGGCGCATACCGTCTCTTCTGGCGCGATCTCTATCAGCCCGGAACTTTTCGAGAAGGTGGGCATATGGTTTCATGCCTCTCCCGAATAACTCACACATTGAGTCAAGCTCGAGCACTAACGCTGCTGGATCTTAACAGCTCTATCTTACTCCCAAAGTTCCTCATGCCGGCGACAATATCAAGCGGTTTGCCAACCCGACTCCGCTCGGCTTTGTCGGGTAAGCTCTAGAAATGCCGTCTTTTGGTACCGTTATCCTGATGAGCAGATAGCTTCGTGATCTCGACAATGACGTTCGCTATGGTCATGATGGGCTGGGGTGGCGCCAGCGGTCTCTCGCCCGTGGTGTAAGTCCCTACATATCGCAGCTATCGCTGCAGCATTGCCCTGTAAGGTCGAGCTCGCTAACGTCTTCCGATACAGCGGCATCTTCTTCTTCGTCGGCCCAGTTCTCCTGGTTTTAACGGTAATCTTTGAATGGATCATGTAAGTTACTTGAAACCTTCGGCCAGTGTTGCGGACCTTGCTACACAACCTCCTCCTTCCCAATACTATTGTCTGATTCTAACGTCAAACCAGGGGTAACTTCTTCTCCATGATGGTCTGCGGTCTCTTTGCCGTCTTCTGGCTCTCCTTTGGCATGCTCCAGCTTCCTACCCTCGGTCTCGCGGAACCATACTCTCCCAGCGGAACCAACGCGGTGATTGGGTCGGCTTCGAAGGAGTACAACGCTGTTATCGCCCTGTACCTGATTGTATGGGGCTTTGCGTTGTTTACCTTTTTCATCTTCACGCTGAAGACGAATCTTGTATTTGCGCTCATTTTTTTCTTTGTGACTGCGGGTGCGTGGGTGTTGAGTGGTGCGTATTGGAAAGTTAGTACGGGAGACTACGATACTGCGGGTGATTTGCAGAAAGTGAGTCTATGATTTATTCCCTTGATTTTCTTGCAACGGACCATGCGACACAGCACATTCGAGGATATGCGCATTCTAGTGGAGGGAAAGATGCTAACGTTCGCAACACCACCAGACTGGCGGGGCTCTACTCTTCATCGTCGGCTGTCTAGGCTGGTATATGACTTTCGTCATGATGGCTGCAGAGATGCGGCTCGCCGTCAAACTGCCCGTGGGCGACCTGAGCCACTTCTGGCCGAAGACCGACGTTGAGATGGGGAGGGCCGAAAAGCAGGCCTAGGCCTCTTGTTAGCTCAAGCCCTAGGTCTGGCTTTGATAGCCTCGTCGGCCCTTTCATGTCCAAATTGCACGTCGCCTTCGATTTTGGTGATTTGTTGCGGTTAATAGTTGCGGCAGGAGGTGAGTTGAGGAGATTGAGCAGCAGCAGCAGCAGCAGCAGCAGTGAGTGTGGGTCTCACAGTATGTTGTTGTCAAGGGAGACTGCACAGTCAAATGGGGAGGGGGAAGAGAGAGCGAGCGGTGTCAAAATCCTATTCAATGCTGTTCTCCTTGTTGTGTCACGAGCGGGGTCGATCGTGATGCCTGCATGTGGGCACTGCGAGATGAGAGGAAGTCAAATAATACCTAGTATCTGGTGGGGAAGCGGCTCATCTTCGCCCCAACCCCCTCTTCTTGAAAACACTGGATCTTTATTTCATTCGCCCCTCGATTGTTGTATAATAACCCAGCGACGAAGGTCTGCCAAAAAAGCCCGAGAGCCAAAGTTGAGCGGTTTGAGCCTGAGTTCTCGGATACCACAGAGTCAACGAGTCGGCGAGTGACCGAATGGGTGATGCAGATTCTCAAAGCAGGACTTCCATAACCACATACATACTCCAGAGTCCGATATTGCATATTCCATTCTGATCGATTGTATTTCTGGCGATGCAATGGCCAGAGCGACATAGTTAACTAGTTACCTATCTAGCCAGCCAATCAGTGTTTGGCATAATAACTTTTCGGTATGTAGCGACTCGTCCCTCTTTTAATTCCAAAACGGCACACACGGCTTAAATGAAGCATTGGGTGGGTAGGTGGGTATTCCGTACATCGTAAAGTTCAATATACCCTTTTTTTTGGGGGCCTTCTGTTGCCCGCCCGTTCCTTTCCCGACCCCTCTCCTCAGATTACTGTCACGGACCCGTCACGGCATGCGTGCTTGAATACACGAGGAACTCGAAATCGAATTGCAGAACCCGAAACAAACGATGGGCGGTGAGAAGGCTGTGGAAAATGATTAGATTATTCGGAAGAAGAAAAGGAGAAGATGCTGAGAAAGAAGGAGAAGAAGAAGAACAAGAACAAGCAAAAGAAGATCACTCTTTTGAGGACGCCAGTTGTACGTAGCGCTTCTCGAGCCATTCTCTCGCCGTGTGCACTTTGCTGCTGTCGATGCCGTCTGAAAACTTGCCCGCGACCTTGACGCGGTCGTCGTTGTCTTGGGTGTCGAATCTCCCCACGGGCTTCATCAAACTGTGGTGCGTGGGCCGGACGAAATACACGACGCTCACCCGTTCCATCCCGGCCTGCGGTCCGGGCGACGGCACCACGCGGCGTTTCGCGCTCTTCAGGCTTCCGTTGGAAAAGTGCACCATGCCATCCCCTAGGTTGATGATCGCTTTTCCCGGTACTGGCTTGACGTACTCCCATTCGCCGACGCGGCCGGGAGTGCGCGATTCGATCTGGAGCCCACCGAGCCAGTTGAAGAGGATGGTGACGCTGCCAAAGTCGGTGTGCGAGGGCAGCCCAAGGACATCCGTCTTCGTTGCGTCCGAAGGAGGCTTGAGCGTCAGGCGGATATGGTCGCCTGACGACTCCTCGAAGCGGTTGAGGTTGACGAAGATTTCCTCGTCTTCTTCGCCGAAGGCGCGCGCGAGCGTGCGGAGGATCGTCATGGCCATCTCGTGCGCGCCCTTGCAGAATGCCTGAAGCAATGGCCTCGCATCCTGGATGATCTCGGGATACGTCCTGCTCGGCGCGACGCCAAAGAGACAGTCCTTCCCAATGTTGAAGAACTCGGTGCTGTCTGGACGCTGGGACTTGTCGGTCAACTTGACCGTGCCGGCGGGTTTGTACCCGAAAAAGGAGCCTGTCTTGCGAAAGTCGTATTGGTCTTTTTCTTCAAAGGGAAGAGCTAGCGCCTTCTTGCTCAAGTCATGGAGCTGATCCGCTTCGGTGAGGAGCTCGCGTCCCTGTTCGGAGTCGGTCATGTCAAGATAGAAAAATCCGTACGTCTGGCATGCTTGCAAAACCGCCGCTGTGGACGAAGGGTCCTTTTCCAGGAGGCGTTTGGAGGAGATCTCAGCAATCGGCGCGTGAATAAGGTCGGCTGGGAAAGGTGGAATGCTCCCGTGAATCCGGGTGGTGATTGTGCTCGTCGTGGTGGCGGACATGGTGATCGGCAATTGCCAACAGGCAGCAGAAGGCACTTGGACGACAGCAGTGCTTCTCTTCTCAATGCAAGGGTCGACTCTTGCCAGCTCTCGTTGATGTTTCTTGGTCAAGGCCGAGATCCTTCAATCCACCTACTGTAGGTATGTACTCCGGCGGTCTTAGTCTTATTAGCAACTCGTCCATTTAGTGGATTAAATCGGCACTGGAACTGCCGGTGCTTCTCCACAAAACCCCTCCCCCCGTGTGATGGTTCCCCGGAAATTCCGCTCTGGGTGGTGTAATAGTATGTATACTGTAGCGTGTTCGTACAACCGGATCACGGCTCTGACCAGTGCGCTATTGCCAGCCCGGCTGCCCGTCCGACTTGACGACGTTCATCTTTGCCATACGCAAGGTGAAGACAACTGGTAAAGAGGAGGAGGCTGGAATGGCGCTGCAGTGGTCCATGCTAGTCCGCTTGAGCCTGAGATCGGCATGTGGGGTAAGTCTGACATGTACAGTACCTGGGATCTACCTTGCCAGGTGTAAGAGATTGCTCTGTGGCGGGTCTCCGTTTTAAAAAAAAAAAAAAAAGAAAAGAAAAGGGGTGAATTACACCTGCCTAGCCTCGCTAGGTAAGATGATCCCACCCAAAAGCCACCCGAAAGATTTGGAAAGGGTTCAGATGTAGGGTCTGTTTGGAGAAGGGCGCCTGGTGACCTTCACATATGGCGGAGCATCTTGCTTGAGGGCCTGGGGCAGCACCGGTAGACGCACATGCTTCCAGATGAAATCACACTTCGGCAGGGATGAGTACTTTGATCCTTTCTATCTTAGTTGCTCTGCATTACTCGGTACATGTTGGTGTAAGACGACAACCAGCGATCATCACAGCTCTACGAAACCCCCTTTATTTTCATTGGTCCTTCTTTGTCTGATTAAGCATTATTTTCGTTGGCCTTTTGGACTTCATGTTCATGGTCATTGACCTTGTCATTGTGTTCTCCAGCCGGTCCTCTTGGAGCCTTCGTTCGCTGTCGTTGGGGTGCTTGGTCGTGATTGGTGTACTCATGCAATGGCGGTGGTGACATTGGCAATGATCACTTCTCCGGCACCGGTCACACACTCTGCATTTCCCGTATCGCATTGGTAGTGCTCGGTAGCAGGATACGTCAGATTGAAGTCAGAGAACTTGGTGAGGACGTTGTACGGAGCTTGACCAACACTGTGTCTATATCAGCACTGTGACTCGCAGATGAAATACCGAAGACAACGTCGCTTGCACATACCTGTTGTCAATGTACTGGTGAGCCAACCGCAACGACAGGTTTCCGACTCCATGCCATGAGGTAACCAGGACATCGAAGGTGCTGTTGTCGCAGGTGTTACTTGCAGAGGTGGGCGGACTCAGACCCACGGCCCAGTCAACACAGCAGTGAGCGGTACCAATTTCTGGAGTATCTTGGTCGCAGAAGTCGACTGTCGTTCATTAGATGGGGACAACAGGCGGATCATGTGGTCTGCAAGACGTTGCAGAGGCTCAACTCACATTGAACATAGGAGCTCTGAGTCGAGGTTGGATCAGCTTGAAAGGGTGACGAGACAACGATATTTGTGAGCTCAAAGTTGCCAGAAAAGGCTGAAGCAGCGGAAGAGAGAAGGGCAATGAAGGCGAGGAAAGTGAAGATGGAAGCCATGACTGCGACGATGATGTGGAGCAAGAGGGGTTGTGAGAGAGGGTACGAGTTACAAGGCAAGTGTGATCGTGTTGTTGCGCAGGATCTTGAGCAAGAGCACGGTGCTGAGTGTTGGGGTTGAGTTTGAGGTGAGTTGAGGTGAGTTGAGGTTGAGGAAGAGAAAAGTGAAGCCAGAGGAAGTCCGATCTGAGGTCTTTATAGCTGCTCCTTCCTCACCAGAACTATGAAATCAAGCAGCAGCTGTTCTCGCCAGCTTTGTCCTTTTCCGTGTCCTTGTCCTGTGAATGCAGCAGAAGCTGTATTTGGACACAAACACCATCGGTTGGCATGCATGCATGCACGCAATAGCTCAGCTCTTGTTGATGGACAGGCATCCGAAGTGCCACCCACCCCGTTTTCAAAGACGAGCATTGGTGTTGAACACCGCCCACCGCCCAACTTGAAGTTGCTGTATGGAAACGGACTCCTTCCAGAACGCTACCAAGCGGAGGTACAACTGAGACATTCCAGAAAACGGTCAGCCGGTTCTTCAATATGGATGTTGGGGCGGTACGTGCTCTACAAGGGGATCAGAGGAGTACCCGTTGCCTTCTGTTTACCTGTGATGCAACATCCAGCCCACCGCTTATCTGGTTCTCCTGGAGACATGGGGTTGGAGAGCGCCAGAAGAGTGCCAGCTGCTCGGAAATTTTTGTGAAGGTGCCAGAAATAGCGGCACGAGTTACACGGAACCAGCAGAGCACCGTGGAACAAGGGCAAAGAGTACCAATACCAAGGCTCGGATTCTGGACCCGACTGCAGCAGAGTCGCTGGTCGGATCGGCAGGTTGCATCGTTGAACACGAGACTCCCGGATGAAGTGTATACCGTTTTGTTAGGGCCGGTGACGGGGTCTTGGTTCGATCAAAGATGGCTATGGCTGGGTTTGCAGTATCCTCCCAACGCGCCATGGACATCAGGGGAGGGGGGCTTCTTTGGACATCCATTCATGTGGCTGCCGTGAGGTAAAGACAGGACACAATCCTTCGTCTATACCACAGCCTCAAGTAAATGCTCAGGCTTGCGGAGAGGTTGTCCAGATTCGAGAGTCCAGCAATACGGTAAGGACAAGAATCGAACACAAAATCGCAAAGTCACCCCTCGACCCTCAATGGGTCGATCAATCCGAAGCCTGAGAGAATAGACGGATCTAGAAATTTCAGTGCATTGGGCGTCGGTAATGTAGAACTCTTCATCTTCTGCCCACTCGTCCCACGTCGGGATGATCACCACTTTCATCACACTGCATGGAGGACAGCCATAGAGAAAGCCACCCACGATCGAACGGTGAAGGAAACAGGGTGAAAATTTTCACGTTATGCCATTTGATTGCTCGCCAAAGTCCACTATCCGTAGACTTTCCATGGCCCATTGTACCATTGTTGCACCGCGTGTCAATCCCAGCCATGCCGATTGTACCTTTTCTCGCGCTCGGCGCAGAAATCTCTGCTGCTCTTGCGGATTCGATTCAAGCGTCATTCCATCACCACAACCGCCACACACAAACGTCTCGCCACAATGACAGCAGATCGCTTAACCCTTCTTCTTGCTGACACCGACAGTACGTCCTCTTCTACCAGTGGTCTTGGAGTGCTGGCCCCTGACTCGTAAGCCCCAGTAGTGACGCAGACCACGATGTGCCCGGATCTTCTTCAGACGTTCCAAATCCTCACGCAGCTTGCTTTCCATGCTGTTTGCCAACACCTGCGAGTCTTTGCCGTCAACAATGTCGCGTTGTCTGTTCAGGAACCACGATGGGATCTTGTATTGCGTGGGGTTTTGAATGATGGTTACGATTCGTTCGAGTTCTTCGGAGGTGATTTCACCAGCACTGTCGTATGAAAATTAGTTCCTACTCTTTGAAACTCCACATTTCCACATTATATTCGTACCGCTTGCTCAAGTCGACATCGGCCTTCTTGCAGACGAGGTTGGAGTAGCGACGACCGACACCCTTGATTCGGGTCAAGGCGTACATGATTTTCTGCTTGCCATCGACGTTGGTGTTGAGAAGACGGAGGATGAACTGAACTGTCCGACACTGTTAGAACCCATCGCCTAGAGCAGAAATTGAAATAAACCTACAGTTCGACTTCTCCCCACTGACGAGAGCTGCCTCAGAAGGTTAGCAAATATAAATTCCATGTTGTCGCAGACGGGAGAATCTTTGCGCAAGACGCAGGTAGGTTATAGATATGGCGAGAACAGGACACTCCAGCACCAATATGGGACTTACACATGATGGGCGAGTCGCTCTTTGACAGTTTTCGTTGATGTTGACGGTTGCGACAAACAGACCATTCTCTGAGGGTGCCAAAAATTCAATCAAAACCGACAGTGCGCCGCGCCAAGAGACTACTTAATCAGCCACTTGTTGGGAGTCGGTGGGGCCTTGGCTGACGGATGACGGTCACGTGCTGCTAGATATCTGGCGCACCGGAATGTTGTCGTCACTGGATTGGATGAAACTGGCCTGGTGATGGACCTGGTTGTCCAGCAACGGAAACAGGCTGCTTCATTACGAGTCGCAGGTCCCGTCTCCGACTAATATCCATCTTCAAGGTCGTCTTTCTTATCTCATATTCTTCGATCCTGTGTTGCCCACTACTCTATCTCGTCTCTTCTGTAGTTCCTATCTTCTCGGCCTGGTGTGCGTTGGAAGCTCACTGATTTGCTTATCTTTACTGGGACCACTCCCAGTTTGACAACGATATCGATCCTCGCTGCGGCCTTAGCTGGCTGAGTCGACGAACCCGCGCTCCGCTATGAAATCCCTTCCTGGCCTCTTGCTGGCTGGAGTGGCCTCCGCTGGTATCGCTCCTCAGCAGCAGCCACTCCAGTTTCCCAAATCCTTCCCAACCGAAGCCAAAAACGTCCTTGGTAACCAACTCAACCATCTCAAGGATGCCCTTCGAGGTCTTACCAACGAAGCCGCAGATATCTGGGACGAGGTCGCTGCCCTCTACCCCGAGGATATGAGCCGCGCTAGCTTCTTCTCCATGCCTAAGAAGCACACCCGCCGACCGGATCATGAATGGGACCATATAGTTCGTGGGGCTGATGTCCAAAGCGTTTGGGTCAAAAATGCCGATGGCGAGCAAGAGCGTCGTCTCGATGGCAAGCTTGATACATACGACCTGCGAGTCAAGAAGGTCGACCCCAGTGCATTGGGCGTCGATCCCCACGTCAAACAGTATTCGGGATATTTGGATGACAATGAAAACGACAAGCACCTGTTTTACTGGTTCTTCGAGTCGAGAAATGACCCGGAGAATGACCCTGTCGTCTTGTGGCTCAACGGCGGCCCGGGCTGCTCTTCTTTGACCGGTCTCTTCCTCGAACTTGGACCCTCGCGCATCAACGAGAAGCTTCAATTGGTTCCGAACCCGTACTCCTGGAATGACAACGCCAGCGTCATCTTCTTGGACCAGCCTGTCAATGTTGGCTATTCCTACTCCAGCTCCTCTGTGTCAAACACCGTGGCTGCTGGCAAGGATGTGTATGCGCTGCTGACTCTCTTCTTCGAGCAATTCCCCGAGTATGCCAAGCAGGAATTCCACATTGCTGGGGAATCGTATGCCGGACACTACATTCCTGTCTTCGCATCAGAAATCCTGTCACACAAGAAAACCAATATCAAGCTTACCTCGGTCCTGATTGGCAACGGTCTGACAGATGGATTCACCCAGTACGAATACTATCGACCCATGGCCTGCGGTGACGGCGGGTGGCCCGCTGTCCTTGACCCCCAGTCCTGCCAGGCGATGGACAACGCCCTTCCTCGCTGCCAATCGCTGATCCAGAACTGCTATGATAGCGAGAGTGTGTGGTCATGTGTCCCGGCGAGCATCTACTGCAACAACGCGTTGCTTGCACCATATCAACGCACGGGGCAAAATGTTTACGATGTGCGTGGCAAGTGCAAGGACAGCAGCAACCTATGCTACCCCGAACTTGGCTGGATTAGCAAATGGCTCAATGACAAGTCGGTGATGAAGGCTCTTGGTGTGGAGGTTGATGGCTACGATTCCTGCAACTTCGACATCAACCGCAACTTCTTGTTTCAGGGCGACTGGATGCAACCTTTCCACCGACTGGTGCCAGGCATCATTGAGAAAATGCCAGTGCTGATCTATGCGGGCGATGCCGACTTCATTTGCAACTGGCTCGGCAACAAGGCCTGGGCTGAGGCGCTTGAGTATCCCGACCACGAGAAGTTTGCTGCGGCCGAGATGGAGGATCTTCGCTTGGATGCAAGCAAGGACGGGCGCAAGATTGGAGAAGTCAAGTCGCATGGCAACTTTACCTTTATGAGAATTCATGCGGGCGGTCATATGGTTCCCCTGGATCAGCCAGAAGCCAGCCTGGAGTTTTTCAATCGATGGTTGGCGAAGGAATGGTTCTAGACGGGTCGTTGCATGGATTGATGAGGACAGGGAAGCAATGATTCGTTTCTTGGAGGTCGCGGTCGTGGGTATCTTGACGGATGGGGTTATACAATCAAGGTCTCTGGCGGTTATGTACAGTTTGTGGTGGGCATGGATCCAATGAGTTTGGAGAACAGGTCTTTCTGCATTACATGTACGGAGTCCTCGTCGGACAGAATTCTGGATTTGCAGATATTGGTTGCAGGCGAATGTCACCGGCCATGATCTATCCACCATGCATCCATCACCACCTGAGATGTTTTCTCTCTCGTAATCTCGTCATCTACGCGCCTTGTCACCTCAATAGTTTCATGCACGGCATGCATGCGACGGGTTGACCCGAAGAGGGAGCGATGATCAATGCCTCTTTCTTAATTATCATTGTTTGAGGGTGCTGGTTTGACTACTGCATGAGGCTGCTCTGCCTGTCACCATGTGTAGCGCTTGGATTGTGGGTCTATTGCTCTATTCTTAGGCGGTCGCCAGGGTTGATAACAAGGTTGATTGGTCGCAGATGCTGCCAGTCACACCAGCTGTGCGGGTGCTGATTGGCCATACTTCCACCTCCTCCACTTCTTTCACCTGCTTAACCGCCCACACTCCCCATGCACTTCCCATGCACTTCCCACTCGTCTCAATCCTACCAGTCCTATCCAACAACATCTCGTCTTCGAAGCGCCCGGCTTGTTCCTCTCTCTTGCTCTCTTTGGCTCTCTATGGTCCTCTATGGCCCTCTCATGCCCTTCTCCCAACCATCGCTCTCCATCTCCCTCCATCTCCCTCCATCTCTTCCTTCTCACTGGCTTCCTGCTTGGGTCCTTTGGCATCCATCTCTTCCAATGTGGCCAACCCGAGGAATGCCCTCCTCACCCTACTGTCCCGATTCACACTATTGCCTGCAGCCTCGGGATGGGCCTCTCTCCACCTGGCCATGACCTGTGGTGCCGTTGACTATGATGCTGCTTGTCTAAATATTGCCATCCCCTACCCGTCGTTGCAACTTGCTTTCCCTTTCTTTCTCTTCAAGCAAGCAAGTCTTGTCAACTCTGGTCGTGCGGTTTGAGAGCTATTCTTGAATTCTGTTCTTTTTTTGTTAAGCCAAACTCCTAATTCATCCTTCTGCAAAGACATAGTGTCTGGTACACTATTGACTTGATCGACAACGTCCAAAAGTCTACATACTACCAAGTCAATTGTTAATCTACAATATCAACGCAACTCTTCCTTGGGAAACCTCGTGGCATTTACGAGCTGTGCTCATTCTTGCTGCATTTTCAAAGGTATACCACCGATCTTTGCAGAAGCTTCCAGGTTCCTTTCACGGATAAAGGGAGAAGAAAAAAAAAAAAAAAAAGACCACTTTCATCAATCGCTTTGAAAGGAAACCATCATCGTTGCCGGTCAACGATCGTTCTTTCCGACCAAAATACCTAATAGCTTCCGACTCCATACCGCCGGCCTGACTTGCTGTGCCACTCCAACAACTTAATCTTTGTCAAGCATCCATATTGTTGTTGTCGATACTGTCGCGTTTCCCATTGTGTCCATACTTTCGGTCGATTCAGACCCAGCAGCAATTCGAAGACTCGTCTCCTACCTCTCTTCAAGGCTAGTCAAAGTCTTTCGACAACAATTCCAGCTGGTGCCCGTCCTCACCACGGCTGGAGACTTCTCGGCGCCTTCTTTGCTTCAGCATCAAGCATCACTACAACCTCGATCAACGCTCTACATTGTGTCGTCACGATTGCCGGTCAATCTAGTTGACACTGATCCACAACGCACCTTTCTGAAACCTTCCTAGATATCAAGCAAACATCAACCTTGACCCATCTGTCGAGGAAGCTCTGCCCAATTTAGACAAACACTTCTAGACGGCAATCATCATCACACACGTGGACGTTGATCTAGGCACTTCAGTGTACTTGATCTGCCAATAATCGGCCATATTTCTGTTCAGCATTTTCACCATCCAACAGAGCATCATTAGCATTTTTAATTCGGACGACTCTTCTTAGGCCACCCCACCACAGCTCTACAGCAAAACTAACGACACATCTAACGCATTGTCACGAACCAAAAGTCTCGACGACATCGTTTTTCTTGAGTAAATGTATCATTCCCCTTTTCTCATGGGTTATAACCATTTCCATCTCATCAAGCTGACTCGATAGCCAGACACCGACTAATTCATCCCGAATCCAACCTAACTACAAAAGAAAAAAAATCACAAGGCACCAAAATGTCGTCACCAGCGGTCCAACTCTCTTTCACCCTCCGTACCTCTCCCAATGTCCGCACTGTGCACTTGCTCGGCTCATGGGACAACTACAAATCCCAGCTCCCCTTGTCCCTAGTCAAGGATCCTGCGGCCAAGCCCGGTTCCTGGAAAGGCACGTTCCGTTTCCAAGGGTCGAATGCCCTCAAACTGGGCTCCCGCTACTGGTACTACTACATTGTCGACGGCTATCATGTTTCTCACGACCCGGCCAAAGAATTCGTGACGGAGAAGACTACAGGCCGCAAGCTCAACATCATCGACGTTCCGGGAGGCGACAAATCTAGCTCCAAACCATCCCGGCCTAGTGTCAACACTGAAGTTCCCTCATCGCGCCACAGCAGGGAGATACCACAAGGTCGTGCGCTCAGCCCTGGAAAGATCCAACATCCAAAACCCAGCAAGCCGTACGCGTCCCGGCAGTTGCGCGAGGCCGACTACGAGGTTTCTCCCGTGGACGACCTTGAGGAACGGTTCGCAGGCTATCGCATAGCCGACTCCTCTGCCTCGCCGTCCGAATTGTCAGACGACAGCTCCTCTTCTGGAACTGTGTTCTCACGATCCTCGCCCTCCTCCATGTCGAGTGTGAGCGACCACAGCTGCCGCTGCGAGCGGTATGGGGTCACTCGGTCTGGCCAACGGGTCAAACTCGACTGCGGCGGTAAGCGCTGTGGTGCATGGAGCTCGAGTTCCTCCGAGTGCGAATCGAACGACAGCTCCGAAGAATCAAGTGAGGATGAGAGGGAGCGTCGTGCACGGATGCACAGGGAGGCGGAGAAGAGAGCGCCGGCTCCGACGACGACGACGACGACGACGACAAAGGGGAAGAGCAGTGGCGGCGACGACAGGAGGAAGACTATTGTTGTAGAGAAGAGACGGAAGTAAATGAGAGCTTGAGAGCTTGGAGCTTTCAAGGTGACGGTTCATTGAGAGAGTTGGTGAGTGTATATGTTGTGGGAGGGGAGAGCTTCCTTCTTCCGTGCCAATACAAAATCAAAGGACAAGAACACCACGTCGGCCTAGAGTCCACCGAATCAGACCAAGGCGAATCTACTACTAACCAGCAGCGAATTGCAACAAAACGTCCGATGCGAGAGTCAATCCAATCAGCCCTCGGCTGTGAGATGGCTCGGACCTACGTCAAACTCGCGGAAAGGGTGGGCATTGATGGCTGCAAAGAAGGGGAATGCATGGCCAGGGATAGTGAAGATGAGGGCAAATGGATGGCAAGAGGGCAGAGAGCAGAGGGGAGCGCAGTGGCAATCTTGTGGCCCAAGAGGGGCAAGCAAGAGAGCAGAAGAGTGCGACCTCGGGGACCAGAAAAGCAGTGGAAACACGAGAAGGGGGCAAACTTGGCAATGATGTCCATGGAACGGGTTGAGGAGCTCGGCATTACTAGAAGAAACCCCTCCTTTCTCCTCCCTGTATATCGACCACCAGTAGGAACGAAGTTCGGGGGTGGGAGAGAGGCTCGACAGTTGATCCGACGAATCGACGTTCTATGCTTGCATCATCCCATGAAAAGATAAACGTGTGCTTCTGCTGTATATTTTCCTCTTTTCCTGTTTGTGTTGTGATGGCTCCTCGCTTAAATTTCACTGTATCTCGATGGTTCTTGCAGTAAGTGGCTCGGTGAGAAGCTAACAGTACCTAGGTAAGGTTCTCGGGCGGGAGGTTGCTTGTGCGAACGTGATTTGACCAACATCACTTGTCTCGTACTTAGGTCGTGTGGCAGTCTTCCAAGTTTTGCACCAGATCCGCAAACTTACACTTTGGAGCCACACACCACGCATTCCCCGAGTCATCTTATACGGTACGTGATACTCCACCTGGGAAATACGAGCCGGCATGAAAGGGACAACGTCACCCATGTGGGCTCTTGCCAGAAGAAGGGAAGGGCAAAACGATCAAAGACCAGCCCTAGACCCAGAGGCAAAGCTTGCAATGATGGAATTGAACTGGAAATTGTCTCCGGCAAGTCTTGTAGACGCAGTTGATTATTTTCGCTTTCCTTTGTCTACCGCCAAGCTGACGAGAGGGGAGCCCGACAACTGGTCGTTTCGTGTTCTAGCCTCCCCTGACGGTTGGTGTCAGCCTCGGGGACCAGGCTGTAGAGCCCGAACTCAGCCTTGTGTCTCCGGGGAGGTCAGGTTAGGTGTGTAATAATGATCACGCACCCTTGTTATGCCCGTCGTCTTTTGATGATCGCTGGGAACCATGATTCGGTGTTTACGAGCCTCCCTCGCGGATCCGGGTATATATGTCCTTGGATCTCCAACGGGTCGACTCTGGGGCCCACGATACGATTCTCGATTGCTACAGACACCCGCCCGCACTCGGCCCGCACTCAATCTACCTCAAAGACTCTTAGGACAGCAGGGTCGCAATGGAGCCAAAGATTCACACACTATTTGAACCTGTGACAGGCACGTGGCAGTATGTTGTCGCGGATGAAAAGACAAAGGATGCCGTAATCATCGATTCTGTTCTTGACTATGACAAAGAGACGGGCAAGGTGTCCACACACTCGGCCGACCAGATTCTCGACTTGGTGGCAGATCAGGGATACACTATTTCCAAAATACTCGAGACTCATGCCCATGCCGACCATCTCACCGCGTCCCGATACCTTCAGAACGTCCTTGCCGGGCGACAGCAAAACGCGCCCCGTCCCGAAGTGTGCATTGGTCAACGCATTCGGCAGGTTCAGGAAACCATGTCCAAAATATACGGCGTGCCTCAATCGGACCTAGTCGACGCATTCGACCATACTTTCTCTGATAACGAGACCTTTGCCATTGGATCCATCGAGGCACGTGCTGTCCACCTTCCAGGCCATACGCCTGACCACCTTGGCTACATCATCGGTTCCAACGTCTTCACTGGGGATTCAATCTTCAACCCGGACGTCGGCTCGGCACGCTGCGACTTTCCTGGAGGGTCCGCTACCGACCTTTATACTTCGATGCAAAAGCTCTTGTGCCTTCCAGGGCACTTCAAGCTGTACACTGGGCATGACTATCCACCAGACAGTCGAGATGTGCCCATTGGGCAGCATGTGGATGGGAGCAAGGCCGTGCCGTTCACGACGGTTGAAGCTCAGGCTAGGGAGAACAAGCATGCCAAGCTGGGCACACAGATGGAAGACTTTGTGACGTGGAGGTCAGAAAGAGACAGCGGTCTGGCTGAGCCCAAACTGCTCGCCCAGGCTATGCAGGTTAATATTCGGGGTGGGAGACTCCCCACGCACAGCTCAGAGGGGTTCAAGCTGACCGAAGTACCGGAGCGAGTGGCCAAGGTGGTTCAAGCTGCATTGTAGCTGATAATTGCTGAGGAAGCGGGAGAGGCGAGGAGGATGGCTACAGGATACATATCGGGGACTTGGGCTTGTAATACATATCGTTCCATGTACGGTTGGCTGCCGAATTGGGCTAATGCAGCTCGCTGTTTTGAGATTGAAAATGCGTGTTCCCGTTTCATTTAATTAATTCATCGATCAGACGCTTTTCTTCCTTTTCATCTTTCCCTTCAGGCTGTCCGCGACGCTTTGGCGAAGCCACCACCCGCACAATGCTCTACACCTTCACCTTGCTTAACCTCAGGGGGTGCCCAACTACCGAGGGGTTGACAAGGGCAAGTGCCCGTCTCAAGCGACCAGCCCTGAATCTTCCGCGGGAGACTTTGCCAGAGTGAGAATAAACGTCCGTCAAGCCACCTTCTTCTCATCTCTCGGACCGCCGGAGACGAATCATGGCCAATATCCACGCGAAGTAGCTCGATGACGCGACAGTTACCGGAAGGCCAGGACTCGGGTAGCGAAGGATCACCTAGCGCGTGTGCATAAGAGACTCTCGAGAGCCGGAAACGGTTAGTTACTGATGGGGACGAGGTGCAAAGATCCAGTCAATGTCCAGCACATGTTTCCATCCTGCTGCCACCTCACCACGCACCGCCGGTCTGCCTGCATATATATCCCCGCATCTTGAAGATCAACATGCTATGCGCCTGTCCTAATGTCTGTGTTGTCAAAATGCATGAATGGAAATGCACTCAAAAAGTGTTTCTCCAACTGGACCATTCAGTTGGCCGTTCACATGCAGGTGTTGAGGAAACCATCCTATCACTTGCCTCCCCTCTCTATCATTGTTGACACGAGATCCCACTGACCTGCATCCCTAGGGGCACACGACGGAGCTTTATCAAGAAGATTCGGTGGTACCGCAGGATTCCCTCGCATTCAACGCCCTCGCCTCTGTCGCCTCCCTTCTTCCACCACACGCGGCCTTCTCCTTGCGTGGATCGCGGTCCCTGTTTTGTGGCTCTAGCTTTTGGTCCAATCCTATGACCTTGAGCCAGCACAGCTAAACTACTGTCGAGACCAAGGATCCGCCTGCACCGATCCTCACGCCGGCAATTCCAGCGGCAGGGGCTCATGCAAGTGGATTTCCTTGATGTGGTCCGCCTTCTATCATGCTGATACATGGGTACCAGTCTTGCGGTTGGGGTGCGAGAATGACCAAAGAATGCATCTACCCATCCCAACGATAACAGGGCTTAACTGTGGCCGAGATTGTCTGTTCAATCTGTGTCGAGGACATGGGAGTCGGCCGTCCCCATGTCTGCGTTGCTGAAAAGCAGCGGTACTCCTCCACCTGTTGATCCGTGTTCTGCTTCTTCCTCGTTTCAAATTTTCATTTTGTTGCAGATTCACCATGGCTGCTACGGAATCGGCCCTTCCGGAACCCAATAACTTCCTCCCGATTGACACTAGGATCTCGGGGAATACATTCTCCGACCTACCCCAGCATGACGAGGCGCTCGATCTCAAATTAAGTTCCCAAGATTTGAAGGTCCAAGCTCAAGTGGCGGTGACGGATATTTCCTCAGGACAAAGCAGCGGGGAGGAAAATGACCTTAGCCCGCTGGATGCAGAGCCACTTCCCGCCGTTGAGTCGCCATTAGTATCGGAAACGATCGATCCTGATCCTTTAGCGAAACCCCGGCTGACGCGGCAAGATTCAGCCTGCTATCTAGACGAGAAGGCTGGTGGTGCCGCGCCTGTCACCGACGACATCGGACTTGGAAAGTTCGAGGACCAGTCTGATACTGCTCCTGCCACCGAGGCCATTCCTGAAAGCCCGACACCAAACGTGTCGGCGCTCATAGTAGACCTCGGTGATGTCTTGTGTAACTGGACCGCACCAGAAGCTCTGCCAGTATCGCCGGCAATGCTGCATCGACTCCTCAAGACTCGCTTCTGGCATGAATACGACTCAGGTGTGATCACTCAAGAAGAATGCTACAGCCGTCTTGCGACACAGTATGGCCTCTTGTTATCTGATGTGGCCGAAGCATTTAAGCAGGCCGCGCAATCTCTCAGTCCTGATGAAGAGGTCTTTGGTATGATCCGAGGATTGAAAGAGACTTATCGGGGCACATTGAAAATCTATCTCATGTCAAACATTCCCTTGCCTGAATGGAAGGCCTTGGAAGGGGATGCACGGTACGACTGGAGTTTGTTCGATGGCTTCTTTATCTCTGCTCAAGTGGGCATGTGTAAGCCTGAGCTTGGATTCTTCCGGCATGTTCTTAACAAGATCAATGTGAAGCCGAAGGATGTGGTATTTGTGGACGATAACGCGGAAAACATCCTCGCGGCCAGGTCGCTTGGCATCAGGTGCCTCAGATACAAGGATGCTTCCGGGTTGAGGCAATTCATCCACCACGTCTTCGATGATGGCGTCGACCGGGGACGAGAGTGGCTGCACAAGAACGCTAAGACCATGTGGTGCGTTACTCCAGAAGGACGAGAAGTGAGAGACAATTTTGCCCAGCTCTTCTTGTATGAAGCTGCTGGTGATTTGTGAGTCTTGATGCGCCCGGCCCGGAAGGCTGTTGAAGGACATGCTAACAATGCGAACGTCAAGAGATCTTGTCTCGATGACGTTCTATGAGCGCACATGGAATTACTATATCGGTGAGAAATTCTCGAGACCTGGGCCCTTTGATTAGCTTTGAGTGGACTGACCAATGCGACAGAAAAACCCATCGATACGGTGGAAAAGCACCCTGATGACATCGACACAACTTCGCTGGCGATGATCCTGCTGCCCCACGACCTCGGGAAAGCACATTCTATTCTCGACGAAGTCCTCCTGTACACGAACAGAGATGGCATTATTCTAGTGAGTATTCTCCCTATGCCAGCCTTCCGAGAGGGGAGATACCGACGCTTCACAGACATATTTTGACAACAAGCGGCCTCGTATCGATCCCGCCGTTTGCGTCAACGCTCTTCGCTTCTTTCACAAATATGGTCGGGATGACTTGCCCGCGCTACAGCCCACAAAAGCCTGGGTTTCAGATGTCCTCTTCTACCGAGCGTATCTCGATGGAACGTACTACTACCCCAGCGGAGACGTCTTCTTGTACCTTTTCAGTCGCCTCCTGGTCGCCAATCCCGAGAGCGACATATATCGCAGCACTTGGGCCCTCCTGCGCGAGCGACTGCAAGAACGAATCGGGTCACCAGGAGATTCGGTGGAGCTGGCCATGCGAGTGATTGCTTGTCTTGATATGGGCCTCAAGAATGAAGTTGACCTGCGGAAGCTGGAGGCGTTGCAGGAGGTAGATGGCGGGTGGCCGGTCGGCTGGCTCTGTCAAACGGGTAAAATCAGTTTGAAGATTGGCAGTCGAGGCGTGGCGACGGCGTTGGCGGTCAAGGCCATCGAGACGGCGCGGAAGAGTGGGAAATGAGGACCATGGACTTCCTCCTCGGAACTTGGCCTCGCGCCTTACGGGCACATTTTGACGAGAGCCTATTGGGTCTGATTTCCTTGATTTCTGCAGCCTTGTCATTCTCACTGCCGCACGGCGCACAGGACACACAAATAAACACAAATCCCGACCGGCGAGGCTGGCAGCTTGTTTGGTGGCTGTGTAGCTGTGTACTGGGTACCTCGTAACAATCTTGCACAAGGAAATGCTTCCCCCGATGCTACAGTAACCGAGAGATTATCAACCGACGGCCTGTGATTGGCTGCCTTGTATACCCGATTAGGATTGCGGGGTAATGGCCACGACCCTGTACGTACCAGGTACTACGTCATGGGACAAGGCTGCTGACCAAAGGGCATTCTTCATTCTTGGCCTGTTCGGTGCCCTGCGTCTCCGTTGTTCTGCCTCTTTGTCACCCAAACAACCCGTCTCAGCACCGCATTGCGCAGCCTTGGGAACCGCCCTTCCTCCTTGTTTCTTACATATCAAGCGCCCTCACCCCATCTATCCTTGCCATCCTCTCCAAGTCGGCTTTGCAGTTGCTACATCTTCACACCTGCGTCATGGCTGCTGCCGTCTGTCCCGTGGTTGGCACCACCAACACCGTCCTGCCTCCCCAGCACCCCGATTTCGACATGGACAAGCCTGGTCAGGTCTGCCCTGTCACAAAGGCCACCACGGATCACCACCACAACCTCCACAAGCACCCGGGTATCTTCGACTCGGCCGCCGCCCAAGACCTCGCCAACGCCGATAACTGCCCCGCCCTCACCAAGATCGTCAGCCGCCCTGAGCAGCAGGCCATGGACGAGGGCATCTGCCCTGTGGTCGGTACCGTCTCGACTGTGTTGCCTCCGAACCACCCCTCGACCAAGGACGCGAAGGAGGGCGATGTCTGTCCCGTCACGAACGCCAAGTTTGAGCATCACAGGGACAAGGTGCACGAGCACCCCAACCTCGAGACAGCCGCCAAGGGTGCGGTTTGTCCGGTAGTGGGAAAGAAGGCATGAAACCAGTCAGAAGGATACTATGAATATTTCAGGGATAGTTTCTGGCAATAACGCGCTGATCCAATGTATCTCCAACACCGATGTCGTCGTCTAGGTCCGCTGGGGTGGCTCGCTCTCATCCTCGTCTTGAGGTGTGGTGGACATCTACCTCTGCTCAAATGCGCAGGTTTGTATTAGGATTGGTCGTACCACAGTCACTGGATGCCTTGGAGTTGTCAAATTAAATAACAGAGCAATTCCCTCTGCCTCTACAATGGTTCCTTGGGCTCTGTGAGTGGTTGGATTCACAACCCATCCTCGGCAAAACTATATTCCGACACGCACTGTTTGCATATGTAGCCACTATTACTTTCACACCATATGCTGGTTGCAGGGTTGTAGCAATTTGCTCACGGCGGATGCAGGTCTAGATCTCGACGAGTGCTACAATTCGGGCCACTTGTATAACTTTGCACTTGCCCACAAATCTGGGTAGTTGAGTGCAGCTTCGTACCGAGCTCACTGGGATGCAGGCCGAATCTCTTCCAGGCTGTCACATCGCCATTGGAAATGGGGTCCCGGATCTGTGCTTCAACGGCGTCTAACCTGTCCACAATCCGGGCCATGGCGTTGTGCATTAGACTTGCTCTAGACGGGCTGACCGCGTTGACGTAGAGGAAGCGACCACACCCGCAGTGACGGTACTCAATGCCCCGAAGATTAGCACAGTCTTGTAAAGCCTGATGCAAGGCGCTCAGTACAGTGATCACCACACCGAACATGAGTTGGAGGGCCACCCACCAGAGCCCTTAGTGTAGGTAACAGGAAGTAATATTGCCAACTGTAATGGCGGCAGGCTGACAGACTGTGTTTGTGCCAAGAGTTCGAAGTTGTGCTCATGTATCGACCCGTTTCCCCATTGAAGCAATCGATATGCCGTATCGTGCAGCTCTGGATACCTGGGATCCTGGCTCTGCTCGGGCATGTTGGGAGCCAACAGGTCTGGCCGGTTCAATCGTGTCTCCCACGGGAGGATGAGCGACTGGTGGCCAGGTAGTTTTGTCCTTTTGTGTCCCTAACTCAGGCTGGTCTTCATTGACACTCCCTCGCTGTTGTAGGTCCACTTTTCTTGTGTTCCCTTCGTCTTGCTGGAGTTTGTTTGTGAATTTGAGCATACCCTGTATGAGAAAATCTCCAGCAACAGAAGCCGAAGGATTTCCATCCGGAACAGGTATCGGCTGACCTCAATGTGGAAGGTAGCCGAACTTGGGTATGTGCTCATTACTACACAATGGGCAGAGTTTCTCCAGACGCAAACAATTCTCCGAGTAATTCCAGAAGTTGGGAGGAACAGAGAGTGGCTGTGTATGGAGGTTAATGCTCGAGGCCTTAAGCGACAAGCACCCGATATTCACCTACCACATCTCTTTCATGTCGGAATTTTACTGATCGAGTGTGCGCTAGGCGCAGAAGTTTACGTCGCGTTCACAGAACAACTGGCCTTGCGAATTCGTTGATTACACCGCCAAGAGCTTCAGCATTACACACGGTCGGTGTCAGTCATCTTGTCATTTGTGGGTAGAGAATTTGGCCCAACGGTTTGCCACGCGGTTGATTTCTGCCTTTAGCCGAAATCGTCACTTGTGAACCTCAGGGGGTCGCAACTTGTGGACAAGGACAATATGATGTCCGAGGACCACTTACGAGGTGTTCAGAAAGAATTCCTTCAAGACTATTATCGGAACGTCGACGACCCTATCAAGAAGCTATGGCGGGAGACCTGTACTAGTATTGATCGGTCCTTAAAAGGTGGGAAAATGAGTTTCGAGCAAAACTTCTCTTGAAGCGGGCAGTACCTGGAGGAACACCGCGTACTGAGTCTCTATCCAATCCTGGTATTGGCCCTGGAAAAGGAAGGGATCTTCTCGCTATCTGCGGGGTCGAGAGACAGTGCCTCCATATCCTCCTTGGGTGACAACGCGGAGATCAGAGTCGGCTCTGTCATTGGAATGGGGAGTTGGAGTATCGCTTTCTTGATAAGGCCTTTGGTAAGTTGTATGCAGGTTGTTCCATCTTATTGATATCGGTTGTTGCAAACCGAGAGAGAGAGAGAGAGAGAGAGAGAGAGTCCTTGTCTCTTGTGTGCAATATAAAACCCATGCTCCATGGTCCCTCAGGTGCAGTCTGTCTTGACTCTTGCCCTGGAAGACGGCAAGTGCCCTGTCTATAACAATCGAGCGTGCGAGAAAACCTCAGCTCGAACCTTTCGACTTTATCGTCCAACACGTGTCACCTGCACCAAGGGAGTATCATGGGACAATGGATGCGTCCAAAGGGACGCCTATCTCGCCTAGTCCCGGCTTCACAGATGGCACTTCTTGTCGCCGTCGTCTCCGTCTCGGTGGTCGACTCGGTGCTCTTGGGATACGACAGCTCGATAATGGGCAGCCTCAACGTGATGCCAACATACCAGAACTACTTCACTCTGACGACGGCCACTAAATCGTTGAATACCGCAATTTCCTATGTTGGAGGATCGTGCTCCGCCCTCATTGCTGGGTTTGTCGTCGCCTGGATCGGGAGATGGAAAAGCATCATGCTTTCTTGCGTTCTCACCCTGATCGGTGCTATCATTCAATCGGCCGCTCAGAACATTGGCATGTTTATTGCTGGGCGGTTCATTGTCGGTAAGTCGTCATCGAGCTGAAGAACATGGTGAGCAATGCTAACCTGCGTCGAGGCTTCGGATTGGGCTTTGCTCAAACAGCGTGTCCTACATATGTGGCGGAGACTGCTCCCCCAAAGCACCGCGCCGTGGCATTGGGTCTGTACTATGCCTGCTGGGGTGTCGGCACCCTTGTTGCTTCAGGCGTTTGTTACTCGGTAAGCTTTTTGAATGTCGCTACCCGGGTAGTGCTCAATCATGGTTTATTTTGCAGACGCAACACTATTCATCGACGTGGGCTTGGAGAACGCCCAGCTTGGTCCAAATAATCCCTAGCATCCTTTGCATGCTGGTCCTCCTCTTTCTCCCAGAATCGCCTCGATTTCTCATTGACCGTGATCGGCATGACGAGGCCCTGGAGGTGCTGGCAGCACTCAACGCCAACGGTGACAAGGATTCTCCAGTCGTGCTGGTGCAGTACCGAGAGATAACTGACACAATTGCCTGGGAGAAGAGCCAACAACTGTCGTGGCGTCAAGCTTTCAGCACTAAAGCAAACCGGAAACGTATCATCATCACCGCGACATTTTCCATTATTGTTATGCTGCCTGGGACCAATATTATCACCTTCTACTTCGGCGATATGCTGGTATGTCCATCTCGATAGGCACAATGAAATGGCAGATGCTGACCCAGGGACCGTAGGCACAGGCTGGAATCAGTGACCCAACGACCCAGCTCGAAATCAACATCATCTTGACTTCGTGGACATTGGTCGTCTCACTGGCAGGTGCCTGGTTCGCCGATTCTCTGGGCAGAAAAATACTTTGCGCAATCAGCCTTGCAGGCCAGGTTGTGACCTTTTACATTCTCGCCGGACTCACCGCGATATACGGAGATTCGACAAACAAGTCAGGAATCTACGGCACCATAGCGATGATATTCCTCTACAACGCAGCGTATGCATACGGCATTACTCCGCTCACAGTGCTCTACCCGCCTGAAGTACTCTCATACTCTCTAAGGTCAGTAGGCATGGGATTGTATACTCTGACCACAAAGCTATCGGGCCTGCTGGTGACGATGGCCTTTCCCTTTGCCCTGGATGCTATTGGATGGAAGACCTACATTATAAACGCAAGTGCGGATATTGTGATGTTGGTCGGTGTTATCTGGTATTGGGTCGAGACAAGAGGCCTTACGCTCGAAGAAGTGGACAAAGTGTTTGACGGGGTCAAGCATTCCGACGTCCCTGATCTGAAGGCAGTTACTGAAGGAGAAGTTGAGGTAGGGCCGGAGTTGTTGAAGACAGTCACGAGCAACGTGGAAAATCAGGAAGTTGTGGTAACGACGGCAAAATAAGTCGATGGGAAGACGCAGACTAGGCTTGTTCCAATATGAGGCGTTTGTGGTGTGTTTGGACGCTTGGACGCTTGGACGCCGATCAATGACTATAACAGAGAGGTCTGAACCGAAGACCCGAACCTGTATCTGGGTATTGACGAGAGACAGGCGGAGAAGAGCGTAAGAACCACGTCCCTCTTCCTCCGCAAGGTCCCTTATCAAGGTGCCTCGCCTATCCTATAGTTTACCAGTTGGAGAAGAGTATAGCATCCCCCTATTCGTCTCATTGTGCGGGGGGGGGGGGATCAGGATGCGATATCAATCCTATTTCTTCAGTGAACGATACAATTGACCGGATATCAAAGGATATTTATCTGTCTCCCCATCCTAAGGTATACCAGGGCACAACTCTTTTCGACACGTTCAGGAGCAAACCATGGCAGAGTCAACACCCATCCCCGTTGTCTCATTCGAGAAATTCCTGACGGGGGACCGTGCCGACCAGAAGGAAGTCGCCCGACGGGTCTACAATGCGTTTTCCGAAGTTGGGTTTATATATTTGAAGGACCATGGCATCCCCCAGACGAAGGTTGATGAGATCTTTGCTTTGGTAGGTATCGCCCACCGCTGCATTTACGTATCCCTGGAGGACTACTATGGACTAGCCCGCGTCCTGTGACACTGGGTGACCCCTTTTTGGCGACAGCCTTATCAAGTCTGCTTTCTTTCGCCATTCCGTCCACACAGGCCCCTTCCAATCCAGTTCAAATTGAGCGTCAGATCGTAGTTGATATTGGCTCTCAGTCATTGGCTTTATTTCTGACTGTGATTCTACTCCAGGCCGAGAAATTCTTCACCCTTCCTTTAACCACGAAGCTCGCTTACAAACTCAACTCGGCACACGTCAACCAGGGGTACACTGCTGATGGAGCCGAGGGCATCAACGACCACAAGGAATGCTACGAGCACCGCCGCTTCAAGAACGAGCTGTGCCCTTCAGACAGCGAGTTGCCGGGCTTCAAAGCCACGCTCGACGACTTTTACAAGCAATGTCTCTCGCTCGCGATGAACGTGCTCAAATGCCTGGCCATGGTGATGGGCCTCGAAGACGACTTCTTCCAAGGAATCACGAAACGAGCCGATCCGCAGCTGCGCCTGATTCACTACCCGCCCATTGAGCGCAGCGTGATCGAGCAGCAGGGCCACGCGAGGATCAACGCCCACACAGACTTTGGGTTGTGCACGCTGCTCTTCCAGGACGGCGTCGGCGGGTTGGAGGTAGACCCGTCGCACGAGAACCAGTTCGTGCCGGCGCCGCCGATCCAGGGCGCCGTGTTGATCAATATTGCCGACTTACTGCAGCGGTACACAAACGGAAGGGTCAAGTCGACGCGGCACAGGGTGGTGAGTCCCTCGGTGAACCGATTCAAGAACTGTGAAGTCTTGCCATCCCGATACAGCATCCCGTTCTTTGTCCACCCGGACCCAGAGACGATCATCGACCCCATCTTGTTGACCGAGGGTGAGGTCAAGCTGTACGAGCCCGTCAATGCGGGGCAGTGGAGGGACTGGAAGACGGCGACGAATTACAGACTCAAAGGCGAGAATGGCGAGGAGGTAAGTTTGAGGAGCGTGGCCGTCGAGACTTGAGATCCGTGGTCGACACGATGGCGAAGGAGCGCCATGTTGTCCCTTTGAGCATTTTCATGTTCATGTTCATGTTCATGTTCACGTTCATGTGGGTGATAAAAAGTCGCTTGCTACGTACTTCATAGATGGATGGGTGTTTGGATGCCTTATGTAACTGCACAACGCATTCTTTATACGTGTTGTTATACCTGCTGACGTGATGAGAACACGGTGCTCTTAGTACTTGTCTGGCATATATTCAATAGCGAGTGATTCTCCACGAGGCCTCCATATGTATGTATTGATGACCGCTGTGTGGCCGGGTGCCAGGGACGCATTAATATGGAGAAAGACATAGCTTACCTCAACCAAACCTCCCGTTCTGGCATTTATGTCTTGCAACCCGTCGTCGTCCTCTCCATCGCCGTGGGTAATTATTGCAAAACCCTTCACAAAAATCGGTAGCTGGTTGACGCCCACTGCTTGGTGCTCAATCCCGAGCCCGAGTGCCCTTCCCGCATGTCTCTCAACTAGTCCTGGCAACATGTCATAACATCTGGTGATATCATAGCATTGACATCCCTCTCCGATGCTCTACGTCTGGAATCGCAACCACATGCACAACGGCCATAAACAAACCTTGGCAAGCACACGAACAGGAGACGATCCCCGGCGGCTAGAGCGACTTCTCTAAGGACTGTAGGATGGGAACCTCGTACGTACGCCTCATATCATGATCCCCAGTCCTGACCGCTGGTACGCAACCCAGATCCTGGAGGACAAGCGAGGATCCTGCGTGCTTTCAAGGCTGTTGGTTGCAGCCTTCGTCCAGCCGCATTCGCACACTAGCTTTCGGGACGCGCTCAACCCTCCCTCGAAAAGCTGGACATTGCTTTCTGTCGTGCCCTTTCAGGTGACCGTCTTTTTCAGACATCTTCAAGGGAAAGGAAATCGAGCTGGAACGGCCTGAGGAAGGGTTGACTTACTCACATCTCAGCCATTCTGCTGCAATGTATCTCGCTCCGCCAGGTCTGCGGGCTTCTGTACGAAGATGCCGCCAGAACAAAGCGCCGTGGATTACCCGCATCCGTCGGCGCCCGATATCGCTGCACTGGAGTGGAGTTTTGGGATTATCTCTTTTCTCGTCGGCATCCTGCTACCGCCTGCACTGCGCTGTCGTCATGCAGGTAACCAGAAGGCGAAGGTGATTATGGGAACGGTTGATCGGCATCTGAAACTCGAATCGGCCATTCTCCGACCATCCTATTTGGGGATGTCACCAGCGTCGTCGTTTGTACGATCTTCGTGGCCCTTACCTTTCGCCGTACAAAAACCTTCCATTATGAAGTCCGAATTTTCGATTTTATGATGTCCCTGATTTCTAGGATTCACGATCCACTAACATGGCGAAGAGTGCTTCGATATTGCGAGATGTTGAAGCAGGAACAATACCTGTACGAGCAGAAGAGCAGCTGTCAGAGAAGAAGATCGTGCTCGAGGATGAGAAAACCGAAATCCTGGTCGATTGGGACGGCGAGGATGACCCGGAAAATCCTCAAAGCTGGTCAACCGTGTTCAAATCCTGGGTCACCTTGCAGCTGAGTTTACTGGCGTTTGCTGCGAGTCTGGCTTCCAGCATTATCGCTCCCGCAAATCGAACCATTGCCGAATACGTCGCAGTCAGTGAGAATGTTGTTGTTCTCAATGTCTCCCTCTACATGTAAGTTCCCCCCCGGCCAAGGCTCTGGTTCATCGTCGAGTGGCTGATGTTGCGTCCAGCGTTGGCTTCGCCTTTGGCCCTTTGATCTGGGGTGGGTTTCCTTCTCCCTTCATTCCAAGTTCTCCTGGTGGCCTTCTAGCTCTGGAAACAACGGCACTGACTCTTCAATGCTGTAGGTCCTTCGAGCGAAGTTTGGGGCCGGAGATGGTCCATGTTGCCGGCAATGGCGTGTCTAGCTTGCTTCTCCATCGGCACCGCAGTGAGTCAAAACGCCCAGTCGATCTTTATCAACCGGTTCTTCAGCGGCTTCTTTGGCTCGGCTGCTGTCAGCAACGTCAATGCCGCTTTGGGCGACATGTGGTCTCGAGAGGCTCGTGGCACAGCTGTTTGCATGTATGGATTGTGCGTCGTCGGGGGGCCGACCCTAGGCCCAACAATCGGCGCAGCTATCCTGGTCAATCCCCATATGGGCTGGCGATGGACCGAATATACCACGACCCTGCTCAATTTTGCGGTTGTTGGGCTGACCTACTTCTGCATGCCGGAGATGTATCCGCCGGTCCTGTTGAAGTGGAAGGCCCAGCGACTACGACGACAGACCGGCAACAACCTGTACTACCACCCTCACGAAAGAATCAAGGTCGACATCAGGTCGATCGTCACCAAGCAATTGTCGCGGCCGCTCAAGATGCTCGTCACAGAACCAATGGTCACCTGCATCGCATTCTACGCCTCCTTTGTCTACGCAATTCTCTACATGACACTCCAAGTCTTCCCGATCATCTTTGAAGAGCAGCGACAGTGGTCGCCCGTGGTCGGTTCTCTGCCTTTTCTCGGCATGTTCGCTGGGATTATCTGCGCCACCGGCGTCAACCTTGGGAATCAGCCCAGATACATCCGGAAATGTCGGGCTTCCAATGGAAGGCCGGTCCCTGAAGCAAGACTGCCGCCTCTGGCAATTGGCGCCGTCATGATGGTGGTTGGCCTGTTCTGGTTCGGATGGACTGCTGCCCCAAAACATCCCTGGCCCCTTCCTGTCATTGCTGCCATGTTTATCGGTGGTGGCTTTAACGTCATATTTCAGCAATGTAGACATTCCCCCCCCCCCCCCCCTTTCTCCCGGTCTCCCAAGAGCTCGCTCCTTATAAGGCACGCTACTGACGCATCAATCTAGGCATCAACTACCTGGTCGACGTTTACGGCCTTTATGCGGCCAGCGCTACAGCCGCTAACACTTTTCTGCGCAGCATCCTTGCCGCAGGTCTCCCTCTGGCTGCCCGACCCATGTATCATTCACTTGGAGTAGGGCCTGCAACGTCGATCCTTGGTGCCGTGGCGTCGATGATGCTCCCCGTGCCGTTCATCTTCATGAAGTACGGCCTCATTCTGCGGAAGAAATCGAACTTTGCACCCGTGCCGGATGGTTGAACTCGACATCCACCACCTTTGGGCTCCGGACCCTTCCCAATATGAAGGCGACGCTGTGTTCCTGCGAGATTATCTAGAACTCTTTGCTACTCTAGCGCCTCGACAAGCACAATCGCAACATCATTGAGGATTCCCCTCCCAGGATTTAATGCCATGGTGGTCCCAGAACGACCTTGATTGGGGGACTCTGGTGGCACGCTGACGGAGCGTCATCTGTAAGTTTGATACTTTGAAGGCAGTGACTTCCGGTCCTGGGCAAAGCATACATCAATGGTGTACAAGTCTGCAAAATATCTCACAGAACACTACTCTACTCCTTTGACCCGGTTGCCTTCCTAGACCATGTGTCTATTGCGAACATTTGAGTCGAATATTTGAGCTATCGAACCGTCAGGCAATCTCAAGCGATTCTCCACGCCGGTTAGCGGGATCTCGCAGCGACAACGCCATTATCCCATAGCAGACAGGTTCGCAGTGACCCTCCATCCATCCATCTGTAACCCGTGACTCGACCAGCGCTGCTCCTGGCTTGTGCATCGCGAGGCGCGGATTTACATGGCTCAAAAATACCAAGGGCGCGATCGGGCCGGGACTCTGCACCATTTCACGCCCGAGCGCAGATACCGATGTCAGCAGTGTCCTTTCGATATCGAGATTTTATATCAACATACATCAGGAGTGATAGTGGATGGAGGGGAAGAGGAAGAAAGAGGAACTCACGATGTCGGATACCACGGGTCAACGATCGACGATCCATACAACTACCTGAGGGTGAGAGACAAGAAAGCAGGAAGTCACAGCGACAATTCAGACATAAATCAATCTTGACATACATACATGCCACGGAGGCAAGGGCATTAAACATAAAGGAAAGAGACCCTATATCGTCGTTAGCCTGACCTATTCCAAAACCCCCTCTCATAGGTTCATGCGTTGATAGTCGAAACAGAATCACCAAGTGGCCCAGGATTAAAGTACATAAATGTTGTTTTTGGAAAGATGATGAAGGGGAGCTGAATGAAAACGGGATTGAGACAAGTCAGTGAAAGAAAAGCATCGGCGGTGAATGTCAATTTCACTTCAATATCAATGTCGCATCATTTCTTCAGTAGCACATGGCAGCCAGAAGTGATCAAGCAGATCCAAATGGCAGTTTGTCTGCCTTTATATCGATGTTTTCTCCCTCTCTTTCTCCCGCTGCTTTCTACCCTTCATCACAACCGTAAGGACGCTTATTGGTTTCTTTTTTGCGGGGGGGAGGTCGATGCCTTGATATAGGTTGACCGTCTTGCCTTTTTCCTTTTGACATTCCACCCATCTTATTGTTCATATTGCATATTCCTTGTTGTTAAACTTAGATCCTTCAAATGTTCATCCACCTTTCCAGCAATCGCGCAAAAAGTCTCACTTCATCCCCAGCGTTCAGTGTCAGGCTGTAGTCTGAAACTGTATCCATCAACATTAGAAGATCTGTCTCGAAGTGGAAACTTTCTGGCGATTAGGTGGTGGCCTTTGAATCAAACGAGCAGGGACTACGCCGGCCATATGCGAACACACAATGTCTAACACTGGAGTCAAGAAAGCTCAAGAGGATTGTTGTCTAGCCGGACATGGATCCATACTGGGACAGGGCAGGTCTGAATCGACATCTGATAATGTGATCAGCACCACCAGGGCAGTGGGTATCGATGATTCGGCTGTCGATGGGGAAGAGATCGAGGCCGAAACCAAAGACGCTCGATGGGCTGGGAGAACAGCACCCTGTCCTTCTCGGAATCCGGCACTTGCTTCAATTCTCAGCCCACCCGAAACGCCGCGGTCGCTAGTCAGCGAGGACGGTGTTGAATCAGGAGACACCAAGTTCTACACCCCTTCAGAATCAGTGGCCCGCCGCAATGACACTTTTACAGGGCACCTGGTTCAACTGGACAGAACAGAAAGTCCAAGGGCCCTCACCGCTTATCTGCCAGTCCCACAGTCGTGGCGCCATACTTCCGAGGTCAATTTAGACCAAATGATTGATGAGGCCATGGACGAGGGCGGATGGAGACGCAATCAGACCTCAAGGCCACGGACTGTCCTCGCACCAATGCCACCGAACATGGCAGAAGCATCCACACCAGGCCGACATCTGGCTTCACCTTCCTGCTGGCCTGACTCGGAGACCATTTGGAGGTTTGGGCACCTTGACAGAGAAGAGAACCAGCGGGTGAAGCGGGATCTAGAAACGCTCAAACAGGACGATGAGATGAGTGGGTACAGACGAACCCTTGCTGCGAGCTGGGCGTTGGCCTCGGTGGTGGCTTGGGAATCTGAAGGCCCTGTTCGGTTGGGAAGGCAGATGAGAGACCCCGAAGGCGAGCATGGAGCGTCTGTGGAGCCGAGCTGTATCGCGGCTTAGCTCTTGGGTGGAGTGAAAGACGTGCTGAGGTTGTTCGGTTGAGGCGCAGCGAGGCACAAGCGATTGTTGAAGTCTGGTTTTGATACGGCAAAGAAGAGAAGAAAGGCCAGTGAAATCCCATGAGGTTGTTGTACGCCAACCTCTGGGGCAACGAAGTGGTTCCATCTGAAGAATTTGATCTGCAGCATCCGGGATCAGAGGAATCGGTATAAGTTTGCCGATTCTGGCGCGAAGAATCATGATATTTTGGGAGATTGGGACTGGAGCATTTGATTGGATGCCTTTTGACATATCTGTGCTTCATTGCTGGTGTAACCCTGACGCCTTTCAGGTGGGTGGTCCTGCAGTACATCAGGACGGCATCCGCCCGTGAGTTAGTATTTCTTTTGTGTATCTCACCATTGCCTGCGACAAACGACTCCTCCGAGACTCTTCCGTCTACCGTGCCTTAAGACACCATTGCATCCCCTCCCAACCATGGATTTCCGACAAGTGAGGAGGATTCCAATCACCCGGGGATGGGGCCCTTGCAAAAAAACTCACTGGGTACCCGTGAGCGACTACGAGGCGTGGCAGACTCCTGACGGCTTCACCCATACGTCGCACTGGAGCGTAGGCATTGATCCTTGGGCGCTTGGGATCCGAAGACCAAGAATATTGCTGGCAGACAACGATATACAATATCTGGGCTTTCGGGAAACGAGACCGGGTGGGCCTGGCGCGCTATTGCGTCCTGGCCTCGGCGAGGTGAATGAGATATTGGACGCGGTGTATGCTCGAGACCAGCAAGAGCTCGAGGACCGACGAGCAATCGAGGAACGCCGGGCAGACGAGTATAGGAGGAAATGGCTCACCCTCCACGAGGCGCAGACCGCCACAAATCGGTTGCCTCAACACATGGAGGAGTATCATAACCAGATGCAAAGGCCCATCAACGACGACCGACTCCGAGGTCTGCAAACAGATGCTGAGTCGTATGCCGAAAGAAAAAGACAGCGAGAGGAAGAACAGCACAGAAGAGACCGCGAGAGGGAAAGGGAGCTCCGCGATGCCGAGCTGGGACGGAGGACGCGTGAAGACCTGGAAGACTATGGATTCGTGCCTGTCACACGGCGGCGAGGGAGAGGGCGAGGAGGGCGAGGAGGGCGACGGTGAGGGAAGAGTCTTGTTCTTGGACTTGGAGGGCAGGAGAGGTCGTCTTGGAGGTTGAGGGAGTGTATTTGTGGAAGCAAGGTGTCAAGGTGTCAAGGTGTCAAGGTGTCAAGGTGTCAAGGTGTCAAGGTGTCGAGGTGTAACGGTGTCTTGGGGCAATCTTGGTGTCGATGTCAGTGTTGATGTCAGTGTTGATGTCAGTGTTGATGTCAGTGTTGATGTCAGTGTTGATGTCAGTGTTGATGTCAGTGTTGGTGTTGGTGTTGGTGGCCGAGGAATTCGCAGACAGGAATTGTCCGTTGGGCGGGGGATGCGCAGGCCGCGCTTCTCCGATTCCATACTATCGAGGCTATGTAAGAGGATCAAAGGGCGCAGGACCCCAGTACCCAGTCTTGCCCAGTCTTGCCCAGTAGAGGGTACTTGAGGGTACCCAGCATCCAGCATCCAGCTTCATCAAATCAAGCAACTGTCGATTCCTATTCCTGCTCCTCTGTCTAGCACTCTTCTTCTCTCTTGTCATATCCTATCCTTGTTTTATTGCAGAGGAATCTCTCTCAACATGGCCCCCAAACAAGTGGTAACGTCAGACAAAGGCCTCAAATCAAACCTCTTCTCCCAGGCTACCATCCACAATGGCACCATCTACGTCAGTGGAAATATTGGCATCGTTCCCGCCACGATGAAGGTGGTGGAAGGTTCAGTCGCAGACAGGACGGTCAGGACACCCACAGGCGAGGTGCCATCTGGCCCGTGACTGATTCCCCGACGTCTGCAGAAACAAGCTCTGGAAAACATCAAAGTTGTCCTAGAGGAAGCCGGAAGCGGCCTCGAGCAGATCCTCAAGGTATACAATATCCGCATCCGGACCGTCCTCGAGAAGCACTGACCAGGTCCAGATGAACATCTACCTGACAAACATGGAAGATTATGCTGCCATGAATGAGGCCTGTGCGTGGTTCCAATTTCCCCGGCCTCGCCGCCACATTCCTGGAATTCTGCCTGACCCAGAACAGTCCTCAAAATCATTCCGGATCCGAAACCAGCACGGACCTGCGTCTGCGTCAAAGAGCTTCCCTTCAAGACGGATGTAAGGACATCCTATCTGGTTGCCCATCCTTGGGGCTAACGGCAGTCAGGTTGAGATTGAATGCATCGCCGCATTGTGAGGGCATGTAAAATGCTGGCATTGTTGAACTCGTAACGCTGACTGTTGCCCAAGGAGTCAGGCCTCAGGGTCAAAGCTCTAGGTTGCCGTTGAATATCTTTGGTTTAAATCTAACCTTCAGAGGACAGCTTTTTCTTTGTCAAAGGATGCGTTTGCAGCACCAGGCCTCGGGACGCTGCTTGCCCCGTCATCCTTTGGCTTTGGCCGAAGCCTGGAATCAAAGAACCAGACTTGACAGTGACAAGACACTATAAAATATGACAATGGACTCTTGGATGAAAACGGTGCTATTCTTTCTTCCGTTTCCGGAAATGGCGACGTTGAAGCTACCTTCTATTCATCCCTCATTCATATATTTCCATTCATATATTTTCCACTCAATCCACTTTGCTTCTTGAGTTCCTGGCCGATGCGAATTTTGTCTCCGTCAAGACTGAACATCCTTTGCAAATATATCTAGGTAGATACCAGTCGCTAGCATTTGCAGAGCCCAAACCCCGAACATGGCTCCACGCGGACGGTCGACGGCGACTCCAACTCGGAGGATGACAAGGCCATCCGCTATGAGGAGGACACCCGCAGCACCTGCAGGAAGCACATCATCATCTGCAATCCAGGGAGCAACCGCGCCAATAACACCTTCCAGAGCTTCTCGCAACACCACCAAATCACCGTCGAAGACCGCAACACCAGCAGCACAATCGAGACGAGCCCCGGCCAAATTAGCTTCAAACAAGACTAAGCCAAAAGCCACACCGGCGACCAAAACACCTACGACCACTAGTCGCGCGAAGGCAACGCCAATCGCCAGAACAAAGGACGACAAAGGCGAGGAAGATGGGGAACTACAGAAGACATCTGACAGTAATCAGACATCCGAGAACGAGAAAGCTGAAACAAGGACGAGGAGATCAAAGCCTTTGGATATTGGTGTGAGCGACGACGCATCAGAGGACGAATCGGTGAACCCGCCGAGAGCGGAAGCTGCGCCAACTCCAAAGAGGAAGAGGAAGGCAGTGGCGGTTGAAGACAAGCCGTACGTTGATGAGGAAGAAACCGACGAAGAAGATGCAGAGCTCGTAGTATCAAAGACTCCAGTCCGCAAACGGAAGACCAAGCCTTTCGACGACCAAGCCTACAGATATGAAGGAGAAGATTCCGATGACGATGATGACGATGATGACGATGATGACGAGGAACTTGATGATGATGTCCCGGGGGATTTGCCAGTCAACCGAATCCGAAGAATTCATCTCAAAGTCGATCTAGAGAGACACAAGCAGTATATGCAAATGCATGCTGAGAGACGAGCCCGTGCATCCCCCACAAATTCAAGCTCCTCGTCGGCATCTGGATCGCCGCAATCTCCTAGCACATCAACTTCTTCAAAATGCTCCTCTAGATCCGCTCGGCGGCAAAGCACCGGTCCGCCCCTGAAGCGTCAACGAATGGTATCGCCCACAGTGGCCGACCCCTCGGACCCTAGTAGCAGCACTGCTCAAATGAACACTGTGGATCCCAATGATCCCCTCTTCGCCGCGGAGCGACTATTTGAAAACATCGAAAAGATACCAAGGGCACTAGATCTCGACGAAATCGGTGCTCTCTTCATGATTCTGCAAGAGAAGATCTCACGCTTTTGCAACGCCCATTTCGATTTCGACCTCACCGCTGAGCAAGAGAAGGCGTGGCCCATGCACCTTTTGGCCACGAAGTACCTGTCGCTGATGCTGATAACACAAAGAATTGCAGACGGGAGCGAGTATGGTTGGCAGAATTTCTTCACAAAGCGGGAATACCGACGGCATCTCGTGCACGGTATCATCGGCGAATGGTTTCAGCAACGCATCTTCAAACACACCGGTTTCAGCCTTCCGGAGGAAAAGATACGCGAACTCGAAAAAATCGACCGCAAGTTTCTCCACTACGACGCCTTTGTGCGTAATAAGAAGAAGGCCGAGTGTCTAGAGGAGCTGAAATTCGACGAAGATTACTTTCCGAGCGAGGAGTTCCCCAAAATCTTTGAGCATATGGACAACCTAGAAATTGCGGCTCGGAGAATGGCTACCAACCTGCTCAGGGTTTTGGAGCCGCTCCTCCCACCTCCATACTTTGACCCAATCCGTCCGCGATGGAGACAGCCGTTGAGGCTCCGGGAGCAAGGAGACGAAGTCCGCCTTCAGATCTGGTTCCAGCTCATTGAGTTGATCAGAATGGCAGGCAGTCTGCACCTTTGCATGCGTTTTGCTGGCGCAAACGGACTCGTCGTGCGCATCGCACCACACGTACCCAAGGGCACCAGATTGCGGCGAGACGATGTGGAGAACAACATCTGCGTGAATGCCAGCGCGTTGAATGCGAAGAGTGCTCAATCTCGAAAGGCAAACGACGAGTTAGAGGTCAAGATGACCTGCTTTGGGCGAGTCGAGGCCGTCGTGCCGAATGGCCTCGACGTGCTCGAACTCGAACAAGCACAGGCAGCAGCCCGAGCAGAAGGGAGAGAGCTCACCCGCGAAGAAGCCGAACAGAACCTTTTCAACCCGTATCCGTACGATTTGCAAGAGACGGACGCTGCAAAGGACGCCGTTGCGGATCGGCCACCGATTCCCGGAACAGAGTGGTCCACCGCGCTCCTCAAGGCTGGCATTGAGGAGGCTCGCGCCAAAAGATACGGGCGTGACCTCGCAGAAGACGACAGGATCGAGCAAGGAAACCCTAAAAGTGGTGCGTTCGTCACCATCTATCCCAGAGTCGCTCCTTCGAACCTCTTCTGCGAGTGGGTCTCTTCCTCCGAGGACCAACAATTCCCACGCATCGGAGACGCAGCGCCGCAACCATCCGCTCAGACCCTCGCCGAAGCCGTCGCGGAAGCACGCCGCCGAAAATACATCTCGTGCTTCCTCGAAGACGCCGCTCTCAAGGTCTGGAACACTGTTTCGGCACGCGAGTTTCTTGAGTGGCTGGTGCTTGCCGGTGGCATCGCCAGCGTCAGCGTTCTTACGGCCCCGTGGGTCAGGAACGCGGTCGAGAGCGTCAATTGGACAGAGCGGTCGATAGACGTCGGGATGGATGTCCAAGCCTGCGCCGTCCGTGCCTTGTCTGTCATGGGAAGCTGGCAGAGCGCGCTCCAGGATGCCTCGGCGTACGTATCCCAACTTGTCGCGCCGACTGCTGCAAGTACTACCGTAACCGTCACATCGCTTGCAACGGACTGGACTACAACGACGACGACGACGACGACGACTAGGCAAGTCGATGATCCGACCGATGCGGATCAGCTGATGGAAGACGTCTCTCCTCCTACTACTTTTCACACCACCACTGCAGCCGCTCCCTCCGATCCTTTTTCCGAATATCTCGAAGGACTCACGAGCATATCTCGCCGAACCATCGCGCGCGACGACCCTGAGTTCGCCATGGTTGCGAGCCTGTTCAGCGAGCAGATGGGTTTCGTCCAGGCTGAAACCAAGACTCAGTCACCGCCCGAGCCAGAACCCACCCCGTCCCCTACAGCCAGACGCTCAAAGGTGCTTTGATGGAACTGGAAATTAAGATCACGGATGGTCCATGGACGCAGTGTCGACGTGGATGGATGATCGAAGTCGAGACAGACGACGGCCAGGATAACACGGAAGGGAAAGAAGAAAGGAAAGGAAAAAAGAAGGCTTGCAGGGCATAGCACAGAGATGGCTTGTATCTATGTATGTATTGTATGTGACACGCCGAGAGGACAGGACAGGTTTCAGGTTTCAAACACCCCTGAGGCGCTCGCCGCCCAGTATTCAAAAGTGAGGAAAAGGGCTAAACAATGATGAATCATGTTGGGACAGAATAGGATAGGATATGTCGACACGTCACACGATTTCTCTTCTTTTCTTCTCATCAGAGATCCAGTACAAACCCTGCCTGTTTGGAGAGGGAAGGGGATGTTGAAATTGACATGATTAATGATTCATTCTTCAACTCCCTCTTTCTATCTTTTTTATTATGGATCAGTCATTATCTTAGGGACGTAAGACGCCACTCTAAGGTATGCTTAAACTGGATGGCCCTTTTCTTTTCCTTTTCCTTTTTCTTTTTGTGTGGAGGAGACGAGGCTCCTTGCTTGATGCACGGCCAACCGTCGCCATCGCCATCGCCATCGCCATCATCGCTATTAGGTATTTAGCTCTCCCTCTGTTTTTGTGCGTGCTTCTGGTTTCGTACATTGTATCGTAGCGAAATCCTGACAAGTCGACTTCTCCTCCAAGTCCGCCTGAAATACATCCAGGCACTACTAATCCCAAGAGCCCGGAAAGCCCTATTGTTCCCCGGGAATTAACAGCCAAGATACTGTAAGTAGGCATCATGGCATTAACAACCCGATGGCTTTTCCGACAAGAACAACATCTTTCCCCCCATAATAATCCTCCCTCCTTTCGTTCGTGGAAGCGAGCACGGAAACAAGAAGAAAACCAAGCCAAAGAAACATGCCATCTTGCCTTTTCATGTTGCCTTCCGCTTCTTGATTCACTCGTAACCAAACCGCATCCCTCTGGCTGACCCATCTCTATGACACTGTCATTCCCTCTTGCTAGTTGATCAAGCATTTGACATTTCCGAGGTGACAGATTCAACAATGCCCTTGACTAGCCCTTCCACCTGCGCAACCTCCTTCAAACACTTCAGCCAGGCGCACTCTGCCCGACTTGCCTCCATCCTGGCCTTTTCCATTGCCTTTTCCGCGTCCCTAGCCGTGTTGACCACTTCAACCATACACTTTGATAGTTCGATAAGGCTTGCCTTGCGGGCAGCCTCGGTCGAGTTGCGCGCGAGGTCCAGGAGAGTGTGGGTTAGGGCTGTCGTGGTAGCAAGTATTGGCGGAGTAGCGGGGGATAAAGTAGTAGTGGGTGATCGTGCTTGAGGATGGGCATGAGTGGTGGGAGAGGCGATCTTGTTTACCGTCGCAATGGTGGCCATTGTACTGTTTGCGAGTGGCGAAGTTGGATAAGTTGATGTTTGTAGATTTGCCGTGAAGGGTGTCGTGGGGCTGATAAATGGATTCTTGCGCCGTAGCGCTCTCGTGCCCATGCTATTGAGTTGCTCTCGTAGTTCCTTCGGCTGGCTTTCTTGGATGAAAAAAGGATAATCGGGCTCCACCAAGCCGTTTCGGTTTGGCTTTATGTTGCCTTGTCCCGTTTCTTCATCGGCGCTAGAATTCACGTGGGATGGGTGATTCAATCTCTTCTCTTTCTGATTCCCCGACGTTGAGGTTGGGGCTGGTTTACGGCGTACAAAACCAGGACCATCAGCTGCTCTGCCCAGCTTCGGGCACACCTCATCTGATACGTCGCCACTTTCGGTGACAGCTGTTTCAGCCTTATTCGATTCGACGGACTTCTTATGGAACAGGCCCCGGATGTTGGAAATGACCTTCTTCTTGCTTGAACTCGATGGACTATGTGCCAGGACATGTGAGATCTGCCTTCCCTTGACGGAATCAGTGCGTGGAGAAATACTCTGTGAAAAGGTCTTTACATTGCGTGGCTTTTTGATATTATCCTGGCTAACTGCGTATGCCTTTGGCGCTCGTTGTGCCAGGAAGCTGACTGATGGAAGATGACGCTCAGGTGGAGAGACAATGATCGGGGGTGGCTTTGGTTTCCGCGACGAAGTGCGCGGTGGAAACGGCGCGGTGGCTTTGGATTGAGGAACTGGTGTTGCCTCGTCATATGTCACTGTTGCAAGATCGTTGACGAGTTTCTCCTGTTTGGCTTGTTCTTGTTCTAGATCTTGGAACAAGAAAGGTGCTGTCTCTTTGCTCGGTGCGGTGCGAAGGACGATGGTCGGTGGTCTAGAGGAAGAAGTTGGTGTTGGTCGTTTCGTGACAGACCCATTGGCCACATTGTCAGGAGTGTTTTCATTCTGCCTCACTGTGACAGTCGTCGAGCCAGAGCGTGTTTTGAACTCCGCAAAATCCTTGCAAGGCCAGTCTCTTTGAGCAGAGGTTGGAGTTGTCTGACAATCAGAGGTTCCTTTTATTGCCACTCGGGTGGTATTGACGCCGGTTTGTAAGTCCCTGAGCAAACCCGTCTCGGAATCAATATCGTCACCGGGAAGCTCTGCACGCGCGACGGTCTCGACAGAGTTCTCCTCACCGATAAGATTTTGAGTCTCGTCTTGATTTGCGTCTTTGTGTTGATTTAGAGATCGGTCTGTGAGGTTTCTCACAAGAGACATAGAGCGGCCAAAAATGGCGCTGGATCGTCGGACCTGGTCGTTTGCAAGGCGTGGGGAGCCAATATCAGGAGCGCTTCCCTTGTGTCTCAAGGCTGCCGTGGGACTTTGCATGCCTAAGGCATTGCTATCGCCTCTTCCCAGCAGAACTCGATTCGCAGAATCTGTGATACGAAGAGTCGGTCCCATCTTAGACCCATTCCGAACACGTCGAACTCGGTAACCCCCGAAGGAGTCATAACCATGGATGCTGACTCCAGATTCACCATTACTGTCAACGAAGGACTCGTCATCATGGGGAGCGGCTGTAGATAGCAGTTCTTTGACATTCAAAAGCTTGCCTCTATCTTTGGCGGTGAGTTCAGACGGGTGGCCCTTATCAGTGGCTCCGTTGCGGGCAAAGTTTCCAACTGGATGACCTGGGAGCTCGTGTGCGACAGAGGTTTTGTTCACAGCAATGCTCGTGAAAGGCTCCGAAGGGGAGTTTTCGCGCACATTCCCTTGGCTGCTTCCCTCTGTTGATTGCCACGTGAGTCGAGTGGGCAAAGGAAGCGAACTCTTGCGGCCCTCTTGTCTCAGTGAAGTGGGATTTTGAGCTGTAGTTCCATCCTGGCCATGATCGAACCCTTGATCGGCGGGGGGACCGCGAAAAGCTCTTTGATCAATACCGGTCTCGTCTCTGGAAGCCGTCTTGCGACCTGATTTGGAGCGGGAGGGGATTGTGTATGGAGAGCCACGCCCTGTAACACCGTAGCGACCACGGGAATTTGTACGGACCGGTCCTCCAGGAAAGGATTGCTTCGAACGCGAAACCGAAGGAGACTCAGCTCGCTCACGGATAGGTGGAATATGACCACCGCTCTCAGTCTTCCTTCCACCGAATCCCCCGATTGCCTTTGCGTGATGAAGTCGCAGGGCTGAGGTCTTGGTTTGGCGAGTGACAGGGGAATCGACATGACGAGACAATGATTGGAGCAGAGAGTCGCGAGGTTTCGGAAGCTGGCTTGATGAGAGAGGACGGGATGTACCACCCCCAGCAGCCACCGCCAAATTAGCCTCGTGAACATGGTTTCCCTCTGACACCAGTCCAGCCCTCTCGGCAGCAGTGAAATTCTCTTCCAATTTGGCGTTGGGCTCAGTTTGAACAACGTTTTCTTTATCGTCCCCTAAATCCAATGCTCGCATGCCTTCATACAAGCTCTCGCTCAGACTTGGTTTAACCCGAGACTGGTTCACTCTGGATGGGATTGCGACGTCGGGTTTGGTTGGCTCAATTGTCGGCCAGTCTTCGTGTTGTGGAGCTCCGCCATCAGGAGGGGTTAGAGAGCGCCGAAGAGGTCTTTCAGTGCAGTCGATGAGGGATCTGCGGACAGGTGATTTGGTCTTGACGGTCGCGACAGGAAGACTTGGAAGCGGTTTATCTGGAGGGCTTTGAAGACGTGGCTGACTCAGTGGAGCCGGAACAGATGAGCGAGAGCTTCCGGGCAAGTTGTGAGGTTGTACCTACACATTCTATTAATATCGCACGAGAAAACAGGCACGCCTCCCTTACATTGAGTCTTTCCGTCGAGGACATCCCCGACGCGGCAGTTGGATTCATATTCGCGACCTGCTCTCGTGAAAAGCCCGCCTTCGGACGCAGCTTTGACAACCCAAGATGTTTCGACGCGCTGTTGACCCAGGACCTCTTTCGGCTTTCACTGTCCAGGGTAGTTGGAGTTACGGGCGGTGCGTTCGCGTTGACTGTTCTTAATCTTGGTTTCGGTGGGAGAAGCTGAGCTGGAAAAGAATTGGGCGAGGACAGCGAAACGGGAGGATGGCGAGGTGATGGCGTTTCTCGAGACCGAAGACCAGTTGGCTTTCGAGAGAGGACGACGCTGTCCTTGCTGGAAAGCCCTCGGTCGCCGCTGAGAGGCATGGTCTGGAGATGAGTTTTTGTTAGGCCATGGAGGGAGGATACAACCTCTGATGATGGAGGTCGGGTGGTAGTGAAAGCCGACAGATTGTTTTGGTCGGTGCGGCAGAAGAAGATGGATTCCTACGGTGTGAAGTGCCTGGCCTGCAGCCGGGGACAAGGAAAAACAAAATCATTTCCAATTGCCTCATGAACAGCCCTTCTCCCTTTCATTCACTGGCAATGCTCCAAAGCCCATGTTTTCTTTGGGCCTCCAAGGAATTCAAGTACCCTGCGATCAGCAGTGCAGCGTAAGAACTGGCAGACACAGCGAATAGCCATCCTCATCGTTTCCCCAGTGGATGGCTGTGAGATGGTTGCTAATCGTTCTCGTCATCCCCCTGATAATTCGCTTGTTGGGATTCGCTAACTTCTTTCTTCTGCTTACCAGCCTCATACTGCTCCATGTTTCTCGCCCTCCACTTCGGCCCAGCAAAATCATCCTCCCTTAGCCTCTCGCCGTCTTCCATCGTGAGACCATGCTTCTGAGCCATCTCTTCCAGCCTCCGTTGCTCTATGATCATATTCCTCAAAAATTCAGTCGTTTTCCCGAGCATGACTTGCTCGCTTCTCTCATGGCCTAGAGCGCCGGGGACAAGGTGAGAAAGTTCTGTGAAGCGTTCACGGATAGCCGTGCGTCGCTTGTTTTCGGCGTCTTTGTGGTTGAAGTTCTTCTGGGATGCTGTTAAGCGTGGCTTCGACACCTTGTTCGCTTTCTTGGTTGAGCTAGATTTGGAAGTATTTGGTTGGGCGTCTGAGGTCGGTGTTGATTCTCGAGAAGATGCATTTGAATCCGTCCCCTCTTCTTTCGACATCATGTGGATGGTGTTCTGTTAGGGAGAAAATTCGAAAGAGGAATAAATGAATGGATGGGACCCTTTTCTGGGCAACCCCCGTCAGAGTACCAAGTAGTCTGCCGGTGAATCTCAGCGATTCCTCAACATTATCTGGCGCGAGACCCAGTTGCAGATGAGTCTGAGGACATTATCGATGCAATATGAAACTGATTTTGGAGATTCTAATGTGAAGAGAACAAGGAAAGGATAGTGTTTCAGGTTGGTCAAGCTGATGCCTGGTCCAACACGTGGATGAGTTGGCTCGTGCTTTCCGTTTTGGGTCTACGGCGAGCGCCGGAGATAAAGCCACATGCAGCTCGCAAAATCCGCGCTTGTTCTGGAACTCTGATGGCATTTCCTTTCCGTTCTTTCCCAGTGCAGATCGACATCATTGTCACAATCCTTCCATCGGTATTGCGGAGGGAGGGAAAATATATTGCTGTCTCCATATTTTTGCGTTGCCCTCAACCAACATCTTCATCTCTCAGCAGCCAGATTCTCTCCGTCGAATGATCGTATGAGACATGAGCAGAATCCGACCCCTCCAAGGTGCCTGCAACTGCGGCCGCAATCACTACTATATCACTGTCCCCCCCGATGCTACGGAACAAGCTCTAATCTACTTTGACGACAGTAGCCAAAGCAGTAAGCTCATCACATCCTCACTCTTATCAACTGGTCTAATGTTTCTTCTTCATTAGGGCGAAGTCAAGCAACCCCGCTAACAGCCTGGCTCCGCGTTCCGTTGGCCTGGTACTCGTCAACCACACAATCCTTCTTTCCAGACGAAACTCATGCCTCCATCCGCAGAATCTTCACGCCGTTGCACACGCCGCATTCCCAGCGGGTGTTCTGCGGCTATTGTGGTACGCATCTCTCCTTTTGGACTGAGCAACCGATTGAAGAGGCGGAGTACATGAACATCACGTTGGGCAGTCTGTTGAGCGAGGACTTGCGCGCACTACAGGACTTGGACTTGTTGCCGGAGGATGTAGGCGCAGAAAAATCAACAGATGACACGCAGCAATTTATGATGTCTGGGGCACTGCAGCAGAGTGATGATGATGTGGCGCAAGGTGTCACCACACAGCAAGAAAGCCAACCCCTGACCCGGACGCAGCGAAGTGGTCGAACAGGAGGCTTAACTTGGTTCGAGGAGATGCTGGATGGAAGCCGAATGGGCCGGACCCAAAATACTAGACGAGGAGTCGGTGTCAGTAATGACGGATTGACCCGAGTCGAATGGGAAGTGTCCGAGTACTTTGATGATGGCAGCGAAGAGCTGATTCAGCTGCCCACAGGCTCGAAGCGGAAAATTGGAGATGTGGGCAAAGACGAGGATGCGAACATGCAGCATTGAGCTTCCGAGAAACGCGATACTGATGTCACAACCAAAAGACGACCAAGATGGATCATAGCGATGGAGTTCTAACAGTCGGAGCCTCGAAAACGAAGTGAAACGGAAACACAAGACAAAAAGAAGAAGCCAAACGGTTGGTTAGTCAATGTACAATCAATCACTCTACAGTGAGGATGCGACACAATGGTTCAACAAGTAGACCATGATAATAAACATCATCATCATTATCATCACCATCACCATCACCATCACCTTCACCATCAAGTATTCCATCCACTCTATCCATTGAGGAATTAAGGACAAAACTTTTTGCTGTGGGGTATCAACAGCCTCGTCTTCTTCCATGACTCCCTTCTATACTGATCCATTCACATCCCCAGTCTAGGTGCCGGTGATTTTATTCCAAGCCCCCCTCATAGCCTCTGGCAGCGTGCCTACCTTCTCATTGAATAACTCCTCCGCCTGCTTCCACACCCGCGCGCTCTTCCTTTCCCTCAACTGCAGCAGACTCGGCAGTAACGCCTGGGAGAAGGCCTCGCTGGCTTCCCTTGGCAACAGGGAGGGTAGGTGGTCTATGCTGATCACACACAGCGGAGGGTTCTCAAAACCTGGGACGGGCAGTGTCGGGTTCGCGAAGGTCGAGTTTTCGGTGTAGATGGGGATCGGGTTGTGAGGGTTCGTGGTGTCGCAACTCACATCGCAGACGACTGACAAGTTGCGTTTCGGGGATGAGAGGGATTGTTTGTTGATGAACGGCGGGATTGGGTCGCTCAAATAAATGCAATTCACAAATATGTCTGACTCGACAATCTCTTCGAAAGGTCCACCCTTCTTGGTCTCTGGCAGGTCCCATTTGAGGATATTCTCGTCCGATACCCCAGCCTGCTTGCACAGATCAACGGCGCCACGGCCGCAACGACCTAGTGCGCCAATCACAAGAACGCGTGGTTGACGACCTGCGACCTTGGAACCCTTCTCCAGAGCCGCGTGCACGTCTTTGAGGAGAAGATCTTGACTTGGGTAGCTCGATACACTGCCCATGGGCTCACTCGGGTTGGTCAATTGGTGCGCCCATGCTTCGATCGCCAACGCCGCGCCCGCATAGCCGGCATGATATCCGAACGCCGCGACTCTGCGTCCGACATCATCTGTTAAAAATTCGAGGTCTAAAAGAGTACCGCCGCCGTGCGGGAAGCGGGACAGCACGTCTTGCCAACCACCTTGGTTCTTGTAGCAGTGTGCGAACTGCACATGCGTGTGCTTGAGCGCGAATTTGTCTTCCGGCAGCTCCTTAAGCCCGACGATGATGTGGTCTGCCGGGGCGTCTTTCCATGATCCTTCAGGAACCAGGGTTGCGCCCACAGCTTCAAACTCGGAGTCCTCGAATATGCGCTCCGGGCTGCGCTCGATATTGACTTTGTAGCCGGCGTCCAATAGGGCTTTGGTAGTGCTGGGGGTCACTATGTGAAAAGTCAGTCAGTAACCTTCAGATCGGGAGGGCAATGGAAAACATACAGGCAGATCGATGCTCAAGGGGCTTCGACTCGGACCGGAGATGAAGTGTTGTCGCCATCTTGAGTCAAGAGGACGATGCAGGAGAGAGGGGATATGCGAATACGAATTTGAGGCCGCGAACTGAGCAGAATATATTCTGCGGAAGTTTATCGAGGAGTCCAAGTTGATAATATGACTCAAGTCCTCCCAACCGGGAGCATACAAAAATGTAGAACTGGTGGGGAGACTCATTGAACTTTTTCTGCCACCGCCAGTGACTGATCGGTGCTCGGCTGGTACCTGACGCATGTCCAACTACCTCCTCCGCGCGGCACCACGTAAACTGAAGTTTGGATTGTCTTAAGAAGACAGCAAGCAAAGATGTCTGAATCTCAGAAAAATGGCATTCCCACGGACAATCCTCCTTCCTACGAACCTCTTTCAATCCCTCCTCCCACAGGGGTACAAGCAGGCACAGCACCTCCACCTGGACGCCGCCCCCTCCGTCCGCCGCCCCCGTTAGAACTCCCCGCCCTTAACCTCTTGCGAAACAAACGAATCATTCTCGCCTCCCAATCCCCTCGCCGCAAACAGCTGCTCGCTCAAATCGGCCTGCATACCGTTGAAATAATCCCCTCGAAGTTTGCGGAGAATCTTCCCAGAACACTTTCCCCGTTCGAATATGTTCTCGCTACTGCAACGCAAAAGGCATTGGCCGTCTATAAACAGGAAGTGAACAATGAAGAGAAGGGCGAGCCTGGATTGATCATTGCGGCGGATACGATTGTTGTGAGTTCGCTGGGAGAGATATTGGAGAAACCGACGAGTGAGGCACATCACATCGCCATGTTAAAAGGGCTGAGGGATTCGGGGTTGCATAAAGTCTACACCGCCGTCTGCGTCATCACCCCTCTAGAAAGCGCAAGAGATCCGGGGTACGCTATCGAGTCCACGACGGAGGAAACCACCGTGAAATTCGATTCGGAGGTCACGGATGAATTGCTTCTGGCATATGTAAGGACAAGAGAAGGAGCAGACAAAGCAGGCGGATATGGGATACAAGGGACTGGGGCGATTTTGGTGGAGAGGATAGAGGGCAGCTTCGATAATGTGGTCGGCCTCCCATTGAGGACAACGCTAAAGTTGATTGAGAAGGTCATGCAGCAGGCGGAGGATGATGATGTCCTAGAGGGCGAGGGCGAGGATTTGCTGGAGGATGAGTAACAATATGTCGATCTCTCAACGGGGACAATATCGGGATCAGTGGCGTCCAGTAGGCGGCTGCTTCAGCCATGGTCAGTATATACAGGACAAGGACGGGTTGCTTGGTGGATATTGTGTCGTTTGTAGAAACCATGTTCTTGGAATGCATCATGTACATGGAGGCTTCCAACCCTTTCTCCTTTCAACCTTTGTACCACTGCTTATTTCAGGTGCTTGAGCTTCCCATCATGACCCAAGTTCGAAACGTCAGCCTTGCCAATTGTAGCATCATTCTCACCCGCATGCCATATTCTTTTCATTGCCTCAACCACACCAACGTCATTGGTTTCGAACTCGTAGAAACCAACAGCCACAACGAGGGTGGCTAGGTTCAACAGCCACATGAAGGCTCGCCGCGCGGTCGGGTGACGATTAATAGGGATATAATCGATGATGATTGACCTGGAGGAGTGTCAGTGTTCTGCTTTCCGGTGGGGTGATGCACGTGTGCCAGATGGGGTAAGCTTGATACTTACTGGAAACCTGCGTGTGAGTGGATCAAAATGCCAAAGATCAAGGCAGCATCCAGCATCGGACTGACGGAGCCGGCGGCGAAAGGAGTAATGGTCAAGGGAACCAATGCCACCGACAAGATTCGTTCAAATGTCCAGTGATAGCTTCCATGGAGGGGATCAGGCTTCGGCACGGGCGCAGGGTCGTTGACTCCTCCTTGGATGACTTGCGGACCTGGTGGTAGAATCTTCCTCTGAGCAGTCGAGGAGAAGGACGCAATTTGAGAAGTAAGTGACAGTCGTGGGGAAAGCCATTGTCTCGTGCAAGGGAGTAGAGGAGCTGGCCGGAAGGGTCGAAGTGGTTGGGTAGTGCTCGAGAACAGTCGCTTGGACGCTGACAGGACTTGTGCTTGTCGAAGCATGGCTGTCTTCGAAGCTGCCGCCATATCCTTAGCACAGTCGATGGATGGTCTAATCAAGGTGGTCGAAAGGCGTGAGGGTTGAGAGAGTCAATGGCCGGATCGCATGCTTCGATGGGATGTTGCTCGGCCGCCAAGAAGCTTGTCTCCGAGCCAATCAAAAGCTTTGTATTTTATATCACCAGCTAGAGGACGAGAGAGCTCCTCGTCCACGCTCTCATTCAATTTATTACCCTTCTATCAGGAACACCTTCCTCCATGGAAATTTACACGGGCCCTCGCCTTGCGACTCTCTATGCTCCGCCTGTTTGATCTCCGAGAGGTGTCAGATGAATGGAAAAGTTGGCGTCGACAGTTCGGTTGTATAATTATCGTTAACCTTCGACCTTACGACAATGTGGCCTTGCCAATCCCGTTGATGGCTTGATTGCATCTAGTCCAGGTTGGCACTGCTGGCTCTCGCAGAAGGATCCATGAGTGCAGCTATATGGTTTAGCTCTTCACGAGGCCCCTCGAAAATTGACAGCCTCGTAAGCCTCGGATTTCGGATTGGTCTCCCTGACGTTCCAGCAAAGGGTTGGAGTATCGGGCCATGCGGGGTTCGCCCGAGGGAAGATATGCGCGAATATGCGTTAGAGCCGGATATCTTCGAGCACTCATCAACAACTCCACCAGTCAGCTTGTGTCTATGCGGCCTATTGACCTATGGAGTCTTGTGATATGTACCGCGTATGTCTGCTTACTTTTGGTTTATCGCAAAGCCTTATATAACCTAGGCTCACGGAACAGGTTGGTTTATATTCGTCTCACCCAAGGTATTTTCTGTTCTCTCCGCACTGCCTTGGGATTGTCTGTCCGCTTGCTCAGCTTGCCATCAACATGACGACCGACAGGGTTGTGCTCATTTCTGCTGCTCCGACGGAAGATGTTACCGTCCCGTCGGATGGCCCTCACGAGAACAGTTGGTACAATGACAGAGATTTTGACGGCTATCGAGTTGCCGAGCAATTGCTCTTTCAAAGACGCAAGATTCGAGTCATCTGTGTAGGGGCTGGAGCGACGGGACTTCAATTCGCATACAAGGCAGAACGTGCCTTGAAGGACGTGGAACTGCAAATCTACGAGAAGAACAGCGACGTCGGTGGAACTTGGCTGGAAAATCGATATCCCGGGTGTACGTGCGACATACCGTCTCATTCCTATCAGTTCACGTGGGCGAAGAATCCCAACTGGTCAAGGTATTACTCTGGATCGGAAGAGATCTGGCAATATATGAAGGACGTTGCAACTAAATATGACCTGGAGAAATACGTCCAATTTAAGACGACGGTCGAGTCAGCAACCTGGGACGAGGATGCAGGGCTGTGGAGATTGCGTATCATCGCTCCAGACGGCTCTTGTTTTGAGGACACTTGCAATATCCTTGTCAATGGGTCAGGGGTTCTGAAGTGAGCAAGAGCCCGCTCTGACTTATCAGGAGCCACATCGTTTACTAACAAAAAGTTGTTAGTGAGTGGAAATGGCCTAACATTCCAGGTTTAGATGTGTTCAAAGGAAAGCTTATGCATTCAGCGAAATGGGACGGCAACTATGATTTGAAAGGGAAGACTGTGGCCGTGATCGGCGGTGGATCGTCCGCAGTACAAATCATCCCGTCGATACAACCAAGTAGGTGACTCACCACTTTGTGGGTCTTGGTTCGTTGACACCGTTCCTAGCTGTTGGTAAGCTGTATGCTTTCTTGAGGTCTCCGGTTTGGATCACGACCGGGTTTGGTGCTAAGTACGCTGGGCCGGGCGGAACGAACTTCTCATGTAGGGCTTTCACTGAGGAAGTCTGAGCGTCGCTGATTGTCGCAGACTCCGAAGAGCAGAAGGAAGAATGGAGAACACACCCAGACAAACATGCCCAGTACTGTCGAGACGTTGAAGGTGAACTCAACAAGAGATTTACGTTGGTAAGTCCCCCCTCACTGCCACCGAGGCCGCTCGTTTCTCTTACCTCATATCAGATGCATTTCAAGGCCAAAGATCAAAAAGCATCCCGAGATCTTGTGGCAGACATTATGAGAGAGCAGCTCGGCAATGATGAGACTCTCACCAAGCACATGATACCACCATTCGCTCTTGGCTGCAGAAGAATGACCCCTGGATCTGGTTACCTGCAGTCTTTGAGGGCAGACAACGTACAAGTCGTCCCAAAGTCTGCTATAAGATTGACAGAAACTGGTATCGTGGACGAGGATGGGGTTGAGCACGACGTCGACGTTGTCGTTTGTGCGACAGGCTTCGACACCTCCTTCACACCGCATTTTAAAGTCTTCGGTCGCAATAACGCAGAGATTCATGAGCAATTTGGCGACTTTCCGATAGGCTACCTAGGCATTACAGCTGAGAACTTCCCCAACCTGTTCCTTCTGATAGGGCCCAACGGACCGGCGTCGCATTCGAGCATCCTACCAATCTTCGAATGGTACACCCGATACATTTTCCAGGTCATTGAGAAGATCCAAACGGAGCGCATCAAGGCTGTTGAACCCAAGAAAGAAGCCATCAAGGATCTGTACAACCACACCCACGAGTTGATGAAGAGACTGGTCTGGTCATCAGCCTGCCGATCATGGTTCAAGAACGGCAAAACACATGGCCCGGTGACCGCCATCTACCCGGGCAGTCGACTGCATTTCTTCGAGATTATGAAGAACGTGAGGTGGGAGGACTACAACATCACGTACATGTCGGAAAATAGATTTGCGTTCATGGGCAACGGCTATACCCAGACAGAGGTGGACCCTGAAGGAGACCCTGTCTGGTATTTCGATGACCCGTTTACCAAGATTTAGAGGTTGTTTCTTTGACAGCGAGGTTAGCAAAGGTCAAGCACAATACAGAAGAACTATTCGAGCAAAGCATCGAAAGAGGGAAAACGTTTCTCGCAGGCGAATGCTAAACCACTCATTGGACCCGGAGTGTTACCGTTGTCCGCGCAGCCATGCCCAAAGAGGGTGTGAGCGTGATGCTGGACTCCTGGTCTTGGAGAGGAAAGCCGTCGGCACTCTGCCCCGAGTTGTTGCGGGCTGGTCAGCAGCGGGCTGTGGGGTTCGCTGGGTTGACAGTGGGCGGCCGCAGCGGCATGCCTCAGTTGCTCAAGGTGGCCAAGGGTGGTCAAGGGTGGCCTGGAGCACTCCGTACTGGGCAGCCCGCCCTTGCCCGCTCGCCGCTAACACGCCCAAGCACGCCCACAACTTTTTGATTGACAGCGGCTGACTAACTCCAAGCGGGCAAGTATCCTCACCCAAACCCTGGGATGTCCTGGGTGTCCCTGTTCTTACCGATGGCCTCTGCTCTGCTCTCCGCCATTATAATCGCCTCCGACTCATTCTCAGTCTTTTGTACGGGCCCTGCGCCATTGATCTCATGGCGACATTTTGGACAGTGCTTGGTTAGGGATATCGCATTCGCAGACGACTTTCCACTTCTCTCGCTCCATACTTGACTACATTCCCATCCTATATTTTGTTACATCCTAGTTCGTCGTCCTACACCCCCCAAGAAAAATGTCCAAGCGGAGTTGGCAAGAGGCCGAACTGCCATCCCCACGCTCTGCTCCGGGTCCCAGTCCACAGAGAGCAACCTCTACGACGTCTCCTCATACATATACTTCTCCTGCGCAATCGGCCTCGCCAAAGAAACCTCGCAATTCTTTTGACGAGCCCAGTCTCATTGCCAAAGCCCCGTCCCGTCCACAACGGACCAATTCCACCACCAATGGAGCCGCGGCGGACGCCAAGTTGCCCGGGATATCGAGAAAGGTCAAGGCGTGCGCAGCATGCCGCAAGCAAAAAGTAGGGCTTCACAGGTTCTTCAGGGTTCGAGATAACTGAACAGACGTGTTGTGCAGATCAAGTGTATTATGATTGGAGACCCGCCGTGTCAACGATGCAAGGAACGAGGGCTATCGTGTCGCCTCAACAAAAGCCTGCAGACCCTCATGTCGGAGGATTCGAAATGGAAAGCCGCCGTCACAAAAGATGTCACGGCCCTGTACGCCGCCGTCGAGGAAATTGTTCGAACACTACAGCTGCCGTCTCTACCGCAAATGCTCGTTTCGACCCAAGATCCTGCCATCTTCTTTGACCAGGAAGAACAAGGTAATGATCCCGACGATGAGGATCAGTCTTTCGACAATTCGCCCAAAGTTACGCCAGTAGCCGACAATCTGTCACATGTGCCCATTGAATCGCTATATCAGATCACCGGGATGCGATCTCTGAGAGCATCTGAGAACATTACGGAAGATCAGTCACGAATATGCAAACAACTGCGAGATACTGACTTTATTGCAAGGGGCCTGGTGAAGCAAGAAGATGCAGAGCACCTGGCCAATTACTATCTCAGCAAGCTTGACCCCTATATTTGGCACATATGTCCGGACTACTCCGACTTGGAGTCCTTCCGACGCCGCTCGCCAACGTTGACCGCGTGTGTTCTTACTGTCGCGGCTCTTCACGACACTAAGCTGGGTCACCTATACTCGGTTTGCAGCAAGGAGTATAGGAGATTGGTCGCTAATGCCATGTTTGAACGGAAAATCGACATGGAGTATCTGCGAGCCCTGGTTCTTGGATCGTACTGGCTGAGCGATATCTCGTGGACCTTGTCTGGCTATGCCATTCGCCGTGCCAGTGAATTTCACCTTCGACAGTACTATCACGAAATAGCAGAGTCTGTGAGATCGCCGGAAAAGGCTGACCCGACAAAGTTGCAGGAAGCCATGGACGGCATCAGAGTACTTTATCTGCTCTATATATGTGACCACCATTTGTCTATCCTCTATGGCCGATCGTCCATTATGCGTGACAACGAAAGCTATATCACTGGATGGGAGGCCTACCTGGCGTGCTCATTGTCCACAGATGCCGATCGCAGAATTGCGGGGCAAATCTGCCTGATGTATCTGATGAACCAAATACGAGAGACTCTAGGCCCCGAAGATACAAGCTCGGTGTTGCCGGTCTCTGCTCTAACCAAGATTGCAGGCTTTGAGCGTGATTTGGACGACTGGATTGCCAGGTTCTCGAGGCATAGTAAGCAGATTGAATTGGCGACTCCTCGGTCTGTGCTGACGTCAATCCAGATCCAAGCCAATATATTGGCAATTGGCCCAACAAGGGTGCAGTCATGCATTATCACTGGGCCAAGCTCTATCTCCAATCATATGTCCTTCGAGGACTACCTGAATCCGGGGCTGTCATCCCCGAGCACTTTTTGGAGAATGCTTCAGCCGCAGTTGCTGCCGCGACTGCCATCATCAACCTTCTCCTAGATGACAAAGATGCGCAAATAGCTATCGCCTATGTTCCCCACCATATCCACGGCATGATCGCATTTGCATGCATGTTTCTTCTGAAAATCGCAACAAAGCATAGCGAGCAGCTGTTCTTGGACACGGTTCGCTTTCAAAGGCTCATCAATGCACTGGCACAACATTTCAAGTCGACGGACGTTGGTAAAGATCATTTGATCCACAGAATGGCCGAGGGACTCGAAAAGATGGCGGAGAGCTTGGGAGGGCCAGCACGGTCAAAGAACCGTGTAAGGGTCAATGGAGAGCGCTCGAGTCAGCCATTAGCATCTCCGAGTCAACCGGTCGACACGACGGTGAATCTGGGCAGGGTCACCAATGGGCAGTCGGATGTGCCTGACTATGGCTCGCTGGATCCAACTGCCTTTGATTTTGGAGATCCTGCTTTGGGGCTGGGCATGCCGTTCTTCGATTTCGAGGGGACGACGCTGGATGCTGGGCAAGCCATGTGGAATTTCACGTAAGCAATAGGACAAGTGCGAAGAAACACGAGCTGTTCGATTTCATAGCAAAGTGGATGAATTTTGAGAATTTCTTTTCGAATGCTCCATTTGCTCTACTGATTACTGGAAGCTGATTTGGTCTGGCCAATGAGCTGTCGTGTAAAGAATCCTGTCCCTTTTAGGTATAGCGCCTGTTCGGGAAGATCTGAGCTCCAGAAACTCCAAGCACCACAAGTCGCCTGCGTTCAAAGCTCATTTCTACCACGACAAATAGCTGTAGCTGCCACCGCTCTCCCTCCCTTGATCAACCCTCTGCAATGGCGTCTCAGCGGCTGGCGCTGAATCTTCAGCGGTCCCTTCGAAGCAGACAAGCTCTCAATGCCATTCAGTCTCCTCTCCGCCGCTACGCCAACCCTGTCACTCCCTCCAGAACCGAAAGCACCACTCTTTCGAACGGCCTGACGGTACAACTCTCGACTCCTGCGGCTAACTGGCTTGAGGTAACTGACTGGGGCACTTAGATCGCCACCGAGCATTCGCCATGGGCCCAGACCTCCACTGTCGGTGTTTGGATTGATGCCGGGAGCAGAGCGGAAACAGACAAGACCAATGGAACCGCACATTTCTTAGAACATCTTGCTTTCAAGGTGAGCCGTGAATCAAGAAGACTCGAGCGCAGGGACTAAATGGAGCTGCAGGGCACTGGCAGACGAACCCAACATCAACTAGAGCTCGAGATTGAGAACATGGGTGGCCACCTCAACGCATACACTTCGGTACGTAGGGTTACGCTTCAGCTTCCATCTGTTACTAAACCAATCCGGCAGCGCGAAAATACCGTTTATTACGCCAAATCCTTCAACTCCGATGTTCCCAAGACCGTCGACATTCTTTCCGACATCCTCCAAAACTCAAAACTCGAGCCTGCAGCCATCGAGCGCGAAAGAGATGTAATTCTTAGGGAACAAGAGGAAGTCGACAAGCAATTGGAGGAGGTGGTATTCGACCACTTGCATGCAACAGCCTATATGCATCAACCTCTTGGCCGCACCATCCTCGGACCCAAGGAGAACATCGAGACGATTTCTCGACAGGATCTGGTTGATTATATTACCACCAATTATACCGCCGACCGTATGGTCCTTGTCGGCGCTGGTGGTATCCCTCATGAGGAATTGGTCAAGCTCGCCGAGAAACATTTCGGACACTTGAGATCCGCTCCGCCGACACCTTATGCCGCTGAAGTTGCCGCCGAGCAGAAGCGTAAACCCAACTTCATTGGCTCTGAAGTCAGGATAAGGGACGACACGATCCCCACCGCACACATTGCCATTGCCGTTGAAGGTGTTTCCTGGAAAGACGACGAGTATTTCCCGGCTCTAGTTACCCAGGCGATCGTGGGGAATTGGGACCGGACGATGGGCAATTCCCCGTACCTTGGCTCAAGACTCAGCACCTTTGTGAATGCAAATAACCTGGCCAATAGCTTCATGAGCTTCTCTACCAGCTACAGCGATACTGGGTACGTCTTTGTCTGTGCCCAACCCCCCCCCCCCCACTAATCTTGCGATTGCAAATGTCAAGAGGCTAACCATGACTTTCTACGTGGCTAATGCAGGCTATGGGGAATCTACCTCGTCACCGAGAACAAGACCCAAATCGACGACCTTGTTCACTTTACCCTACGGGAATGGTCCCGCCTCTCCTTCAATGTGTCCGAAGCAGAGACCGAGCGCGCCAAAGCGCAACTCAAAGCCTCCATCCTCTTGAGCCTTGACGGCACAACAGCCGTGGCAGAGGATATCGGACGACAAATCGTGACGACTGGCAGGAGAATGGATCCCGCGGAGATTGAGCGCGTGATCGGTCAAATTACAGCAAATGATGTGATGCGGTTCTGCCAGAAGAAGCTTTGGGACCAGGACGTTGCGGTGAGTGCGGTGGGCAGTATTGAAGGCTTGTTGGATTATAATCGGATCAGGAATGATATGGCGCGGAACCTGGCATAGGTGGAACGAGATCAAGTAGACGGAGTAGGTGGTGTGGTTAGGAGAAGATATGATGCGTAAGTATGGTTTGCGGGCGAAGCGAGTCGAGAAACCAGAGAGAGAAAAAGGGGCGAAGTGTTTTGACAAGGGTCTCTGATCAATGGTCAGCGATCTGGTGGTTCTAGAGGGCTAGGTAGTGATTTGTATTGTACAGTGCACATGGCATAATCCGCACAGAAGAAGAAAAAAAAAGGATTATCAAGTTGAAACAAGGTGGACTCATCATATTCATGGTTTTCTTCATCTCAAGCCCTTCAATGATATCCTTTCGTTCTCATTGCATCCCTTATGGATACAGGAGGACAGAGCTCTAGATTTCGTTGCCATTGGTCTACATAGTTGCAGAACCTACAGCTCCTTGAGCCCACCAGCCCATGCATATATACACCGTAGTACTTGGGCAGTATTTTCCTGTCCCCATCATCCCCAAGGCCGTCCCTTCCCCTCCGGTTGAGGTCTCAGCCCAAGGCTCGCTCGACGCTAGACCTTGACCTTCAAGATGGCCTTTCCAAAATTCCGCCCCTCGAGCATACCGGCGAAGGCCTCAGCGGCGGCCTCCATGCCGACGTCCTCGTGGATCTTCGCCTTGAACCTGCCCTCACGCAACCACCGCGCCACGTTCTCTTGGTGCGCTTTCGCGTACTTGGGCCCCATGTTGGCGTCGCCGACCATGAACCCCGTCATGGTCAGCCGCTTGACCACGCACAGGAACGTGTTACGGATCGGGTACCGCTCCGACGGCGGTAGGTTGTATTGTGAGACTTGGCCGCATGCCACGATGCTGTGTGGTGGGGGAGATGGTTAGTCGGTCAATTGCCTCTGATGAACGAAACGGGGAGGGATGGGATCTTTTAGGGGGTTGCAAGGAGTACTCACCGTCCGAACAGATTCAACGTCTCCATCGCACCGTCCAGCTGCTCGCCACCGACGTTGTCGTAGAAGATATCGATGCCTCCCTCTCCATTGCCGAGTTCTTCGGGCATTTTCTCCCCCTTCTTCTCCTTGTACTCGCGGACCAGGCGCTCAATCACCTCCTTGGTACTGGGCTCCTTTTTGTAGTTCCACCCGCCGTCGAACCCGAGCTCGTTAACAATAAAATCTAACTTGTCGTCGCTACCCACGGATCCAAAGACGGTCAGACCCTCTTGTTTCGCCAACTGGCCGACCAATTGCCCCACGGCGCCCGCACTGGACGTGACGACGATGATCTCTCCGCGCTTAGGCTTGCCAATCTCATACAGCGACGAGTACGCAGTGAGGCCCGGCATGCCCAGAGCGCCCAGGTAGTGTCGGAGGTCGAGACCGGGGTCGTCCGGGTTGGGGATCTTGAACGGTCGCTCCCATTGCGCCTCGCCCTCCCTGGGCGGCTTTGCCACGTACACGTTGTACTGCTGCACGGGCAGCAACAGCCTCACCACGTCTCCCTCGGCATAGCCCTCGAGGTTCGAGCGGAGGACCCGCGACAGAGTTGCCGCGGCAATGGGACTTCCCAGCGGAATGGCGGGTAGGTATGACTTAACCGAGGGATCCCGCAAGAGGCCCCGGAGGTATGGGTCGAAGCTCACGTAGAGTGTTTCTAGAAGCAGGCCATTGGAAGGAAGTGGTTGGTCCAGGTCGAAGGGGCCGACATCTTTGACAGCAATGTGTTCACCAGGGACGGGATTGCGGTCGGGGACTTTGGTGAAGACCAGGGCGAGATTTTTAGTTGTGTGGGAGGGCATCTTTGCAAGAAATCACATTGAACAGTTGAGTGTGCCGGTTTGAGTCGAATGAAAAGAGCTAAAGGGCTTGGTATAGAAGATCAGGTGAAGGTCAGGAGATATTTATTTACAAAGGATTCCGATCAAATAGGAAAGAAACGAAACAAGATATATAGATATATATTATATATACTCCGAACTATGCTTTATCCGTTACCATCTTCGTTCAGGAAAGGGAGCGAGGCAGCTATAATCTGGCACGTGACCGAGCACTGGGTGAGCCACAAGGAGCGCTCCCTGAACACTTTCTGAGCAAACACACCGGGGGCTTAATCTGGGCCCTTGCGATCGGCTATACCTGCCTTTCGGCTATGCATCTGATTCAGATGGGCATCAGGAACTTGGCAGATTCCCTGCCCATACGCTGTTGCCTAAATTTCCTTGTAAGCTTGGGCCTAGCGGTGCAACAGGGTGCATGGTTGAAATTGTATGTTGTACAGAGAGCAAGGAATCTAATTGAGCAAAATAAGGAAGCGTGTTAGGAACAAGGCCTATATAAATAGGCAGAGCGGAATGATTCATCTGAGATAGCTAAGCAAATAGGTTGTTCCTCGACAGTACGTCTGCAACCAAGACTCAAAGCATAAGGAAAGGAAAAGAACCCCCTGCGATGAGCTGGCAACAATACCTTATGCCTAGTCTCCACCAATAGGTATTCGATACTCTTTCGGTGACCTACAATTCCAGCAGAGATTGAAAGAGTCTTTCCTCTTCACGGAGGACGATTACAGTCGATCGCAATGCTCTGTCAAGCGAACGTTTTGAGCCATTGCAGTGCATGAAGCATTGGATCGACAACGGCCTGTTGCAGAGTGCACAGAGGTAGTGCCCGTGTAGCTCACACAAATCGAAGCCACCTAGGTGATTGATGGCATTTGACGGGTCCTCATTATGAAGGAGCCGTCTTGGGATCCCGCGGCCCGCGACAGCCGGGCTAATTCGCTCACGATCTAGGACTGCTTTTCCGTCGCACCAGCTTCACAGAGAGCGACTAATCACTCGGATCGAAAGACCAGTTCAAACCATTCTCTTGGGCTGGAAGTTACCGTGACCTCTGAAGACTGAAGTTACGGCCCTTTGAATGCTCCGCCTGCGGGAGGATGGCATGATCAGCCGGCACCTCAAATGTGGTTGAGAACACTGTCGTGACTGAATGAACGAACGATGTGCACTTTCCCTCGCATGATCGGATAGAAGGTTACAGCAAACTCCTCTAAGCTCCTAATAATCTCAACTTCTCGAAAATTGCATTGCTTGCTTACCTATGTGGACTGTGAGTAATCTGACTAGATATATATACAATCTAGGTCGGTGAAAAGCACCACCGACCACGCCGACCACGGCGCCCCCACTGCCCAATTGGACGAGGCTGAGCAAGGCTGATCGTGTGTATAGAGTGTCGGTGTCGGTGTGTGGTGTTGCGATGACGAACACTCAAGTTGGGTCACGTGGAGCGTTCAACACCACTGAGCTTGTTGTAACGTAACAGATTTCAGGTTCGTGTTTTGAATGTATTTGTGCGGAAATCGCATTCGACGCAGGAATGTACAGAACAAACTTGTACTCGGAACTGGACGTTTCTCGTACCCATGCATAAGGCACTGCTACCTGGTTTTTCGCCTCCTCCAACTTACCTCCTTGATTCCTGTACAGAAGACCCAGGTATGCCCATACTTACGGATGTCGATAGCGGCCTCTGAACCTTCTCGGAGTCTTCAATCTCTGTCAGCAAACGCGACCCTTCCTGCGTGCGTCGGCTGTCACACCAAAGGCCTGCTGGTGCTAAGGTGTTCTGGAAGTACCCCCCCTGCCCCTGACAGTGTGCGGTTTCTCTTCAACAACCTGTGCTCGTTATCTCAGCACCAAAAAGCCATGTATTGGATGGTTGACATCGACCTTTAATGGCTTAAGCGATTATGAAATTAGGCATTGTGCACCGGCGTTGAATCACGCCGACGGGCCTTGTTTACTTTGGGGAGGGCGACCGGCCCTATCTAGCGAGTTAGTGATCATCCGTGGCAGGCTGCACTTACGTTGGCTGCAACCAGGGAGACTGCTACCCACAGGAATTTTTGCCTATGCTCCTCAAGGCCAATGAGGAGGGGAAGTTTCCTTATGATTAATTGATCAGAACATACCCGGCAAGGGATATTGAGAAGGCGGCGCGTGATATACATAGCGGCAAGACGGTGAAAGCAGTGCTGTTATGGGAATGACGCATGGACCGGTCAAGCTATCAAAATAGAGACAAATACCAACACCCCACCCCTATGAAGGACAGAACCCGCCAGTGGCGCCGCAGGCTGCCGATCCAAGAGTCGTGCCGCACGCCGTAACGGTCACTGTGACAGTGAAGACCTCGTCTCCGGCGTCGTTCTCTTGAGCAGTGATCTTCGCCGACGCCGCCGACAGGGCAGATATCTGAGAACTGACGATCGATATAAGGGCGTCGATTTGGTCATTCTGTTGAGAGCAAGCCGCGGCATTGTTTGTGTTGCCTGCCACCTGCGCTCCTACGACAGCTTGAACGACACCTCCGACGGCCCCAGGAATCAGCCCGGCAACGGTATCTGCATTTCCCCTCTGTTAGTAGACGGCCTCATTCGATCGCTAGATGAACAGAAGAGCGCTGGTAAATAAAACTCACCGATTGCGACTTGGGTGAAGAAAGGTTGTTGCAAGAATTCAAACACCTTTTGTCCACGTGCTTGTGCTGCTGTTTTCAGCGAAGCGATCAACGGAGGGAGGGCATCTTTGATCTGAACGCCTACGTCTGCTGCTGCAGAGACACATGAGGCGAATGTATTGCAAAGAGCGTCGGCCAAATCACGTTCGTCGACTCTCTTGCTCATAAGGCCTGGAATAAGCTTGTAATGGGCCAAGTTGGTATCGTTCCTAATATGGATGGAGTCATCCCACTCATCAGGTAGAATGCCAACATATGCGTTGGCATAGATCTGATACAGTTTATATTCTGCGTTGTCGAATGATACCTGCATCCCGTGATATATTTGTGAGGTTGGTAGAGTCGCTCTAGGCTCAGGCGAAAGTGGGAAAGGATAACGTCGCTGGTTAGGGGAGCGGCGTGTAGATAAAGAAGATGATGCCGGTGCGGTGATGGGTACGACCTGGAATGACTTGTATGACCCGACGACGCTTTGGTCCACCGTGATACATCCAGCATTTGCCCGACTGATCTCTGTTCCTGGGGCGCAGTCATCTGAGCTGTAAAATTGCGCTATGGTCGAGTCGTCGACCGAACCAGTAGACTCAACAACCACGCCTTCAGCTAGGCCGCTAGTATCATGTGTTAGTAGTCAATACATCACTTTGATTGCATGAGCGCATACGCATATTCGTGCCGGCAGCCTTGTCCCTCTCCCCCAACCCATGTCCCGAGAAATTCGCCGGCGCAATTTGTGTTCTTGTAGAACGAAACTTTGAATGCATCGGTGCCCAACGCCAGACAAGTAAATAAAACTAGGACAAGTGTGGAAAACGTCATGTCTTATTCCAACTAGATAGCTAGTTAGAACCGGAAGGACAGTCGCAATCTGGGCTGAGCTGGTAGATTCTTGGTATTCTTCTTCTGGGTGTGCTGTGTGTGCTGTGTGTGCTGTGTGTCTTGATGCGAGTGGTTTGTTTGATCACTGAACGGTTGACAGCTTTATATACCTCAAAATTTGCGCTGGTAGTCTCCATTAAAGATAGCTCAATGCGGTTCTGGCCCCCCACCGCGACAAAAAGACGTCTCAAGTGGTGGTTGTGTCGAAGTACGGCGGCTTTCGAAGTACGGCGGCTTTGGAGGGCGGCCTAGTTATCCCTGAGGCCAAGGCTATCTGTAGCGTCTGTGCTCAACCTCAGATGGTATTGTTAAAGAACATGTTTAAACCACACCATCCATCCATGACGGACGTGGAACTGGATGATATACAAGGCTAGAATAGTGTTTCTCTCCAGCGAGACAGAGTGCGTGATGTGGAAGTTCCGGCCAGAGAGGTCCATGTCCTCTACCACGAAGGTCGTATACTGAAGGAGCCCTGTTGGCAGCATATGTTCGTTGAGGGGCGTTTTGGAGGACCAGGAGGCCCTTGCCTGGCCGACCCTCGTAGCTTATTTTGGTTCACCTCCTGAGCTATTCAGGCTGCAACAGCAATGGCAACGGCAATAGAGCCACGGTCAACGGGATGTGGCATGAACCTGATGCGAGACATGCGAGACGCGCTAGGCGGGGATCGCCAGTGTGCTATAGCGACGGACAGAAGGGGAAATTTTGGCCGGGGCGTCTCTTGCAAGGCGTTAGTGGCCTTGCTTAGGCGCTTGCTGCTGCCGACCCAATGGGTCGCTGAGGCTGACTCGGGCCTTTCGCGGCGCCAAAAGGCAGCCCAGGTAGCCGTTGAGAACGGCCCAGGCAGTGCCAATGTTAAATGAGGCATGCGAATTCCTTGGCGGAAGTGGGATGAAGTCGTTGGTGTCGACTCTCCTCGCCTCCCTCCTCCCTCCCTTTGTCCTTTCATGATTCTTTCGAATTCCCATCCCCGCTCGATAGGCCTTGTACAAGCAATGGCTCTGTCTAGCTGGCTTGATGACTCTCAGAATCCCACTCTGTGGATCACGACCATCTATCCTCTTCTCATCTTCGTTCTCGCCTATGCCTGCCACTTCCGAATGCAGGCCTTGATTGAAAGCTTCCCGCTCCCCCCCGATGATTCCGCAGACACAAAAGAAATCGAAAACGAACCATTGGAGGCCGGAGATGCCTCATCCGCAGACTACGACATGGTGGCGGATGATGCAACAATAACAACAGGACATGCGGATAAACCTAGCTCGTCCACCGAAGCTCCAGATCCTCGAGTTGCATCCAAGAGGAACGGATCGACGACACCCAAGCAAAAGTCAAAAAGGCCCTCTCTACACACCAAATACGTCCAAGGGTTTCTCATCTACGGCCTACAAGTATTGCTAACCCAACGACTGGGAGTCCTTGCTATTAGCCGGTCGCATGAGAGCCACAGCTTTGCTGCCAAATTGATAGGATCCCTGGCATTCTCTTTCGCTGCTTTCTGGGTCCTAATGTCTTCTGGAAATCTCGATATGTCAAGAGGAGTGATTCTCCGGGGTTACCGCTCACCTGGTCGCTCACAAAACATCTGCGACCAGTCAGATCCTTGGAGTATATTTGGTACCGTCCTCCTTCTTACTTTAGTCGTGCCATGCTTCAGACTTGTCTTGAGCTTCATATGGTTATGAGGGCGAAGGGGAAAGACCGATCATTGATGGAAAAAGTAAGCGGCAAGGCTTGACAAGGCTTGACAAGGCTGGGCATTGTCCAATGGGTCAATATTGATGCGTCAAGTTACCGCCACCTGGATTATCTCGCTTAATACGAGGGGGAGGATCAACGGGCGAGAGTAACGTTATAGCTGCTTCTGATCCTACAAGTTCTCAAATTTGGATTGGATGAATATCTTGTGGTCAATATGGAGAAGCTCGTCTGACGGGACGATCAATATCCAAGGCCTTGGCCCTGACCTCTCCCCGTGAGCCGGAGAGATTGTCCAGCTGTCACAACGGTGATGAGAATCTTCCTGACGTTCGAAGCCACAGACTGAGTGGACGCAGAGTGGTCAAGATAGCCACTGATGTCGTCGTGAAGTTCGGATAAAGAGACGACAATAAAAGGAAAAGAGGAAGAGACGTATTGTCATGCAGAACTAAGAGATTCGGTTGACCCTATTTAGCAACGTAGTAGGGTATCCTCTTAGGGATCCCACCTTTTATTAGGGCCGAAACGGCCCATCCTAGATATGATGGGGTAAAGTTCCCATAAGGCTAGATGTGCGTAACGTTGGCGCCTATAAGACTGGAGCCCGAACGGGAGCCCCACTGGCACGTGAGGGAGCACGGCAGGAGCGGGCTAGAGCCGTGAGGGAGCAGAAGGAAGCAGAAGGGGAGCGCGAAAGAGAGGAAGGGAGAAGAAGAGAGCGGACGAAGGAGCGAGTCGACTAAATAGTCGTTGGCGCGAGAGCAAAGCGGCGGGTGATGAGTCAGCGAAAGAGTGGTGGGCGACGACTATTCGGGGATTATATATATATATATAAACCCCGAATAATCGTCCTTCGCGCCCATTCGGCTAACTAATAACCCGCCGCTTTACTCTCCAGCTAACAACTATTTAGTCCACTCACTCCCTCGTCCGCTCCCTTCGTGTACTCAGCGTATCTACAAGGCTCAAAGCCTTAAAGAGGCTTTGAGCAGAAAAGGGAAGAGGGTGCGGCTTTTATACGTCCCCTCCCCCGTTTAGCGTCTTGGCCCCTTTGCTATGTTTGTTCTGTAGGGCTCCGGGATAATTGTATTGCTCCCCCTGCCAGCCCATTTAGGTTTGACATATGACTAGACAACTTTCCCTCCCTGCCACCGCTCTACCGGCTCAGCACAGCCCATCACAGCACAGCCACTTTGCCTTGTTATAATAGATAGAGATATAATCGATTAAAGTACATAGTTATAATCTATAGAAAATCTAAAACTTTTTAAAATTAAGGTGTTGCTAAGACTCTTAGCTATTTATCTAGGAAGGTTAAACGATAAATATTTAAAAAGACAAAGTAATTACTAAAACTATCTATGTAATCGCTTACTAATAACGTCATTTAAACAGTTCGAACGAAATCTAGGCCATTTTCACGTATCGGGTCTGAGGACTGAGACAAAGATGAGTAGGGCAGAGGAGCGAGGACGACCTCGGTAGGTAGGTAACTGCTAGGTAATAGGTAATTCTAATAATGGCCAAGCCTGTTCCTTGATGGAGAGGAGAGAAAGACTTGGAAAGACCTACCGAGTACAAGGTATTAATAAGACCGCCCGAGCCATGTCCGAATGTGGCGGACTTGGCATCGTTTATCCTGCGGGCTTATGTGATTTGGCCGCCAGGAGCTACTCGAGGGGGGTGTCGACAAGTCTATACCATGCAACACATTGGAAATCAAATCCAAGTGTTTGCTGTCACAAGTCTTGCACAAGACCATCCAAGGCCCAAAGAGAATCGAAGGGGGGGCAAACTGTGTATTTCTATCGCTGGAGGTCGTATCTATATCATATATGTATTTCTCATCGCTGTCGCGGGACTGTTCACGGGATCCTTACGACAAACTCCCGTTCCACATCACGCAGCTCCATCACCACAAACTCGTCTTGCCAGACACAAGCCGGGCAAGAAAGTGTTCACGCTCGTGTCGCTCGTGACCCCTCGTCTCCGAGCACAAATCTTTCAGAGAACCAACGAGGCACGCCGGCCGCACTGTTAGGTGGTCTCGTCCCATTCGTCCGCAGGCAGGGAATGGTTTCGCTTCGAACGTTGGCCGGCCCATTGTTGTTCATCTCTAACCCTGGTGGCATCGCGTACTGCACTGCCCTGTCCCAATCCTTGAGATGCTCGTACGGACTCCTCACCCATGCCTCCAGTTCATGCAAGAACAACCGAGCATTGTCCCGTCCCAGAAAATCTTTCAACAACTCCTCCGCTTGTCCTGCGCTGCCTTTCAAATCAATCGACTTCAAAATACCAACGATGTACTCGAGTAGGAAATCAGCGTTACTGGCCCGGCGGTCGGTGGATCCAGGACGTGAAGGTTGGGTAGAGTTAGGGGTGAGGAAACTGAAGACCTGAAGTTCACGTCTGATCCACATCCGGGCTCGGGATGTCAGGCGCTCGTCTGTTGTAAAGGATGAAGGTGTGACATTCCGATATCGCGAGATCCGATTCGTGCCAACATGGAGTGAATAGAGTCTCTGCCGGTATACCTGTCTGCGAAACTCGAGGGCGGTGTCTTTCGATGCTTCAGATCGCGCGTCTCTTGTGGTATTGTAGTGCCCGCCTCTTGTATACGGTCGGCCATGTCTAAATCGTCGCTGCCGAATAGCGGCGGTGGCAAGTCCACTCGGACTTCGGCCGGCTTGCGCATTTTCAGGAGGAAGATAGAACACTTGGCTCCTTTCCTTATCGCCGTCGCCAACATTGAACCTGATCGCGGTGACTTGGCCCTTGCACAGTGGGCATACTTGCTGTCGTTGCAGCCATGTCCCCAAGCACGGGAAATCAAATTGGTCGTGGCAGCAGGGTAGGGCAATGGCTTTGTCAGAGATGTGGTCGAGGCAGATGACACACGGTTCTGGCGGAGGCAGGATGGGCTCTGCAATAGGTGATGGTGCCGTGGTTGAGCCCGCAGGCTCACTGTGATCGAGTGCTATCTCATTCTTCGAGGATTCTGCTGCCATCAAGTGGTGCGAAGGCAAGAAGGAAGAAGCGCAGTGAGGGCCGAAGTGGCGTCGAAGTCAATCTCCCACATATGCTCCACCGAAGTTTCAAATGACGGACCCATATGAAAAGGGGTCTAGCCTTGCCCAAGCCTTGCCCAAGCCTTGCCAGGCCTTTGCACTCGTGCCGGGAGCCTCAGGACCTTCCGCCCAGGGGGATAGCAATAACGCGATTTCAATATTGTTTTTAGGCTCGTTAAAGCCTATCAACACTCATCCAGGCAAGAAAGTACGGGCCCGATTACGATGACTAGTTAATCGGACTATACCCAGTAGTCTGGACGAGTATAGACTCTATCAGGACTTCTACCAAATCGAATCTTATTATATTTCTCTCATTAGATCGCCTAGAAATGCTGTAGTGTAGTTTAGGATAAGTCAGCCCTCTAACTCGTGCCGCGACCACCAGCACCTTGGAACGACACAACCCACTCCACCCAGCGAACTGGAGTAGCTGAGGAAAGAGACTCTTCCGATGCGGGTCAAAACTGGCACAACCCCTCCCTGCAACTTCCCAGTTATGCGTTATTCAACGCTACCTGCATCAGCGCCTGTGAGTATCGCGTGGAGTACACAATTATCGCAAGCTCTGCAACATGCCGTTGAAACGATGTTCACTCATCCATAAACCGCGCTTAATGTACTGCTAAAACAGCTAATGCACACTTCTGCAGGGCCGGCGCTTCGTGAAACAGCCCCCAACACGGTCGGCATGGCCAGCCGATCCCACGCGAACAGCTCGGATTCCTCGCGACGGAATCCACAGTACAGGCGTCAGACGAAGGTTCACGCTAGTTGGTGATAGACCCAAACGACCTAGACATCGATCTATCGCCGTCCTCATGCCCTGCATCGGCATATCCTGCATCAAAGCATCTTCGTTCTCACCATCGCATTCTCAAGGAATCTAGTTGTTAGCTCATGAAGGTAGGACTACAAAAGACCCAAGCTTAGACACAACCGGGGCCCGCTTAGACAAGCCACAGGAGACATTAAAGTGTCCTATTGCCAGGGTGCTATGTAGCGTTTGCGACCCTGACAAGGTCGGTTTCGCTACACGCCATGACAAGACGTGCGACGCCTCTGCTCCTTCAACTGCTTGGATACTGCCTTGCTATCTGCCTCGACGCACGTCAGCAGCCATTTTTCCAACCTGGTGGCTTAGCCCCAGCGCTCTGCCTCCTTGGTAAGTCGCGTGGTCTTCTTTGGATCTTCGATTTTCATTTGAGAGCCGGCATGCCGTCAACTGACTGCTTCCAACTCTGTCAACGAGAACGTCCACTTGCCACCAACATGATTGATCCAGAGCTTTCAGAATTCTACGAGAAGTTGTACGATCGTCCGTTGACCGAGCCGAAAGACGAACAGGATGTCAAGAACATCCTCACTTGCATTAGAGCCGGGCACGGAGATCTCGATGATGAAGATGATGATCAACTGCGGAAAGCGGGCTCGGAAATTTTCCGGAAGAAGATTACTATGATGGCAAGCAAGTCACGCAAGGTGTTGGCTCAATTCACCAAGATGTAGGTAACTCTTTGGGCTGGGAGGCGTCATTCTCATGGTCACTTTTAGGATCTCCAGCCAGCTCTATGACGACCCTTTTCGGTTTTTCTATGAGCTCCTCCAGAATGCGGATGACGCCTGCTACCATCCATGTGGCGATACACCTACCATTAGTTTTACCGTCTCCCAAACAGAGCTCATTGTCGACCTCAACGAAGACGGCTTCTCCTTGTCGGACGTGCTGGCAATCTGTAGCACTGGTGAAAGCTCCAAGACACTTGATCAAAACTCCACTGGAGAAAAGGGGTTTGGTTTCAAATCTGTCTTTGGAGTGGCAGACCAAGTGCACATTACCTCAGGAGTGTGGTCCTTTCGCTTCAAGCATCAACGGGAGGAGGATGGGATCGGCATGATTCAGCCCTACTGGGAGCCTGGCGAGCAACTGCCAGAAAATGTTCGTACCCGATTCCGCCTTCAACTTTCGTTCAGCGAAAAAGACGGACTGGAGACTCTTTGCGCCCAGATGAGATCTTTGCACCCAAGTATTATCTTTGCTTTACGCAAAATCAAGAGGCTTTCCATGCGCTTCGAGATTGCTGAAGCCGGAAACCAGACGGTCTCTTTCGAAAAGTCTGTCGATGTGGACCGAAATATTATGACGATCGTTTCCCGAGAGGATGCAAAAGCCACAGAGTACTTCTACCGAGTCCTCGACGGACAAGTGTTGGACATGCCCCGACATGTCGAGCGCACCCAGACAACCTCTAATGTCACAATTGGTCTGCCAATCTCTGCCCCAAACGATGGCTCCCCGCTCCTCGGCGAAGCAGGTCAATTTGTCTTTGCATTTCTGCCTATCGTGCAGATAAAAGAGCTCCCTTTTCTGGTACATGCAGACTTTATCCTGACTGGCAGTAGGCAAGCCATTTCGGACAATGCCTGGAACAGAGCGTTAAGGAACAAGATTGCGGTCCTATTCTGTACGCTCGCAAAGAAACTGGCTCTTGAAAAAAGTAAGCTGTCTTATGAGTGGCTTGCTTATATTCCACTTCAGCCCATGGTCGGATTTTTGCGGCCTCTATCGGCTTCAATACGGCAGATATTGTTGGAGCAAGAGTTGTTCTTTTCGATGAATGGTTCCTTGCACAAGCCTGGACAACTTCGCATACTGACTTCCGATTTCACCCATCAGTCTGAAGCCCTCATGTCAGATTCCAAACAAGCCTGGTGGTTCTTGTCAAAAAATTACAAATCATCCAATCATCCAGTGTTGCTTGAACTTGGCGCTGCGTGGCTGAACTTCGACGAGGCTTTCGACCTTATTGAAGATGACCTCCAGAGTAATGACTCGCGCTTACGCTCTCGACCACTGCACGATGCCTGGCATGACACATTCATAACATTCATCAAAAACGGGCTAGCCCTCGGCAATGTGGGCTACAGGGAAAGAATTCATAACATGCTTATCATCCCTGTCCGGGTTGATGGAGCGCTGGAATGGCACCGCTCCGGCGCAAACATCTTCTTCCCCCACGCGGTCAACGAAGGCACTGGTCTTGAATGTATCCTCATCGAGATGCCCACTGATATTGACCTTGTGGTCCTTCAGCCGGACGCAGCTACAGCGCCCAAACGACGTGAGGTGTATCTGACCCTAGGAGTCCAACAGGCCTCTGGTGCCAAGATCTGCACTGCTATCACCAAAGCAATGACAAAGTCCAAGGCTAGGTATGCCTCTGACTTACTGTGTTCGTTGGAACTCCTGTTTTGGTTTTCTTACCAGCCTTTGACCCTTCGAGACGAGCTCCAAGCCTCGACGTCTGGAAGCGTCTATATGCCTACAAAACTGTTGTTTATGCGTTCACGTGGGCAATACCATGCAGAATGTCTGGTACGCCTCGATGAAAATCCAGACTACGGCAAGCACTTTTTGAACGAAATTTATCAGTCTTCTAAGGTCGCAACCAGATCACGTGGCGGCAAGACCTGGGAACAGTGGCTGATTGAAGTTGCTGGTGTACGTTGGCATCCACCTCTTCAAGACCTCTCAATTCGCGGGAAGTTACACTGGATACTCGATGTCGTTCATGGCCGGGATTCAATTCTGTTCTTATCTCTGATCCAAACTTATTGGGCGCAAGAGTACAGCAATACGTGTCGGTTCAACCCAAAGCTGGTCGAAGTGCTCCGGAAGTGCCAAGTGCTTTGTGAACACGGCAGAACTGAAGAGCTTTCAAAAAGCTGGTTTCCAACTAAAGATATTCTGGACGTGGCGCGGTATTATGGCGTTGAAAACAGACTACCGATCCTGTCATTGCCCGATCCTCTTCAGGAACATCTCATCTCTGATTGGCCAGCCTTGAGAGACTTGGGTATACGTTACAGGCTTGACTTACGGTTTTATCGCGAAGCGATCTCACTACTCTCTGCAACAGGACAGCGACCGACAGTCGGTTCAGTGAAACTGGGATGGCTTTACAAAAATATGGCTGACCGAGTGACTCTAGAGGATCGAAAGACTATTCAGGTTTGTGATGATATGTTGACTGATACCCTTGCTAACAACCGCCAGGACGATTTCAAGAACGGCGCTCTCATTTGGGATCCATTTGGCAACGTGTGGCGAACCATGGATCAGTGTGTATGGGAGAGCCACATTGCACTCCATCGCAGGTTTGTGATAACTTCGGCATATGAGAAGGCCACGGTCTCCGGCCTATTTGAAACACATCTCCAAGTCCCAAGCGTATCGATCGAATCTTTGATCGAGGAGCTTGAGTATTTGAGGGACTCACGTGGGCCTGAGACTAATGCGGAGTTGCAAACCACTGTTTCAAAAGTGTATAACCACCTCGCCCATATGAACGCCACCGTGGAGCAGAGGCAGACTATCAGGTTGGTCGACTACACCGTGAGAAGGATGCACATGCTGACAATTGCAGGTATTCTTTCAAGGAAAAGAATCTGATCTATAATCCTCCCAGCAATGACTGGTTGCGATCGAAATCTTGCGTTTGGCATTCTACCATGGACATCAGCAACCATGTTCCAATCGCCGCAACGTATTCAGACTTGCAAGAGTTCTTTATAGAAGTCCTTGGGGTCCAGACCGTCACTCCAATGTTCATGATGAAACAGCTCGCCGCAGCTGCCAAAAGTAGCACAAAGACGGTCGACAACATCAAGAAGCTTATGCTAGCTGTTTCAGAATTGCTGGACATGGGCAGCAATGGATCAAAATTCAGGAGCAGCATGGAAGTGCTCGACGAATGCGCCTACTTGCCTTGCAGATCAATCGCTGGGGGTACCGAATTCCGTTCGAAGTCACAATCATTTTTCATTGTTGACAATGAAACCTACGCTGATGAGTTTGGAGACCAGCTGGTCATGCTCGATTTCACCTATGAACAAGTGAACTCTTTACACATGCTGATTCGGCTTCTTGGTCTAGACGACCACTATCTCGCACGACATGTGCAATCGGAGACCTCCGCCCGCGTTTCGACACCGAGCGATACCCTCATGGCTCAGTTTCATGAATGCGCCTATCCTATTTCATGGTAATGACCCGAATTTCTCGTGGTCGGAACAAGAGCTGATCATGCTGCCGCAGTTGTGCCATATCGCACCGAAGTGCACTATTCTCAAATCAGAGCAGACTCCTATATGACGCCCTGGCAAATGCCATCATTCACACCTCCTCCGAGATGTTTACCTACCTTGTCGTCACGCAAGACGAACATCCAGTCAAGGTTCCCACTTCCAGACCTTCTCTCATCACGAAATACGAACAAAATAGGCTTGAAATCACCCTTCCGGCTGGAGAAAGAGCAACTACGCAGTGCATGCGCTCGCAACTCCCAGGCTATATCACTGCAGACCTCCTCGACATCTTTGACTCTAGGGCGGAGAAGCAAATATATCGAATCCTCAATGAGCTGGGGACCGGCACAGACGACATTCTGTTTGAGGAGGGTATCTCACGAGTGTCATGGCTGCCAGAAACACGTCGTCCAGCACCTATCCCACCACTTATAGCGCCGCAGACCTCAGACTTGGCCGATGACGAACCAAACCTTCTCACTAGCCCTGTTCAAACAAATGGCGCTCTTCCAACTGATGAAATGTTCGTGTATGCCGCTGCGACATTCCCTACCAACTACCGACAGCCAGATCGAGCTCTACCCGCAGAGATCCAGCATGAGATCGATGCACCGGATTACTGGAAGGTGATCGAGCATGTCCACAAACAAGCGTCGAAAATTGGAAACAGGCTTCATCGGGGCAATGACGAGGCTCTTAACTTGGACGATTTGGCCGCAGAATTCGCTGGTCTTGTGCTTGACCGCACCACACTCGACCCTAACGAGTGTCCAAACCTATTTGGTAATGATGTGTGGCTCAGCAAATTCAGACTGGGCGCGGTCGGTGAGCTTTTTGTGAGCTAACATCTCCTACTTCTCAGGCACAACACGTTCGTTAACCTAAATATACAGGTATACGAAGTCCTCAAACACATGCTGGGCGATGAATTCGGACTGCCAAATTGGCAAAGCAACATTCGATATCTTGTGCAAGCACATGAATCCTACCGGCACGTAACTCGGCGGCGTGAACCAGAGACGGCCGATATTGTGTTCTGCGACCAGGGCAAGAATCTCGAATTTCAATTCTCACACTCGTCGAACACGGTGAGCGATGTATTCCAGGACTGGTATCCGACGTGGTACCAAGATTCAAACAATCCGTCGCAGGTAATGTTATCCAGCGTGTGCTTCTGATGTCTTTACGCTGACAGGCCCAAGACACCTCTGGAATGGCTCTTTGAGGTCAAAACCACCCTTGGGCCATGTGAGACTGAGTTCTACATGAGCCCGAACCAATATAACATGGTGGGTGAAATCCATGAATGCTGCAGCAGCACGTGTGCTGTTGTCAACGGTCACCACCCCACAAGAAATTGAGACTAACTGCGGTTTCTATAGATGAGAGAACTTGGAACCCAAGAGGACAGCGAGAGAAACAGAGTCTACTGTATCGTTCGCGTGTACAACCTGCTTAGCGACAAAATTGGTGTCAGAATCTACATCGATCCATGGCGTTTCAGAGAGGGACGACTGGAGTTCGGTACGACGGAGAAGTGGAAAGTGAAGCCTGTGGATTTAAGTTGATGGGTTTCTCTGGGCCGACGCGCAGTTCCAGCCGTTCCGTAGAATGATGGCGTTGTAACCATCATAGTTCAATCACATGCTGTGTCTAGCGTAGTTTGCCGGTGTTGAATACCATCTGCACCAGAAACACAGATGGTTTGTCAAAACAGACGTCCCAAGACATCATTTCCGAGTTTCAAACTTTCTCGAGCATTTCCTTCGCCTCCAATGCCCGCTCATACGTGCCGATGTAGTGGCTCAGCTCAGATAGTTGCTCCTGGACAAAAGTCCGTTTTGATGTGTCGCCTCTCATCCCTGCCATGCCGAGCATGGCTGGCGGCTAAAACATGAATCTTTTGATCTTTGAAGCTGACCTTGCTCTGGTCAGAAGCTCATGGAGCCCCAACCAGTACAGCCGATCCCCTTCTCGGGCCTCTTGCGGGAAAGTGCTCGGCTTTATTTCACAGGGAAATGTTAGTGTCTATACCCTGCTGCTTTCCTTTCCTTGTCCTGCGCACCACTATTAGGCTTCATGTTACCAATTGAGGTACGGAGTCTAAGCGAAGTGCTTGCTATCACGCACACTATGGCACACGATGAGTGTGGCTGGGTGGGTGTCTGAATAGGTAGGCTTATGGCGTCAACAAGAATATGTCCCTGGCGTAGTTGTTCAGCCCAGGCGTAGGTACACGTCGTTGGTTACGCCGCAGTTGATATGTGTTTACACAAAGTGGCTACCGGGCTGGCCATGAATTCAAAGCGCGATCCTCAACATTTAGACTCTACGCCGCCGACCAGTCTCACCGACGCGCCGCTCACCCGTTCCCCGACAGGCGAGAAATCAACGAACCGGTTATCCCAAGTACCTCGTTACTTGGCTTACTAACCCGATCCGATCCGGGGTGAGCGGCGAGCAGTTTTGCTATGGCATAACCCTTGGCATCAACATTTTGTAGCCTCTATGCACAAATGCGACCCCTCAAAGGCCCTCAACATGTACATGTGTTTTCCCAACCTGTCGTCAGGATTTATTCAATTAGTTTCGTCGTTTTCAAAAGGTTCCGGTCGTGCAGGCAAGGCAACTTGCGATGAAACTAGAAGACACCTCCATCGCATCATGCCTTCCATAGTATCCGTCGCCATTCAATCCGCCATTCTCAAGGCCGCGGCAAATCTCACAGCCCAGACACTCACCATATGGAACGCGCAGTCACACATACCACTCAATTGGGCCCGTGTCGTCGAATTTGCAGTCTTTGGCATTATATCCGCCCCGCTCGCCTCGGTATGGCAGCGATTGCTCGAAGATGGTTTCCCGGGCCAACAGAAGGTCGATGTGGGACACCCGAGTTCTCGTGCAGCCAATCGCTCCCTCGAAAGCGCTCCCAATGCCAAGGGAAAGACCATGCCAAAGCCTCAACTGAACTGGCCCAATATCTTCATCAAACTGGTTCTGGATCAAACGATCGGCCAATTTCTCATCAACGTGGTGTTTCTGATCTGCACGAACAGCGCGCGACTCCAGAGCTGGCCCTTGCTTGTCCAAGAGATTCACCTGCGCATCTTTGGTATCATTTGGGCAAGTTGGAAAGTCTGGCCCTGGGTGGCTCTAGTCAATTTCATTTGGGTGCCGGTGGAATGGAGGGTGCTTGTGGCGTCGTTGGTTGGGTTTGGCTGGAACATCTTTCTGAGCATTTTATCGATGAGGGAAAAGACATGAATGGCGCATTCTTTTGGGGAGAAAAAACCCGATGACAGACTCAAAACAATGTAAATCTCTCTATACTCTGTAGGGTTTGCAGCCCTCGAATCCACCACACACCTATCCCAACTTGTCAGGCTAATCTCTTCGTAGGAGAGACCCATGTGTATTCGTCTCAATGCTCTCCGTCCGTCTTCTTGGATACTCGGAATGATCCCCCAAGGAGTGTTCAAATACTTATTTGGAGGATCGTGATGTAAGCGGAACAGATGTGTCACGACTGCGCCCGCCCCGGTTCCCCGTTCTCCGTTCCTGGGCCCATGCACTCAACCCATGATCGCTCAGGATATTGCGAGTCACAAACGCAACAGCAAGCAGTAACAGAAATGCAATCAGCTGTACCAAGAACATGAACACGAACTTGACAGCAAAAGTTCCCGTGAAGGGGCTAAGCGACTTGGCATGGTCGAAAGCATATACCACGCTGTAAATGGCTCTTACACCGATGAAGGTGCATGCCAAAACCATCACGAACCCTGCGCTTCGCTGGTTCTGAAGCTTGAGACAGATTTGACCGCAGAGGAAAGAGACCGCAATCCAGGTGACCAGGAGGATGACAGCTCCAGCTTCGAGCAGTGTATAGCCCGTGTTGATGTCTGATTGAGTGTCGTTGTCATCTCCGAGCTTCGTTCCGCCGGTTGCAAGTAGCGCAATGCCAGTAATCGCGCCAACATGAATGGCCGCCTCTTCAATCAGTGTTGCAAATTGACTTCTATTTGACGTCGCGTAGTAGCCTCTTAACAATGCCAGCAAACCAGCACAGGCAAGCAGCAAAGGGCTAAGGCCAATGGAGGAAACGATCGCCCCTGATGTGGATGGGTGAGTGTTATTGTGATTGCTGATTTGAATGCCTGCGGCCACAATGCGGAGGATATCGAAGGCAAAAAGGAAGAAAAAAGTTGCAAGAGCACGCCGACCATGCTTGTAAAGCAGCCAAGCAGTGAGAGGGAGGAGAACGATGTAAATCGCCAATTCCGCAATTGAGAGCTTTGTTGTTGAATCAAGCGCCATGACAGGTGTCACACAGATCCTCGGTCTTAAAGTTTTGGAGGAGAAGGGCTTGGATTGAGAGAATACGGATGCTTTCAGAGCCTCTGCTCTTGTCGAGGTCGAGCTGGGGGTAATTGGAGGTACGCTGACCGGAAGATCTCAAGGCTCATATAGCTGGGACACTTACCTGCGAGTTCCACCATACCTGCAGAGTGTCAAACGATCCGCAGGCCCAAGAAGGCGGCCAGATTCGAGTGCGCCAACTAAAAGAGGCTTCCTGTTCGTAGCAAATACGATATTTGGTGCAATTCGCGAGCATCGATAGTCATACCGCCGAAGATTGCAGAATGTGGATCCACCTCTTGCGGTGGAACTCCCTGATCATTACGCCACCAATGTTAGGCAGCAGCATTTTTAGGGCACGCAATGGATGTAGAGGAAAATACGCGGAATAAACGTGCTGGAGCATCAAAATCCGCGCCTTGGGTTATTGGACGGCAGTGTGGCTGAGGCGCCCTGCGCTCGAATTGCTGACTCGAATTGCTGACCCAAAACAGAAAAGTCGCTGATGGAACATGGAACAAGCTCGGCCAAGCTCGGCTAAGCAATAAGGGCGCTAACCTCAAATTAATGTCCAATCAACGTCGTGCGCTGTTATGTCAGCCTCGGTTGCACATTCTCAGCCTCGCATCCCGCAGCCTTGCAACGAGCACAGCGAAGATTTTGTCCTTTGCACTTGCTCCTGCTCCGAGTGATATCGCGAGTGGGGTGATTCATGTAAAAGAGAAGGGGGAGCTTGTGGCATTATCTCCTATCGGCATTCCTGGAGTCTTTCCAAGATCTCCGTTTTCGGCGCAGCTGAGTGAACCAAGCCCTACCCGAAGACGTGAGTTGTTGGCGGAGGTGGTGGTTGAAGATCGTAAGACCGATGGCGAGTGTCGCAGATGGACTTGATATCGACCAGCACGGCGGGACTTATCGACAAATATGGCACTCTAGTGTTCATTGAACCCAGATCAGTTGGAGGGCTTTTTGCGATGGCTCAACGCAATCGTGATCCAAAGTCGGCGGAGTATTGCTTGTGCAAATCCTAGGCAAACGGAACATACAGAGACTGATATCCAGCAAGCGTCTTGGTACATATAAAACAGGGCTAACTCGCTCGATTGAACTTGAATTTTTCCGGTGGCCTGCTTGACCCAATGCATCGGTAGTTTGCCATCTAAATATGATATGCATATGCATGCTCCGCTATGCGCAATCATGTATTCGTTTTGGATGCTCAAGAAAATAAACGCTAACATATCCGGGGTATCATACATCACAATTTGGTCACTGTAAACACTAAAACATCATACAACGCTACATAACAGCCTGCAATCAAGGTAAAGTCAGCCACTGCCGCGATCAAACCGAATGGAGTTAAGAGCCGCCTTGCCATCGCGTGTGGAATTTCGACTCATGTATTGGCAGAAAAAAAAAAAAAAACAGGGAATATAAGGGCCACTTACACATTCATTCTTATCTTTCCCAGGTGGAACGCCCATCTCGTCAAATGTCTTGGGTCCCTTTCCAGGAGGCCGTGCCGCGTTCGCTGGAACCGTGCTCGGTTTGGAAGGTGGGGCGCCGCCCGTTGGTGCATTGAAGTCAGGTTTTGAAGGAGGGAGATTCGCGGGCCGGACATTGGGTGGAGCTTGCATTTGGTTGTTGGAGGGAGGTCGGACGTTGGGATTTGGCATGCCACCGTAGCCACCAGTGTTCGGCCCTGGACCCACTCCAGGGCGAGGGTTAGGTGGACCCGGGCGATTCTGCGATGGGAGACCCTGCTGTCCTGGAGATCCTTGTTGAAGTCTTGGAGATCCACGCGGGGGATTCGGCATATGAAGTCCATTTGGCGGTTGCTGCTGGGGTCGAGGTCTTCTCTCCGGCTCGAGCGGAGCGGAAAAGCCGATGTCAAGTTTTGAGGGCGGTGACTGACCCCCTGGCTGGGGACCCGGCCCGAGGTACGGTGATGAGCTATTTGGTCTTGATGGTGGACGGATGGTCGGAATGCCTTGTCCTTGAGGTGGGGGAGGTCCTCCGGATGGCATGAGTCCTCCACGACCGTAACCAGACCCTTGGTAACCGGGCCCGGGAGGGTTAGAATAGGGTCGCTGCTGAGGAGCCAAATTGGGAGGGGGAGGTCCGTATGGATCCGGTCTTGGAGCTCCCATGGCTGCGGCCGAGGTCGGTCGAAGGTTAGGATTTATGCCAAATGCGGACGCAGGTCGAAAATCGGGCCCTTGGTTTGCTGATGGCATATTCGGCGGCCCAGTGGGGTAAGGTGCAGGCTTTGCTGATGGTGGTCGCTGGCTGTTGAGCGACAACCGCGAAGGATCAGGCATTTCGAGCTGCTCAGACTCCGTCTCTTCTGATAAGGTGGGCATCGTAGGAACCAGAGGCACTTCGCCTCCTCCAATCATTGAGCCGCGCTGCTGCCGAATCTTTTTGAGGGCGACACTTTCATGATCCTTGCGTGACAAAGTCTTTGACCTGGAGATGGCCTCGATCCTTCCTGTAGCGTCCAGATTGCCACTTTGTGATGCCTTTCGGTACCACTCTTTGGCTTGGTCAAAATTGACCGGGACGTAAATGCCGACCTCATAGTAGTAGCCTAAAGCGAACTGGGCCGTCGAAAATCCAGAAACGGCTGCTCGCTGAGCATATGTAAAGGCCATTTCCTCATTCTTCTCGAAAAGACCCTCATGACCGCAAAGAAACCACTTGCTTATTGCCAATTCTGCTTCCGGTTCCCCCTGTCTCGCAGCGAGGACATTGTAATGCAAGGATAAAGCTGGGTCAAAAGAACAGCCAAGCTCACAAAGCTCATAAGCTGTTCCCATTTTCACCTGGGCTTTAGCAAATCCGAGGTAGGCGGCTTTTTCGATGTTCATCTTGGCTCCGGCAATGTCCCTAGGCAGATATTGATCCGGGATCTGGATTTGAGGCATCTGCTGCGCCTGGAGCATGCCGAAGACATACGCACCCTGTGGTGCATTCTCATCTGCAGTCTGAGCCGACGTAAAGATGAGATTGATACCACGTTCGAAGTTCTGCATCTGTCCATGCTGGCCAAGGAGCGTCATCATCCCCAGTCTGTAGCAGGCGGCTGAATCCCCAGCATCCGCGCCCTTCTGGTAGTATCTGATTGCCTTTAGTGCGTCGTTTGAGGATTCAAACTGCATCCCGATACGGTAATCCGCGCGGTTGTATCCTTTTTCGGCAGCTCTCGTATAGCAATAGAAGGCTTCTTTCTTATCGACCCTGTGCCCGAACTTACCAAATTCAAGCCACATGCCCTTCATAAACTCGGCCTTGGGATGGTGTTGATCTGCAAGGAAATTGACAATCTTGATTGCATCTTCCCTCAAGACGTGCTCAATCCGAGGCGTCCTCGTTCGGGGAGTTTGTGCCAAAGCTATTCTTTCCTCATTCTGCTGGCAGATTTCCACATATGACAACGCGTCTTGTGCCCATGTCAGCTGGGTGTCAGGGTCGTTGCAGTTGAGCACAGCGGCTCTTGCAGCTTCCAGTGTAGCTTCTTTCTGTTCATCGGTCGGGGGTATATTGGGAGGAGGGTTGCGAAGCACAGGAAATGGAGAGAAGTTCGGCTGTTCCGACGGAGCCATCGAGGTCGATCTGGGAGGGAAATAGTTATCCTGGCTGTATGATTGTGCTTGGTTGTTCTTGGACACTCTCTGATCATATCCTTGCGTATTTGTATGAGGGGCTTGCGGCGGCGCCCAGATGTGCGTGCCCGGCTGCATATAATCAGCAGATTGCGGTGAGTAGGCTGATCCTGAATATGCAGAATTGGCTGAATTGGGATTTGAGGCAGCCTGCTCCATCTGAGCCACATTTTGTTGTATATTGTTTGGGAGTTCATGTACTCTGTAGCCGTCAGTAAGGGGTAGTCGCGACCTGAGTCCGGTAACGCATACCTGTTAGGGGTTGGTTGGATTAGTTCTGGCATGTAGTAGGAATCATCTCCTCCAGGGACAAAAGTGGCCCCCGTATGGTAGCTCATGGTGACAATCGGGAAGGGATCTTTAGTATGATTGTGTGTTTCGTGTAGCTTAGCTGAGTCTCAGCTCCGAGGTGCCTGATCTTCCTGAGCACCAGGGAGCTCTCAGACTATGTTTTTTTTTTTTTTTTTTTTTGGAGAGGGAAGAGATCTTGATCCGTCCCACTCCCACCGAGGAAGGGGAAGGATGATGATATGCTCTTCGGGATCTCAGGAGATTGCCCTGGTGCTTACGCAGGCAGGGTGAATGTTAGAATCCTTAGGCACAAAGGTGGGGGTCAGAAGGAGGCAGATCAATGGAGCACAATTTCCGGATGCTTGCTGCGCTTTGTATTCATGTCTTGAAGGCAGTAAGAGGGCAAATGAGCAATATGAATCTGGCTTGGTTGGCCGCGTCAACCAAAGCCGGGCATTGTCAGTGCGCGTGCGGAGTTAGTTGGTGCGAGTAATGATGGAATATTTGGAGGGCGCAGGCGAGGCGAGGCGAGGCTGCGGTAATTGGCACCACCAACTGCATGATATGATGCCAGTTGAGGGGCCAGCTTGCCAGAATTATTACCTGTGATGCCGAGGAAGCCCAGGCGCCGCAGGGCACTGGCCACTTAGCTAAGAGGAGACCTGGGTGGCACCCAGGTGGGAATGAGCCCCCAGACTGAGGAGGAGGCGCCTACTTGGTAGCTCGGTAGGTAAGGAGGGCTAGTAGGCCTAGCGGGTTAGGTAGGTCCGCTCGCTAGGCATGGAAGATCAGTCGCAGCTCTGCACAGCCACAACCAGTGATACCCACAATCCATTTTTGGCGGTCATACCTGCACCTCTGCCCTTTGCACCATGGGGCCATGACTCCTGTATACAACGGAAACGGTTTGTCTAATTCGCGTCCAATAAGATGACACTATCAACGCCGCTACAGATGTCTGCGCATATCTGTCATACTCTTTGACGAGGCTGTTGGAACCCGTTCAGAAGCGTCAAAAACTGCGACCGCTCCGGAACGACCGCGCGTCAAATACGCGTATATTTTTGTCAAGCTGAAAATGCCTTGCAGCCTGACCACGCGCCAACCGAAACTAGACGGTGCCTACGACCCGTATTACCTCAACAAAGTGATGCACTGAAAGAGTCAAGCCAACATGGAGCCTACCCGGGCTAATTTCTGCCACCCTTACCAACCTTATTCCATTCAGCTAGACTTTATGAAAGAGCTCTATCGCTGCATAGAGGAAAAGAAAGTGGGTATCTTCGAGTCTCCAACAGGTACAGGCAAGTCGTCGAGCTTGATATGTGGTGCTTTGACTTGGCTCCGAGAACACGAACGCCTAGCACTGCAAGGTCAGACGGACGGGAGTGAGCCACTCGATTGGCTTTTGGAGGCTGAGAAGTCTGCCCAGCGCCGTGAACTGCTGCTTGAGCGTGAGGAATTTGAGTTGAAGCTTGCCAAGATCCGTGAAGAAGAGACATCTCGCCGACAGAGACGATACGACCTGAAAGCTTCAAAGAAGCCTCGAACTAAGACTGCAAAAATCGAGGACAAGGCTACAGACGAGGAAGAGTTTATGCTGGAAGACTACGAGAGCGATAGAGAAGAGAGTAAAGCTTTCAACAGCTCAACCACCAGTTTTTCTAGCTCAACTCAAGCTCTGCTAGACAAATTACAAGGACCCGCGAAAACTGAGGTTGAAGAACAAGAAAAAGATCGACTGAAGATCATCTTTTGCTCACGCACTCACTCCCAGCTTACTCAATTTGTGAATGAACTGCGTCGTGTCAAGCCTCCCTCCTCAATTCTTCTAGAGGCTGGGGGTATCGTTCAGAAGTCTTCGCTCGAAGAAGGAGTGAAACACCTTGCCCTAGGCTCACGGAAAAACTTGTGCATCAATCCTAAAATTGCAGGCTTGTCGTCGACCAACGCGATCAATGAGCAATGCCTCGAACTCCAGAAAGCTGCCATCCCCAAGGACAAAAGATGTCCCTATATCCCCGCAAGGGATGATAAATCAAAGATCGAGGCTTTTCGAGACAGGGTCGTTGCAGAGATACGAGACATCGAAGATACGGCTCATCTAGGCAGAGAGATGGAAATCTGTCCATACTATGCTTCGCGCGCAGCCATAAGCATGAGTGAAGTGCTCACTTTGCCCTATCCTCTACTACTCCAGAAGTCCGCTCGAGAAGCCTTGGGAGTCTCGGTCAAAGAAAATGTTGTGATTATTGACGAGGCTCACAATCTGATGGATGCCATTGCGGACACCTTCTCTATCTCACTGCGACTCAGTCAGCTAGACCAAGCCGTTCGGCAGGTTACTGCGTACGCATCTCGATTTAAGAATCGCTTGAAAGGGAAAAATCGCGTATATGTTATGCAAGTGATACGGTTGCTGAACTCGATGACCGACTGTCTGCGGGGGACCATGCAGAAATTGACCTCATCCCAGGCAACTATAACAGCGGCACAATTGATGTCGGGAAAAGGAGTCGATCAGATCAAACCGCACAAACTCTTACAATACCTGCACGAAAGCAAGCTTTGCCACAAAGTTGAGGGATACTGTGAAGCACGACAGGATCACACTGATTCGAATCAGGGCAAAGGTGTTCTGATGCAGTTTCAGAACTTCCTCGTGGTATTGATGAATCCGGATGATGAGGGACGATTCTTTACAAGCCGACAAGATGACGACGTCGTCGTTCACTACACGCTGCTCGACCCGAGAGAGCACTTCCGACAAATAGTCCAAGATGCCAGGGCTGTCATTCTGGCTGGCGGGACTATGTCCCCCATGTCCGACTATTCAGATTATCTCTTCTCATATCTCGCTAGGGATAGACTTCGAACTTTCAGCTTCGGTCATATTATCCCCCCTTCCCATTTGTTCGCTCAGGTGGTTGAGAAGGGACCTTCGGGTGTCGAGTTCGATTTCAGGTATGAAATGCGTGCCTCTGAAACGATGATTCTTGAACTGGGAAATCTTGTTGTACGAGCATGCAGCATCGTCCCGGACGGGGTCGTGGTATTTTTCCCCAGCTATGATTATCTTGCACGAGTAACCTCTGTTTGGCAGCACCTGCCGGCTTCCCAGCCGATAATGACTGCTCTGGGTAGAGTTAAGACAATATTCCAGGAATCAAAGTCAGTTGCTGTCGATGAACTTCTGGGGGAGTATGCTACTGCGGTGGATAGCGGAAAAGGGGGTTTGATGTTGTCAGTCGTGGGCGGAAAGCTCTCGGAAGGTATCAACTTCTCTGATAGACTCGGTCGGGCTGTCCTAGCGGTTGGCTTACCATTTCCCAATGCCAACGGGGCAGAGTGGAAGGCCAAGATGGAACATATTGAAGGACTCCGATTTGAACATTGCAAAAGCCAGGGGAAGGGCGAGGCAGAATGTAGGGCTGAGGCGAAGAGTGCAAGCAGGGAATACTACGAAAATGCATGCATGAGAGCTGTGAACCAAAGTATTGGGAGAGCAATCAGGCACAGGAGCGACTATGCTGCAATATTGATGGTTGATAGACGGTTCTCAACAGAGAGGATATCTCGCAAGTTGCCCGGATGGATACAAGGGAGCATGAACGATAGTCTGCGAGACTGGACAAAGATAGAGAAGGGCGTTGGCGCTTTTTTCCAGGGGAAGCAATGAACGAAGATTCGATCCATGGATAAAGCAGCGTAGTGGCCTTTGCACGCAACCCCAGCAATCGAGACTCTGAAGGCAAAACATCTGCCTTCGATCCAATTTGTATTGGGGGCAATGGGGTCTGGTCTATGAGGCGTGACAAGGGCGTGAGCACCGGAAGAACTTCGGCTACAGCATCGCCAAGATTTTTGTGCGCTAACCCTAGTTCGGAGGCCGCACATTTTCTTGACCTTCCACAGCACCATCAACGTTTGATTCCAATCACCGACAACTTCAGTCTCGACGCCGCCAAAATGCCCACGAGACTGACGAAGACGAGAAAACAGTGAGTCTCCTGCCCACCTTGCTTATTGCTCTGTCACAATGCGAGTCTCGCCTTGCGCAACCCGACCGTATCCTTCAGCGATCGATCAGAATCGCACCCTCAACACCTCAATTCTGCAATGACCGGGTCGGCCACCGCAGGAATCGATCGCACCGAATACACACCGAATATGCGTCGGAATACCTATCTGAACAGCGAATATTTGATTTCACTCAAAACATCAGTCAAATTGAAGGACCTGGCTAACTGTTGAATTCTTCAGTCGCGGCCATGTGTCCGCTGGTCACGGTCGTATCGGAAAGCACCGAAAGCATCCTGGTGGTCGAGGTCTTGCCGGTGGTCAGCATCATCACAGAACAAATATGGACAAATACCATCCCGGGTACGTCTGCTGCTTGGAAAATACGAGGTTGCGGAGGGGTGGTCCTGACGGACAAATCCTTCGCATGCTCGACCTTGCGTGACAGGGATTGCTAACAATGAACTAGTTACTTCGGTAAGGTCGGTATGAGACACTTCCACCTGCTCAGAAACCACTATTGGAAACCGAGCATCAACCTCGACAAGGTCAGAACCTATCCGTGATCCCACATTGCAAACAAGAATCTAACATTGGCTCACAGCTCTGGTCGTTGGTACCTGAGGAGACTCGCGAAGCCTATGTTTCTGGCAAGAAGACCGATACCGCTCCTGTACTTGACCTCCTCCCCCTCGGATACTCTAAAGTCCTCGGAAAGGGCCGCATTCCCCAGATTCCGATTGTTGTGAGAGCAAGGTGGTTCAGCAAGGAGGCCGAGCGAAAGATCAAGGAGGCGGGCGGTGTTGTTGAGTTGGTCGCATGAATGGCGTCTCTGTTTATGGTTGATATCGCATGCTCGAAGGGGAAGGCGAGTTTGCAAGGATCGAATAACGAGCTGCTCAACGAGTTTACTGCCAAGAAAGCGGGGACGGTCTGTTCGACATGCAGTACCAGATGCGAGACCCATGGAAAAGTATCTCAAAAGAGATGAGGCGCCGTGGAACTTGAACACGTGGAACTAGAGACAATTGAGTCTTGAGGAGATCGAGATGATTTCCACTCAGCTCAGCTACGTCCGTTTCCTCCAGGATCATGACGGTGCAGAAGAAGACAAAATTCATTGCAATGATCTTCGTCCTCACGATAACCCTCCAAAAAAGACAAATTGTTGTCCCCAGTGCTTGCTTCGCTCTTTCGCATTCCCAATCCTGTTCTATCGAGACGTCGAAAACGCATACAAGTATACACATCGGCAAACTTGCCTATTTTCATATTCCCGTACTCGTGTGAACGCGTAAATTGCGACGCGTCTCCGGCGGGTCGTAGCGCGGACATCGTATCTGCGACACAGACTGCGTCCTGGTGAAAGTACTCAGTACGGAATACTCTCATGGCTACGGATGGTTAACCTCTGAATCTATGATAACACCGTTGGAACCATCATGGACACACCGACCACTCTACTCGATACGCCCAAACGAGCATCTTTGCAGTCCCAAGCAGACGTACTTCGCACCGACTTGAAAGAATACGAACGAACCTTCGCTGGAAAACATGGCGGTCGCAAGCCAGGCAAGGATGACATTAAAGCCGATGCCGTTATTGCAGCGAAGTACAAAGAGTATAGCAGAGTCCGGGATGTGCTCGTGGGGAAACGCAGGCTTGATGCATTGAATACGCCTCGACGACATCAGAGTACTCGAAGGCACGGACGAGCAGACAGTGCAGTCAGTCTGACGCCTCATCGAGGTCGAAAGAGCTTTTCTCCTTCGAGACCACTATGGCACCCGAACGACATCGATCCTTATGACCCACCCCCGTCGATATCACCAAAAGTGATACCCGACGCCATTGGACCGACCCCACGGAGAGATGGGACTGTGTTGGGCATATTTGATTTGCTCTCCAATTCAGGTTCAAAGAAAAGTGCTGAAAGTGCCCCGGGGAGTAGAAAGAGGAAGGTCGACGTGCTCTATGATGTTGCTGGCGACGACGGATTGCGGCAATTAGCTGTGGCCCAGACCCCGAGCCAGAAACCCAGGCAATCCAGCTGTACTGCGAATGTAGGTCTTCAGGCCACTACACCATCAACAAGAGTCTCCGCTAGCAAACGTCAACATTCTAAAACCCCGATAAGCGAAGGCAGAAAATTCATGCTTGATCATTTCTTCGCAACTCCGAGTGCCGTCAGATTTGCAACCGTGATCGATGGTAATGATGACACCGATGCCCCAACACAGACCAAGATTCCGCTTTGTGATTTTGTCCTCACAAATTCTCCTACGAAAGATAATGGTGTTGGGCAAGGAGGGCAAGCGATAGCGAATGTCAACGACTCTACACCTCCCTATTTGAAACGCACATTCTCATTCAAGGACAGACTTTTCGCTGCGTCTGGCGCCTCTACTGGTAAATCGAGCCCAAGTTCCACCAGAAGAGGCCCGCGACGAAGCCTAGGATACGTTAAAAGCGCTCCGAAGCCTTTGAGTCAAATCATAGCAGACTTGCAGCAAAGTAAACAGGATACCCAACAACGAAATGACAATAACAACGAAGATGAAGATGACCTCGATGCCTTGAGAGAAATGGAAGCCAACGAAGTCAATGTGCTTGTCAATGATAGTCAAACGGCAGATGGAATTGCGACATTAGAAGCTACAGGAGAGGGGCCAGTGGCCAAGGTATGGAAGAAAAAGGGCCAAAAGAGGACGACGAGGAGGGTCATTATGAGGCCAGTGAAGATGAAGCCGTCTGCGGCACCAAAATTTGTCGCCGATGACGAAGATGAGGACGAGGGTGAGGATGTCGGTGATAGAGACAAGGAAGGCGAATTGGCTCCTGCCCTTGAGTATGGCGATGTGCATGTCGAACCTAAGGGCTCGGATATGGAGCACCCGGTCACTGAACACGAGGAATCAAGCGATGAAGAGTTTCACGATCCAGACGCATGCGACGACACGGATAAAGTTCTACCCGTAGACGAAAGAGCCCAGAAAGGACTCACCTGCAGGAAAAAGGCAACACCAAAGTCAACCCTCTCGTCCTCATCCGCATCTTCCACCAAGACATTGAGAAAGCCCCTGGGCGGCAGCAGCACGGGCCGAGACGAAGAGACAACAACAAAAGCAGCAACAGCAACAGCAACGACCCGCACAATCAACCCGAACGCCTACGCGCACATGAACTTCCGGAGCTTGAAGATCAAAAACAAGAATTCTAGGGCAAAGAGAGCCGGAGCAGGCAGGTTCTCGAGAGGGAGGAGATGAAATGAAACCAAGGGAATAACCGAACGAACGGATGGATGAAGCAGGCTGGCCGCGAGAACTTATGGCTGGCAGCACCCGTAACGTGCCGCGCGCCTTTTGTTTGACCTTTGGCATTTCTGTCTGGATTGTAGTGACAATACGATGCGATGGTCATGAGGCGGTCTGCATTAATTTTGTTGGCGGTGGCGGCGGTGGTGGCGGCGGCGGCGGTGGCAGCAAGTTGCCTGGGTAGTCCCTCGAAGATCGTACATTCAGCAGTGTTCGTTGCAGAGGACAGATTTCCGAGAATACCTAGTATGCAGATGGAACGAGGAATGACAGCTGATCAACCATTGTCTTTGGGCTTCTGAGATCCTCTTGTCAGACGTCAATGTAGTTTCAAGTCTTCTAGTGATTCCAGCCCCCTTGTTCTGCATATGGGTATGTGCACGAACAGAACATACGTGTACACTTGGTATTCCTTGTTAGAGTTCATTTCCTAGTCTCACCAGCTCGGACAAAAAGTCCTCTCCGTTGACCAACTCAGTACTCCCGTAAACGACCCTCCTCGTCCGGGGGGCATTGGCGCCTACTCCTCCACCACCTCCGGTTCCCAGCCCACTCGTCCTCTTGACCCATTCCTGCAGATTGCCGTATTCATCCATACTGCCTCCTCCTACGGTGAAGACGATTGCCTCCGTATACCCCTGTCTTCTTTGGCCAAAGCTGGGATTCATCCCTGCGCCTCCCGATTGTCCACTAGGACCTCCCCTACTGTCTCTTGACGGCGGATTCGACCCACTTGCCGTCCCAGGAATACCCCTTGCATGTGCACTTCTTGGATCAAAGTATAGATATCCCTCCGTCATCGCGATCGCGCTGGAACTTGCGGCGGGAGGATCCATGATTGACTCAACAATCTTGGTCACCGTGAGGTCCCTATTCGCGGGTAGGAAGTTTTTCACCCCGGACACGAGTGCTTCGAGGTTCACGTTGCTGAAAGTGTTTCCGAGCGCAGTGGATGAGAGCTTTTCAGTGAAGTTTTTCGAGAGCGAGGAGAGGCCGCCAAACAACGGCGTTTGGGAAGAGGGTTGTTGCTGAGATGGTGCTGTGGAGCTCATCATCGTCCCTCGCGTTTCTAGACGCACGTTGGAGATGTGTTTGATTGCTGTCACTGCATCTCCCACTCCAGCAGTTGTAAGTGCAGATTCGAATTCCGAGAGTTCGGATTTGGAGGGCTCCCTGTCGACGCTGAGGTACCAGATGATGAATATCCGCAGCTTGTCCAGCGGGTTGTTCCCCTTATCATCGGATTTAATAAGGGTGAGCATTTGGTCGGCGGTTTGTTTCGTAATGTTCTCTTCTAGTTGGAAGAAGTTATCTAGTTGGCGGTCCTTGATGCCCTTGAGCAGTGCAGTGGCGATGTTCATGTGCATGTCCAGAGTGGCTTTGCGCTCTCGCAACTCGGGCAGCAGTGTTATTGCTGCTTTCAAGTGGGCTGCGGAGGTTGAACTGTCGTTGAGGTCTTCGATACTGTTCACACCGGTTTTCTTGGTGACCTCTTCTGCGTCGGTTTTGTATTTTGTAAGTTCTTTGTCGATGTCTTCGGCAACTTGGGGGAATGGAGCGCTTGCATTGCGCGCCCAGAAAAAGTCACTTGCATTCAGGTCGTAGGCTCGCGGTTTTGCAGTCGGGTCCCCCTCGTCTGCCACATGTACAGTGATTCGGTTGAGGTGCATTTTCAAGACATCATGAACCAAGGACTGGTACGTCCACGAATGGGACAGCATCGGGACCAGGTCAATATTACGGTCCAGGATTATCAGAACTGGCCGTGAGGGCGCGGAGTATAGATTGGCCGCGGAGCCCTTGGATGAGAATAAGTTATCTTTGGAGTTGAGGACATGATCTCTCAGCTTTCGGTCCAGTTTCGTTGCAATCATTTTGGCCAGTTCTGTCTGAGGACACCGTATAATGGGCACCGATCCCATTGTTACACTGACACTGAACAGCCCGCTCACGATCCTGTCTATAGCCGCATCCTGGACCTCTGCTTCTGCTTTGGCACTATTAAATGTCCAATACGATTCTTTTCCCATTCCCAGGCTGAACAAATCCGGTTCGGCCACGACAAAATTCAGGTATTGGTCATAGACTTGGGCAATGGAATCGGCAGTGTTTGTGGAGGCAATTTGGGCGGCAAAGTCTTCAAGTAAGGGACGGGATATCGATGAGATGAAGTTGACATAGGCTGGAGAGTATAGCCCTCGGGCGAGGTCGGAGCAGATGAGCTGGATATTGACAGGAGTAGGTTCGACGAGGTACAGGACAGGAACATCGGGTATGGGAAAGCGAGGAGAGTTGATGTTTCTGTTGGCGGGTCAGTTGCGGTACAGCTCCAAGCGAATTGGTCGCACTGACAAATGTATTGTTACTCCTTTGCTCCGCAAGTCATTTACTCGCAACACACTGCTGATTATGTCTCGTCCAAGGTTGTCAAATACAAGAACCTTCCATATGGGTTCTCCGTCCTCGCTGAGAAGCGAAGCCGCTTGAGGGGTGGTGCTTGCATCGCCATTTGAAGCAGATGAGTGGTCGTGGTTCAGGCTTAGTATGCGTTCAATGGAAGCTGGGATCGGTGAGATTCATGAACGTCAGAGCTATTCGTCCTGAGGGACATTGCTCACCTATCTGACGATCCCGGAGAGTCTGCGTGCGGGCTGCCATGGTCGTCGAGGATGAAGGTCCGCAGATGGTGTGTCGGGGTGAAGTTGTAGAAGGCAGACTTTCATCTTGACCTCGAAAGCACCGGGTCTAACGAGCGCAGGCTCTCACCATGTAGAAGCACATGTGGACAGGTGTCGCCGGCCACAGATAGACGTTGACTGACGTTGGTTCTACACAAAGAGCCTCGAAGCATATTGTACTCAGAAGTGCTAATGGTGGCCAACTGGCGGGTGCCACTGGCTGCGGCAGAGTCATGTAGACGCCAAGCCGAAAACGGCTTAGGCCGGCTCTGCAGTGGGCGTCTCAATCTCGAGAGGTTAAACTGGCCTTCAATCTCTCCCTCTCTCTTCCCTCTCACTTCCTCCTCATTCTTTCCTCTCCCTCTTCCTCTCCCACGCAATTTGTCTACGATAACCCTTTCTTCCCACCTTTTTCACTCTGTAATCTTGTTCCTCGGCACGCTCGGACTGTGCTCTGTAATAAGTGACATTGAATGGTTCTCCATTTTTGCATCACGCTTGGGCTGGAGTCGGGGTGTGTTGCCGTTGGCGTGACTGTGGCGCGTTGGCTCGTCATCTAATATTGATCTGAATCCGCCCCAAAACACGTCTTGTGAGCCTCTTTGTGTGTACAGCGCCTCAGAGACGGGTGGATTGAGTGCATTAGTGCTTTGATTCCTTTGACACTGGTTCATACTAGAGAAGATTGTTCGGGGGGGGGTTTTTGGTCCTCTTGGGGGTGGTGGTGCAGGGAAAAGGCAGAGAAAGGCACAAGGCCAAAGGCGCAGGCAGGCGGCAGGGCAACCCTCCACAGAAAACCTCGACCAAAGGAAAAAAAAAACAATCAAGTCACCCTGGACTGACAGCGAGCCAAAAAAAAAAATTTAACACTAACCCCCTGTGTACCGGAACGGCAATTAAATTCTACGGTCTCTACTGCTTGGATTACACGGAGTACGGAGTACATCAGAAAAGCCTCTCAAAAAGCCTCTCCAAGTGTCCCTTGGGTTGACCCAGGCCTACCACTTCCCATATATGCAGCCGAGCGCGTGGTGTGGCCTGTGAGTGGCAACTTTTCTCGGCATAAGCCAAAGTCCATCCAACGCAGCAACTCTCCCGGGGGGCCTCTTTCTTGGGCCTGTTGGTGCACCTTGGTGCGCCTTGGAGCCCCTTGCAGCCCCTAATTTGCAGATTTGGGTTTGGTCAGTCCGGGCTCTTCCGCACGTGATTAGAACGGATCACACTCGACCCTCTCACCACCCTCGGCCACGTGACTGCGCGTCCAGCTTCTGTCCTCTCTTTGATGCTGGTCGATCTCCCCCCGTCGCCATGGACCCGTCCACCAACTCTTCAATCAACGGTGCGCAGCATGCAAAGGGTCAATCATACGGCATGCTGGATAGCATTCAGGCCTTTACCGGCTCTGACGGTCTTCAAAATGGAGACGATCTGTCTCGCTTCTTTGACCCCGAGCTCTTCGATTCCACCTATTCTCAACCGTCCCTGTCCATGTCGCAAGACTTTGATCCCAACGCAGGCCGACAATCGAGCACGTCAGATGTCCAACAGTTCAGCGTCCCGCAGCGGTCTTTCCCTCACCATCAATTCTCTCAACCATTCTACGACTCTCGCCAGATGAGCCAACCCAACTATGACCCCAGGTTCTATTCACGACCCTCTCCCTCGCCCGTGGGCTTTGATGGCGGCTACCATTATCCCTCCCAAATGGGCTATTCCAACCAGCAATTCAACACACAGCAGATGAGCATGCCTCAACGACAAACAACCACGCCTTCGCCAAATTATCCAATCCAACAACAGCAGCAGCAGCAGCAACAACAACAACAACAACAACAACCACCACCACCACAACCATCACCATTCATCAACATCGGCCCACGCCCTCCGCATCTGTCCCATGGCCAGGTAAGCGACCAAGCCACCGCCTTGACCGCTGGACATTGTTTACTTACACTGGCCTAGAACACTGACTTGATGCGCTTTGGGACTTTCCAAGACCAAACTCATCAACCATCTAATCATTTCGTGGATCCTTCTATGTTGAATGCAAATCAGATGATGCATACAAGTAGGACGGTGCACTCCTTTCCGTAAGAGCTTTTCGCTAATGATTTTCGCAGACACCAGCCATGCTTTCCAGACGCAGCAACCCTACATGGCGACTTCTTACTTCAAATCCGGTTCGACTGTGGATCCAAGATCCTTGCAAGGAGGCCAGCCGCTGCAGCCCATGTCGCTGGTCACATCACAAACACCACGGCCAGGTACTGAGATCGACTCAAGTTATCAACACCAGCTGACGTGGGCAGGGGTAGCCATTCAACCAAAGCCGGAGCAAGCTGTGAAACCAATTGCTGACAAAGATCAAGATGCACCCAAGAAGAAGAGGGGTCGACCGAGAAAGGACGCCTCTGCGAAGCCTGACGGTCAACCTTCAGCGTCTGAGACGGATTCTGATGACGATTTGGAGATCGAGGATGACGAACCACCGGAAGTGACCCCAGCCTTGCTGAGCGTATCCATGCCAACGGATGAACGCGGAAAAGCTCTTTACAACGCAGTGCAAGCCGTTTGGAGCCCGCGCAACAAATCGGTCTCTCCCGAAAAGATACGTGGGGGCATTGCTGGTTTCGGTGATAGCGTACGAAGCTTGAGAGACGCTTGGAAAACTAAGAATGAAAGTCTAAGAAAGGCAGAGCTCCCTAATTCTCCCACAGCCAAAGATGCCCAGAGGTTGAAGGAAGAAGTCGCGCGATATCGCCAAGTCATGGAAAATGTCATGCTGAGATCTTTGCTGTATGGCCATCCAGCCATCGTCAAGAGGTATGTGCTTTACCCCATTCCCCCTGCCGTATTCGTGTTTACGTCCTGCTTCGCCGCAAGCCGTGAGATGGCTTTATGTGGTCCCGACTCCTATTGTCATAGGCACAAAGCTCTCAGCTTCTTTCGCCGTCGCTGCAATCAGAGCTCATTGTCTTGGGTCCGGAATATAAGGACATTGATGTGCTCGTCACTCTTGCATAATGGTTATATCCATAGCTCTACGTCCATAGATAGTTACAAACCGCCTCTTTTCGTGACATATCTCGTACGCCCTTGGGATGGCCATTGCATAACTATTCCTTGATCCCATCCAATAACATTCACTAATAATTCCTTCAGATTAGGTGAAAACCAGTTCACAATGTCGGCCTTGCATTCCTTCATGCTCGACAGGTTCAACGCTGCGGATTATGACAGTACTCTCGTCAGCTCTATTCTCAAGGTCAGCGGAAGTCTTCACATTTGGATTCCCATGCTAACTCTCTTGGACTAGTTTGTTGTCAAATTTGAGACACTAGATTCCGAAATGCTAGAGATGACGAAACTGTCAAAAATCCTACAGCGTCTAACGAAGAAAGCTATGACTGACATCAAGACGTTGGCACAGACTGTCCTCGATAATGCTGTCGCCGCTACGGCGAAGAAGGCTTCCACCACTAATGACAAGAGGGCTGACAAGCCGGCATCGCCCAAATCAGTTGGGAGTCCGGCAGATGGGACGCGAAAAGAAGGTGCGACTGGGGTTAAGCGTCTCCGCGAAGGCGACGTCTCTGTTCCGCCGGTCCTGAAGAAGGTCGCAAAATTGATTCCGCAGTCGTCAAAACCTCTGGCTCTTCAAAACGCTGAACGTAGAAAGGCGTTGGAAGCTGCACAAGCAGCAAAGGCTGGAGAGAAGACGACTTCTGCTCCACCAGGAACCACGGCCAATCCGGCCACAAAAGGAAAAGTTGCCGTGGCACCTCCTCCGAAATCTTCAATCTTTGCGTCTTTAGCATCCGCCCCCAAAAAGCCAGGCACTTCGAATGCAGAGCGAGCCGCTGCAGCTGCAAAAGAGAGAGCGTCCTCGACGGCTTCGCCCTCGCTTGTAGCCGCTCAGCCAGTGAAGAAACCAAATTCGGGCAAGGAGTCGCCACCGCGAAATGGCGGCTCTGCTCCCATCACAAAGGCCGCGACCGCCTCGTCCTTCATGGGTTTACTAGCTGACATGGAGAAAAAACCCGAGAAGGAGACAAAGAAGGAAGACGAGATTCCGAATGAGACCGAAGAACAAAAGGCCAAACGACTGCGGAAGGAAGCTCGTCGGAAACTTCGCGTTACCTGGAAAGTAGATGCAGAGCTTGTGGAGACTCGCCTGTTCACCCATGATCCTGACGAGGAGCTTGACCAGGGCGACCGTCTGAAACGCGACGCTGGGGACACTGGTCGCGAGGGCGAAGCGCTTAAACTTCACAAGAACTTGGACGATCTTGATGATGAAGAAGACGAAGATTCTTTCGAAGACCTCGAGCCATATGCCGCACCCTCGGAGGTGGACTTTAGTTACCTTGAAGATGTTTCACTTGGCGATGATTCACCACACAAAATCAATTCACCCAAGTTCGGCGGGTCTATGAAGCCCAAGAGTCCTAGTAGCGAAGCCCAGAATAAGTACGAGCAAGACACACTCATGGCACTTTACATTTCCAAGGCCGATCGTCCGTCAACACCAAAGGAGCCAGATGATACCAAGGAGGACGAAGGCGATTTCGAGCCAGCCGAACCCGAAACTCCCTTCGGAGAGCCCGATGAGAAGACGCGTCAGCGGGAGAAGGAGCATCTGGGACGACAAGTTCGAACGCAACCTGCCATAGATCTTGCAGCCCAGATTCAAGCCATGTCTGCCTCACAGACATCTCAGCAGCAACCAGGAGCCATTCCACCCGAGCTTCAGCGTGCTCTGAGCATGTTTGGTCGGCCAAATCAGCTGAATCAGCCGAGTACTACGCCACAAGCGGCTCCGAGTTCGAATGTGACCCTACAAGCTCTTCTTCAAACAGTGCTCGGACAACAATCGCAAGGTCAAAATCAGCAACCTCAGTATCCAGCCGCAACCCAGCCTTCGGCTCTCGGACCAAATCTAGGCGCGCTTCTCGCCTCGATGCAACAGGGAACCCAAGCGGCTACATCCGCCAGTGCTCTCCCTCTCGGCATGGGGGGAAACCCTAATCCCTACGTCGGTAATTTCGACGATGCTTCCCGCAAACATAGCCGGAGCGACTCCAATGACAACGACAACGACTATGGCAGAAAAGGTGGGACCAAGAAGAAAAAAGGAGACTCTAAGCCATACCTTTACAAAACCCAAACGTGCACGTTCTGGGAGCAAGGCAAATGCCTTAAGGGCGATTCTTGCACGTATCGTCACGGCGACGAAGACGACCACTAGCTCAGCTTCATACCAGCTGCAACTCGACCTTATACCACTTTCCACTGTACACTATCATCATCTTACGGGGCTATGAACTTCTTTCATCAAGCGGGTCCGACTATCCACCTCATTTGTTCCATGATTTCGCCTTTCAAAAGCAATTTCAATTTCCAGAGAAGCAGGCAGGCAAGCACGTATGTAGATGACAACATGGCATGGCCGGATGCCCGGGTAGAGATGGACTCTCTCGTGTCGCAAGGGCGCAAATTTACCACGTCTCACGATTAGCATTCAGGGTGGAGTTACACTTTGGCCAGATACGTGGCCTGAATTCAGGCAAAGGCCTGCTAAAGAGCTGGCACAAAACTGCTATCAGTCACAGATATGACAATGGTTCTACACTGCCTTCTTTGGATTCCATCGTAGACAAGCGGGATGAAGCATCGAGAAAATGTAGTCAAGCCACAAGGCTCAGTCGCCAGATGGGGCCTGGTGGGGATACGAAATACGAGGCATGTGAGAGGCGGGAAAGGAAGCAATGACGTGGGCTTGTTGTGTCGTACCTGCGACCTGCGACCTGCGACCTGCGACCTGCGATTTTCTGGCCACCAGCTCCGCACGTCGGAGCCACGCTGTCGCCATTAGGTCTGCCTTTACAGGATTGCCGTCGCTTTCTTGCCTATAGACAATAGAGTATCTCGGTTCTTCAGCATAGATTCCGCAAGCCGCACAGTGCTTTTTTCGATTCAAATCTCCTACCTCTCCGTGGATTTGTAGTCCTCGAGGAACATTCGAGAACACCGAGTGATCTTCTGCACGACGCAGCGACCAAAGCCCTGAATCACAAGAAGAGGACCGCGACAAGCCATACGACGCGGATCACATCGACGCTGCACTTATAAAGATGTCGACTGCCCTTGTGAGCGCAGACGACGACGTCCTTGAGCCTAGCCTTCAAAACCTTATCGACCAGAAGTCACTACGATGGATTTTCGTGGGCGGAAAAGGTGGCGTGGGCAAGACAACAACCTCTTGTTCGCTGGCGATTCAAATGGCCAAAGCCAGGAAATCAGTGCTCCTGATTTCCACTGACCCCGCTCACAATTTGAGTGATGCCTTCAGTCAGAAATTTGGCAAAGATGCGAGACTGGTCGAGGGCTTTACCAACCTCAGCGCCATGGAAATTGATCCCAATGGCTCCATTAATGACCTGATCAGCGGCGCCGGAGATGAGGCTCAGGATGCCATGGCGGGACTGGGTGGAATGGGCAACATGATGCAAGATCTGGCATTCAGCGTAGGCACTTTCTCATGCTATTGTGAGGTTGGCTGCTAATCTAGACAGATTCCTGGCGTTGATGAGGCCATGTCCTTTGCCGAAGTGCTCAAACAGGTCAAATCGCTCTCCTATGAAGTCATCATCTTCGATACGGCTCCCACTGGCCACACGCTTCGCTTCCTACAGTTCCCCACGGTCCTGGAAAAGGCTCTAGCAAAGATTTCTCAGCTCTCCGCACAGTTCGGCCCAATGCTGCAATCAGTCATTGGAGCAAGAGGAGGTCTTCCCGGGGGGGCGACGCTCGAGGAGCTGACGCAGAAGCTCGAGTCACTTCGAGAGACCATTGCCGAAGTCAACGGCCAGTTCAAGAATCCCGACATGACCACCTTCGTCTGCGTCTGCATCGCCGAGTTCCTTTCACTGTACGAGACCGAGAGAATGATTCAAGAGCTGGCCAATTACCATATTGATACACATTGTATCGTGGTCAACCAATTGTTGTTCCCGGAGAAAGGCAATGAATGCAAGCAGTGTAACGCCAGGAGGAAGATGCAGAAGAAATATCTCGATCAGATCGAAGAGCTGTATGACGAGTTCAACGTTGTCAAGATGCCTCTCCTCACAGACGAGGTTCGCGGGGTGGACAGTTTGAAGAGGTGAGCTTCTCGCATATTGATGCCTTACATCTCAACTACTGACGTCGCCGAACAGTTTCTCGGAAATGCTTATTCATCCGTATCAACCACCATCATGAGATCCAACCGGAATTGATAGTGATCATAGACACCAAGTCCAGTTCCAACCTCTCCGCGTAGGGGGGCCAAATTAAAAGTCCAATATACGGCGCTTTGACGCGGACCAAATGCCAATGGTGATTGAACGCCCAGACTTCTGACACGAGCCCAACTCGGTAGATGCTTCCTTTTCTGACTTATCGCCTGGAGGCCCCAGATGTGTTTGAAATGTCTTGGGGCGGTCGAGCCTGATCTACTGGGTAATGGGGAGCGCCAACCCGTACCCCCTAGTCCTGATCTGCAACGGCTTCTCGTCGTGCGCCTGACGTACTCTGCATGCTTTGGCCTTGCAGGCTTGTGGGCAATCAGGAAGCCAGTTTGTCAAATGTTATGCAATCAGTCGACATGCCATTGGGCTCGTGAAAGCCGCGGTTCTACTCGGGTGAAGTTCGCTGCCAGGGCTTCAATTCGCCGACGTGTGCCTTACTCATCGCATGCGGCCCACGAGGTTATCGTCGGGCATGGCTCGCCAGGGTTGATTGTCGGCTTTGGCTTTCCGAACGTCGACTTAGGGCATGACCTGCTGTGGCTAAGCCTCTGAGAACAGAAGCTGCACTAAGGCTCATTCTCGCACCAATCAACCGCTCCGTCGTCCCGTTTGCGCATCCTGGTGCGGTTCTACAAACCCGAAGAGGTTTATGGTCCAACCAGCCTTGTCCACACGTTCATCGCTCAATGTACGGGGTACCGGGGCCTGTTGAGCTCGTAATCTGAAAATGCGTCTCTTGTCCCCTTCCCAGCTTAAAAAAAATGCGAGTCCGCCGCCTCGACAGATGCCCATTTCTTGGGGGGAGAAGGTATCGGCCGTACCTTTGGCCAGATGCGACATTTACACGCTTCACGGCTATACTGACCTCTTCCAAATTCATGAACTCGGTATCGCGCTTCCCGAGGTGCAGTTTTATCCCAATCTTTGTACCCGTATGCTCCATTGATCAACGATGAATATCGGAATGAAGCACATGCATCCTTCTTGTTGACAGGATTTATAACCGTTCTCTTTCCCAGAATGTATAACCTCCAAGGGGTGGCAAGCTCACCAATCCATCATCTTGGAGCGAATGCAGAAGAGCCCAAGGACGACCCACACGCAACATCTTGCGGTCTGAGGTGCAGATCGCGCCGCTCCAACCTTCATCAACCGAAAGCTGCAATGGCGGAACAGGACCCGGGCGGACGCCAGCCAGATCAACGACCGCCAGCATATACCGGTCCTTTCCTATTCGTCAACAAGAACGCCACAAATCTCAGGTCCAGGCAGCGAGAAGAGGTATTTGCTGTTCGAAGCCATGCCATGCAAATTGCAAGGCGGTCGAGAAAGCCGTCTTCCCAGGCGAAATCGTCGGAACGTGGAAGCCAGGCTCAGTCAGGGCCAACGAGCTCCGAAAGTCCAGCAGCCCAAACGGGTGCTCCAAGTCCGACGGCCGAGCCCATTCCATCCATCCAAGACATCCTTGAGCAGCAGGCCAGAGGGGTTCTCCAATACCAGCAAAGGGAGGCTCAAAGACGCGAACCAGAGCAGTCCCGAAGGCAATTGGCGACCCACGAATCCCCAGCCCTGTCTCCAAGATCTTCGACTTTCCCACTGTCGACCTCCAACCTTCTCCCTGCTGAATATGCCGCGTCTTTGGCGCAACTTAACTTAGCCGCGTCCCCCGTTCCTCTGATTTCAAGCGGCGCTTCAGACCCCAGTGTTGCTGCACAATTGTCCCCCGACACATTTTTCAACTCCGTCCTGCAGTTCTGGCGGCTATGCTACATGTCAAACTTTTGGCCAGCACCCATCTACTCCAGTCCTTCGCACAGAGCAGTCCAATCCACCGACGGCTGGATCCGGAATATGGTTATCAACAACCCAGCTATGTTGCACGGACTTTTCTCCGGCGCCCTCAGCTATATCACAAATTACCTTCCCCGGACAGAGAACACTCCTATGCTGTGGGCCAGAGCCATCCACCATCACGGAAAATGTCTCGAAGAGACCCGGGCTCAGCTCGCTCGACCAGGGATCAGCACTGAAGAAGCACTGAGTCTGATCAACGGAATGACGACGTTCAGTTTCCACTGCCAGGACCTGGAGAGTTGTCAAGTTCACCGTGCGGCTTCAATGCGCCTTCTTCAAAGCATTGAAGGAGGCCTCGAATCGGTGCACCCAGTGCTAAAGTACCTTCTGATACTTTGCGACTCGCTTACCACGAGCCATGTTCCAAAACGGCCATCTATGGACGTCGAGTCTTGGGCACCTAAGCCCTGGTCAGAAGAACCGTCTTTGCAACCATTTGATCATTTGTTCAGCTTCGATGACCAGGTATCTGAGGAGACGGACATGGCGATATTTCTCCTTGCCGAACACGACGAGGAAAGCGACTACACGCAGCATCTGCTGGAGCTGATTAACTGGCATCGCGAAGCATTGGCAGCAAATGATCTCGCTTTCGTCCTGGCAGACACATCGGGCTCCCCAGGCATTGCCGAATCTGTTGGTGAAGGCGGGCAAGACCCTGCCGATCCGATATACACGTGGCTGTCGCTACGTCAGTACGCCTTGATCTGTCTCTCGTCGGATATGTACGTGGACTTTATAGAAACGGAGGTCCACGGGCGGTCATTGTTGTCGCAGATGCTTTGTGTCTTCCACTCTGGCATTGTGCTTGCCACCAACTACATGTTTCAGTTCATCATGCGATACAGCATGAATGCTCCAAGCATGGCATACATACCGTATCATCACCTGCGCAACAGATTGGACTTGCTTATGGCGCTCATGGGCCAGTATAGACGTCTGCAAGTGGCTGCAGCGGGAAAGAGGCGTAGTGGAAGAGGGCAAACTAACCCAATTCCAACGGACACCCTTCTTTTCCTCTTCTTCGCTGGCGCCGTTGTCGAGGAATCTGATGGTCCCAATCGAGTACAAGCACCACACCACATCACAAGGGCAGGCGTAATATCCTCGCCTTCAGTCGAGCACCCGGGTGATCTCATCAATGAACGCTGGTTCAGCGTTCACTTCGCGATGGTCCTGCAACGCTTGAACCTCGAAGCTTGGGAAAATGTCAGACAGGTGCTAAAGAGGTTCATCTATGCCGAGAGGGTACTGGATCGGTTTTTGCAGGTGCTTGTGACGAGGAAGCTCGAGTTTCTGGCAGCTCTTATTGCTGGGGTGCCGGATCATGCACCTGCTGGTGGCTCTGGCGACGCTGGCAGTGCTAGCTTTTTTGGAGGATCGGGAGTGGCGGTTCCAACCAGGCAGGAAACGAGTTCTTCTTCGCGACCACCACCGCCGTCTCGTCAATCTTCCCTTCAGATGCCTGGGCAACATCAAACACTACTTCAACAAGCTGGTATGTCGATACCCGTGGGATTGCCCGTATCACCCTCACGTCCTGGTCTAGAAGAGATGCCTGATCCACTGCCGTTATTGGGTCCCACACCGGTCTCTCTCTCGGCCGCCGTGCCCAGCGCAGCAGCTGATTGGTGGCAAGACATGGGGTACGGCATAGGCGGCGTAGAAGACTTCCCAATGGATTTGGATATGAATTTGAGTATGGGGACGGGGTTGGATACGTTATCTGACGTGCATATGACGGGCGAGGATCTGGGCGGGCGTGAAGAAATGCACGGAGAGGAAAGGCGAAAGCAAGAGTGAGGAGAGCATGAGGCAGGATGGGTAGGACTAGGTCAGGAGGGAGTACAATCCCTAGATTTTGTCGTCTGGATCAAGGAGCGAGGACTCGAATGCGGTCAGGTTTGATAGAGAAGGAAGATTTTTCCAATAGGCTTGGTTTTGTGTGCTGAAGCGCAATGGAATATTCAGGAACTTACCAGGGACAAGATCACCATAGCCATTGCCCACATTGCCGAGAGCAGAGCCTTTGAGGTACCTAAGTATGTACAAGTAAGTTGCCTGCGATCCAAGTCGATCATTTCCCTCCCTTGAAAGAGAGAAAGGTGTTGATGAGGATCACGTGCAAGGCTTTGATCATGTGATCGGTGGGGTTTGGCCAATGACATGGCACGTGATGACGGTGATGATGATTTCTGTCCCTTTCTTCACCATCTGTGCCCAACTGCGCCTCTTCTTTTCTGTCCTTCGTTGCGAGACAGCAACAGGCAACAGGTCAAATCAAGACTCTGCACCATCACGCCGATCAGAAGCTTAACTCTCCGTTAACGGCCCTGGCTGGCCCAGCTGGCCTCGGGGTGGGTGACGTTTCGTCAACTTTTCCCCGGGCCGAACGAGTCTTGGGGCAGTCATTGTTCACCGTGCCGAGTTCCGTCCAAGTCGATGCGATCCTTCGACCGGGGTGGCGGCAACTGAAGTGACATTTTCTCCATGGTTCTTTTGTTTCTTTCACGCTGGCCAGGGTTTGCGCAATGCCTCGTCCACTCAATGGCCAGGTTATGCGGTCATCGGCCGGCCATTATGCATAAAATCCGCTTCTTTTCTCCAGGCTGCTTCCCTGTGGACGACGAGGTGGGATCAATGATTTAAAAATCCTCGGCTGCTTTCCACCCCCTCATTCTTCATGTTCCTTCTGTGCCGCGATCCCGTTTTAGACTCTGGCTTTGCTGCAGGACGATAACAAGCGCAGACAACTCAGACATGGCTACAGACCTAAACAGGACACGGACAGCTCCCGAAAATCGGTCCAGACGGCTCTCGCGTGCCTCTTTAAGGCGAGCACGATCAACTCCCGAAGATGATTCTCACCAGTTGTTTTCGCCTCAATTCATGGATGACCATGGCGCCCACCATTACCATGTCGCTGCGACACCTGATGAAGATTGTTTCGGTCTGCGCGATGGCGATGAGGGCCCAATAATCGAGGAGGATGCCATATCCGATAGTAGCAGCGCTGGGGAGTCTCAGGAGGAAGTCAGGTTTGGTGTGGTCAATAGTCGTGACGTCGAAGCAGGAGCCCATCTGCCAGAATTGAAATCTGAGAAATCTACTCGATCATTAAAGGATCCCCACCTGGTAAGTGTGCTATTTCATCTCTTTTCATATGGACCATAGCAAGTGCTGATGAAACCGATTTGTATTAGGTCACTTGGGAGGGTTCCGATGACCCAGAAAATCCCAAGAATTGGACATACAGGAAGAAATGGGCGGCAACTCTCATTGTATCATCTTTTACATTCATTTCCCCCGTGTCATCGTCTATGGTCGCGCCGGCTCTTGATAAAATTGGCCAAGATCTCGGCATTACCCAGGATATCGAGAAATCATTAACCCTTTCTATCTTCGTCCTTGCGTACGCCATCGGACCATTGTTTTTGGGCCCTTTGTCTGAGATGTACGGCCGAGTTATTATTTTGCAACTGTCGAATCTGTTCTACCTCGCTTGGAATCTTGGATGCGGTTTTGCTCAAACCCAAGGCCAACTCATCGCATTTCGGTTTCTGAGTGGGCTAGGCGGCAGTGCACCTTTGGCGTTGGGTGGAGGAGTACTGAGCGATTGCTGGCGTGCAGAAGAACGAGGCAAGTCTATCAGTATCTACTCTCTCGCGCCCCTTCTAGGTCCTGCAGTTGGTCCTATCGCTGGGGGGTTTATTGCTCTAAAGGCAGGTTCAACCGTTATGTGAGTGATTACTTAGACGCTGACGTTGGATAGACAACCTGGAGATGGTGCTTTTGGGCGACTTCGATCATGGACGCTGGAATTCAAGTCCTTGGCTTTATATATCTACGAGAAACCTACGCGCCAAAGCTGTTGAATGACAAAGCGAAGAGACTCCGGAAAGAGACAGGCAATCCAAATTACCATACCGAGTGGGATCATCCAGATAGAACACTAGGGAAGGTCCTTCGCACGAGTCTCGTCCGCCCATTTCGCCTTCTGGGCACCCAACCTATTATTCAGGCTCTAGCTATGTATATGTAAGTTTTTGCTCATTGGCTCATGATATTCGCTTACAATGTTCCAGGGCGTACCTCTACGGTCTTATGTACCTGGTCCTTTCCACTTTTCCCGAGGTCTGGCAGGGAATCTACCACGAGTCGGTCGGCATTGGCGGCCTAAATTACATCTCTCTAGGGGTGGGGTTCTTTCTGGGCACACAGATCTGCGCTCCGATCAACGACCGTATTTATCGCAGACTGAAGTCACGAAACAACGACGTTGGAAGACCCGAATTTCGTGTACCGCTTATGCTTCCGGGAGCCGTCCTCGTGCCGATCGGTCTTTTTATCTACGGCTGGGGCGCAAGAGCGAGTGTGCACTGGATTGTTCCTAATATTGGAGCTGCTATCTTTGCTGCAGGCACGATTATGGGCTTCCAATGCACGCAGACTTACATTGTGGACGCGTACTCACGTTTTGCAGCCTCGGCTGTCGCTTCTGCTGTGGTGCTGAGAAGTCTGGCAGGGTTTGGATTGTGAGCGATTCCCTTTTCACCGTGTGACACTGACTTTGGATTGGAACTAACCATTATGTGCTTCCACAACAGTCCACTCTTTGCCCCATATATGTACCAGGCTCTTGGACTAGATTGGGGAAACTCGTTGCTTGCGTTCATTGCCATCGGCCTTGGCCTTCCGGCACCAGTCCTGCTTTGGAAGTATGGCGAGGCCCTGCGGGAGAAGAGTACCTATGCTGCAGGATAAGGCGGAATTGGAACGACAGCATTTGCAGATACTGGAGGACAAGCTGCTCATCTACTGCGAGAGAAAGACGACAAGACCCAAATCCCGACTGCTCCCGTGTTCCCTTTGAGAACGTCAGCGACCAGCGATGTGACTTAGTCCCGCGCCGTGTTTGCTGACCATGTTTTCGAGTTGTTCTTGGACGACAAGACCCTGGCATGTTGCCGACAGATTCGCGATATGTGAGCAGTTCGCAGCAGCATCGGTCAAGCGAAACAGTTGACGTCAGCATACAAGGGCTGTCAACCTCGTGGAACATAATCAGAAAAGTCAAAGCCTCGGCCAAGCCGAAAGACAAGCATTGTTTACAAAGTTGCAGACGCCGGAAACATGGCAGCCATTCGTCAAGTCATGTGTGCGGCGTTTGTGGGGGATGCGGGAAATGGTCTTCCGGGACTCGGCGGCCGGCATCTTATCAGGCTTGACCAATTTACAGTTGGACGCTCGGTGCATCAACGCTGGACGACAAGGCCTATGGTCTATACCTACGGATTCATCGCCTATAAGCATAGGCAGGATATTCCTGCAGAGCGAGTCCTTTCTTTTGAGGGTGATTCTTCTCCCGACGGCCTTGCCTACCCTACCCACCGAGCCTCCGCTTTGCCTACAGGCGGATAGTGGTCTCTGCCTTGGGAATCGAGAGTTTGAAAAAACGTATATGGGTAGAAAAGAAGGAGAAGTGAATAACTCTGTCGCAGCTTCCATTTGTGCTGCGAGACTAGTTGTGGCCCGAGACTGTGCTCCTTGACTTGCTTGTGTAGATAGACCGGGCGATCATAATATAATCTTATAGACGTTGATCAGTTTGCTTTTGTTTTCCCTTGGCCCATTCCTTGTCCATTCCCTTCCCCCACCTTGCTTCTGCCCTTCGTTCCCATTTCGTCTCGTTTCGATTCGTTCCTTCAAAAAAAAAAAAAGGAAGAAAAAAATGATCATATATATGCCTCGTGATGTGGATATTCATATCCACATTGTTATCCAATCCCAAAGATCTTTCCGTCTTTCAGTCGAGAGCCGTCGAGCGGTGGGGACTCCGACTCCGCACGCGGTCGAGCCCAGCGTCGTCTGAGGAGGGGACTTGTAGAGCGACGCGATTCGTCGTCGTTATCGTCGAGTCCGCCTCTTTGGCGTCCGCGTGCTTCCCGTGGTTGCTGGTATTCCCGTTCCCGCGTCTGTCAATGTCATCACGGCCATGATTATGGTCCTGTTCGGAATCCTCCGAGTCCGCGAGACTCGCTAGCTCGACGACCTCGTCGTGCCCAAGCCAATGTCCGGGTCCCTGCCCGCGAGCGCTCACGGGCACTACCACGCCATTCGCCAACCCTGGTGCCCTTTCCCTTTCCACGATCTCTTCGTCTGATCCAGAATTCTTCTTCGGCTTCCTCTCGTACCCTTCCAGCTGGACGTTGACGAACAGAGCGTACAAGCCGAAATCGTAGACCAGGCGACAAACCCCCGCGGCGACAAAGGCCACGCCGAAGCGGTCCCCCTCGGCCAGGACACCCGTGACGCTCGGCCCCATCATGGCGGCCAGGTTGCGCAGCATGCTCGTGACGCCCATGACGGCGGTCCTTTCCTCGGGGCGCACCACGGCGGCGATGAAGGCCGAGCGCGGCGCCTGGTCCATGTTGTTCAGCGCGGTGCGCAGCAGCAGCAGGCCCGCGGTGAGCCAGAGGTAAGGAGGGAAGGGGAAGAAGAGCACGGCGGCGCTCGAGGGCACGTGTGTGAACACCATGGTGTTGATCAGGCCGATCTTGCGCGCCAGGGGCCCCGCGAAGACGGCGCCCACGGCACCCAAAAAGTACGACAGCGACGTCACGTCCCCGAGCGTCGATTTGGTCGGGTGGAACTTGATGTCCATGTAGTAGTTTGTCAGCGAGTACGGCACCATCCCATCCGCGAGCGAGTCGATCGCCAGGAGGAACCACAGCTTGTACATGGTCCGCCGCGTCGGTTTGGAGATCTCTGCAAAAACGCTCGAGAGCCAGGATTTGGTCCTTGACGTCCACCGTTTTGAGGACGGCGGTTGGGGGTGGGGGTGCGAGGGGGATTGGTATTGTCGTTCTGGTGTAGTTGATGATGATGTTGTCCTTGTTGCTGCTTCGATATCGTTCGCGCCGATCCCATTCGATCCGGAATGCTCGACGTCATCCTCGCCGTCTTCATCTTGATCTTCCTGCGGAACGCTCGTGTATACCTCGTCTCCTTTGCCATCCGGTTTCAACTCGCAAGCCTCCGTCAACAGCACGACAAGCAAAACATTCACGATACCCATGACCGCATAGACCCAGAACAGAGCGTGGTAGGCCTCAACCTCTGTCCATCCCGGGCGTGCTTGCAGGAAATGAATGATCCGCCCCGAAGCCTCGCTGCCGATGCTCGAACCCAGCGTTGACGTCGTGACATACCAAGCTAGTACATCCGCTCGGTTCGAGGGTGTCGTTAGCTGTGAGAGGACAGACCTGGAGAGATTGAAGCGCGTTGGCGTCAGCTTTTCCGTCCCTCGGGTCTTCCAACATATCATTGCCACAGAGGACATTTAATCCAATGTGCCGGACAAGGAGAGGCAAAACTTACTCCTCTATACTCCTAAACGGGCCGAAGTCTCCTCCCGTGACACTTATCACCCCTAGGATAGCCGCGCCCAGCAAGATCCAGAAATTTTCGAATACCGCAAACACGCACCCGCTCAGAATCATGAGGACCGACCCGGCCATTAACACGCGGCGGCGACCCACCCGATCAGCGATCAATGTCAAGAAGGTGCCCAGGAAGACATCGCCGAGTAAGGTGAGGGTCATGAAGATGCCGATTTGATGGTCGGAGTAGTTCAAGGCCGAGAAGAAGATAGCTGTGGAGAAAAAAAACCCCGTGAGAAAACAGGGAACGTTGGAGGAACAGTTATGGCTCCGCCCGGACTTGGATATATGCACACGGTCACCCCTCTAACGTTCCCTGTAGACGTGGGGAAGCATGTACACACATTCGCAAGCCACAAAGCGCGAGACATTTTCTGACCAATATCTTGAAAACTTACCCAATATCAACGAATTGGTCCCATAAGCAAACATTCGGCACGACCGCGCCAGGATAATGAGCCACGCATTTCTCCCAGTCTCGTGGATGGAGACGAGTCCGAATTCATGATAGAACCATTTCAGGGGCCGGAGGATGACAGACATGACCTCGGGGCGGCCTTGGCTTTTCGGGTGTTATACAAACACCGCACACTCTCACTCGCACACCAGCCTCAAGCGGAGGGATCGCGAGACAAAAGAGAGGATGGAAGAGTTAAGTTGCGTAAGCAGCTTTGAGGGCAACCTCGATGGTTGGGGGAGGCCGCCCTCGCCGGGGATCTTGGCCGACACCGCCTATTGCGCCTACCGATATCGGCTGTATAAACATGGGTGTAGACGACCAATGGGTATATATTAGACGGGGCGATCTCCGTCTCCACCCATGTCGTAACAAGCCGAAATGCTGATTGCTCGGTCACTGCTGGAGCGAGATTCAGGGGTTTCCAGGAATTCGCAGCCTTGCATTTGAAGGACAAGCGGCACGTACGGAGGACACTCTTGGAATCAAACCTATACCGCTCACACATGGCACATGGCCAAAAGGATGAAACAATACATCAGCGCAGTACTCTTACCTTGTCTCTGTAAAGGGATCTTTGAATTGACAAGAGACCAACCATAGGAACGAGAACGATGTCGGCCTTTGCGGCCAGTCCCACCACTTCTCCAAGTAGTAGACATTGACAATCCAGCAGTAATATTGTGGATCAGCTGTGCATTCCCACCGTGGACAGCTCTAGGGACTGAAAGGACATCTATAGCCGGAGATCTGAGATATCGTTGTGTCCCATTGTAATGCAAAAGATGTGGCTATACGATTTGTTGAATATGTCCTTCCTGGGTCACTGGCTTTTTCACCGTATCTGTACATTGAGGCAAGCCCGTTACGCTTGAGAATGAAAAATAGATACAAAGTTTGGTGGACACGGTAGAGCAAACAATTCCGGATATTGTGGAGTCGGCGGCTTCATAGAAGGCGAAGGCGACCGCGACTATTTAGTTCAGGGCTTGTCGGTCTGAATTGAGGAAGTAGTAGATGGAGTTTCCAATTCGATGGTAACTCTCCCAGAACTCAAAATCCGTGGCAATCATCTGGCTCTTTGTCAGAATACTTGGAAGGTACATCAGTGGCGCATGAAAGATATTCCAACCATTGCTCTGTTTCGAGCCTTTCGCGCACCTAATCTGGTTATGATGAAGTCTAGACTCAGAAGCGGTAAAAGGCATCGGTGTCTCTGCTTGGGGAGAGATATCTGCAATTCAAAAGGGCTCCCAGGTGTCGTTGGCTCATCCTATCCTTTTCTCCGCTGTCGTAGCTGGAAAAGGTATCTGGTCGTTGTTGATCAACGCCACGACGCCCTCAATTCAAATGCTGGCAAGACCTTGCTGGCCCATCGTCCCGCTTCCCCGGTTTGACAAGACCACAGAAGTGGACTCGAGGACGACGTTGGCGTAGAAACGAGCCTTGGACGACGACCGGAGATCACTTCTCCTGCCCTGTCCATGGGTTTTCCTTCGATGTCACGCGCACAGAAAATGAAATAGCAAAGGGATATGGTGTACAGATACGCCACGTCATCGCTCCTTCTCCAAGAAGGGAGAGACTGTACCAGACGCAATCTCGGAGTTCGAGCGTCCTTGCTCTGCAAATACTTGAAATCAGGTAGATGCTACAACTGATGATGACAGATATGCGTACTTCCTTCTTTATATTTCGAGAAGGCGGGACATTCCAATCTTAGCGAGGCGGACGCTCGGTTACACCAGGTTGTTCGAAGCGTTCGTTTCAGGAACGCGTTCCATTTTCCTGCAAAGTTGAGATGCAAGGAAGCGTCCGCGCGCGAGTCGGGCTGCGTATCCACCGATAACGTGGAGATCACGAGCTTGGTGGTTAGTATGAGATTACCTTCTCGAGTAAGTCCTTGCGTATCGAGGAATATGGTTGGCCTAGTCGTATGATTCGACATTGTGGTGTCCGGCGATAGGGCGACAATGCCGCTCAGATGCTGTCATAAGGAGTAAGCCGAGCTCGACGTCATGCTCGTGACAACAGGCATGAAAGGCGGCGCCTCCCCAATGTGCATTTGCGCATGAAATTCCCATATGACGTTGCAATCGAATCGCCGGTCGAGGAGACCAAGTGACAGATCTGATCTGTACAACTGGCTTCCAAGGCGTCTATTTCTGTACATCTTCCGCAAATTTTTCATATCCTATCTTCAGACACTTCTTTTCAGGTCTGACCGGTCGATGTCGTTTCATGCTCTGAAATTGGAAGCCGGTTTATGGTATTTGGAAAAGGCCAAAGCAAGGCCCACATGAAGCAAGGTCAGCCTTGTCAGCTGTAACAACGACATTCTGAATGGGCTGTGCACACATTAGACACTGCCAATGGAATGTTCTGCCAATCGCATGGTCGAGTGATAGGTTCGCTAGTGATCGGCCACCGCCAGAATCAATAGTCGCACGACAGCCACAAGATAGCCACATCACACCTCATCAGATTGGTCTCTTTCACGGAGCCGGTCCGGGAACTTGTATTCCGACCCTCATAGAGTTTGAGGCATAAGCACAGCATCAGTTGTATCTTCTGTCCCATAAAGAACCAACGAGTCTGAGCAAAGGAGGCGTAACACAGAACTATCCAAAAAGGGCCAACAGGATGATTTCCGAGCCCCACTCATGCCAGTTGAGAGTTCCCCGGTGAACATGATTCGTACGTTGCAATGCGTCAAGGAAATGTACCTCGCAGGTCGAATAGGACAGCAGAGACAGAGACGCGGCAACGGGTTGTTGTGCGCGACTGGGCGGCTAAGTTCGCGTTCTGCCGAGTGTTCCAGCTAGAGCCTGAACTGTTTACGTGCTGTGATCATACCGGGTATTGAGGTTCTTAAGCAGGATATAGAGCAGTCAAGATGAAAAAGTGACTTTAGCATCTTCCGAAAGCATGAGGTTGCATTGTAGTCGTAAGTTTATCCCGCCCACAAGATTCCTGTTGAAGGTTCTCCAATCGATCGGGAATACATCTAAACCTTTCTGAAATATAGCGCGGACACTTCAAACTTCCTTTACAATCAAGTTCTTGACACCCTTTGACCATCATCCCGACTATGCACCACATTTTGCCTATTGTGGCCCCTGGACCGCGCAGTGTCGTCTCCAACCCTGTGGCCAGCTGACGAGCATCTGGGGCAAGGGGCTTGGACGTGACCGTATCCGTTGCAAGTTTTGCATTGGGCTCCGCTACAATGAATGTCAGCTTCCGGGCATGACACATGCGTGTCGAGGTGGACTAGGTATTGAGGCCACGTTGAAAGACGCATACCGGGGAGGGTGTCCTGCGCAAGTACGGCAGGTGTTCCAGACCTTGGGGTGATCGCACATGATGAGATTGAGGAGATGTTTGTTGTTAAGAGGAAAGTTGGAATAGCGTTAAGATTCTTAGTGAGGTGGGGTCAGCGTATGCAGGCTAGCAGTGACTGACAAGGTTGAACGTTTTGAAAAGGACCAGAGGAGTTGAGCGAGATGGTTCGAGGCATGGCAAGCCCGTTTTATATGCAATCTTGAGCCTTGCATTTAGCACATTTCCGGCAGCTCCAAGCACCGTGCCAAATACAGATAGGAGAAGCAAGTCGAAGTGTTCGTATCTTCTGTACTACTGTGACAGAACGCTGGGTAGACTCCGCCTCCTATCTTCTGCTTGATCAGGTGTCCGCCTCAAGGCCGGAACGAGGGCGGTACGACTTCCCATCCCGTAACACCGGAACCGGTATACTGTGGGAACAACAGCCGATCGGATGAGACGAAGATTGTAAAAATGGTGACTTTCATATGGGCTGAAGGAGGTACGTTTCAAGGCAAATAAGTCTCACCGGCGTGACGTTGCAGTGCAAGGTAACCCTGGTAAGAAGTCGCTTGGGAAGCCAGAGGTTAGGACTCTTTCAGTAAAGATGAGTGCCAGTTCGAGAAGTCGGTGCCAAAGCTGCTTGCTTGCGACAAGAGATGTGAACATGACAGGATGGCATCAGCTTCCACGTGCCATAGGAAAGGTGCAGCCACACATTCGCCGATGACGGCGCCAAGTTGCTCGCGGACAGAAAAAGGTGTCCATGTTTTCTCTGTGGAGTAATGGAAGGTCGATGAAATGATGGGAAACAGAACCTTGGCTTGTTGAGAGATATTCGACCCGTCACAACAGGGTGAGCCTTCTGCTGGCCATTCAAAGACAATGTCGAGGTGGCACGGGAAGGGACCTCCTTTGGAGAAAGTGGCAAGAAGATTGGTACATTCCTGAAGTAGTATTACTGGCTTCGTGTAGCAGTACGAAAAGGTCACTTGAGGTGGTTGAGGGGTGAGATCGGCGAGCTTAGAGAGTAGGATTGGAGTGGCCTCGCTAAGCAATACTCGTTCGTGTTACGTTCGAAACCTCGACTTGCCGAGTAGCCCGACTGTATTGAGCTTCGTGCATGGCGGTCGACGCCATCCTGAATTGTTGCAGATTGAAGAGGAAGTATCTATGTAAATTCCAAGCGGGCTTTGGTTGTGAGGTACTGCTTGAACGAGCTGGCCGAGGTGTATGATAGTTTCGAAAGAAGCCGATTGAGCCGCTTCTAGCCGTCAATGGCACATCCCATGACAGGTCTTCGAACCTACCCATGGCCAATGATGGCAGTGTATGCACGCATGGCTTTTGCAGAGCAGAGCAAGATTTGACGGCAATCTTAGAAGTACTTCTTCCGTACCTGTAAAATACTTATTCAGCGGGTCAAGGTATGTTTCTGGGAGGGAAGGCAGACATAGAAGCGAGACCGGTCTCTTTCCCAAGCAGGAATCGACCGAGGAGACTGGGCGTATCTGATGACAACGAAGACAGCCCAAGTTTAAAAGTCGACACTGCTTTGTCGGCGAACCCACCTTCCCATTAGCCAAGGCATAGGCCCTGTTCGTATCAGCCCAGTAATGCACTGCCTGCGGGAAATGGGCAGCATCCTCTCTGTGCTGTGAATTTTGCATCGTGATGGATTTGCGCAAGAGTAGGCTAAAACCTGGGCATGAAGTCGAGGTGAAAAAAGATCTCTCGAGCAAAAAAAAGGGTCGATGAAGCAGAATTTATTACCAGAGTCAACAACGAGCCGCTTCAGAATCAAGTGGTGGTCAGACTCATGTGACGAAGGCGTCTCTATTCCACCCGACGCTGGGTGTAAACATAAGAGTCCAAAACCCACAGGGCCAAAAAGAGAGGACAAATTGTAATAAAGGCCGCCAACACCCAAACTGGTGGTCTTGAATATCTCAGTCGGGGGAAGATGCCTTGTCAGACGCCATTTGGACGACTGACTTGACAATTTGGAGCCTTGTTCGAACCACGAACTGACCGGAAAACTACAAAAGTCATTGCCGTACGTTAAATGCAATCATACCACAACCGCTGACGACACCAGCGGCGCATTTGGGGCACAAACCTGAACGGCCAGTGTTGATGTGCGTCGACATGAAGCGGAGTCCGTTAGGTCTCATGGTGGTTCGACTTGAGAGACTTTGCGCAGTCTATAGGTGTGACAGGAGGAGCGGAGCAGAAGAAAGATTCAGCCTCTGGTAAGTCGTCGGGATTGGTTTAGGCCCATCGATTACGAGGGGAAGTGAAGGCAGACAGGAAAAGAAGACGTGAGTTGTGCAAGTGACATGTTTAGCGAGCAAGAGACGGCCGAATCCTGTCACGCCCTGTCATGCTCCGACCAGCCCAGCTGGAGGGTTTGGGACAGCCATGTTCGATACCAAGGAAACGCAAACGGGGTGGAAAGAAGGCGGAGGCCGAACATCGATTGACGAGCGAAGATAGAGGAGACCTCGGCCTTGCACGTGCAACACGTGACAGTTGCCACTCTCTGCTCACATCCAAATTGGTGTCCGAGCCGAGGCAAAGTGAGTGTTGAATGTGAGCCACGGATGAGTGAGAAAACTACTGGGTACACACAGACCAGACCTCTGACAAGCACCGTTGATGGGCCAGAAATCTTTCTTTACCCAGTACTTAATGTAACCACCGCTGCTCTGCTGCCCTCTTCTCCAATCCTCTGAGTCCTGCCTACAGATCAAGTTACACCCAAAGGGGAGGAGAGGTCTGCCCATACTACTGTCTTCTATCCGATATAATGGCGCTGAGCCGCTTTCCCAAGTTCAAGTTTTTTAATGTTACGGTTCCGGCGCAATATGTGGTGCAGGTCGAGATCAACCGCCCAGAAAAGCTCAATGCTTTCTTCGCGCCCATGTGGTTCGAATTGAAGGGCATCTTCGACGTGTTGTCCCACGATCCCGAAGTCCGTTGTATCTTGCTTTCTGGCGCCGGAGATCGAGCGTTTACCGCAGGTGGGTGATGGAAATCTTCAAGGAGCAACGAGTAATCTGAGCTGAGATGTCCTTCAGGCTTGGATGTGGAGCAAGCAGCCAAAGCTGATAATCCTTTCTCATCGAATTTTCCGGATCCCTCACGGAAGGCGACGGTGCTACGGCGGCATATATTTGAGCTACAGGAAGTCATCTCAGCCATCGCTCGCTGTGAGAAGCCTGTGATTGCGCTGTTGCACGGGTACACTTATGGGCTTGGGATCGACCTGTCATCGGCATGCGATTTGAGGTTTTGCACCAGCGACACCAAGTTTTGCGTTAAGGAAGTTGACATTGGGTTGGCGGCAGACGTGGGGACTCTAAGCCGATTGCCCAAAGTCGTGGGGGGTGTGACCAGTTGGGTGAAAGACGTATGTCTCAGTGCACGACCGTTTTCCGCAGAGGAAGCACTCAAGAACAACTTTGTGAGCCAAGTAGTGGACGGGGGAAAGGCTGAGGTCATTCAAGAAGGGGTCAAATACGCAAAATACCTCTCGAGCAAGAGTCCTGTGGCCGTACAGGGCACCAAGAACATCCTCGATGCAGCGTGGGGAAGGACCGTCGAGGACAATCTCAACTACACCGCCGTGTGGAATGCGGCCATGGTACAGAGCACTGATGTTCAAAGAGCCATGCTCAGCGGACTACAGAAGAGGACGCCGACATTCGAAAAGCTGTAGATGAGGAGGTATATGGGGTGTTGACGGGTGGTGTCATGACAATCGCATGTTCCTTGACTGATGCTGCTTGCAAGACCTCGGCATAAAGTAGACTGGGTAATCGCCTTGCCCTTGGTGCCCTACCAACTTGTACTGCAAGCAAGTACTTGTATGTACTTACTGTACTGCTATATCAGACGAATTAGGCGAGGCTGGATTGGTTGGTGGACAGACAAGAGTCAGCAGCCTGATTACCTTGGATGCGTTGTTTCGAGTTGTTTCTCTGGCGACTGGGGAGTTTACCCAGTAGAAGCCAGCACATGTGGTTAGCGCAGCAGCACAGTCCCTACTCGGTACGAGGCACTTGGACATGCACAAGAAACTTGCAGGGCAGCAAACGAGCGGTTCGCCGGTTCTTCCGAAGGCATGAGCGTGCATTTCACGTGATCCGTCACCAGAGAATCAGTCAGAGCCACTGGTCGCGTTGCCAGGGCAGAAAGCTGAGGATGAAACAGGTCACCAAGGTCACCAGGGTTGCTCTGACAGCCAAGCATTGCCGAAACAGCTGCAACATGGGATATGATGAGATAATTCGTTGTGAGCCCATGGCGAGCGCGGAATCTGCAGGATGAACATTCTGACCCATTGGCTGCAATGAGAGATGAGAGGGGAAGAGAAAAGAGGTCGCCACAGTGACACGATGGTGTTCGTGGGCGCCTGATTAAGATGCCCATCGAGCATGTAACAAGGTACCGAAAGATCCGAGTGGGTGTTGTTCCTGGCGCCAGCAGCAGCCAAGGCTGCCACCGAGCTGCCTGGAAATCGAGCCTAATGAGCCTATCAAGCCCGGACCAAGTTGCCCATGGTGCCGCTTGCTACTAAGCTTTTTGCAGTTGGCGTCACTCCCGGGACTCCCACTAGCCAGTGACGTCGTTGGCACAGCCCGGGCCACACAGGTCACCACAGCCACCCACCCAGCAACCAAGCTTAGGTAGGTACTGTACTTGGTAGGTACCCAGTAACATGTAGACGCCCAGGTTCCCCCTCAACGCCCCTCCGGCACCTGCTCCTCACAAGAGCTCCCGCAAGCGTCACCAGCGTCACTCAGCAAAAGTAGCTCGATCTGCCCAGTACATCGTCATTCCACCTTCCACTCCGTTCCGTTGCTCTCCACCTTGACCGACAGCTTCTACTTACACACAACTCTCCCTCCATCACACGTTTTGTCTCCCTGCTTCTCACCTCCTACCTTTACCTGCACCTTTTCCACGAGTACTCGCGTTACAATACCACCTCCAACCACGTCTAAGCTCCTGTATCGCTCCCACCAGGTCTCAATCAAGCCGTCAAGATGGTGTCCCGAACAGTGAACCTGATCCTCCGATCCATCGAGGTAAGCTCTTCAAGCACGCTCGCACTCTGTCTGCAGCTGGCAGCATCTAACCAGAGTCCTCGCGCAGTTCGTCTTCATACTCATCATCATGGGTCTCATCGGCAACGTCATTGCCATAGCTTTCGCCGGCAACCCCGCCTTGATCAATTACGATATGTTTGTAGCGGCTTTCGCCATGCTCTCGCTATTTTACCTTATACTGGTCGCTTTCAACGACTCTTTTATGGGCCATCCCATTTTCCCGGTTATTGTCGATCTGCTGAACTGCATTTTCCTCTTCTGCGCCGCCGTGGCTATGGCTGCCGAACTCGGGGTGCATTCATGTAGTAACAATGTACGGTTGCTTCTCCTTTGCGCGTGTGCTTCCTCCCGATGGACATATTGGCTAACTCATTGCGACAGACCTATACCCTCCACAACCACCTCACGAACGGCGCCCACGACAGAGAGGGGCGATGCCGGGAGGAGCAGGCAGCCACGGCCTTCCTATGGTTCGCATGGGCAACCTGGATGGTTAGCTTGTTCTTCTCCATCCTTGATGCTCGAAGCGGCGGTGTCAACCTGAGGGGACCTGTTCGCTCTAGAGGTGCGCGCCCAGCCATGTCTCAGGTGTAAAATTGTGAAGCAGAAGCTTGGGAACCGGACAATGAAAAGAAGCTCTTTCCTGCTTCTCGGACTCTGCATCACGTATGCTTGGAGACATTCCCCGCTCTCTTGGGGAGTTATCGGCTAACAGTTGCAAAGTCTGATCCTCCCATGATACACCTTGCGAGCCACACGTACACGATAACCCTAAAAGGGTCAACTGCGGCAAGTCGGTCTACAGCGAAGCTGGTCTAAACTGGAAGACAATACCCGGCGTATTATGACTTGAAACTTTTGATCCAGCCACCATCGGCGTTGGAAATTACACCCTCTGTCACTCCCTCTAGAACAATTGAATTTGCATGCCTGGCAGCCTGCACGGCGCTTCGACACCAAAGATGCCAACCATCAAGAAGAAGATAAGAGAGAAGCCGAAACGCCCAAAGACAATGCGAGAAATGGAATGCTTGCTATGAATTGAATGTGTGCAAGATCTGGATAATGCAGACGATCCTCACGGGTCGAACTGCTCTTAATGTGTATGATACAGCACATGGTTTATTATGCGCTGCATGATTGGTTTGTGACGGGCAAGAGCCTACTTCAAGAAGTAGCTATTAGGTAGCAATAATGAATGAGAAATGCAAAATAAAACCAGCACCAGGCACATAAATCTCTCAACGGTAAGAACATGCAGGGCTCTCAGTGAAATTGATGTTTTGGGTTAGCACGGTGGTTCTGGTGCCTCATAAGTAACAAGTAGACGTGGATACGGGTTCCTATCACACTCCTGTCATTACCCTGGCAACTTGCGTCTCACGCCTCGCTTGGGACTACTCAACAAACATACACGGCAAGAGAACCAGCCGGGGAATGGGAAAAGAACAGGTCATATATGTACCTCTGGTGTGCATAGGTGGAGCGACCAACAACCACCTCACGAATGAAAGGACTGTGAGGCTCGACTAGATTAGACTACAACGTACCTCGTACGTACTCCGTACTCCATATGGACACGACTACTTGTTACATATCGAGAAGGCCGTGGACATGGATGTGGGCACATGCCTCTTTCTTTCCTTTCTGGAGATTCCGCGGCGGCGGCAACGAACAACCGTGAGCAGACTACCTTATTCTCTCGCAAGGCAGCGCAAGGCTGGGCGAGAGAACTGTCGGGTGTACTTTGTACGGGGTCCTTCACCGGGCCTATTCACCCTACCAACAAGAGGCTGGACCGGCCGGACTCGGTATTGTCTTGGATCCGTCTTGGTGGTCCGGGGAGGAATCCTGCGCCGTGACATATCACGGCCCATGGGCATGTTCGGTCTACTTGTAGAGTCAGCGCCAACCGAAAGATCAGAGGACGAAATCCCAAGCAGGCGCTTTCAAAAAGGCCACGGACTGGAGTGAGTCCCAACGGGGCAGCCGAGTAGTTTTTTACATGCCTAGGTAAGTACAATGCTTGTGCTGCCAATTCCCTGCCTGCTGTCCCAGACACGCTTCGTCGACGACAGACTGATGATGCCAACGCTCTCAGCACAACACCCACATCTCCCGCGCCGCCTCGTGCCACCCGCCTGATCAGCTTAAAAATGGATCGCCTGGCTATATGTGGCCATCGCCGCCTCCTTAAATGCCTCGGCCAACGTTGGATGCGCATGACATGTCCTCGCCACGTCTTCACTGCTCGCACCATACTCCAGTGCCAAAGCGCCCTCAGCAATCATCTCTCCCGCATTCGGTCCAATAATATGAATGCCCAGAATCCTATCTGTTTCCGCATCGCTGAGGAATTTCACCATTCCTTCGGTGTCGAGGTTCGTCTTGGCACGCGAGTTGGCGGTGAAGGGGAAGGTGCCCACTCTGTATTTCACACCGGCGGCTTTCAGCTCACCTTCGTTTTGGCCCACCCACGCAACTTCGGGATGCGTATACATGACTGAGGGGATGGCGCCATAATTGACGTGGCCATAGCCTTTGGTGATGTACTCGACGCAGGCGACTCCTTCTTCTTCGGCTTTATGTGCGAGCATCGGTCCGAAGGTGACATCGCCAATGCATCGGATGTGAGGAATCTTGGTACGATATTCTTGGTCGATGACGACCCGTTTGCGTTCGTCCATCTCAACGCCAACATTCTCAATACCCAAGCCATCAGTATAAGGTCGGCGCCCGATGGCCACAAGCACGACGTCAGCATCTAGAGATTCATTCTTGCCCCCTTTTGCGGCCTCAACCTCAATCTTGACGCCGTCACCGCTGGCGTCGCCCTGAGTGACTTTGGTATTGACCTTGAATTTGATACCTTGCTTGCTTAAGATCTTTTGCGCTTGTTTGGCAATTTCCGCGTCCATGCCAGGGCCGCCGATTTGCCCAAGAAATTCGACAACCGTAACTTCGGAGCCGAGACGGGACCATACTGAGGCCTAGAAGCGTATTAGAAACGACGTCTCAATCAAGGGCAGGTGGGTTTGGAGTACCATTTCCAGGCCAATAATACCACCACCAATTACCACCATCTTCTTGGGCACTTCTTGCAGAGCAATTGCGCCTGTGCTGGTAATGACTTTCTTTTCATCGATCTGCAGGCCTGGGAACGGTGTTGTCTCGCTACCAGTAGCAATGACGATGTTCTTGCCCTTGACCTCGGTCTCACCGCCCTCGAGCAGATTGACTTTGACCGTGTGTTCGTCCACAAAAGATCCCGTGCCCTTGATGTAGTCAACGTTATTTTTCTTGAACAGGAATTCGATGCCCTTTGTCAGGCTAAGGACGGAGTCGTCCTTGGCCTTCATCATTTGGGTAAGGTTGAGCTGGACATCATTGACGTCAATCCCTCGCTTCTTGGTGTCGTGAAGTATTTGGTGATAGATGTGTGAGTTGTTGAGCAGAGATTTTGAGGGAATGCAGCCGACATTTAGACATGTGCCTCCAAGCCTTCCTCTCTTCTCGATACATACTGTCTATCCCGATGTCAGAAAGTTGGGTCTCAAATTGTTTGCCTGTCACAGAGCAGGATATCCGCACCTTCAGACCTGATTGACCAGCTTTTATTGCGCCAACATAGCCTGCAACACCGCCGCCAATGAACACAATATCATAGTCCGATGTTTCCGAAGCATAGCCCCTCCTTCTTTGCTGGTTCTGGGAAACAATCTGGAAGCTGGGGGCGATCCGGAGGTTCGCTGGCCCCAGGTGCGGAGCTTTCGTTGAGAGGAGTGACCGGCCCGTCCTGGGCACCAAAGTCTTGAGCATCGTGACAGAGACCGTGTCGATGGAGAAGGGGTTGAAGGGGTCAATGAAGGGAAGCGACCAAAAGTCGCAAAGGAAATACAGTCACCAAATAGCTTGGGCAAGGCAAAAGTGCTGAGAAATTGTAGCGAGCAGAACGCCGCTTGATGGGAGACGCAGTGCTTCCCGGAGTTGGAGCTTGAGTCCGAAGATTTCAATCGAGTTTAGTGCATTTGAGGGAATTTGGAAAAGGCTGACCGATGCAAACCGATGTCAGCCAGCGAGCCAGGTCTCTCACATTTCTCGCTGAACTTTCCTTGTTTGTCTTCTCAACATCGCAGAGTCTATCACATGAACTGCTAGTCCTATTCAAGAATAGACTAGTTTTAGTGCCCGAGCCAACGGGTTCGCTGGAGCACACGTACTGGGTACAACCACTTGCGAAGAACTCAAACGACTCTCTATCTCATCCACATTGAACAAGCGTACTGATAAAGATTGCATAGTTTTAAATTGGCTATTTGATGGCACTAGAAGAATGGAAGACAATTGCCAAAGAAGGAGAAGCAGGAACTGAGAAACCACAGCCTCATTCTGCTGCGTGGCATTTCATTTTGTCCTGCACTCATCTACGCCTTGTCTTCAGAATACCTTCCCTCTTGTTGTGCCCATCGACATAGAATGCATCGGTCGATCTGGATTGGAGGTTCTGGTCCCACTGGGTAAGGATTTCCCGCAGAGAGGTGAGCTGTACAAGTAAATCTGTGAGACACGATGGGCAAAGCTTATTCGTCTTGCTTTCCATTGTTGACGATGCATCAGTGGCCCATTGCGGCAAAGGGGCCAAGGACACGGCCGGAGAGAAGAGGAACCCCTGAGGGCGATCAGATGTGATTCTTGGTCAATGTCATGAGAACATGGTGTCATGGAAAAAGAAGGGGAGTGACTCATCCATGATTGTGGAAGGGTTCTTAGTTCTACTATTATGTCACGACAGCGGCTGCCGCAAGCATACGTTCATCAGGTTGTCCTTCTATGTGAAGCTGCTAGCCCTACCTGACCATCCCGTGTTACATCAGACTGCCTCAAGCGGACATCTCAATGCGACGTGCTTACTTCCATGGGACGCTTCCCTGCCACAATGTCATCCCATCGCTTCCACCATCCCAACACAGCAACCCTTTCAGATCCCTTCTCAATTCGCCATCGCTAAACCTTTCCAAGACCTCGCTCCTGAACTTCCCGCCATCCCAGCCTCTCTTCTCCCTCTTCCTGCTCAAGCCCACGCCCGTGCCGTAGAAGTCCTTCTCCCACGCGCCGTAGCCACGAAGTCGATCACCCTCCTCGATCTCTTTGAGCTTTGCCGGGCTAAAGGGCGGGTTGATCCCGATGTACGTGGTAGATTCAAGCGGGAAGCGGAGGGCGGGGAGGTGCAGCTCGAGAAAGCGGGAGCGTTTAAAGGAGTGGGAGACTATCGTGAGCTTGGTCGGGAAGGGTGCTCGAATGGTTTGGCTCTCCTGCTCCTTGGCCGCCGCAACAGTCAGAACATGCTGTGTGAGCGAGGAGGAGGATGATGATGATGATGATGATGATGATGATGATGATGATGATGTTGCGCCTTCCGTGATGTTTCGGCAATGGAGTTGTTGAATGAAGACGGGGAACTGGATCAGCGAGCAGAGAATGTTTTGATACGAGTCTGTAGCGTAGCGGTCGACGAAGATCCGCTGTCTCAGTGATGGTGGAGAGGTCTCCAGGCCGAAGAGGTCGTGCTCAATAGCAACGTTCTAGCCCGGCAGCCCAATTGATCAGCCCACCCACCCTCAATCGTTATTCTTTCTTCTTTGGGAACTGTGGTACGTGTCGTCTCGTAGCATTTACCACGGAGCCATCTTTGACTTACCAAGTACCCTTCCCCTTCGGTCGTTTGCGTCTTGTCCAGCTTTGTGGCCGCACCGCTAAATATCAGAATTGCGTCCTCCCTACTTCTCGCCAGCTCCTTCACTCCGGCTTCGATGTGTCTAATGTATGTGTCCGTTTCACCAGCTTGAAAGGGTTCAATCAGCCAGTTGGATTCGTCTTGGCTGGCAGAGTCCGTCCCCGGGCCCAGGTAGATAGCGTGGCAGCAGACCACGATGAGATGGGAAGGCACAGGCATCTGCACAGTTATGTTGATCTTATGGAGTTCTATGGAGCACAGGTGAAGGGGAAAGGAGAGCAGATGAGGTCACGCCTTGTAAACAGCAATAGAAGCCCTCCCGCGTCTCGTCCCATCCATGTACGTATGTATATACCACCACCTGCGCCATGAACCTATCTACAACTATGGTGATTTCACGTGCCTTTTCTCCTCGCTCTGTCACTCATGACTAGTGACTGTGTTTCGCAATGTGTTCCTAGTAGCACTTCGTCTGTCTCTGTCCTTGTGCGTGTTCGTAGACGGCCTTGGCGCCAAGATGAGGGACATCCAGCCCAACCCTCTTTAGGCCGAGGGTGATGCCGCCCTGTACGAGGTACTCATCCCCACCTCAATAGTTCCAGCCCGTCGATACCCGTAGCCTAGGTAGAGGGACCTTTAGCTGATTGATACTGGATTCTATCAAAATTCTCCTCCTAGGGTGCTGTGTCGAGGAGCAGCACTTAGGGTTCTAACACTGAATTATGGCCCCTCTCCTCCGGGAAAGAAGAGACGTCAGCCGCATATCAGGCCACATGGAGGTACACCAGGATTTTCAACCGTTTGGTGCATACTGGGTAGACTGAATGACCTTCCAGGACCAAACAAGGAAAGTGTTCAAGATGTTGGGTAGTTCTGACTTTCACCCGCGCCGATCCGTCTTATTCCGCAGAATTGTGACGATGAAGCGCCAAATCACTTGTACTCGTGGCCGAAACTCTCTGCAATCCCAGTCTAGGTCCAGAAGGACGACAATATTACCAGGTCTTTTGTTCATTCTTCGTACTGTATTTATTCATGAGTGAGCTAACGGCTTTGGGCATGTCGCAGTGGAGCATGGGCCCGGGCCGCAGCAAGGCGTCCAATGTTGCCAGTCTTCTGGTGGATCGCGCTGATCTTCATGACGCAGTGCAGTTTAGTGTTGGGTAGTGCGTCCTTGTGAGGTACCCTGCTCGATTCGGAATAGAATTGACCGCGCTGTACCTGAGGTCGGAGAAGTGGACTCAATAACGACGAGGGAGCCACTGTTTCACGGAGATCTAACTGTATAGACCACGGACGCAGGACCCTTGCTTTCAAATGGAACGTAACCTCCATTGTTTTAACTGCGTTTGAGGAAAACAGCTTGTAGGCGGAGCCACTTTGGTTTCGACAGGGTTCGTCGTTCGAGTGTCCTTCATCTTATTCTGAGCTTTTCAGCTGCACGAGTCCTCTGATACCATCCATCACAAACAGGGAAGTCGGTCATCGTCTCTGTCTTGAGGCTGAACATCCTTGGAAGACACATGAAGATCTCAATCTCCCAGAAGTGGATGCCTCGACACCAGATGATGCTGAGCCTCTCTCATTTGGGTTGTTTCTCCGATCATGTCTCCTGCCCGAAGAAGACTCTGACGTTGCGAATATCCATATATATAAAAGGCGAGCATCATGCTCGGCATGCAACGATTCCAACATCTCTTCAGCAGCAACAATTGGAAAGTTGGTCCCAGCCCTCATCTCTTTTTCACCCTTTCGCTCCAATTACAACCCCCAACATGGCTCGCCGAATCAGTGGTATCTCTCAGTCCCTGGTCATGTCCTTGGTGTCATTGTCACTTCCATGGTGCGCCATTGCCGCCGCCAATCTCAAACCCAATTGCACGACTCTGACAAAGTTCTTTGGTCAACCGATAGACCATGCAAAGCCAAATTCGGGAACTTTCCAGCAACAGTATCAGGTGCTGTCTGATCATTTCAAGCCAGGGGCGCCGATTCTATACTACCAGCAGGCCGAGACCAGTATCTTTGCCTGCCTGGTATGTACATGATTTGTCCACAATGTTTTACAGCGTCTTAATCTTGTCTTAGGAGAAATCCGTCCTTCCCGAGTGGGCTGCAGAACTGGGAGCTCTGGTTATAACTCTTGAACATCGCTTCTTCGGCCTCAGCAATCCATCGAATGCCTCCAACCCCATTGACAGGTACCAAACATTGACACTCGAGAATGTCATGTCAGACGCTGTCACATTTGTCCAACACATTAAGAACACAGTCGCTGGGGCGAAGAACAGCAAGGTGATAGTCACGGGTGGTTCCTACGGCGGATTTCTCACAGCAGTCCTCAAAATGAATCATCCGGATGTTTTCTTCGGCGCGATTCCTTTTGCCGCGCCACTTCGCTCGATTGGAGCAAATAACCAAAACCCTCAACGATACGAATGGTTCAAAGGGGTGCATACAAGAACGCTCGGAGTGATATCGACATGCTAAGAAGTGATCCAGGCGAACCAGATTTACTGGGACTTGTCTGCTTCAGCAGCCAGCAAAATGAAGCACGCGTTTGAAGTACTCAACAAGCGATTTCAAACAGGTAAACCTGTATCTCTAGTTGTTCTGCTTCTGTGGAAGTCGATTGACACTGGTTCCTTGCAGCAACCAATACCCAGAGCATCGCAAAAGACTTCAATCTGTGCTCCGTTCCCGAAACCGTCATCGACCTCCAAACGATAATGGCAATGATCAATACTGCAGCATACCTGATCCCGCAGGGCAGCTACAACAACCCGATCGCAAACCCAACAGGAGCAAGCGCACAGAAGCTAGTGAACACCACGCTCCACCTGACCGATCCCACACAAATCATTAACGCGTCTCTGACGACATACTACCCGCCATCCTCCTATCCCTGCATCGAATGGAACTCGACGGAGTCCGACGACCCTACCCTGCAAAAGAACACATTCAACTACCTCCTGTGCAAATACTTCCCGCTGAGCGCCAACGAGATCCCCGCCGGGACCATCTTCGTGCCCACGTCCATCCAGACCGAGACCGACCCGCACACCTGCGAAACGCTGTACGACATCGTGGCCCCGACCCAAGAGTACGTGGAAACCAAGTACCACATCACGCGCGACGAGTTGGTCCAGGCGAAGCGCATCCTGTTTGCTTACAACGAAATGGATCCTACCACTGCTGTGGGCGTTGATCCTTTGCCCATCACCCAGGATCGGAACGCGTCCAGGTACATGTTCACCTCGTTGTCGGCACACGGGGAGGAGGTGATTGCGAGTTATCCGGGCGATAAGCCCTCCGTCGTCCATGTAAGTTGAGAAACGCCGTGGCTCTATGAATCGGTGAACGCGCGCTGATACGTGGCTTGAACCAGGCGAGAGAAGTGCAGCTGCAGACGATCAAGGAGTGGCTCGGTCTTTACTAAGGAGGACTTCGAATGGTGGACCAACAGAATGCCGGGTTGGGGAAGGGGGATTGTAGAGGTAGAGGAGCTTCTGTCAGAGGGAGATATTGCTTTGTTCTGTTCATTTGGCGCACTGTGATAGTTGATTCATATATTAACCCTGCTTCCGTCAACTAAGACTTGAAATTTCATCAATCTTCACGAATGCGCCTAAAAAAAACAACCTTTGAGGTAGGAGGTGAAATATGAATAGCATTGCAGCCACTGTATCATTAAACCTCAGATTAGAAAGTCTCCTCAACCTAGATTCCCCAGGATCGAGGCCGCCATTGGTTCAAGAAATTCCCTAGTATAGTAAATGTGCAACTCGCTGACCAGCAAGTTGATTTTTCGCAGGATCCAGTTCTTGACTTCCTCACAGCAGACAAAGAAGGCGCATATGAGAGGCAACTGAAGGAACTGCGCTCCCAGCGGCTTCAAGTTAGCTGCATACTCATAAGACATGCAAATGTTTTGTGTTGCAGAATCAGTGGCAGAGGAGTCTAATTCTTGCCACTGATCGTCTTTGTGGCAGAGACTGGTCATGCAGACACCAATTATTAGTGATGCGGTCCAGGACCAGGTATGGAAGATGGCACCTTCTGGGGTCTGGAAATGAAATGTCGTCGGGAATGTTAGTTCGTCGATGTGCTGTGACGGAACCAATTCGAAGGCGAACTCGTTCTTTGGATCATGCTGCTCCTGAGCCCCAGCGGAGAGGGAGGCAAGTCCATGTTGCAGCGACTTTGCATATTCCGCTCCTTGGTCCATGCTAATGAGATGTAGAGAGGACCTCCAGCCTCGCACAAGTCTGACCAAAAGACGGTATGTGGCTGAACAGTACGAGCAATCGGTCTACCATTGTGGATCCGAACTTCCCGCATGTCTCCAGGTGGATATCTCGCCAGCCATCGCGAAGCAGGACGCAGTCTTCCTGCTGAAGCAATGCCAGCATGATCTTGGGGTCTTGTGAGTTGGAGTGGCGCTTTGGGACAGCTAAAATAAGACATACCATTTGTCCCCTTTGAGAGCGAAGCAATTCTCTCTCACAGGCTGTCGATATCTTCTCTGGTTCGCGGACGACAATCGATTTGGTAGCGGCTCCGGCATGAGCGATGTATTGGCAGCCATGGTGTTGCGTAATGGTTCGCTTGGGTTGGTGTCGCCAAGTGAGAGCGGACTACAAGTAGTTGGAACTTCTGCACCATTCGGCCCTGCTCTACCTTCGTAGAGAGCACATTCATTCTCGTTTGTAACATAGCTTCGCTTCGTGATTGGATTGGATGGTGATATGGCTGTTGGTGGTCGGACACATCGAATCTGGGACTCTCATTGCGGAAATGGTATCGCGCCGCATATACACATCCCCGGCCAGACTTCACGCAGCGAGCACAAACTGGATGGCCCTCATCGCACTATTTCAATGGCGGTTATTCCAGGGTCTGAGAATAGCCAAAGGTAGGGCCTGAACCTTTTACCTTAACCTTCTGACGCCTGCATTGTACACACCCATGACTTCTTCTGCTCGAAGTATACGTTGAGTATTTTGACTCCATGCCTCATAGCCAGCGTACGGGAAGTCGGCCTGATGCAGGAGAATCGAACGTGTGCATCGCCGCTCAGGTCTCAAGAGAATTCACAAGATTTGAGGACAATTGAGGCCCCTCCGCAGACTCGCTTAGGAGAGCGTTGGGGAATGCCCTAGGCATCCTCGACACCAGCGTATCAGTTATCGACATCCGATACCATGTACCAGCGCGGAATTCTATTCTGGCGCACGAGTAGAAGCTATTGTCGAGTAGAGAAAGAGGCGGGTCATGTTTATGCGACTCCATGGAGGACATGATGGATTCTAACAGGGCTATGGGGACCTGTCTGACTGCCTGATATACTGTTTGGTAAATTACACAGGGGTTAATAGTGGCGTAACGGTTCTAGCATGTCTCGGCAAACCTGCCATTCAAATTTTAAAAGCGGCGTTGGTCGGCGAGGTCGGGTGAGTGCCACGTGACCACGTCATTTGCTGCCCACCTGCAAGCACCTGCCAAGATGTTGCCCAGTTGGGCTGTTTGGGCTGTTTGGGCTGTTTGCTGGGTTCCAAACGGGGTTTAGTGTAGAAAACTCCGACCACCTCACCAGAGAGACCTGTAATATCCCTCTTGTATCTCGTACCAAGGAGGTAGAGACCTTCAAGCTACACAGTTCTCATCGCCTTGCCGATTTCTTCTCTGGATTTCCACCAAGATGCGGCTAAGAGATGTACAACGTCTGGAATTTCCGCCGTCGGCGGATATGCATGTTCATTTGCGGCAAGACCAAGTTAGTCCTCACCAGCCCCAATACTGGGTTAGACTGAAATGATTTCTCCCTGCCTCCAGGTCATGGAATTAGTGGTTCCCCAGATTTTGAAGGGGGGAGTGGATACGGTCTTTGTCATGGTATGTAGATGTTCGAACGGCTCGCTCTAGCATTAGCTGAACACCAGTGGTGTACAGCCAAACCTACAACCGCCCATCACACGTATAGCCCAGGCTCTAGAATATCAGTCTCGTCTGCGGTCCATCGAACCTACAGTCAATTATCTCATGTCACTCTACGTGGGTAATCTGTGGCTGTGAGGTTGCCACGGGGTTTAACGATACCAGCTTCATCCCTCCATTACCCCGGAAGTAATCGCTGAGGCAGCAGCCGCAGGTATCACTGGGGTCAAGATGTATCCTCAAGGTAAGGCATCAATGACCAGGCTCCTTTCCTCCATGTTGGAGTATTAATACATTTTAGGCGTGACCACAAATTCTGAGTCAGGCGTGCCAGCGGATTTTCTGAACGCCTATTCCCCTGTCTTCGCTGCCATGGAACACCACGATCTTGTCCTTAATTTGCACGGAGAGTGGCCGGGACCTCTACCCAGCCACGATATTTCTCTTGAAGAAGCATTCCTGCCGGAGCTTAAAAAGCTTCACCAGAAATTTCCACGTCTTCGATGTGTCCTTGAGGTGGGCAGATCATGATCATCAACTGTACAATATTATAATAACACTTCGCAGCACTGTTCGACCGCCGCAGCTCTAGATGCCGTACGAGCTTGTGGTCCATCGGTTGCTGGTTCGTTCCTTTCCAACCGGTCGTGGTGACCTAATTGCCATGACTTTCCAAACCTGCTTTCCCTTGGCTGCTCTTCTTCTAAATTCATGGATACTGCAGGAACGATAACGGCACATCACCTCTATCTGACGGGTGATCATAGTCAGACCGATCCTCTGGCATTCTGTAAACCTATTCCAAAAAAGCCATCAGATCGAGATGCCCTGATCAAAGCCGTGTGTAGCGGCGACCCTAAATTCTTCTTGTGAGTTATCCCGCGTCCTTTAAGTATGATCATTCTCTACTGACCGTGCCTACCTCCTTCAGCGGTAGTGATAGCGCACCGCATCCGTTAGCGTCCAAGCAAAGCCGCCAAGCAGTACCAGCGGGCGTGTTCACACAGCCCTTCGCTACTCAGCTTGTCATTCTAGCACTTGAAGAGGCAATTGAAAGGGGAGTTCTCGGAGAAGATGAAGTCACACAGGACCGGCTTGAGCAGTTCCTGAGTCGATCTGGAAGGCTCTTCTACAAGCTACCTGACCTTGCCACCGAAGGACCACCCAAGATCGTACTCGAGAGAAAAGGCGAGACTATTCCCCCGAGCATAAAGAGCGCTGATGGCACCGTTGAAATTGGGTTGTCAAAATCTACGGCTCCTGTTTTCAGTTTAAGCTGGCTTACGTAGAATCTCTTCTAATTGCCTCAACAATGCCCTTGACACTACGAGGCTGGCACAAGGCTGGCACGAGGCTCCGGTTGGCGGTAAGATCTTATTCCGCACAGACAACAATATATATTACATTCGGCGACTCCCGTTTAATCTCTTCGTCTTTCAACAATACACAATTCCACATTGAATCCCGCAACAGTCTATATACTATATATCAGTGGCTACTCCCACTGTTACTGAACGATGGCCGAGGTTGGGTTCGCAGCTTCATTAGTAGGCACTGCAAGCTTCGGTATTCAACCGACTTCGACGCTTTACACGTTCGGAGCAACCACTGCGTCTGCCAAGGAACAGACCGACTACATCGCCCGCCATGCGACGCTCTACGCTGATGTGTTGGAGCTACTTGCGCAACGTATCAATGACGACGAACCGATCCACTCGCAAAAGGCCTTCAAGCTCGTCGATGAGATCTACAATCAATCTTGCGATCTGTTCGCCGGAATTGAGAATCTGCTGCCCGAAAAGAAAGATAGTATTAGCTTTATACAAAGGATGGAGTGGAATTTCAAGAAAATAAAGGTTGACCTCCTCGCTGCCGAGGTCGAGTATCTGAAGACCACAATGAACCTCTTGGTGAGTGTTCTGTATGCGGACAAGAAGATTCGGGCGCATAGACGCAAGAGAACATCAAAACAGGCCAAAGCAGATGCAGCAACTCAGTTTGCAAGAGCGCAAAATGCTATTGTGGAGTTGGTGAACGCCACTGTCACAAAGGCGCACCTACAATCGAAAGTCGAGGAAGAGGAGCAAGACTCGTCTAACGAGGTCGGAACCAGAAGCCACCCGCCAGGCTCCTCAGCGCTCCTCAGGCTCGGTGAACACATTGAGACAATTTCCAACAACCTCGCTATTACCCAGCTCAAAGAGTCAATTGAGCAGGCGAAGACTGTTTCAGAGGAGCGGGCTCTCGTGATTCGCAACTCTGTCAGTTTGTTGGAGGACCTACTGAATCAACGGACAACTCTCGCAGAAGACAGCGCGGACCACAAGGAAAACAAAGTCAAGCTCGAAAGCAACTCGACGGGGGAAAAGACCTTTGGCAAAGGCATAAATACCGCAAATGAAGCTACAAATTCTGAGGACTTTCCGACGCCACAGGCATCGCCAATCACTCAAGACGAGGACGCCATAGCGAGAATGTACATGGTCTCGCAAAGAAGAGTGAAAGAGCTTGGAGATGAATTGACGAGAATGAAGGATGCGGCGACAGCGCCAGGTTCGAAGAAGGACGAGAGCAAGACTTTATATGGTCGATGCCCTGCGATGATGCGGGACTTTCCATTCCGTCCGCCTTCACCCACGATTCGAAGGACCGAATCGGCCTGAGATGACGACAGACTAATGTCCCCCCAGCACGCCTCCGATATCACACACAAAAAGTGGTCCGGAGCAAATGTTCAAGGCTCACGTCGAAGAACGTGTCTCTTTATCAAATACCAGACCAGACCCTACCGACAAGCCAGTGACCTCACAATCCACTCGTCCAGGTCCCCCTGACAAATCTTGGCCTTCACAATCTACTCGACAAGATCAGAGGCAGAACGACTATATTGAACCAATAATCATCAAGAGGTAAAGTAGAGGTGTTAGAGTGGTCAAGTGGCAGCGGCCTCGACGGTCAGGTTAAATCCGTCAGGTGTAGACGGGTTCCGTGACACCTCCTTATAAACTAGAGCTTCTACGATCGGGAACCCTCGACCACTATCTCGTCCTGTTATCCCTTGTATAGGTGACAGAAGGGGCTGTCAAGCAAGGGCCTCGGCTGAAGGCCTTCAGAACGCGCCAGCTGACAAGCGCCCGAGGCGATGTGAGCGTGTCTGGACTGCGGAATGCTTTGCGTGTCAGGTTGACAAGTGCTTGCAAACGGATAGCGAGAGAGGTTCTATGCCAGTACATGTAATCAATCACATATAGAGAGATACGTAGAAACACAATTTTCTATTCTCCCAGAGCTTCGATCAAGCCTTTGCGTGGTGTAGCCAAGCTGGTCCTGGGAGGGCTCTTGAACCAAGATAATCTCTCCCTCCGTTCATGACCAATGGTGTCACTCATCTATGCATTGCGCTCTAAACAGGCACGTAAATTTAATCCAACAACTATGTACAGTCCTGTATGGTACAAGCTCACCCTCCCTTCCCTCCTTCCTCTCTCCCCATATGCCCTATCGCGCAGTAACAGTGATAGTCATGGTCTCGGTAACCGTAATCTGAGCTTGAGTGGGGTTGAGCGTCACTGGAACGACGGCCAATCCATCCGTTGCCGAAGTCGCTGTTGCTTCAGAAGGCGATGATGATGATGATGATGATGATGATGATGATGTTGCTAGAGAGGAAGCCACCGGTTCGGTGCTAGTCGATATAGTTGGGACTGTTTCAGCAGCTGGTTCCGGGACGGGCGATGATGGCGAAGTAGTTGCGGCTGTCGCAGGTTCTGGAGGGATTGGGGTCGTGGTGCCAGAAGCCGCGGTTGTCGATGGCAGCCCTTGTTGATCGGTGGCAGTAGTGCTGGCGGCGTTGCCGTTCGCGTCTGGCGTGAGTGTCGTGTATCCGGCTATAGGACCGGTGAAGGTTGGGCTGAGAGTGACGAAGACAACTGTTACAGCAGCGGCAGGTTGTTGGTCTCCTTGATTTCCGGCTCCGGTACTCGACGCAGGAGGGGAAGCTTCTGCAACGGTGGCTGACGGGGTGGTCGCCGTTGTTGCAATCCCAGCGGGAGCGCCAGTAGTTGATGCAGTGACTTCAGCAGTAACGAATACAGTCTGGAAGATTGTTGTTTGGGCTTGCACGGTGACGGTTGAGGTCGATTGCTCCTGTGCTCCGGTCTGCGCCGCGTTGGGTTGAATAGCCGTTCCAGAACCCACTGTTTCAGATGTGTTATCTGAGGACCCCGAGCCGTCGGAAGATGCGGGCTGTCCGGCGGTGGAGTTGTCTGTTGTAGAAGCGGTCGCCTCGCTAGGTGCAACCGTCTGAGTGGCTACTTCGATCGTAGTTTGCGTCAGCAGGCTGAGCAGGCTGGTATTGTCTCCTCCCACGCCAACAGCAGGGACCGCTCCATTCTCTGTTCCACTCCCTGTCTGGGTGGCAAACGGGTTGGCGCTCGACTCTGTTTGCGTTGCGGCTGCTTTATTTGCAGGATCTGTGGGAGCTTGTCGCCTCCTCAGTAGTCCATGGGTTACTGAGAGTAGGTTGTCTACTACATAGCGTTTCTGTGGTTGATTCAAACGACGTATTACGTTATCGGGCCTGCAAGGAAGTCAACATGCTAACGAATACCGACAACGAGTGCGGGGACACACCTCCGAATTGGACCAGCCAAGATTGGTGTCAACAGAAAAAGGAGGGTGAGTATGACCGTATGCATAACTGTCCAGCAGTATCTCAAGCCAAGGTAATTGCAGTACTGAATGTGTAGTTGGTGGAGGAGAAGGATTAATCAAGCTGTTAGAATGACGCCTGCGTGCAGAGGAAATATTATTGTGCGCGGAACTCCTCGGCTATGCAAACAGATACAGATGTATGAGAGAAGATTTGATGTGTGCGTGCGCAACGTGTTCCCAGATACTTCGACAGACCTTTTTGAAGTATCATGATCCAGCGCGTAACAAATTGGCGACTCCTCGAAGGCGGCCTCCCGTTGTCTAATCTGGTTCTATGTCTGTTCATTGAAACATGTTTCTTCTATGCTGTGAAACAAAAATGGTGATCGCAAATCGTCGGTTTAGGAAGTGGCCTTTGTTTCTGACAAAGAACAGAGACCGGAATGGTTGGTGCTCAGCTGGTCCGAGATGCAAGTTGGCGGGGCGGAGTTGGTGCCAAGACCGGCCGAGAGGAGGACATTGATTGGCTGGGAGTGCATCTGGAAAAGGGCGCCAGCCTTGCGGCCTTGCAGAGCCGCCAGCTCCACAGTTTTGTTTCATCTTGCTGCTTCTGTGGCCAGCTCCATAGCCTCCTTCTGGAAACAATCGTCCTGCCTGGACCCAGCACAGGCGCTAATGCAAGGCTCGCTTCTCACTGATTTCTTCGAAAGACTGGATCTGATCGCCCACTTCGAATGCCTCCCAGTTCTCAAAGCCCATACCACATTCGGAGCCTTTTCGCATCTCTGTAACATCCTTCTTGATATTTTTAAATGAGTTAAGCATGCCTAGAGCTTCGTTAGTCGACCTGGCAACCTTGATCCTGGGGCACAACTTACCAGTGTAAATCACCTCGCCTTTTCTCAAGACTCGAATCTTTTCCGAGCGGCGGATAGTCCCATTGGTCACTCGACAGCCGGCAATCTTCATTGTTCCTTTTTTGATTTTGATGTCAAAGATATCTCCAACCTCTGCTTCTCCCAAGACGCGTTGAGTCACAATTGGAGGCAATTCTGCACTCACTTTCTCGGTGACATCGTCGGTGACCTTGTAGATAATGTTGTGGTCAAGGATCTGTATCCGGGCCGCCGCCGCAAGTTGTCGTATGTCGTTGTCGATGGGCTGATTGAATGAGATTGCATAAGCAACTTCGCCGGTCGCAGCCAGCATTTTGATGTCTGACTCGGTCAGGCCTCCCGTCCCGCTGTGAATAATGTTTGCCCGAATCTCGTTGTTGCCAATTCCACCAACCGCAGCAACCAAGGCTTCTGTGCTGCCAGCCACGTCGGCTTTGACGACGAAATGGACAAGTTGAGGGCCCGAAGACTCTTTCTCGATCCAGCCTTCATTGTCCTTGGGACGCCTTTTGTAGCCCATAGACAGGTATCCCTGCTCTTTCTCCCACTCGAGGACTTTGGTTCGAGCTACAGCTTCCTCTGCGCGTGTCGCATTGATTGCCGTCATATTGTCCATCTCCCAAGCCGCTTCCTCACGTTCTTTTCTCACTCCAACCGCCTCTTTTGCTCGTTGCTCATTTTCGGCCTGCAGCACCTCCAGGCCTGCCTCAGGGTCTTCTCCTCGCCAGCCATCAATTTGGACAGGTGTGCCAGGAGGTGCAGCATCAATCAATGCACCTGAATCGTTTCGCAGGGTTCGAATACGAGCCCAGGTGGTACCAGCGACAATAAAGTCACCCGGTCTCAGGGTTCCACGACGCACGAGAATCGTAGCGACACGACCCGTGGCGCCAACTTTGCTCTCGATGATCCAGCCTTCCGCAGGTCCATCGGTTTCGGCGCGGAAGTCGGCAACATCAGCTAAAGTGAGAATGGCTTCCTCCAGGTCTCCCATGCCCTGGCCTGTCTTTCCGCTCACTGGAATAGCTTGATACTCTCCACCAAAGTCTTCCACAACGATCTCGTGTTGCATCAGATCTCGCTTGACTTGTTCAATGTCGGCTTCGGGTTTGTCAACCTTATTGATTGCCACAATAATTTGCACTCCAGCCTCTCGTGCGTGCTTGATGGCTTCTATCGTTTGGGCTTTGACGCTGTCGTCTGCAGCAACAACTAAAACAACAATGTCGGTCACAACGGCACCTCTTCGACGCATCTCCAAAAATGCAGCATGCCCAGGAGTGTCGAGAAACGTGATATTGCGTTCTGATCCGGGCATTGTGACGGAGAAGGCTCCGATGTGTTGAGTAATGCCTCCGTGTTCGGTAGCCACCACGTTCGCCTTCCTGAAGTAATCGAGAATAGTAGTCTTTCCGTGGTCGACATGACCCATTATGGTGACAATTGGGGGTCGAGGGGGTAACACTGAGGAGTCTTCCGCTGGAGGGCGGGGGAAGATATCGCCTGTGTCATCAATGGTTTTGATAATCGCTTCAAAGCCATAAATTTCTGCAAACATGGCGGATGTGCTCGAGTCCAGAACGTGGTCGTACCTAGCACCCTCGAATCCCTCCTCTTCAAGCTTGTCAATGAAGTCCGGAAGCCTCACCTTAAGTCCCTGTGCGAGCTTCTCAACACTTATGAACTCCGGCAAGATTATCTCTGGTCTCGCTGTTGTCTGCTGCCTCGCTTTTGCTTGCTTTCCCTTCTTTTTCCGCCTCGCTTTCCCTTCATCGGAAAATTCCTCGGCCAGATCTGGGTCAAAATGGAAGTCCAACGAACCTGCCCTGGAAATACCGCTCCTCCTCGCGGTAGGAAGTTTAACTTTTCGTGAAACCTGAACTGACTCTTCATCCTCGATTTCGTAAAGTCGAGCTCTCCTGTCAGGGTCTTTGATACCCACGAGCTTTCGCTTGCGCCTCTCGTCTTCCGCATCCTCTGAAAGCTCGGTCTCTACCAGTGTAGCAGGTTCTTGATCGGGAATAGCTGGCTCTTCGGACCCTTCAGGAACTCTCTTTACACGTCTGTCTCGACTCGTTCTTGGGTCGAATGCTCGTTGAGGAGTACCCGCCGATCCAGGTCGCCAGATCGAGGGGTTGTCTCGAGAAACCCTAACTCCTGGGTCTTTGCCTGCCCCGGATCCTTGGGGGGTTCGCCTGGGGAAGTCTCGTCTCATGGGTTTCAGTGCTTGAGTCTCGCGGCTGCCTCTTTCTGCGGGCGACCCAATTCCTGCCGCAGAAGCTCCCGACCGCCGTGGCTCTCCAGCTGTCGGATTCTCGGTCCCGCGGTACTTTAGAGCGGTACCTATCCTCGATAATGGCGAGTAGACTCCAGGCTCCCTCTGAACTCCATTCCCATTATCGACATTTCCTAATCCAGATTCCGCAGGTGGCTTCCGCAGATTCGAGTATCTGAAAAGTGGACGCTGGGACCCGGTGGGGGTCTCGCGCGGGGACACATTGTTCCTGCTACTTCTTTCGCCAGCAACGTTATTATTATTATAGTCTCTCCGACCCCTGCTCATCGGGGACCATTGCTCCTTGCGCTGTGATTGGCCAAGGCGCGATCGTGAGTTGAGCGGAGGTTCGTCGCGCGATCTTTCTCGGGGTCCCGATTGCACGCGGGAAAGGATCTCCGATACTGAGCCTTCACTCGAGGAGCCAGAGTGGCCGGCTTTGGGTGAACCATGCGATGAAGAGATAGAAGGGTGAGGAGGCGACGGCGGGAAAAAAGGACTAGGGTCCGCGTAGACCATTTCGGGCCTTTGTGGACGAGGACTCAAGCATATCGTACACTCCGACCTTGCAGACTTGTTGATATGATTGCAGCGACATTTCCAACCCAAAAGCTCTCTCGCCGGCACCGCTGGCGCAGGGAGATCATCGTCCTCTTCTTCTATACGGGCGGCTGCAGCTCCAGCCGGACGTTTTGATGGGGCAGCAGCCCTATAGAAGCGGCGCTGAAGTTGAAGTGGATTGACATGTCGAGACTCGACAGCGTATCGAAAGGCGCAGAAAAAGCAGATATCTTGACCTTGTAGTAACTAACACCAACCAGTCAGTATCTCGCAAAATGTGGAATGGAGAATAATTGTTGCACATACCTTCTGCGTCACGGCCCTGCGCATGCTGGGTCGACGTTGCCTTACTCGGGTCGATGGTTTAGTCTCAATACTGAGTTCAACAGGAGACACGCTGCATTGTCTTCGTATCTACTTGTTATAACTTTTTTGGTGGCGGATCCGGTTCGGGGGAAGCATAGGCTATCAAAACGCAGGCACATACTGTAGCGCACAAACCCCGTCAAGCGCAATTCTCATTGACGACATGCTGTGCCACACCTCAATTTCACAAGCCTGCATTGGATTCGAGTGCCTAGTCCGCTGTACATGACCGACAAATATGCACTCAATGCCATTCTGACTTGTGTTTACCTTGTCGGACACCACAGCGAACATTCCACCCCTCAGCCCAAATCCAGGCAATAGAGCCAATCACGAATCAGCGGCCAAGCCCGCGACCTCGACGGAATATCGACCGACAGAGGCTAGCGAATGGCGTGCCCAGTCGTGCCCTGAAGGAAAAAGAATTCAATACTGAAACCGGTACCCGATAATTTCATATCTTGTCGAAATGAGGTGAGCCTGCGCTGAGGGGATCGACTGAGCAGAAGAATCAGAAGATGGCGGATAGTGCCGAAGCAATTGAGGCACATGAGGTTGGAAACACCAGCTGGGTGAGAACCGCCAAAGATCTGTTTGCCGGCGCTGCTGGCGGTGTCGCCCAGGTTCTGCTAGGTGAGTTTGGATGTGATTGATTTTGCTGTGGTCTTTATGACAACGCTTCGGGGATTGAGATATCCCTGCCAATTGCTTCAAAGAGATGACTTTGATTGTCGAGTTCGACAGCTCTGGTTGTGTTAGTTCTTCCTCAATCATGCACTAACCTTCTATCCCAGGTCAACCATTCGGTAAGCTCTAAGGACTATAGCCTTTGCGCCTCTGCTCAGCAATATCTCATGAATGATCTCCTAGATATCGTCAAAGTCCGCCTTCAGACGACAACCACTTACCCCAGCGCCTTATCATGTGCATCATCAATCCTCCAGAACGAAGGACCGCTGGCATTCTATAAAGGCACACTCACTCCTTTAATTGGCATTGGGGCTTGTGTCTCCGTCCAGTTCGGCGCCTTCCACTATGCTAGACGAGCATTCGAGGAACAAAACCTCCGCGCCAACCATCCAGCAGATCTATCATATGGCCAATACTACCTGGCAGGGGCCTTCGCTGGTTTAACCAACTCAGTTCTCTCTGGCCCAATCGAGCATGTGCGTATCCGTCTACAGACTCAACCACACGGTGCTGCCCGCCTTTACAACGGGCCCTTAGATTGTATAAAGAAGCTCTCCGCTCACGAAGGCATCCTACGAGGCCTCTACCGCGGCCAAGCGGTCACACTCTACCGAGAAGCACAAGCCTACGGCGTCTGGTTTCTCACCTTCGAATACCTGATGGCCTTAGACCAAAAACGCAACAACGTCCGCCGCGAAGATATTTCTTCTCCAAAAGTAGCCTTCTACGGAGGACTTGCCGGTGAAGCGCTGTGGATCGCCAGTTACCCCTTTGATGTGGTCAAGAGTAAGATGCAGAGCGACGGCTTTGGGAAGGAGCAAAGGTACAAGACCATGAGAGATTGCTTTGCGCAAACGTGGAAGGTCGACGGGATGAGAGGATTTTGGAAGGGTATCGGGCCGACATTGGTGAGGGCTATGCCTGTCAGTGCGGGTACATTTGCAGTGTAAGTTCCTCGTCCCTTTTCGTCAGAAGCGAACATCACGGTTAACATGAGTGTTCAGAGTTGAGTTGACGATGCGCGCGTTGGGATGATATCTGGAACCAGGTTTGCGCCAGGGAGACCGTGCGATAGGAACACAGCTTGTGGCCATTCCAATTCCAGTTCAAGGCTGCTAAGCAGGCGCAGAATTTTGTCGACTTAAGCCAGTTGAATAATGGACAATTAAAGCACATGAAAAAGGCCTCTGTTGGATAAACGCAATTTACGTGACTTTCGCTGCCAGGCCACTTTGCTCCTTCATGCTGTCTCACAGCTTATGTACAATTTGAGAATGAGCGCAACGAGCCTTTCCAGTAACACTTTCATCTGTAAGGTGCATCCGCTCTTGCCACAGCAGCCAATTCAGGCTCCCATTTGTCACCATTGGCGAGCAACTTCTCCTTGTTATACAGGAGCTCTTCGCGGTACTCTGTTGCGTACTCGGCATTGGGTGTCTCGACAATGGCATCAACGGGGCAGCTCTCCTGGCAAAGTCCGCAGTAAATGCACTTTGTCATATCGATGTCATAACGAGTAGTTCTTCTCGAGCCGTCTTCTCTTTCCTCGGCTTCAATTGTGATGGCTAGGGCGGGGCAGATAGCTTCGCAGAGCTTGCAGGCGATACATCTTTCCTCGCCAGAGGGATAGCGCCTCAATGCGTGCTCACCTCGGAATCGCGGTGAGATAGGCCCTTTTTCGAAGGGATAGTAGATTGTGTAGCTGCAGCCTCAATATCAGCAGAGCTCTCTCAAGTTATTTCAAACCTCCCTCAACGGATTGCCAGGACATACGGTGGTCTGAAGAATTGTTCCAACACCACATACATTCCCCTCAGCATCTCGGTGAGAAGAAAATAATTGCTAGCTTTGTCCATCACCCCCTCGCCCTCATAGAATCTTTTTGGTCGTGGGAGTCTGTAGCCCTGCGGCGGGGGCCCTGAAGGTAAGGCATTTCTGGGACTTGAAGAGTGAAACTGAGCTGTTGTGGCGGCACGAAAGAAAGGCGATCGTTCGGCTTGTTGTAGGATGGCAGATGAAGCTGACAATGGCCTGGCGACGAGCCGCGATGCTGGAAGAAGCGACGACGCCATCGTCCGTACAAGTTGCAACCTGGGATTGACGATGTGTGGCGAGCGCAAGAGAAGAGCCGTGGTACAGAATGTACTGGGTAATTGAGAGGAGGTCATTGATGCTGTAATAGGATTGACTGCGATATGATTGGCTGCCTTCACGTGACCAGCACAAGCTCTTCCCTTTCCGAAGCTTTCGCTGCAATTGTCTACCATCTCCATCCAGAAATTCAATCATTACCTACAACCAGCGAAGGCTTCTTCCCGCCTCCACCAGGATTGCTGTTCTCCTTTTACCTCTGTCCATCCCATTCGGTTCTCAAGGTCAAGATGATTCGGGCAGGCGCCGCAAGAGCGCTGTATGCAGCCACAAGGACACAGGTTTCCCGACAGTTACCTGCTTTCCGATCTCGAATCTCTACCTCCCTGCTACAGTCATCACGAGTTACTCCCTCCTTCGTTATTCCAAGCATACGATACTACTCAGCGCCTGCCGGCCTGTCGAAAGAGGAGGTGCAAGGAAGGATAATGGATCTCTTGAAGAACTTTGACAAAGTGCGCATCTACATCTTGTTGTGGTTGTCCAATTACTAACTTCTCGCAGGTCACAGATTCAACAAAGGTAACTTGATACTGCGACGTGAGTTCAACCTTGTCCTGACGCGTCATTTCAGATCAGCGGCACGGCACACTTTCAGAATGATCTTGGGTTGGACAGCTTGGATACCGTCGAGGTCGTGATGGCCATTGAAGAAGAGTTCAGCATTGAGATTCCGGACAAGGAGGCTGATGCGATTCACAGTGGTAAGTAATATCAATTACACCTTTCTATGGATGTCGCTGATAGCCTCAAAGTCGACCAAGCAATCACTTACATTTGCGCCCAACCTGACGCACACTGATGCGTGTTTGTTGGGTGCCGGGGGTCGTTGGTGTAGAAGTGGTTCAAGCATCACAAAAACATGAAAGCACTGTACATTTTCCAGTGGCGAGGAAATGGATTGTCCTTGTACTATCATCGCAACAAGACTAGATCTACCTGATCTCCACGATGGTCTCTGAGCAAATTTACCCGTTTCTATTCTCTTTCGATCTATATTTATATCTACCTGTCCAAACCCATTACTCTTGGTCAGACGACTCCAGCCCTCCTCAACTCGGCGACCTCATCAGTGGCATATCCAAGCCCTCCTAATACCTGCTCGGTATGCTCGCCCAACAGCGGTGGCTTCAGCCTCACATTCATTTGTGCTCCCTCAAACTTCACGGCTGGTCCAATCAACTTGAGAACACCATCTCTTGCCGCTTCAAAATCCTCCACATCGAACACCATATTTCGAGCTTGGGCTTGAGGATGTTCCAATGCCTCAACCACATCGTTAATCGCCCCATATGGCAATCCACTCCCTTCGAACACAGCCATCCACTCATCTTTCGTCTTTTCCCGGAACTTCTCCTGCAGAATCCGATTGATCTCCGCTCTGTTCTCAACCCGCCCGTCGTTCGTGCTGAATCTCTCGTCTTCACCTAACCCAGCAACACCCATGCGTCCACAAAAGCCTTTCCATTGTCTGTTGTTATTCGCCGCCACGTACACCATCTTCTTGTCCCTCGTTTCAAACCCTCCATAGGGTACCAAACTAGGATGTTCTAAACCTAGTCTCTTTCCTCTTCGCCTTTGCTCAGGACCTTTATTAAGGTCTAGATTCAGACTCGCCAATCCAACATTAATGAGCAGACTCAGGCTACTCTCAAACAGACTCCCATTGATCAAGCAGCCTTTTCCAGTCCTGTCCCTCTGATACAAGGCCGCAAGGATAGCGCCATGGGTATACAACCCCGCTGCCAACCTTTGTTAGCCTATACCGGCAATGGGGGGGATGTGACAATGAAGTTTGTTAGGAAAAGGAAACAGTCTGTCAGAAAGGGGATCATACTGCACAAGTCAGCCATTGCAACGCCAGGTTTTGACGGAGGCCCGCTCTCTTGGCCGGTGATATGCAACAACCCGGCCTCGGCCAGCGCAATAGCATCATAACCGGCTCTCTGCGCACTTGGGCCGGACGGACCATACCCGCTAACAGCGGCGTAGATCAATTTCTCGCCGGCATCACCGCCCAAGGCCGTCTTCAACTGCTCGTACCCCAAGCCCATGCTTTCCATCTTGCCGGGTAAAAAGTTGTGCACCACGACGTCGACACCGTCCTCCCACTCTCTCGCGAGCCTCCTCACGATCTCGCACCCCCTCTCGTCCTTGAAATTGACGGTCACGGACTTCTTGTTCCGGTTCACGGCCGCAAAGTACAGGCTCATCAGCTTGTACTGATCCTTCCACTTCTGGGACTCGTTGTGCGTGCGCCATTGCCGCGTCTCGTCGCCGATCCCCGGCTGCTCGACCTTCAAGACCGAAGCGCCGTAGTCTGCGAGGATCTGCGTGCAGAAGGGGCCGGCAAGGACGCGCGTGAGGTCGAGGATCTTGAGACCCTGGAGGGGCAGACGGTTGGGTAGTTGTTTGTGGGAGGCTGACTTGCCGGGAGTAGTGGACAGTGATCTTCGTATAGGTGGCCGTGACGTTGAAGAATAGTTTGTCAAGTTTCCAGAACGGAGCTTTGCCAACGCGTGCCGTCGGAACAGTCGTGCTGGTCTTGTTGTCATTATTGTCGCCGAACCATCGAATCCACAGAGGCACACACTCCAATCTTCTTTTTCCTTTTTTTGTCCCTTCTCAGAAGACTTACTGGGCGAGACTCAGGTGACTTTTCAGATGGTCTCTGGACTGTCCCCTGCTCAACTCCCCTGCTGTTATGTACTGGCATTTCCCTTGGAACACGAATGTGTGCATTGGGTGGGCTAACGGGAGGGCTTGGGGTAAGCAACATATGGACCGAGGCTGACGAGGCTGTATGCGGGGGTACACCTAGTGACCTAGGCAGACCCAGGCAAGTACCTAGGTCAACTGTCCGCACAAACAGCTCGTAAGTAAGCCTGAGCACACAGGGCTTCCATTCTAGTGTCTAACGGCTGACAGAAGCTTGTACCGGCGAGACTCAGCAGCTGCTTTTTCGCCTAGGCTGGTGTGGTAGGGACCAACGAAGTAGTTCCTTAATCAATGCTTCTCTGACGTGGAATACTGCTTTCTGTCAATCTGCATCGTTTTGACGAGGACCAGTGAGCACTCCGTTGACAGTGACGAGGTGGGAGGTTTTAGAACGAAGCTTGGAATATCTGGCACATGGTACGGCACTTCGATCTTTCGACATGGCTTCTAAAAGAGCGGTAACGAATCTACTTTACGGGATCCGAAGGAGGGCGAGGACAGGACCGCTACAGAAAGCATACTGCCCTCTACCACCACGCTCACCATCTTCGGCATTCTCCACAACCCATCGGGCTGCTGCTCGCGGTACGGAGTACCTTCAACTCCATGATCCGGATCTCACAGACTCCCAGCGGACGGTCCGCGAAGCCATAAGCAAAGTGTGCGCAAAATTCGGGGATGAATACTGGCTCACCGCGGACCGCGAACACCGCTTTCCAACCGAGTTCCAACAGGCGATCGCCAAGGATGGCTGGCTAGGCATCTGCATGCCCTCTGAATACGGAGGAAGCGATTTAGGGATCGCAGAAGCCGCCGTCATGGTACAGACGATCGCGGAGTCAGGGGCAGCATACGCGGGTGCGAGTGCCGTGCACATGAATATCTTTGGGCTGGAACCGGTCAGGAAGTTTGGAACGGAGGAGCAGAAGAAGAGAATGCTGGTGCCGTTGATCGAAGGGAGGGAGAGAGCGTGTTTCGGCGTCACGGAACCGAATACGGGCTTGGATACCTTGAGGCTGCAGTCGAGAGCTGTCCGGGACGGGAACTTCTATCGGCTGAGCGGACAGAAGATATGGATCTCCACGGCGCAGGTGGCGGAGAAGATTCTCATCCTCGTGAGGACGACCCCTCTCGAGGAAGTCAAAAAGCCCAGCCAAGGGTTAAGCTTGTTTTATACAGATCTTGATCGAAAACAGGTCGAAGTACAGGAGATCCCCAAGATGGGCAGGGCGGCGGTCGATTCCAACAGCCTGTTTTTCGACGGATGGAAGGTGCCGAAGGAGGATTTGATCGGAGAGGAAGGAAACGGTTTCAAGATGATCATGCATGGGATGAATGCCGAGAGAATATTGATCGCGGCCGAAGCACTGGGGACAGGGTTTGCCGCCTTGAGAAGGGCCGCGCTCTATGCTGGGGAGCGGGTAGTGTTTGGTCGGGCGATTGGGCAGAATCAAGCTATTCAACACCCACTGGCGGAGAGCTGGATGGAGCTTGAAGCCGCCAGACTCATGATCTACCAGGCTGCAAGAATGTATGATGCTGGATACGAGACGGGGGAATATGCAAACGCGGCCAAATACTTGGCTGCCGAGGCGGCATTCCGAGCCTGTGAAAGAGCCGTCATGACGCATGGTGGAATGGGGTATGCGAAGGAGTATCATGTTGAGAGGTATTTGAGGGAGATAATGATCCCACGGCTCGCACCTGTCAGTCGAGAGATGATCAAGAACTACATCGGAGAAAGGGTGCTTGGGCTACCTAAATCGTACTGAGACGGGGGGTAAAAGTCAGAAAGAATAAAGTCCACGCATTTTGATAGACCTGGAGTTCCTCCCAAAGAGAAGTGCCTGTACCATTCTCGTTTTTCCATCCATATTCGGAAACGGATCAGCTTCCATAGTTCTGCCTTGCGGCTGTCCTCAGCTGCGCAGGGATGGCGAGAGCAAAGGGGACACGGTGGTGAAGAGACTTCCGTCCTGAGGCCAGATAATGTGCCTGGAGGCGAGGCGCCCTCCCTGTCGAAGTGGACTCAGTCCAGCGATTCAAATGGTAAAGTTGATTGTCCGTCTCTGCTTCTCGTCTGAGCGTTCACGAGACTAGATGTCGAATCGAACGGAGATCTCCACACTAGCCAAGTCAAGATAGGAGGAGCAAGGAGCCGGGAATATCTCAGAACGTCATGAAGATCAGGCAGACTCGCCAAATGCAGATGATGGTTGAGGCCTGCGGAAGAGACGCTTCTATCATCCTAACGTATCGGGAACAGGTTGTTGTGTGGAGAAGCAACAATGTGGATAGGCCAATTGCGCATCCTCCGAGCCGCGCCTCTTGTTGATTTTCATCCTTTCGAAGACAGAGAGTGTGTAAGAAAGAAGTGATTTGATGCTGCGCTCGTGGGGAACTTGGAAGTTGACAAGTGGCGAATCGGAGACTTTTGCCTGGTGCACAGCCTTGCGCCTGCGCCTCGCTGCGCCACAACCAATCATCATCGATATTCAGGCCACTAGCCTTGCCAGTTGCCAACTGCCCAAATCCGCCTCGCCTCTTCAACATTTCCGCCATGATATACCCGTCGCTTCCATCATCTCGCGCGAATTCGGAAACATTCCAGAACATTTGATGATGAGAACTCCGATGGTCCGCGTGGTCCTTTCGTGCGTGGGATGGGGAAGGACGTTAGGCCGACGAGTATTTTGACTGGATGTTGGACCTGGGGAACGCACGCCCCCTTGCACACGTATGGGTTCCACACACCATCATTTCTTGTCGATCAAGGCAGCAAGGGTAAGACGAAACTATATAAGTATACTGTCCCTTCTTCTCTTTCACCACATCGTTTCATTCGCCATCATCCAATCACCAAAACATCAGACAAGCAATCGCGCCACATCACAATCAAACCCCTGTCTGCCCACTTCATCACCGATACACCAGCAACAATGTCGGGCCCCTACGATCAACATCTCGCCTTCTCCCAAAACTACGACTATAACAACCAATACCACAGCCAGAGTTCCTACCCCAGCGAAGGCTTCTCTGGATCATATCAACCTCAAGCATATCACCACCCTCAAAATTACTACCCCGACACCCGCGGCTCTTCCTACGCCGACAACTCCCATCAACAAGGCGGCTCCAACACAGCGTACTACAACAACAGCACCAACCCGCAAGGCCCTGAAGCAGATCGCGGACTTCTTGGCGCCGCAGCCGGTGGCGCCGCAGGTGCCTTCGGTGGCCACAAGGTCGGTCATGGTGTGTTGGGTGCCTTGGGCGGAGCCATTCTCGGTTCCTTGACCGAAGACTACGCAAAGAAGCACAAGAAACACGGAAACAAGCCGGGCAAACATAACAAACACGGTCACGGTTATCGCGATAATGGCAGTGATGCGAGCACCAACGGCCAGAACTTTGCCTCTGGTGGTCTCGGGTCCGTGGCAAGCAGCTTCTTCAACAAGAAATAAGATGGCAATGGATATGGGGTTTGCATGATGTGACGGGCTTTCTTGCATGAACAGGCGTTTGGATATGGAGGAATGAAGGACATCGGCCAGCATGGCTGGGCTCGGATCTGTGGTGTTGGAAATTTTTGAAATTCGATATCAGTTGAACGGTCCAGGCGCCCTGACGGCACCCGATTGTATATAAACACGGCTTCCTGCACCATGTCGCTTGAGATCCAAGATCTCTTGAATACGAACTGCAATTTCAACCACGGGATTGTCTTAGCCATTTGTGCCCTGATGAGCCCCACCGTTTCCTTTCATTAAAGTTGTATCTCATCATGATGACTCGATTGATGCCAGAATGATCCAGACGTGATAGAACTGTCTAGTTTTCAGCGTCTTATCGACCGAACGCACACATACAAGATAATCGCTGGGGGAGATGTGCACATCCACGGAGATTTAATTCCAGGGTTCTTAATTGGTCCAAGCTCCCCGCCACCATCGCCCTTTGTGCCGTGTATCAGCGGGCCAACCGGACTCAGCACGATGCAAGCCGACCATGGGGGACGGGCTTCTTTTCCACGTCCACATCGACGTAAAAGGACTAGCGGCTCTCGCAGCAAGCGAGCAAAGGTCTGCTTGAGGCTCGGTGGAGGAGAAGGAAATATATTTCCTTCAACACAATCAGCGAGGACGAGTTCGTCATGCGCAAACTTCACCCAAAGGACCCTAGCAGTGAAGCTGCCGCGTCGCAGGCGGGAAGCGGTGGTCCAGCGCCCATTGAGGAAGGCACTCCGTCCAGCACTGGTAGGACCAGGAAGAACGTCACCCGAGCGTGTGACCAATGCCGGAAGAGGAGAAGAAAGGTAAGCTTGGACCTGCGGCGGTGGAATCAGAAGGAGAAATGAAAGCGGGGGTCTAGCTAAATATCAAATATTTAGTGTAACGCATCCCTGCCCTGCGCGGCTTGCAAACACATTGGTCGCAAATGCACTTACGACATGGACTCCAAGTATGGCGATCTGCGGCGAAGGAGGAACACCGTTCAACACGTCGAACAACTACGACAACAACAGGCCATTCTTGACCGGCTCCTGGAGTTGATCCGGAATTCTGAGGCTGACGAGGCCATCCAAGCCGTTAGAGAGGGCGCCACCTTCGAGGAGATTGCTAATGTACTTCTGAGGCCGCCATCGGGAGCTGCTCCATCCCAGACCGCGGCGAGTTCTTCCAGCGACACCGCCAGGGAAGAATCGTCCCGCCAAGCAACGCCAGACAAGTCCGACGGCTCTGGATCGGATCGTCCAGCGTCCACAAGGTGTGCGAAGGAGTCCGATGAGGCCACGGAGTATGCTGTCAGAGTTCGGCGAGGGAATCCCGATGACGGCACTTCTCATCCGGCACCTGAACCGAAGGAGAGAGCCATGGAGCCTTCTCTTGCTGGGCCAAAATTCCCCTCAGGTATCCGGCAAGGAGAACAGACGTCCGCAAACCCAGTTTGGACAGGCTTGGCGACACGTCTTACCGCGGTGGAGCTAAGCAAGATCAACATGCCCATCTTCAGTTGCGACCCATACCACATCGAATCGGATGACATGTTGTCAAAGACAATATTGACTTTCCGAGATGGAGCCCGGAAAGCATTGCAGGGAAATGCAAACGTCCACGACCTTATCGGATCCAAAAAACCAAACCTGGACCTATTTTTCCGGCAGCGACGGGAAGGAGACCCCCACACTGCCTGGACTTGGGCCTGCGAGCTGGCGAAGGCGTATCCTTTGCCGTTGACCGTGCAGCTGACGGGAATATTTGTTGCTGGAATTCAAATGCGGGTGGGTGTTGAGTTTACCCTCTACCGAGTGGCTCCTGAATACTTAAGCGAAGACCAGTATTTCATTCATCCATGCAAAGAAACTTACGACGACTTGCCTGTTATGCTTAGACCCACGAGGCAGCAATACGCCCAACCACATGCTGCAGGTGCGGACATTTGTGCCATGTGAGTATTCTCTCTGTGGTGCTGGGAATTGCCGCCAGGATCGGCTGACCCGAGAGTGTAGACCTCCGATCAAGCGGTATCTTCTGTCTCACTGGGACTCGTACGCATCGCTCCTAGACGCCGGTCAGTACCATAACTGGCCGTACAGTAACCAAGCGTGTCTTGGGTGGGATCGGACTAGAAATAAACCAACTCTGTCCACGGCCTTCCTTGAACACATATCAGATCCCAAAAACCACAGCGTCGGGGCCAAGATCCTGGAACTCGTGCCAGAGGCTGCCCCGTATGTTGTTCGAGCAGAAGAGTCCTCACGCCCTGAGGATGCACAATAAAGGTATGGCCTACCATGTCGTGTTGAAGAACGAGGATCTTGGGGGATGTGTCCCTCACTTTCAGGTCGCCTTTATCCAGACAGACCCGCGGGGTGAGAGTGAGGAAATGTCACTCTTGGAGGGGCCACATTGACTTAATTATTAGCCTTTGCACGGTCGATGCTTTTAGTGGGAATTGGGGGATTGGGCCAGGAGTATTCCGCGCTCATCCGAGCTTTGTCCGATGGCCTGCCCTGCTTCCTCTGGTTTGGAGGAACAGGCGAGGGAAATTGCCGATCAAAAAGAGTTTTTCACAGGGTGGATCACCGGTGCCTACTCGGTATCGTAGAGCACGTACCCACCCCGAAGTAGTATGGACTCAAGTTATCATGACTCCGGATTAGTGGAACTTAATATCACAAGGATCGGAAATAGCATGAGATCTACCGAGTTACCTAACAATCCTTTCCTGAGGCACTTCGAAGGTGCGGCCAAGGCAAGCCATTTGATTGGCTGGGAGGAAGTGGGAGATGCACTTCCGACTGCTTGGCGGGGCGGGACGGGGTTAAACCCTGACCAAGCGCCACGGAAGCTCCCCCTTCTTGCCCCTTTGAGCCTTTTAGTTTAGTCCCTTTCCCGTACCGAGTACAACGCATATTACTCATGTAAGCGTCCATATTCGCAGGAGGCCGGCAGATTTCTGCGCAGATCAACCCAGGACTGTCTACGTAGGTACGAAGTACTCGAAGCTTCCTCAGTACTGGGTAGGGTCGGCCCGAGGTCTCGCTCTCTCTCACGGACTCTGTCGAAGAAGCTGAGCGGCTTGAAAGGAGGGCGGTGGTGATCCTTCTGGGGGGGTACGGAACACTTCTAATCCACTGCTGGCCCCCCAGGAAATGACGTTGCTGGCCCAACTCATATCTATCCAACTGCCGCCATGGGCAACGAACTCTCGGTTAAATGCGGTCCTGCCACATGGGACCAGGCGTTCTCAAATACGGTATATGATTGTGTACCGCTCTTATTTACAGAAGCATACCAGACTCCCTCCTGCTTCAAGGCCCGTGTCAGACCCCGCCAACGGGCGACACGCTTGGACGCGATACCCGCCGTCTGGACGTCGATAGCAGATGGCTCAGACGATCTTCAGTGTCAGCTATGTGCCGTGCCGGTTCTCCGAGATGCCCTTGGCTCCCGAATTGCGAGCAAGCAGCATCAGCATTTGGAGAATAATGACAATGGTGCTAACAAACCAAGGGAGGAGTGGCGTCCATCCTGATCCCAACACCTTGTGCTCTTCCTCGACTCCCGCCCCCCATGTCCATGTCACCGTGTGAGTTTCACCAATGGCCGGTTGTCATTCGTATCTTATCCATTCGCCCCAGTCTGTTTGTCAATCGAGCATTATTTCCTGATGGGAACCCCCTAACTTAGCAAATTGAAGACTTGTCAGCAGCAACGATTAAGCAAGCCAGAGAGCTGTTCGAAGAAAAGGTAGTCCTAAAATCCGTTGCTATCGTTAAAGCCGGTCCCAGTTCAACGTCAGGGAGCCCGAGGTTCGTGTCAGATCTCTTGACTAACTGGCTTATGTACGAGTGCATATATCAGATCTATGCGTAAGTAAGTTGGACTACACTCCCTGTAGAGTGCCTATACACACCCCATACGGCAATATTGGATATTACATCAGATTTGTAAAACAGAGAAGACGTCCCCCTCGAACTGGTGCGGAGTCTTAGCGCCGGCTTACTGCTTGGCGACTGTGCTGTGACCGAGGTTTGTGAAAGATCGATGTACGACCTAGAGGTGTATCAATCCAACGACCAGACGGCCGAGGAGCTCATGACATTTTCTTTTGAGCACTCTGCGTTCAACCGGTTCGGCGCTCCTCCGCAAGTTTAAGCGATAGAAGTCTCCATATATCAGCTCGACTTTGAACCTTGATCAGCCAAAGCATTTCAATATACAGGATTCTTTCCTCTACCAACACGCCCCCATTTTCCATTCCTTCTCCTTTTCCCACAAAACATCCAAGAAGCAGACAGAACACTCTTCCCACTCGTGCTCTTCCCGTTGCCGGCGCCATGGCACCCCCCACCAAGGCCCAAATAACCCGCCTCTTCGCCCCGCTGGCCGTCCAAGGCCGCCAGCCCGAGACCCTGGCCCTGCTCGCCGACAACGTCGACTGGACCATCTGCGGCAACTCACCCATGTCGGCACGCTACACCTCGAAGCAGGACTTCATGGAGAACACGTTGAAGGTGCTCCGCGAGAGGGTCTTGACGGAGCCGCTGAGGCTGCAGGTCCGGAATGTTGTTGTGTCGGGGGGCGGAGAAAGCGAAGGTCAAGGGGAAGGGAAGGACGAGGAGATTGACGGGGACGCGGTGGTTGAGTTGGAGGCTTTGGATGCGTGGTGCAAGAACGGTGCGTTCCTCTCCGTTTTATCCTCTACTGATTGCGGTCGTTTTGCGTGCTATGCTGTGCGTTGTTCTATTCTATCTATCCAGTCATACCCCCCAAAATCCTCCAATTCTCTTTGGGCACGGCAATACAACTTCCTCCAACCCCTCCCTCGGTGGATAGAGAAAGGGGGAAAGGAAAGGAAAAGAATCCAAAGCAATGCCTCTGCGCACCGTCCTCCTTCCTATGCGAACACGGCTCTCGTAGAGCCAAGCACAGCACAGCACAGGACTGGATACCCATACCCATACCCATGCCCATGCGTACATACGTATATACAGAACATATTAACCTTCTCCCACTCCTGCGTGTAGGCCTCGCCTACGATATGCGCTACTGCTGGGTCTGCAAGTTTGCGGCTGGCAAGATCGTCCAGGTGCGCGCATACATCGACACCGATCTGTTGACGAGGGCCATGCAGCAGAATCCGTGAGGGGACTGGCGAGCGAGCAAGGGAAGCAGAGCCAAGCGCTGGGTGGCGCCTCTATATCTGAGGTCTGTATCTATTAGCATGTATGCGTACGATTCATCTCAGCTCATTCGTGGCATCATGGGCACGTACGGAGGATGAATATTACATGCATACATTCATCATACCTAGGCACAGAGTACGTACCTATGTAGCACTCACAGTAGTCTCGATAATCCTCTGAGCGCGGAGCGTCTGTCAAAATTGTGTCTACTTGTAAGGCTGATATGCGGCACAAGTGAGCAAAAGGATCCAATGGCACAGTGGAAAGAGATGCTTGTTGCAATCGACATTTTAGAGCGTATCCCGTCCAGCCAGACACTTGAACGCCCGTGCCGCCGTCGCCATGCCCTGAATCAATCGCTACATATGATCTATCCATTGTCTCGAATCTGCAATTCTGCCCATGCGGGTCGTGGAGAGAAATTTGTGTGCTTTGCCAACCCTTCACAGGGGACGTCGGTTTCCTGTGTGCGCTTTTCCTTTCCCTCATTTCAAGACCTTCAAATCACCCTCCTTCAGCTTCCCAGCTCCAACCAGGCTACCCGTGGTCTCCGAGAAAACTTCCTTGACCTTTGCTGCGTCCTTTCCGGCAACGTTGAGTTTAGAGACAAGCTCAGCCAACTCGTCCGCGTCAACGTTGCCGAGCAACTTGTCAACGTCATTCAAAACGTCGTCGATCTGTTTAGGCGACGCCTCCCCCACTGAGAAATAGTTCACGTCTTTGACACTGCTCTTGACCACACGCTTGTTCTTTTTGACCGCGTTCTTCGCTGCCTCTTTCACCTTCTTGGCTGCCTCTTTATCCGCCTTCAACTTCTCTTCCTCTTCCTTCTTCTTTCGCTCTTCTTCCTCCTTGGCGCGCTGTTTCTCTTCGGCTTCTCGTTTCGCAGCAGCCTCTTTCTCCAACCGCTTCTTATTCTTGTCTGCATTCGCGGCCTTGCGGAACTTCTTGATTCTCTCGTCATAGCTCAGGCAATCATCCACAAGTTTCCTCAACCGAGCGGTGTCCTCAGTCTTGCGCTTACGTCGAGCATTCGCGTTCTTCTTCTCAATGTGTCGCTTATGGTCTCGTCCTTCATTGTCGTCTGGGACGTCTTCATCCAGATACTCAAAGGTGCGCCAACTGTCAAAGTTGTACCAGAAATCATAAAATTCCTCGACTTCTTCGCGCGTGCTACTCTCGTCGCCGAGCATCGGAACCGGGGTCTTCTTGCTAAATCTGGCTTCACTCTGAAACACGGCATTCCATTTTTTGTAGAAGTTTCCGGGCTTTTGCATGTCTTTCTTCGTAGGAGGTTCGACGTCGGCGGCTTCATCGACCGAGTCCCATTGACGGCGCTTGACCGGGTCGGTCAGAATTTCGTAGGCGCGCTGAATGCATTTGAAAAAGGAATCGTTCTCATCGCTCTGGCCGGCGGCGGCTTTCTTGTCTGGATGGTGCTTGAGAACTTTCTTACGGTGAGCTTTCTTGATCTGCTCGTCGGTAGCTTTGTAGCGGTATTTGGAGAGACCGAGGACGGCGTAATGGTCTTGTCCCTAAACCCACCGTCGGGTCAGCGGTGAAGTACCAAGCCTCAAAATCTCTTGCAAAATCTTACCTTCCAGTCCTTCGCATCTCTGGCAAGCATCAAGGGATCCTCCGGCTCACTGATCTCGCCATCATCGTCGTCCTCGGATTTCTTCACTTTTTTGAGGGCTTCGATACGTTGATCTTCAGAGAAAGTACGACCATGGCGTTTGCGACGAGCATAGGCGAGAAACTGTGCTCCGAATGGCTCAATCTTGCGCATCACAGGTGGAGAAATCTTCCCCAGGGTCCGAAAGTTGGGATTGACATCGCTGTCACCCTTCCAATCTGCCGCAGGAGCCGGCACGAGCCCTTCGGAAGCCATGTTGTACGCGAGCGCAATTCGGGTGAGTTCCCTGTGGACCTCTGAGGCTAGCTCTCCGAATTCTTGAAGGCGGCCGAGGAGTTCTCGGATTGGTACAATAGAATCTAGAGGTTCAAGATGGTCAGTGTTCAAGAGAAGAGAAATAATTTTTATGAGAGCTTGGTCTTTACCCATCGAGTCCATTTTGCCTATTGGTGCTTGGTGGTTTAGTGGATCCAATATTCGCTAAACTTGCCAGGATGGGAGTGATGGTGGAAGTATCAAAAGAGAGTGCGGATGTGAAAGCGATGTGAATACGCCAACTGTCTAGTTCAAGCGAAGGGACTACTGCTTGTTGTAGAGCGTACCTCACCTTTGCGTTCACACTCCGCACCTTGATTTCCAACAAAGATGGCGCTGGCGGCCTATAGACACCTACTCCGAGCGACACGCATAGCATTTCCAGGCGACTACCATCTCCTCCATGCTGCCCGCACGCAAGCACGCACAGGATTCGACACATTAAGATCACTGGACCCTGACTCAGAGGAGGCAATCAAGGGGATCGCACATGCTGAGGGTGTGGCTTCAATATTACGACACAATGTTGTGCAAGGAAAGCAGGTAGAGGGGTCAGATGTGATACGTATGTGAGGGCGTATTGTTTTGTCGTGTTGGATACAAGACTAAACTATGGGACAGGACTGACTATACACGAGGACACAGAGAAAGGCGACAATGACACTGTGAAAAACCCATTCGGCAAAGGCGGAAAGGTCAGGGTTGGCGGCATATGAACAATCAAGAGCATGGGGTTCATTCATTTCATTTTTTTTTTTGGACACACTATGATACCCAGTGGTGGCTTGCCTTCGCCATCGCATGCCAGCAGTATGCTGTTCCATAACGCCATGCTCATTCTGTACAAAGAAAGATATTTTTGATGTCACACCAAAGCTCAATCGCCGGCCAAACTGGCATAGGTGACATCCCCTTGGCCCGGTGGAGGCGCGACAGTGATACTAGTATTTCCTTCAACGCCTGCATCCTCACTTTGAGCTTGGCTATCGCTAGTGGTAATAGTTCTCTGACCTGACTGCTGAGCTTTGATAGCAGCTGCGGTCTCCCGACCCTCTTTCGCCCAGCTCATCTTTTGATCCCGGTCTGTGTTGTCAAGTGGCTTCGGTTTACCCCATCGAACTCGCAGTGGGCATCCTTGAATGGCTGCTTTCCCCTGGCAGTGTGCAGCAGCAGCCTCGGCTCCGTCTCTTGTGGCATAGTTTATGAATGCGCAATGGGCTCGGTGGGAGCAGACGATGGACCGGATCTGACCAAAAGGAGTGAAGAAGGTGCGAATCGCGTGCTCCGGCAGATCGTCCTCGACACCGGTAACAAAGAGCGAGGTGATGTTTGGGTCGGATGGAGGCAGCCAATCTTCGGGTTGAGGAGGTCGCGCTACGGTGACCACTCTGGCACCACCAGGCCCTGTCTTAGCACCTCGCTGTGCACTTCCGGCTTTTCTAGAATCTGCAGTGCGTATGGGCCCGGGACCGTAGCCACTTTGTCTCTGCTCTTTCGGTTGTTGTTCAGATTGAGATCCCTCTGCTTCCAATCGTCTTTGCTTCTTGTAATATGGCTCACTGTTGGCTAGTCTCCGTAACAAATCTCTCGCTTTTTCGTCTGTCTTCTCATATGCTTCGACTGCGCCTCGTCCTTCTTCTAGTTCCTTCTCGTGCTCTTGGGCATAGTATTCTCGGTTAATGCTGGACTGTGGGCCCGGTGCAACCATCTTCAGCGCAGCGTCTCTGACCGTGATAGGCAAGCCAAAAGATAAATCGAGCATACAACACTGGCAGCAGTTTTTCAGTCGAGCGCAAGTGAGGCAGATGTTTGTTCGCTTGGTCCTGGCGGTGCGATCGGCTTTCCAGCGGAAGACGGTGAAGGGGCGCGTGCATATCTTGCACTCGGCTCCATACTCTTCTTTCAGCATTTGGACGTAAGGGTTATCGGGCAGGCAACTCTCGCAGCTGGAAGGGAAATCGGTTGTTTCCCAGCCAGAGCGATTCAGATCTTGTTTAATCTGAGGTGGCGCCATTGTGGGTGAGGGGTATTGTGGGTAAAGATAAATGACAGGATCAAGTAGGTCAATCCTCGATTGAAGTCATAAAAATGGAGGAAGGCTCAAGTAAAAGTGCCCCAGTGGCGAGCGCTTGCCTGACAAATGCTGGGTAACACGTTGTTGGATGATAAAAATCGCGGGGAAAACTCAGCCTTGCCAAATTTCTCTGAACGAGCCTCGCAACTAACCGTTGAGATAAGAAGGTGAGCCGAGTATCACGTGAAAGTCGCCATTGGAGTGGCCTGCTGCGGAAGGATTCAGTCCAGATCGCCGGAGAGGAGAAGGTGCATGGGCGACCCCTGCCAAGAGATCTAGTTGAGAATCAGGTCATTGGTGATTGCGCCGGGGGAAACAGAGCCGGCCCTATATTTTTTTTTACCTACTCCCAATAGAAGCTCCCCATAGCGCTCTTTCATTCCGGATCGTGTCACTGACCGCTTGTCGCTCATTCTCCCCCTACCAAGTGAGGCGCTGAGAAGCATCACTCGCACTTCTTCAAGTTCTTCACAGCTTCCACTTCTGTCCAGATCCCCCCTTTCCGCTGTCTGAACATGGCCCCCTCTGCTATCTCGCCCGTCGCGGTCCTCGAGAAGGAGGACCACGCCCGCGATGCTGCCTTCAACAAAGCGCTTCATGGCAAGTCAGTTGATGCCACGGGGGGACTGATGGCCATGCGCTCCAAGGACAAAGCGGCGCAGAAGGCTGCCGTCGATGAGTACTTCAAACATTGGGACAACAAATCGGCAGCCGTCGAGACCGAAGAGATTCGAAAGGCACGAAGAGATGAATATGCCACTTTGACAAGACAGTATGTGTTGATTTTCCGGGACTGCGATGACAAGCCCGCTAACTGTTCGGGGTAGCTACTACAACCTCGCCACTGACCTGTACGAATATGGCTGGGGCACCTCGTTCCATTTCTGTCGCTTTGCTGCGGGAGAGTCCTTCTACAAGGCCATTGCTCGTCACGAGCACTATCTTGCTCTGAAGATGAATATGCAGGAGAATTGGCGCGTTCTGGATGTCGGCTGCGGTGTGGGAGGACCTGCCCGAGAAATGATCAAGTTCACTGGGGCCAACGTTGTGGGTCTGAACAATAACGACTATCAAATCGAACGGTCGTTACGCTATGCAAAGAAGGAGGGTGTCGCCGACAAGTTCTCGGCTGTCAAGGGCGATTTTATGCAAATGTCGTTTCCTGAGAACAGCTTTGATGCTGTGTATGCCATTGAGGCCACAGTGCATGCGCCCAGCCTGCAGGGGGTGTATGAGCAGATTTTCCGGGTTCTGAAGCCTGGTGGTGTCTTTGGGGTGTATGAATGGCTCATGACTGATAACTATGACAACGACAATCCTCAGCACCGCGAGATCCGACTTGGCATCGAGCAAGGAGACGGCATTTCCAACATGGTCAAGGTCTCGGAAGGGTTGGCCGCCATCAAAGCCGCAGGTTTCGAGTTGGAGCACCACGAAGACCTTGCCGAGAGACCGGACGCGATCCCGTGGTACTACCCTCTCGCAGGCGATTTCAGATACATGGGCAGCATTGGCGACGTCTTCACCATCGGGCGCATGACGTGGTGGGGACGGGGTTTAATCCATAAATTTATTGGGCTTGGGGAGAGTCTGAGGGTCATGCCTCGTGGCACGCAGAAGACGGCGGACAGCCTGGCACTAGCTGCTGATTGTTTGGTTGCTGGCGGGAAGCAGAAGCTGTTCACACCAATGTACCTGATGGTTGCGCGGAAACCCAAAGTTTGAGAGGGACACGACGGGGTGTGAATACAAAAATGGGCGTTTCCGGAGTCGCGTTGGTTGTGTCGAGATAGACGGAGGCACTCTTCTGGTGGCTTGTCGCATCGTTATTGCCTAACTTAGCGATTGTACATACGTGTTATTACCCCTCTGTGTGGTGCGTACCTCGTATACCTACAGTAGTACAGTTAATAGTGGCGATATATCTTGAGCCTCGGTCAATCTGTGTTGAAACACCTACTGTACCGCCGGAGGAAGAGCGTGCGAGAAGTCGTGACCATGGCACCGCCACAGTGCATTCGTTAGCGTGTGGCAAGCGATGGGCTTGCGTGTCCAGCTGGACATGCCGGTGATGCCTTTTTCTCTTTCCAATCATAAGTGCGGTTGTACACCGAGTGGTGAGTCTACTTTGTAGACTTGCAACCCAAGAAACGCCATGGGGCCGAAATATTGGTTGATATGGACTGAAGAGTTGTTACACGGAAAACTTTTCACTTCCAAGAGAGCGTATTCCATGCGTGGCTGTAGCGGAAGATGATGAAAATGATGGAATCTAATCATTACTCGAGATGAACGGTTCCTTTCGGGCTCGCCTGATTACGAGAGGCGCACTCCATATTATTGGGGGCTGCAAGGTTAATAATATTTTGTGCTCGGGTACCTTTTTGGGCGCCCAGGGGGGGGGGGGTCTGGCTGATGGTCTGAAACCGAAAGAGTACGAGGGCTTTTCCTGGTCCGTTTCAAAGCGTCAGCAGACGGCAATCGTACGACCTGCATAACAGTCTACCGTGTGTAGACCTGCAGACGTGGATATCGGAGTCTAGCCGTGAAAGATGTGCGCAGTGTACCGAGTAGTCAGTCCAACGTTAGTAGGAGCAATAGGGAGATACCAAGTACGAGGTAATAATGTACCTCTTATGTACCTCGACGCCTAGACGTGCTCGCCAGGTGCCCCAAGGACAGCCGAAGTGTCCCTCTAAGGCTGAAAGCCCACCTGTGACCACCCCCCAAAAACAATCAGCCTGCCTAGATTTCCAGGGCAGGCCGCCTAAAAGGGGGGGTTCTTTCCAGGGGTGCCGGCGGCCATTGCGATTCGCTGGTCGGCACATGGATCTGCCAATGCCAAACTGCTAGTGATGCCACAATTTCCCTCGTTGGTGTCGGTTGCTTTTTCATCGACAACCATCCCGTCATCCATCGCTGCCAGATGCTTCAATCGCCTTTCCCGACTGGCCTGGGCCGTGCATGCCGTGCTTGTCGTCATGGCTGCAGGTTGCGTCGCCCGTCGCCCGTCGCCGTCCGCTCTTTCTCCTGGCCCTGGAGGTTTGGAGAGAGAGGCGCAGTCAAGCTCATCAAGTCGTCACCCATCCTCTGCCAACTCCTCCATCTCAACCTCAGTATAAGCCTTGGTCAACTCTTACTCTTGTTCTCTTTGCTTTTGAGTCACAGTCCTTTCTCTTGTGCTTCTTACTTGTAGCATCGTCACCGTGTTCTTCATCTTCATCAACATCCTCGTTGTTGTCGTTCCTTTGCTGTTGACTTCTCTGGTTTCCCATTGTTAATACTCGATTGGTACCATATCCTCAGGACTTCTTGGAAGCAGTCTCCCCTCTCTCGCCGTCATGGGCAAGTTTGCAACCGCTGCCCTCGGAGCAGCAGCTCTGCTCGCTTCTATTGCGCCCGCGACTGCGGCTTCCGGCACTGTTGGCTTCACATTCGAAAAGCGCCGCGTACCAGCGCAGGATGCTCCTCATCTGTCACGACGTCAGTCCAAGACGATCAAGGCCGGTCTGGACAACGAGATTCTGCTCTACTTCATCAATTGCACCGTGGGAACTCCCGGTCAGCCATTCCAGCTGCAGCTTGACACCGGCTCGTCAGATATTTGGTTCCCTGACGCCAATGCCCAAATCTGTCAGCAAAACGGGGGCTGCTCCCAGTTTGGAGCGTACAATGCCGCCCAGTCCTCCACCTTCGCCGACCCCAACCTCCCCCAATTCCAGATCCAATACGTCGACGGCTCTCAGGTCGTCGGACAATACATTTCTGATGTGCTGGAGGTTGGCGGAGTTAAACTGACAAATATGACCATGGCTGCTGCCCAGCAAGCAAACACCCGAGCAATTGGAATCATGGGCATTGGATTCCAGTTGGGCGAGGCCTCTGCGTCGCTTGACGGCTTCACATACCCCAATGTCATCAACGTCATGAAGAATGAGGGTTTCATCAACTCTCTCGCATATTCCCTGTGGTTGGACGATTTGAACTCCAGCACGGGCTCGATTCTCTTCGGCGGCGTCGACACAAACAAATACCACGGTGACTTGGTTTCTCTTCCCATTCAGATCGACTCGCAAACAGGCGTTATTGATTCTTTTACCGTCGCCTGGACCGGTCTTACCGTCCATGGAGGCGGGCAGACCTCGGACGTCTCTCCCAGCTCGCCTCAACCCGCCATCCTCGACTCTGGCACCACAGACACCTTGCTTCCTGACAATATCGCAAACAACATCTTTAACGGTGTCGGTGTGGTGACAGACCCGCAATTTGGCAATGTCGTGCGATGCAATCTCGCCAACGACGATCTCACCTTCTCATTCCAGTTCGGCGGCAAAGGTGGCCCTGTTGTTAATGTCTCACTCTCTGAATTCGTTACTCCCTTGATCACAACAGACGGCTCTCAGCCAACCTTCCAAAATGGGGATCTGGCTTGTTCATTCGCCATCGACGCCGCAGGAAGTAATCCTATCCTTTTCGGTGACTCCTTCCTCCGCAGCGCCTACGTGGTCTACGACCTAGAAAACAACCAAATCGGTATCGCTCAGACCAACTTTGCCGCTACCGACGCAAACTCCAACGTCCGAGCATTCCAGCCTTCGGGAAGCATCCCCAACGTTGTGTCGACTGCGTCGGCCGCGAGTGTGGCCCAGACTTTCACAGGCAACCCAGAAGTGACAGCGGCCACGCCCACCGCTACAGGACAATTGGGTGGTGGCACCTCAAGGAGTGCGACATTCAGTTTGACCCCGGCCACGGGCACGAGTACTTCTGGCTCCAGCGGTGGAGGACAATCGAATGCGGCGAATGCCAACTTCCGCATAATTCCTATGCAGATGACGAGTTTGTTGGCGGCAGGTGTAGTGGTGGTAGGATTTTTGTTCGGTGGTGGGTTGATGTTGTTCTAAATCGTTGAGTAGCGCGTCTTTTGATTTGGTATGAAAGCAATTGTTGATATGCACTGGGTAGAAAAGAGGAATGCATTGTTGGGCGGCGGTGGTTTTTGGCGTCAAAATGTACTCAACTTGGAATACCCTTCTAGGACCGGGCAAATAGCGACCTGGACGTATCCTTACCCACGGTAGAATGAAACAATGAAAATGAAGAAGACATGACAAAAACTCTTGCAGCACTCACACTTTTGATGCTGTGGGATGCTGTCCTTCCACTGACTATTCGTGAGTGGGCGAGGGGGTGAGCATGTGCCCAGTTCAAGTCGCAACCTCTTCGGATTCAGACAAAGGTACATCGTACACACATGAACTTCTACGAGGGATACAACAAAGCCACAGTGGGAGGTGGGAAATCGTTTCTTCGTCACATATATATACTCCGTATGTAAAATAATCAAAAAATGGTTAAAAACACGAATATTGAAGTAGATCTTTCCTCTCTCCTTCCCCCCTGTTGTCTTTCTCCTCCCTTGCTTGCTTGTCCATTTCTCTGGCTTGGCCCTAGAAGAACAAAAACAAGACGAATAAGGAGAAGAAAAAGGGGTTTGTGTCGTCGGTTGGCGAAGACTGTCATCCCTCCCTTCCCATTCTCCGCCTCCATGTCGTGTTTGGCGGCCAGATCGCAACGAATCGCAGGGTCGGTGGGTGGGTGGAGAGTCTGCTATTTGGGTGTTTGAGAGGCTCGACGCATTCGTGGTGCTCGGTTGATGTCAATGTAAGTCTTGTGTGTCGTTGTCACAATTGTTGAGCAGCGTTGGACATCGGACATGGGACCTTCCCAACCTCTGCCCAATCTATTTCTCCTCCCTGACCGTCTCGAGCGGACTGTGCGGAAAGGCGGCCCCGTCCCCGTTGAGGCTGCCCGAGCTGATCGTGCTCGTCAACCACGGCATGCTCCGCCGGTCAACCTCGCCCTGGCCCTCGTCGCCTTCGATCTCCATACCCACCTCGTTGTCGTCCGGCACCCTCACGTCGAGCAGTCTCTCGGCGTTTTTGTACGCGATTGCTTCGAAGTCCTGGGCGTTGATCCTGTAGGCCCGTGCGAAGTACTGTTTAGCTCGTCCTCATCACAATACACAAATGGATTTCTTTTGACCAGGGAGAGAAGAAGGAAAGAAGGGAACAACGTACATTGCACTTTCTCTCAACGCGTACATAAACTTCAGGCCGTCCTCGTGACTGCAAAACGGATAGTCTACGCTATACAGAACCTTGTCGGCACAGCACATGTGAATCAGGCAAGCCATGGGCGCCAGGCTGAACATCCCGGCCGTCGTCACGTAGATATTCTCGTGCCAAACTTGCAGGAGGTGACGCCTCGGTTTCGAGGCGTGTGGCCAAGTCCGCTGGACCAGTTTGTGGATTCGGTCGATCAAGAACGGGAGCGTCTCGCCCATGTGGCCCAGAAGAAGTTTCAGATGTCGATGCGTGTCAAAGAGTTTGCTTGCGAAAAGCCGTAGAACGTGCAGCGCCACGTCGCTGTGCCAGTGGAATCCGTGGTTGGCGAGGAAGTTGGAAACCTGCGGGGAATAATTCCCATGGAATGATGGGGACGGCGTGGTCTCGGTGATTGGTTGTGGTATCGCATGGAGGTAAACGGGGACATCGAGATTCTCATGGGCAGCGAAGATGGGCCAGAAAAAGGGATCGTCGTAGTAGCGTCCGTTGGCTGTGTTGTCGATGAGGCTGCCCACAAAATCTAGTTGTGAGACGCACCGGTCGAGTTCCTTTGCTGCTTCTTCGGGGTGAAGGGTCGGTAGCATGGCGAACGCAGCAAAGCGTTCTGGTGAGGGTGAGGCTTTGATGGCTTCGTATAGCTCATTGTTCGCCTTGGTGCAGACATCTGGCGGGACTGGGATAGCGTTCGGTCGATGAGAGATGACTTGAAGACTAACGCGGCCTGCGTCCATGATTTTGAGGCGCTTAGGGCCGACTTCCTGGAGAGCAGTCATGATATGAGACATGGAGTCTGGGAGAATGGTCTCGACGCCTTGGGACGCATAATAGTCGAGGACAGCCTGGGAGATGAAATGCTCCTCGAGCGTAATGAGCGGGATTTTGGAGCCCATTGTAGATGTGCTGTCTCCTTTCTCTCTCTCTGTCTCTCTTTCTCGCGTACTAGGCAGGGCTATTTTGGCCGGATTAAACTTGTGTGAAGACACCTGATGGCACTGTCAGAGAGATGTTGGGCAGATGTGGTAACTCCACCTTCGGGATGGTTGAGAGTAGCTCCGCCGGAACACAAACCCGAAGTCGATGTCTCCGTCATATAGAAATCTTCAATAACTAGGGCATGAAAAGGACCACAGGAAATGTTCTAGCCACCTCTCGCGGACGCTGTAAGAGTTGCCTCACGTTTTGTGCCTCACCCCGCAGCAGAGGAGAAGGTTGAAAGTAAGCTGTGCTACCGTCCTCGGGGGGCTAGAAGACGAACTCGGAAAGGGAAGGATGCGGCTTGGAAGATATATCAAGGAAAGGCACAGCCCGCCCCTACAAGTTAGGTGGTCCAATCAGCCAGGAGAATGCATGTGACGCCATGCAATAGACAGAAGTTGCTGAGCAGGGTCTGGATTGGCCTTCCCCGTTTTCTTGGATCTCGCCGGCCGGTTGCGGGTGCGGAGGAGTGGCAATGGGATGGCATACTCGGACAATTTGTACCGAGAAGGGGGGGTGAGGCGACGGGGAATGCCTGATCTCGCTAGAACAGACTTTGGGGGAGGAATATATGACGAGACCATGGTTCTCTCAAGGAGAGTAATATATGTATATATACACACAAGTTGGGAGAGGTAGGGGAAGGCGGGTATTGGGCAAGTCACGATTGAGGTTGAGGCGTGTGCATTGTGTTGGAATGAAGGTACACACATGGCTGGAGGAAACGGGCATGAGATCTCCTTCCCACCTGGGCCGCCAAACCTTGAATATAGTGAGCAGACATGAATTGATGCTCCATAGCGATGAACAGCTCTAATAGTCAGAGGAAGAAAAGATAGATGGAGGAATTTTGGTTGATATACACGGAGGACTTACGGCGTAGGTGTGAGTGGTGAGTGGTGAATTGCGGGTGGAGAGCCAGCGATCAGGACTTGGCGCCATGTCTGCGCAACAAGCCATACAGCATCCAGCATGCACAGCAAGGGCTCGAGGGCCCCCTGCGACGAGTCTTCAGCCCTGACAAAAGACACTCAACGCCTCATATTTCTATGCTCCTGACCGCCCCTCTCATTCTGTTTATGCCCCGGTCGCTCATTTGCCCAAAACACTATCCAACATCGAGCCCACTCTCAGGGGCAGTGAAGTGAGTTTGTGTCTGCTGAGACCCTGTTGCGCAAAACCGCAGCCTGCGACTGTTACTCGGCGTAAAGCCGCCCAGGCACGAGATCATCAGCAACACGGTCCACCCATCCTATTATTCCACCTGGAGCTCTGTGAGGCGCACACTCCTCTAGATTGATGGCCTCTCAAGGAGGCCTCACGCGAAGGCGTGGTGCCGGAGGGGCCACGTCGCCAAACGGAGACGACGAGTCCTCAAGCCGGGTCACTTCGCCTGTCCCCAAACAATACAACGATCGTTCTCCTGAAACCGCCTACGAATCCAGCGAGAATGGCCACCGGATCGCCTATGACCCCCGAGACATCAGCGAGAACGCAGAACGGAGTAAACAACCCAAGCTGACTTTGATGGAGGAGGTCCTGCTACTTGGTCTGAAGGACAAGCAGGTAACCAAGACCCAGAAGAATCCAAGAGTCGAGGCATCCTGACTGACATCCGCAGGGATACCTGTCATTCTGGAACGATAATATCTCCTATGCCTTACGAGGCTGCATAGTCATCGAGCTGGCGTTCCGAGGCAGGATCAGCATGCAGAAAGACTCTTCGAGAAGACGGTTCCCTCTGGCGGACAGAATCATTGAAGTCATAGACGACACCCTCACCGGGGAAGTCTTGTTAGATGAAGCTCTGAAAATGATGAAGACCAGTGAGAAGATGAGTGTCAGTTCCTGGATCGATCTCATGAGCGGTAAGTCGGGAAGCCGGTTCGGGGATGCCCATTACACCACTGACGGTCCCTGGATAGGGGAGACGTGGAATCTAATGAAAATTGGCTACCAATTAAAACAAGTCCGCGAACGGCTGGCCAAGGGTCTTGTGGACAAAGGCATCCTCCGCACCGAGAAACGAAACTTCCTCCTCTTCGATATGGCCACCCATCCCGTCGTCGACTCCGGCGCCAAAGATGAAATCCGCAAGCGCGTACGGAACGTCTGCTCCAGCCGAACCGTCGTGCTTCCTCCTTCACAATTTCTCCCTGCCGAACTCGATTTCAGAATGTTGAGAACCATTAGCATGGTCTGTGCCGCGTATGCAGCCAACGTGCTAGAGAATGCGCTGGTGACAATGAGCCACGAAGCAAGAGAGAGGGCTTTTGCACAGGTAGACGAACTACTGGCAGAGTATTCACAATGGCCCTTTGCGAAGAGGACTGGCGGACAACAGGGCATTGGAGCGAACATTGGTCAAGTAATTGCAGAAGAGGTCGAGAAGAATAAGGACAAGGAGTTACAACTCGAGGTTAGTAGAATCCTTTGTACCCCTCTGCACCGTTGTTGCAATCTTGACTCATCTGTACCGTCTAGGTTATTGCGGCTTGTTTGAGCGTTTTTACCAGGCTGGACTCACTGCTATAAGGTTGACAAAACAGGACGCTTTGGGTGAGTGGGCGCGAGTGGGCGTTCACGTTTCTCGCAATTCTCGTTGAAAAAGCAATGAGTCGGAAAAGGATACCTACAATGTTCGCATTTCTGAGTTCACGACCACGTTGTTACTCGGCTCATTGGCTGGGTCTACAACCATGTTTGGGAAGTCATAGTGCTGTCTACTTCTCGACGGCATCCATGAATATTTGTTCATTATTCTCAGGCACTCGGAATGTCTCTTTCGCACTGATGGACCCAATGCTCTGGCTTTCTTTGTTGGAGTTGGGAGGCCATTGTCGTTACTCCTTTTTGGCAGACTTCGCAAACAAGGGGATTGCTGCTGTTTGTAAGTCAGCTCATTGTCTCTGCGGAACAGTACTTTGCAATCAAAGCGACCATCACCACCATCGGCAAAGAACTGCGGTTTAGTATTTGAGTCCCCAGAACTCGTGCTCCGACCACCGATGGATTAATGCCTTGCATCAACAAAGCTGATGGCTTGAGATTCTCCATAATGGGAGACAACCCCTGTCCAAACGTTATATAAATACCGACTTTACTACAAGCAGAGTCTACCTTCCATTTCCCAATCTATTCATCAACGAAGAAAGTTCCCTCCGAGTTGCACGGTGCTCAGAGACGTCTAGAAGTCTACTCACTATACTACACACAATTCCCAGTTTCAATACCCGTCATCCATATCGACTTACCCATTTACATCAAACAAAGTCTGCAAAAATGTGCTATACCCGTTTCACTCTCCTTGTCTGTCCAGACTGCGACTCCACCCGCCGGTCTGCTGACTATCCAGCAATCGACAAGATTTGCTCTTCTTCAACTGCTTGCCGGTATCGCGACCGCCGCCCCCTGCCTCAACGTGAAATAGAGGTTGCGAGGCGATGCTCATGTTGCCGCATTTCCCAAGAAAGTGGGTATTCTCGAGACAGTGGGTATTCCCATCGCTCAGACACAAGTTCAGGGACCACCTATGAAGGGAGCGCCCCTAACATGAGTCATGGTTCGGTACGAAGTTCTGGACGCTCTGGACGCTTGGGACGTTACCCTAACGCTTCTAGAGCATGGACTCTTGTCTCTGAAAGCTCCTTGACTAATAACTCTGGCGCCAGTACTGTCAGGGATTATCACGAGCGCTCAACCACGACGACTTCCACTGGATCCCGATATCGAAGTGACGCATCACGTTACGAGAGTCAAGAAGACAGGGCTCACGCCTACCACCAGGAACGCATAGGTTGATTCCCGCTCCCTCCGCCTCCCCGCCTCTTCGCCTACTTTGAGACTGGTGAAGCAGGCCGAAGTCGAGCACGAAGAGAGAGGGACGGCGTCGGAACATTGTCCGACAGATTTGGAAGTCTGAGCGCGTCATCCTCTTCCTTAGGTGCATCAACCAGGACAGCAGCCGCAGACAACACCCCCCTCTATGACGAGTTTCTCCCATCAGCCACATCCGATATCCCCCTCTATAGGCTCCTCCGCCCACATGGTCTGAGCATTCGCGACCTCGTTGATATTGACGTTCGGTGTAACGATATTTTAAGAATCCCCGAAGACGTCGCGGCGACTTTCCCTCCGGGACAGCTCGTGGAAGATGGCATCACCTTGTCCTGGAGAGTGTGTGAACATTGTTTAGCAGCAGAGGAACTATCGAGCAGGCATGGTACAGAAACGAGAAGGCGACATCGCAGATAGAGGAGGGCAAAGAGCTAGAGCTGGATCTCGAGGCTGCGACGGTGAGTGTTATCTGGGCAAGGCAAGTTTTCTTGGAGTGAATGATGAATTTTCCTTTTGGGAGTGTGGTTCTTACGGCCCTTGTCTCGTGGATAATTGTGCATCTATTGATTCTGAGCATCTGCTCACCATACAGGGTACCGTCAGACCTGACCATCGCCTGCACACCAGGTTGATTTACTTCGACTACGCGTCGAGGCCCTTGCCACGCATACCGATGGTGATTTCTGTGACGATCTAAGATGGTGGAGGGTAGGATCTAGGGACATCAATGCCAGCCTTTGCATATCTAAGTACAAATCGATTTCATGGTCACCATTTGAAACGTACTAATATCCTATACTATACAGGCCATGGAAGCCTAACTGCCATGACAATAGATGCCGGGCCGCAGAAGGACAAGAGTCTAATCGTGGACGCTCTCGATGATGCGTTCCTTCTCAACGGAACGGCCATCGATTCGCTGACGAATAAGATTATGTGATACTTCGCTTCAGCCCTTGCCTTGATCACGGCAGTGCTGGGGACCAAGACGCTCGAGATAAACCAAATTCCGGGCGAGGAGGTTTGGGAATACGACACTGGGGTTTCTGGCACGGTTCAATGGCCTTGCGAGATTCATGAAAAGCGATGCATACGCAGTCTCGACAAGATCCTCGACAAGATCCTCGACAAGATCCTCGACAAGATGCCTAAGTAGGTTGGAGCCGTGTTGGCCGAGTGTGGTGGTATCCCCCCAGAAAAAAAGTAAACAAAGGCAGCCACTAAATGAATAAGCACAGGAGAATGGGTGTCTCGGAGAGAAAAAGCGAGAAGAAGTCTTCCTCTTGCATCTTTCCTAAAGGTGGACGGACTATGGACTCATTGTAACCGCACAAAGAGTCGTTGCGATCGAATCCAAAGAACAAGTGCTTTCTTTCTCAGCGGCACAAACTGTCCATTGACCATTGACCATTGACCGATTGTTCAGTCAGAAAATGGCCAGATTTTCGATCAGTATAAAGCTTCCCCGTCCTTGCTGGTCTTGCGTTCGAGCTCACATCAACCAAACAACAGACAGAACCTCACATTTTTCTACCACTGACTTGGACAAAAGGAGAAAAGTGCACACACACACACACACACACATACACCCACACAAACACGCCAGACCAAAAAAGAGTAAGCCGATAAGAAATGTGTTACACCGTCGTCAAAAGATCCGTCTGTCCAGCCTGCTCTGGCCGAGCAGGCCTGGCCGACAGTGTCACAGTGGAAAAGACTTGTCCCCCGGCCGCTCGGTGTCCGTACCGCACTCAGCGCCCTCTCCCTGTCCGTCCTCGCGAGGAGCGAGTCTCGCGGCTCTGCGCGGCGTGCGTCCGAGCGAACAATTGCCCCGAGCGCATCGACAATACACGGCCCCGGCCGCGCCTGGGGTTCGCGGAGATGAGCAGAGAGTGGGAGCACAGAAACGGGATCAGCCCGGCGTCGAGGCTGGGCCAAGCGTACCCGGACAAAGAGAACAGGGGCTTCTGGAAAGATGTCTTTGGTCCTCTACGGCGGCCGCTGTCTCTTGCCCTGTCTCCGTCTCCGTCTCTATCACTATCGCCGCGTTCTGAAGGAAAGCCTCCTGGTGGTGCCTCGCCTGGCTGGAAAGGAGAAGGCGAACCAGTGAAGGTAGGCCGTAAAGATGAACGGACCGGCTCAGTTCTCGATGCGCGTTCACGTAACTCGGCAAAATTGACCTGGTGCGTCGCCCGGCTGGAAAGGGGTTTGGCGAACAAGTGGAGGTAGGTCAGAAAGACGAACGAACCAGATATATGTAACTCGGCAAAATCGAAGGAGAGGGGGAAAAGGAAGGGCACCATGTCCCGAAGATAGACATTCTTCCCCCCTGGTTCCCCACGTAGGCATTCGACTCCCAAAAAGACAGCGAATCCCTCCACTAACTCTGCGGTTAGGCAAATGTTACGTACGGGGAGCATCTTGTTAAGTGATGTTACATAGCATACATGTAAGAATGTCGAACTCTAATATACAATTGTCTATTCTGTCACTGTGAGACACCAGATACCCAGTATCAATTCCAATACAGGTCTTGTCCGATTCAAGATTTTCCCTTTTGCGTGGTATGTGTATACGCGCATGGTCCCTTAGCTAGTTCGCTCTGGGTCGTGCACGCGAATAATGACAATGGTATATCTACCCGATCGGGCGCCGGCGGGGGCGACTGATGCCGGGGCGGTGTTCACCCCTTCGCTCTGCCGCTCAAAGTGGTCGAGGCTCTCTTTGGACTCTTGAGAGGCGGCGGCGGGGGAGGAGAAGAAGGGTTGATCCCGTCCCCTGCATTGGCGCATAAGCCATCCAGATGGCTGCTGTCTGGTAGGGAGTTGGAGGGACGAGAGGGACGAAGGGCCTTCTCCCTCTTCCGTGAGGTAGATGCTGTAGAAAGAAGTCGCTGAGGCAGGACAGCAGGGAGGAGCGGGAGCGGAGGTGGAAGATCCTTCTCAGACCCGCTCGGCATTTCTGGACCAGCGACAGTAGCAGCAGCAGTATGTGATCTTGACAATTTTGATGGCTTGCGAGGTCTCGTTCGATCGAATATCGCCTTTGCAGACCGAGGATCTATGTTTTCGGAAGATGTACCAACGTGGCTGTGCCTCTGCTGCTGGCGCATTGGATGCGGGAGGGTTTGTGGCGGAATTGTTAAAGAATGAGTACTGGCTGTGGGGCTTTTCGTGGCTTCGGCGGATGGAAAAGACAGCGAGGCCGGTTTCAGCTTGAAGGGAGGTATAAAAAGGGGCCGCAGGAAGTGCGGGCCCCTCATAGGCGCGGGTTTTTCCTCGCAAGCAGGGACGGATACGCTGCGCAAGGTTGAAGCCGTCGAGCGCCGGTGGAAGAATGAGGAGGCGAACGATTTCCGGCTCGGGGTCCTGGGCCTGGACTCGGGAGGCGTCACTGGGTTCATGCCCAGGGGATTGACTCGAAGGAATCTCAGAGATCTAGTCAGGGACTGCCGTGCTTTGGCGATCATGTGAGGCCGCGCAAAGGTTTCTTGGTAGTTCCAAGTTGGATCACCGCTGAGGTTGGCTTCCGCCACTGGAGAATCGGGCAGCACGTTGAACGGTTGTTTCCGAGGCCAAGGGGAGTCGGGAGACTTGGATTTTTGGCGCCATGCAAGTCTCAGCAGCGACTTAGGATCTTCTCCCCTACGCCGCTTAAAGAGCCAATACAGCAGCGACAGAATCAAAGAGAAACCAACTGGGCGATTGTTAGCATGAGATGTTGCACAGTCACTGTCAAGGAGAGAGCGGCATACTAAGAGTCCCAATCGCAATACCTGCCTTTTGTCCTTGTGAAAGAGTACTATGAGATTCGGATGCGATGGTGCCATTCTGGCTTTGGTAGCCCCACGGGGTCTCAACAGCAGTGGCGCTTGTTGTATAGTCCAGGCTTGACGGAGATGGTGTCTGCGCTAGAGATGACGCCAACAGTGTCGTCTCAGTTGCGGATGACGACCTCGATGCTGTGGTGGCTAGGAACAATGTATCGGAGGTTGTTGAAGACAGCGAAACGGGACTGCTAGGACTGACCAAAGGCACTGTCGACACGAACGACGTACTGGACGAAAGATTGTCTGTAATCCTAGTTGATGTTACGTAGGTCGAGGAGGATATTGATGCTGAATCAGACAGGAGAGTAGTAGTGGTGAGCAAGGAGACCTCGCGAGTCGTCGGTGGTGCAGAAGCACTGGAGGTGACAACAAAGGACGATGTGATGATATCGGAACTAGCCGAGCTTGAGAACACAGGAATGGGAGTCGGAGGAGTAGAAGCATTCGAGGAAGCCTCAGCAGGAGGATTGGGCGGTCCTTTTTGATTGCCTTCAGGTCCAGGGGGGCCATTCTTGTTTCCTTGAAGGCCTGGTGCATCCGTATTTTTGGGTTCTCTCCTTAGAAGGGTGCTGTGGGAAGAATGGGGAATAGAGGCCCAGTAGCCACTTGGTAAAAGCATTGCTTCAGTGCCGCGCTGTATAGCCTTCGGTCGAATATGTCCTTTATTGAGCTCATGCAGAGGACACCTTTTCCAAGAATATTCAAGAGTCCAGCTCTTTCTTGTCAAGTTTCTAGCGTCCCAAGAAGAGGCAGGCCAGATCCAGCCCAGTCATAAATCCCCCAGGGAATGAGAACAACGAAGTGAAATTGAAAGAATAAGAAAGGTTGGCGGTCGTAACCTGGAGCATGCAGGCCAGTTACAATCGGAAGCTGCTGGAAGCAAGCAAAACAAAGCAGTGACAAGAGGAGGCACGCCAGCGGCCGAAGGAAACAAAACCACAGCTCTGAGCTGCCGGCATCAATATGCCACTATAACATACAACAAAAACATATCATTCTTGAGCTAAAGAGCCGTAATTCGAGTAGAAGGACAATTAAGCGTGAGCGTAGGACGGTGGAACGAGACAAATATACCCAGTACATGGCATGATCGTCGACTGCCGTTCCACAAGGGCTCCAATACACGCTGACTGGTGACATGCCTTTCACGAGGTGACCAGGTTATGGCGTCTGGAGAAACGGGGCGAGTGTTTCGAGTCGATGTTCAACATAACCATATATATGTGTCCAAGTGCACATGGAGTCCAAAGAGCAGTCCTCGAGTATAGACTCAGCCACACAAGTCTTGGGACGACGAAGCTTGCCTTGCCGCACGATTATCGGTTCAGGTTGATGATATGCTCAGCTTGGACATCTTTGGAAAAGGGAGAAGCCGTACCCTGTACCTGTGCTGTCCTAGAAGTGGATTATGCAGAAGAGGACGAGGACGATCCCAGTGGCTAATCCTTGCTAGATCACGTCCTGAAGGAAATTGTGAAACACGATAGACGTTTCTTCCGAGAGGCTTAGACGGGGCGGTGGAGGTTGGAAACTCCTGCTGCTTTTTCTACCAACGGCGCAAAGGAGAGGCTGAAGCTCAGTTGTAAGGGGGTTTTCTACGGCGCCGTTTTATGTGCCTCCCTCGTTAGCCAGTTTGGTTCTTCGAAGCGAGTGGCATGAATTCCAGGATGATGCACGAGCCGATCAGCATCTGATGGCGCCAACTTGTCCGTGACTTCGGTACGAGTCTTCCGAGATAGACGAGCGGTCCAGTAAAATGGATAGACCTCAATTGAATCCTCTGGCTGTACTTAGTATGAACGTGCCAGTAGTACATATATATGGGTGAGAGATCAGGCTGGGATATGGTTGTGTGAAAGATTTAGTTCTGGAAATAAGCAAAGTATTGAATCTGAGACTTTGGCACGGTGAATCTTGTGGAAGCGTGCAAATCTATGAGTATAGTACAACATGGAGATTTGTGCACAGTTCTTGCCTGACCCAGCATCTAGATGGCCAGTTAGAAGATCATCGAGACATACCTTTTTCCTATCCTGGTCTGCTCAATATCAGTTTGCATCAGCACTCTCACCATCGCCTCTCTGCACATCCAAGGCGGCCATTTCCTCCAGAGCAACCAGTCTATCCTGCAGCACGCTCGTGTCATACGTGGCCTTTCCTGCCGTTGCCGCCCTCAGTTTCCTCAATCTTTGCCCTTCCTTGCCTGCGTTGCCCAGCACACCACCGATGAGAGAAATGGATCGGAGGGAATCATCGTTTGCCGGTATCGGATAGGTTACCCAGGTCGGGTTCGCATCTGTGTCAATGACTCCGATGGTAGGTACATTGAATATCCCACATTCGTGCAGGCAAACTTGATTCTCGATCGGGTTCATGCAGATCACGAGATCTGGGCGCATGACCTGATGGTAGCCTCTCGACAAGATATCGTCGTATTGAGGTATTTCATTGTCGTGAATGTCGACCACTTTGACGCCACAATCTCCAAGGATTTGCTGCCCATTCGTTAGAGCACCCGGGACCCATCGGTGGAAGATGTGGTAACCTTCCGCCAATCTTGCAGAGTTGACAATTATATCCTCCATGCCCTTGCGCGTCCCGATGAAGAGGATGATCCCGCCTCGTTCTGCCACCGCTTGGACCACTTTTGCCGCACGCTTCAGGTATGCGTAAGTAATATCTAATGAGATGATGTGAATACCGTCTCTTATGCCAAATATGTAGCCACTATTCGAGGGGTTCCAGAGCGACGTATGATGACCGAGATGGGTCTGATTGGCAAGCAACATAGGCAGAGTGAGATCCTCCACTGTGGGAGGCCGGCGAAGAATTGTGGATGGATCGTATGTATGTGATAAATGTGTTCCTTGACGAGCGGCTCTCTGCATTGCGCGACGATGACGATTTAACTCTTTTAGATTCCGAAACGGCAGAGCATCTTCAGCGGATGTCGGAGGTGCAGTGCTTGATGTTGAGCTTGACTCAGGTTTTGTAACTGTTCGAGCAGCAGAGTGTGCGTTGAGGTCTGCTTGAAGAGAACGAATGGATTTGTGCTGCGACTCGACCATTTCTTCTAACAGCCTGGTCGCGGCTGTTGGAGCGCGATCGATCGTGTCAAGAATGCTTGAAGGGTCATCGGGATGACCCGGTATCCGAGTCGTCCCTTTCGCATCTCGTTCTGATGGTCGAAATGTAGGATTGTCTGTCGACATGCTTGTTGCGTATGCTCGATTAAGCGTCCGCGATGACTGCGCCAGCACTGTCCGCCCTGGATATCATTAGAAAAGTCTACGTCAACCAATCTCCAGCTGTACATACCATGCCGGGCGCAAAACTGTCTGACGATCATTGCTCGCTGGATTTTGGCGGCAAACTGAACAGAGCGCATTGAGAACTTTCCCTCTGTTCCACTGAAGCTGCGGTTGGCTTGAGCTTGGCGCTGAGAAGGCAACTATGCAAACAAGACAAACACAGCAAACACAGCAAATATTATCACAATTGAGGCCACCACACTATCCACAGCTTGTTATGAGTTGCTTGCATCTTTCCATTCTTCCTATGCTCTAGTTATGCTGTGTTTCAGACGCTCGCTATGATATGTGACCAAATGATCTGAGGTCAGGAGTACAGCGATCTTCACAGCCACGGAGGTAGGCGCTTCAAAATGGATGGCTGCTGCTTGCAAGCAGCCACCGGGAGCGACTCAGCTTCAAACACGAACAAGCCCCCTTTGCACGGTAGATTCGGAAAACATCCTTTCCGCTGCAGGATCCCGCCAACACGAAACGCATCCTCCAGCAATTCAACGCTCTTCGCGGCTTGTTGCATTCACTCAACATATACAAACTGATGTAGTCTTGGTTCTCTACTGGACGCTATGTTTGGCGTTTGTTTGATATCTCGGATAGGCACCAGTGCCAAGGTCCGGAGCAGAGGCAGTAGACCTTCATAAAGTCGGAAAAGAAAACTGAGCTCTGCCCAACTTCGTCTTGCTTATCTCCAGTTTCTTTAGCATCGACAACCTCCGGGCTGCAGCTAGACCATGGACAGTGCAGTCATGGAAATGGTGAGCACACTTTGGCGGCTGAGTCTCTCTCCCCCCAAAACTAAAGACAGAATAGGATCGACCACGTCGCAACTTCAATCCAAGGAAGACCAGACGGTATGGACGGCAAACCTTTGACCCAGACTACCTGGTCAAGTACAGCCCCAAATGGAAATACTCGCGTCTCTACAACTTCCCGTACCCCGGTGCCCATTGGCAACCACGGATGCGAACCATGGTGATTTCCGTCGATGGAGGATCTCGCGGCAACAATCGCAGCGACCCCAAATCTCGCGCTGCTTACGGTGTCTTCTTCGGACCAAACTGTCCTCGCAACACTCACGGCTTGGTGTCCCCGAGTGTACCGCAAACGAGTTCCCGTGCTGAACTTGAGGGCGTCAGTAAGGCTCTTGAGATTGTCCAGGGCATGAAACATGCAGGCGAGATCGATGGCTGGCGCGAGATCATCATCAAGCTGGACTCTGACTATGTGGCCAGAAGCCTCGGTGAATACATCTGGACCTGGGAGAGGAATGGCTTCATGACCAGAAAGGGGACGCCTGTGGAACATGGTGACCTGATTCGTGAGATGCACGGCACCATCACACAGCTGGAGCGGGATGGGGCGGTGCGATTTTGGAGGATCGGGCGTGAGTGGAATCGAGAAGCAGACGCATTGGTGAATCAGGCCCTGGATGTAAGTCTCTTCGAAAACCAGCACCTGTTAGAATCCTTCCCAGACCCTCGATCCCGGATGCAGCTTTGACATGCTCACGACAATACAGGATGCTGCTGACAGTGGCTATGAGGAATCCTGATGGAAGGGACCCTGTTTGGTTGCTGCGATGCAGTAGGTGGGCATTTGAAGGGTGGTTGGCTTGCTTTTTTGAGTTTATTATGTTGAGGGCACATGCATCGCGCTCCCGGGGTCTTGTGGAATGCTGGGATTGTAAGAGATAGCTGGATTGGTAGTGTCGGGGCAGAAGGAGGTGGATTGCATTGCCTTGCTAGTTTAGTTTGTGTGTATCTGCGTAATCTTGTCTTGCATATGTGTCCTGCATAGGTATTGATGGCTTGGTGCCGATTTTAAACCTCACATCTACTTGTCCTAGGTACTACAGTAAGCTCAGAGTCGAGGAGGTCGCGAGAACCGTTGGTTGAATTGACAAAGATTGCTTCCGAGGTTGGACTAATCCACCTCCCTCCCTGATTGAACCAATGCAGCCAGTGTCAGCCTAGGTGCAGCCTAGGTGCTGAGATGATCCCAGACAGGATGATCGAATGGAACACCGAAACGTATGAGGCCAAAGACGCGTAACCTCTCTTCCTCCCCTAGCCTCGATATCAAACCCTCGGCACGACTCTCTCCCTCTGGTCCATCGAACACTTCTCAGGAGCCCGAGAATGCATCACTGGGATGGCTCCCTAGGTTTCCTTCAGTCCTAGATGGTCATTACCCTCATCATTCATCCTGTCTCAACGCCAATTAAGAGATCTTGGTTTCACAGTTATGACTGCTACTCACCCCCCTGTACCACGGGAAGGTGCCGTTTTCACAGGACAAATTGGCTACCTATCTTCTCTGGTTAGTATTCACTTCCCAATGGAGATATGTCGACTTACATGTCCCTGCGCAGTTCGCTTAGCACCGCAATCTTTCTGAGACTTCGTCACCTCAGATACAACACTATGTCAATACCTCGTCACGCATATTCTGTGCTATCTCACACATGGGCCTGGATACCCGAGGCCTCCTTTTTTGCTTACCCATTTTGCGACTTGCTGCGAACCACCTGAGAGCCATGGCTCCCCAACCATGTGCGGGCCATTACGCAATCTTCTACCTAATTTCGGACTCTTTTTTTTGTTTGGAGCTTTTGACTTGGTTTGGATGAACTGGAAGTGCACAAGCACAGAAAAATGGACCCAACGTGGAAGTGAAGCGTTTTCGCTGAAATGGTATCGCTTGTCAATGCGTTGTAAATGGCGTACAACATGAGAGCTCGCTGTAGTGAAATGAAGGGACGCAGGATAGTCATACGGGCCAGCATCCAAGCCCAGATAATCGGAAAGACCAAGCTCAACGGCACGATCCAGGAGTTGTGCCCAGAAATCCGATGGGTACACCTCTAGCAAGTATGAGGATTCATTAACACGGGAAGCCAAGGAAATGGGGCTGCGTTGAATGGCCACGTCGATGAATTCCATAGTAAACGATATCCAACGGATAGAAGCCTGAGAGTGCACAACTCCTGTAGCACGCCAGGGCAACGAGACACCTTGGGAAGCAGGAGAGGGGAGGCGAGCGGGAGCCGGAGCGGGGAGCAAGAGGGAGAAAGGGAGGCTTGAGAGTCGTAAGACATCCTGAGAATCGTGTACCTCATAAGTAGACATTCGCTAGCAGAGATTCACTCACTGGCTAAGGGAAGAAGAAGAGAGAACAGACAGTAAAGCGAAGATGAGGTCTTTTGTTCTAAACAGGCCGTTGCACGGGCAACTGCCAAGCCCTATTCTCCACTCGTGTCATTTCCACTTTTGATCGCCACGAGCTTGCATTTGCCCAAGTACCGAATACCTCGTTATACTTGCGTGTAGTACTCTGCTCGTATGTAGGCACATCCATAGCGCCGCTATTGTCTTCCCTTTCTGCTCTGTTCGAAGCTCAATCCAAGATCGCGTCCCAGATACATTGATGGGACGATCGGTGCCTGACATGTGTTGATCAGCCTTGAGCAGCCTCTGCCTCACCCGAGGCCACATGTCAACATTCCCACATCGGGTTTCGCGATGAGGACCTGTTGCGGGCATATGTTTTGGACGAACCGTCCCCAACATCAACCATGAGTGCGGGTTCTCTTCTATATCTCTATATGAATCATGAACATCTCGATTAGTATTAAGACGACTTACCTCTTCAATGCGTGATCACATCTCTACACATCCAAATTTATCAGAGACTCCCGCCTTTTTGCAAATGCGAAGGCAGAGGCCGTTCGCCGGATCCAAGAATATCGGAGTGACTATTCTAGGACTAGGATATCTGACGAGCTCTGGACCACAGTCAGAATTCGAAAGGAGGCCGAAGGATACGACCGCGAGACATACGAATATTCCCTCAAAAATCAACACTATCAACATGAACGAGCTGATAGCCTAAATCCCGCCCTAGAAGTGTCAGGCACTTTCATCGTGCGGCTGACGGGACCCTTGGATTCGCCGGAGAAGATCAAGGATGCTGTTGGCTTAAAGGAGGCCCCCCGATCGCAACAGGTGCAGGTGAATACGGCCAAGCGCATTTCTGTCAGATCGATGGTCCAACGAGGGCAAAACTGCTGAACTGGGTCGCTGAGCACCGTGGCAGCTTCCAACCTACTATTGTGCGCCTGACGAAGGCAAACAAGAGTCTCTGCTCACAGAGCAAAGCTCCAACTCTTGCACTGGATCCGACACTGCCTCAAAACCGCCGAGACGATGAAAAGGACATCGCTCGGCCTTTACAGGACGAATATCCCAGTGTGGTATTTCTTTTACGGCACCCTCGGCGATCCAGAAGTCCTCAAACACCATCTCAACTTGGACACCGAAGCCTCTCTCATCCCGGCTCATGTCGAGGGGGGTGATGTTCGACTCTGGGCAGGAAAATACAAAGCCCTGGTGGATTCGCCAGGATCAGCCAAGGTGTTTGAAAGCGGGTTTCTCGTCCAGTCCCGAGAAGAGGACGCGTTGAGATTTTACGAGACGGACAAGTATGAAGCTGTGCGATGCCGCATTTTCACGGACGATGGGATTTTCAGAGGGCTGACCTTTCGGTTTGATGGGGTACCGGAGGATCTAGCATAGGTAGGCACCCCCGGCCTCAGTCCTTAAATATCAAGCGAGCAAACAAATGGGATTCGAAAAATAAGTGGCACATATACCTCAAGAGTGCTCAATAACGCCGAAGCGGCCGTCATAGAGGATATCAGTAACAAGTACTGGGTATAGGATGAATGACAGAGTATCATCACTCCACGCTTGTCAGACTGAGCCACTTATTTTTGAATGTGGTTTGCATGATCTCTAAAATAAACGGCGGTCAGGTGACCAGGGAAATGATTTGCATGATTTTCTCGGTGGAGCATCAGCCCCTGAATGCCAAGCCGCTAGACCATTTTGCACCGTCTCTTGTTGCTTGGCATCCGGTCCGCCATTTCTTGTTGTCTTGGTCTTCTCCTGGTGCTCCTTCTCCCTCCTTTCTGGGCCAAACAATGTTTTCCTCCGCCAGGTACGAAGTATCTCGTAGGGGGTAGACGAGAGGTTGGTCCCGCTACTCAGTCTCTCGCTTCTCATCTGTTCTTGGTTGCCCTCCCCCCACCTCCCACCCCTCGGCGGCCATGCGAGGGAGGGTTGCACACGGCCTCGCCATCATTGGTCCCGCCTCGTCTGCCCCAGCATCGCCCAGCCTGACTTCGAAACACGCGGTGACCGCTGTCTCGTGAGCATCTGAGCAATGCAATTTCACCTGGGGTCTTGGAACATGTCCGTCTTTCAAGGTTTGGCATGGGGGAGCACAGAGCTTAGGCATGAACACCTAACTAGTCGGCTCTTCTTTTCTTGCTGTCCGCCTGTCAGGGACCAGTGGACTGATATCAAGTGGTGCCGTTTGCCAGGGTCACCAGTCCGTCAGTCTGGATGTGAAGTTGCACGCTTGGCTCTCCAATCCAAGTACCCAGTACCGAATACATATCCCCATGCTCAAGTCCCTGTGTGCCTGTTGACTTCTGAGTTTCCCAGCCCGACCAATTCTAAACAGCTTCAGTTGTTTTGATTCTCCCACAACCTTTTAAGTTGCCTTTCTTTCTCAATTGCCCGGCACATCTACACCTGGGCGTCCTCTCCTTTTGCCTTTTGCTCTTCCTTTCGAAAGGCGACCCTTTTCTGCCAAAAGTTCCGCTCCATCCTCCAGAACACCTTTCGCCTTCATTCCCAGCCAACGCACACAATCCTTCACAGAAGCCACCACTATGCGCTCATTCTTCTTGTTGGTGGTGGGCGCGCTTCCCCTCCTGGCTGCTGCTTGGTCAGAACACTCTCTCTTGACCCGGGCGACCGGAAACGCAACCGAATGCGACACGGGCGACAAGGTGTGCGGTGTCTTCTGCATCCCGAGCGACTATACCTGCTGTCCCGATCTCGAAGGTGGTTGCCCATCGAAGTCAGTCTGCCAGAAAGGCGATAACGGCGTGTACGGGTGTTGCCCGGTTGGGGACACCTGCACTGGCGATGGCGGTGCAGAATTCCTCGATGGCGACAGTTCGGCCAGCAGCACTTCAACTAGCACCTCTGATGCCTCAGTTGCATCCAAGACGACTTCGGCCACCAATGCAGCCCAGCCTCTCGTTATGGGTCAAGGATTGACGGTTGCACTCGTCGCCGCCGGTGTTGCCGCTCTCCTATGATAACACTCGGCCATCCAGGCGTGCACCATCTCGTCATTTGAACTCAGAATCCAACACACGGAGTCATTGCAAATTTACGAAGAGGAAATTGGGGAAAGGTCGATTGTGAGGGGGAGGGGGGTTGATGTTGAATTGGCTCTTGCAATGGTTGTCTTCATATTTGGATTTGTTGATATCCCCATGACCGCATAATTCGCGATTCGCACCATCACCGTTCGAGCTTTGAATACATACCGCTGTCCATCTCAAGTCTGCCAGGCGGGTAATTATTTTCTCTTCTCTCACTCCGCCTCACCCTGTCTCATTGTCTCTCTTCTTTCCATCTTTCCTTTCTGAACGAACCTGACCTTGGAATTCCAAACCATCTCGCCAACGAGTCGCAGAGCATCAAGCACAGAGTGGAGGGACAGCGCAAGAGCGAAAGCGAGAAGCAGGACACGCCAGAGCCAAGGACGAGCGTACGTCGTCTTGGGGCCGTGGCGCATGCTTCCAGTGAACGGGTCATCTGTGGAGGACTGAAGTTCGAAGTGAAGGCCCTATGGACGGAGTAGTTCCTCGAGAAGACTGGCTGTATCTGTCCCCTTAGGCTCCGCCAGGCTGCTTCATGACCACGGGGTAGGGTGCGCCTCCAACTCTTTTATATCTTGTAACCCTTCCCATTGCCTCTTCGCTCTGTCGCCCTTTCGTCCGTTCCTGCCTATGTATCTACCTCCCCGCCCCGTGTCCTGTCTATCACAGTAAGTCGTGCGCCCACTCTACTGTACATGTCCGTATGTATGCGCCGAATGAACACCAGCGGAATTCCTTACGACAAGGCCGCCCGCACCACAGGCTGTGATTCTGCAATATGGCCAGTTGCTCACCTTATGCATGAGGAATGAGATATAGGAGGATCTAGACCCGGAACATTGAAAGAGAAGGGGGATCCGAACCTTGCTTCGAAGCAAGAAGAGATACAGAGTCATGTGGAGCTGGTGGTCTTATGCACGGGGAGGAAGAACGGTTCCATATGTACCGAGTACTCCGTACTCGCTTACGGCCCAATTGCATCCTTGATGGAGCTTCTGTTCCGTTCTTTCCCCACGTTTTGGGGTTGTGCATGTGTGTACCTTATGTTAGGAACTGCTCCATGGCTCCACGACTCGGTAAGCTGCATTGTGACCAAAGGAACGTGTGGAGAATCCACAGTGCTTTATCCGAGGTCCAATACAGGTTGCACTCGGCGCCCGCACTGGCAGTGGCACTGTTTCCTCAGGACATGGCAAGTAATACCTTCTGAACTGGTGGTTTCCATCCAACTGCCGGTTGGCGCCTGGGCTGTTCTCTTCCGAAACCAAAAAAAAAGGACAAACAACAAAACGCTCCTCCAGCGGTAACCTTGCTCTGTCACAGAATACTACTGAGACAGTGCACGAAAAATGTCGTCCATGAGAGCGGCTCGCTTCTACGGCAACAGGGACATTCGCGTCGAGGACGTACCCGTCCCTGAACCAGGTCCAGGGGAATGTCTTGTCGAGGTCGAGTGGTGTGGAATCTGCGGGAGTGATCTTCACGAGTATGCCGCCGGTATGTATGTGTGCTGTTGTTCATCCATCCCCTGTGGACGAACACAACTGTCTGCCAAGTCCACGGTAAGAACGAACTTGGACTGAAGACGAGAAACAAACTCTAGGTCCCGTGTTGATGCGCACGACCGATCCTGAGACCGGCAAGCCCAGGCCGATCATCTTCGGCCACGAGTTCTGCGGACGGCTCAAATCCGTCCCCGAAGGATCGAAACTGCAAGTCGGCCAGGCTGTCATGGTCGACCCTCACTGCATATGTCGGACTTGCCTTTGCTGCACTGCAGGGAACGATCACATCTGCCAGAAACTCGCCTTCTTGGGCGGAAGCAGTGGCAAGGGCGGCGGTCTCTCCGAGTACGCTACCGTCGAAGAGACCCATTGTCTTCCGTTGCCCGAGAATGTAAGCTTGGAGAACGCCGCGGTGATTGAGCCCTTGGTCGTCTGTCACCATGCGGCCAAGGCGTCCGGGTTGAACTTGGCAGGGTTGGACGTGCTGATTCTTGGGGGAGGACCCGTTGGCGCTGCCTTGATCTCCGTCCTGAGAGCACACCGAGTCGGGAAGATCATCCTGAGCGAGCCCACGGCCAAGAGGAAGGAGCAAGCCAAGGACGTAGTCGACAGGGTCATTGACCCGAGAACGGAGAAGGTAGGAGACGTGTGTCGAGAGCTGACGGGCGGTAAAGGCGTGGACGTCGTGTTTGACTGTGCCGGCGTTCAACCCGCGTTGGAAGCTGGCTTTGACGCGATAAAGTCGACGGGCACGTTTGTCAATGTCGCCGTGTGGGAGAAACCGGTGAGTTTGAACTTTCTTTTTTTCTTTTCCCCGTGCATACAAAAAGGATTGAGATCGGGCCGTTAAACCATATTGTCACTGCAGATCCAGATCCAGTTCCTGCCGTTCTTCTTCAAGGAGGTCAAGATCATGAGCTCGTGCTGCTACAATGAGCAGGATTTCAAGGAAGTCATGGAGTTGATGGCCAAAGGCAAGTATCCCAAGTATCCTTCCCACATACAAATACACAAATCCCTTCCCCCTCCCGTGCCATTGAACAATCAACTTACTCCTCTCATTTTCCCCTTCTAGGTTCATTCGCGGGCTACGAGAAGATGGTGACCAGCCGCATCTCCCTGGAAGACACTGGCCCGAAGGGCTTCGAGGAACTGGTCAACAACAAAGACGACCAGATCAAGATCCTGATCTCGCCCAAGATAGCCAAATGAGAGAGAGAGAGAGAGAGAGAGTGTGTGTGTGTGTGTGTGTGTCACATCTTGTCATAATATACCTAGGTAGATAGTTGACGTATACGTAGATTATGGACCTTGGGACGGTCAAGTATCTGAATGGTATGGCACGGATGGCACTTCCATGGGGTGATTGCCGTGGATTGGATTGCAGAAGGATTCCAGGTACGCTAGCCTCGGCCTCCCTCTTAAAGAGAGAGTGAGACTAGTTCACTCTGGTAGCAATCCAGGGTCTTGGTATTGACTACTGAAGAATCCAGACACATATCTATTATCGTACCACGCACGACCTACAGACCTGGCCAGTAACACAAGGGGAAGGTGGAAATATCCAGCTGGCTCTTCTCAATTAATGGGTTGCTTTTGAAGTATTCTGGGGTCGTTCCCGTCGAGCATCTATAATCCTATCAGTCTCCTCCAACCTAGCCAACCAGAAATCATCGCGGTCTCGTTCGGACGGTGTGGGTGACAAGGACGTCATTCCATTCTCAAATACTCGCCCGTCTCGGCGCCATCGCCCTCAACATCTTCTTCCCCTCGTCACTCGCACCCACCCAAGCATCAATAATGCCATTCAGCTCCCCTTCACTCCTCAATCTCGCAAGGAATTCCTTTGCATAACTATACCCGACCTCGTATATCTCGTCAAATTTCGCGAACTCCAACGTCCCATAGGCTTCAATGGGAGGACGCATGTATATACAACCTGGCGTAGCTTTTGCCCGTTCGAGCGCGTCGACCGAGGAAACATAAGCGAGACGAGCCTGGATGTCGGACAACGTAGGAGGATTAGGTATCGAAGAAAAAGGATTCCATCGGTTGAGCAGGGACCAGAAGCCGGAGAGGGTGTCTCCGTATTGTTGCGGGGTATCATCGTCCACGGCGCCGACGTCGACTGCGAATACGAGATCTGTTCCAAGAGATTTCATGTGTTGGACGGTCAGGTTGTCGATATATCCACCGTCGAGGAGCATGCTGCCTTCATCGCAGATCGGCGGGATAAGGCCGGCGAGGGACATGCTTGCCCTCACATACCTCCATGCATAGCCCGACGTGTGGATCTCGGCGCGAGATTTGCTGATGTTTGTCGTATTGCAGTAAAAAGGCAACCAGAAGTCTTCGATCTGCGAATCCCCAAAGGCCTTGAACATGCCACGGTTGAACTCGTGACCTGTGGTATATGCGGCCGAGGGATAAGTTAGGTCCAGTGCGAACCGCCACATACTGCCCATCCGCCCGGCGAATTTCTTCGCGCGTCCGTACATAGGCACAACGTCTGCGTCGCGAGCATAGAGCGCTCCCAAGAATGCACCGATCGAAGTACCCCCAACGATGTCGATGGGTATGCCTGCCTCTTCTAGAGCTTTGATGACCCCAATATGTGAAATGCCGCGCGCGCCGCCCCCACCAAGGACCAACCCAACTGATTTGCCGCAGAGTCGTCTCGCAAGTCGATGCAGGTCGCCTTTGAAAGGAGTGTCAGCTGAATATAGTGGAGCTTGGCGGACTCTGCGAGAGGTGTACTTCTGTATCTCTGCCTGAATGACTTGGACACTTTGCTTGATTGCTGAACCAAACTTTCTAGGCGGAGCATGAGGCGTAGCCTCCGGGCTCACACGAAATGCCATCTGGATATGATGGTGACCACCGTTGATCCACATTCGATTACTCATCCATTTCCTGGTCAAGCCCGGTTGCGAATATCGGTCGACGTGGAGTAGGACCAGGTCCTTCCGGGCAGTTGTTTTCATTCCCAGAAGGAATCGCTCGTACTCACCAATGCTTGGTGAGCTCTCAGCCAAGCCAACCAGCAGAATGCAGTCTGCTTGCGAGATACAAGTTTGGGTCCAAGGGGCATTTACATTGGTATCTGCAATGTACAGCACCATTCCGTATTTCTCTTCGAGGTCGGCAAGGTACTGTGATAGTTTTAAACGACCCATGCGATTGAAGGCGTGTCGGCCGAGATGGTTGAGGATGATGGCTTGGTTCAGCAACGTAACGCCATTTGGCATCCCGGTCTGGCTCAATGCTGCCAGCAACCGGTTCCCAAATTCAACGACTGGAACCCCGACTGTGACAGGTAACACCGCTATCGTTCGGAGATTTAGAGTAGATGTACTTGAGTCACTCAATGCGGCTCTCTTCCTCTCTTGACCTTTTTCTGTCAACGGAGCTTCGATAAGCGCTCGCATACGCTGTGCGATCAACTTCGAGATTTGGATGGTGATATTGGGGTGCTCCTGTGCCAGACTGTTAAAGAGGCTTCGCGGGAACTTGGCCAGCTCCGTGTCACGTATAGCGTGAAGGGTGGCAGGCCTCGTGCCATCGGTCATAACCTCCAACTCTCCAATGCTCTCGCCTTGGCCGTATTCTCCTGTCACCCGCATATTTCCCCCTTCAAGCTCACGGACCGCTCTCAGTCGTCCGTTGAGGACGATGTAGATGGCGTCGCTATCGTCCCCCTGATGATGGATGACCTGACCGGCATTGACTTGTACCCACTCAAGAGCAAAGTCAATATGCAAAATCAGTCTTGGGAGCAGACTGGTGAGCCGCTTTGCCATCGTCAACAGGACAATGGGATATTTCTCAGCAACCCTTTCCAAGGCCGATCGAGGCAGGAAACCCACATAGACGTCCGTTTTCGCCGTCACATCTGTAAACGATCTATAGGACGACAGGGTCCCAACATAGCCGGCGATGCCGCCAGGTTTCACCAAAAACAATGTTTTTTGCACCATCCTTTTGTTCTCTTTGGGCTGACCAGGAAAGCCAGCAGTCGACTGGGTTCGGGAATTGGAAGTTTTGGTTCTTCGAAGACGTGGGAATGTGTCGTCTCGCGAGCCTCTCCGCGACCGATGGCGATCGTCCGATTCTTGCTTTTCTTCTTTCTCTTCGACAGGGATGCTAACGTCTAAGAAACCGTCGATAACATAGTAAAGGCCCGGATTTCGTTCGCCTTGCTCAACCAAAACAGAGCCCTTAGGGAAAAAGACAATCTCGACGTCGTCTATTAATTCTTCGTTCAGAGTACGACTGTACGGCGGGCCGCCAACACTCGCCGCCGAAGCCGTCACAGATTCCGACTCACCATCAGCCGAGCCTTCGTAGGGGTCAATGAAACCAAAAGCATTATTGAAAATGGCCGTTTGGCGTTTTGCGTCATAGGAAACGAGCCGTGGAGACTGCTCTACCGAGACTGGCGCTCCTTTCAAGGCCTGGGTTACTGAGTCGCTCAATCCGAGAGCTTTTGCCATGCATTCCAACACAGATTCGCGAAACAAGCTGTCTTCATGAATTGAATCTTGTCTATGCGGGATGTCGTTGCCGAACGAAGATTGACGAAAAGGCTGTTGTTCACGGTTTCCCATCGGGCTCAGATCTAACCGGAACCTGTCCGGGGCTCCCATACTCGTCCAGTTCGAAGTAGAGCGGAGGTGAAGACTGGTTGGTCTCTGACTTGGCCTCGACGCACCGTGCAGATCACCTGAGCTGACATTTCTGTCACCTACTCCTGGGCGCGTGGAATCGGGTGCTGAAGAAGAGGCAACCCCCTTTGCTGCATTGAGCCTGGCTATTGTGGCGGCTTCCTTGCGGAGTCCGCTTGAAGACCTCCGTCGACCTGCCGTCGGATTATGCAATGCTATCCCCTTCGTCCCCTCCTCGGGACCAATCCTTTCTCGTTCCTTTGCAAACTTATCCCGTAACCTGTCAAGGGCTTGGCCGCGAAGGTGGTTCGGCAGATCATAGCTGGTGAATTTATTCATTAGCTTCTCGATCTGCAGGACCTCCGAGGTCAGCCCTAGATACTGATGGGCGGTTGACAGCGTCACTCGGTGCAGTCTCGTCAATATCACCTGAACTATGTGGGCGGTTGCTTTGGGATACACCCGAGTCAAGCGTCGGAATGCGCTTGCTGGGATGATGGCTATTGTGGTGTCAACCACTGCTCTTGCCACGATATCGGGATGCGCAGAAACCGAAAGCTTAGGTCTGACCTGATGATTCTTATAATGACGCTCATCAAAGGCAGATCCAAGGGTCAAGGGTGGAACGCTAGGTAGCCTGGCCTTCTGTGTTTCGCTTAGAATGCCATTGACGGCCGATCCTGGTGTCGGTGGATCTATTGTCGGGCTGGCAACATTCGAATCGGGTGTGTGGGTGACGTTGTTGGTCAATCGCGGGCCATTGGGAACCTGATCGTCATGGCGTAACTTGACATCTTCGGTGAACAAGGACAAGATTGAGAATAAAGAGGACATTGACGCTCCATTCTTAACTTCGGTCAACAACTGATATCCCTGATTGCCTTCGCGATATCCTTCGTCTTCGTCAAATAAGTCAATTTGACCGGTGCTGCTGCCGTCGGGCGAGTCTCTCAAAGACTTGACAAATATCTGGACCAGACCGTCCACAACCAAGCAAAACCCTTTCTCTTCCTCGAGCAGCAATGTCTCCCCAGCAATGAGCTTCCTAGTCTGCATCGTCCGCGTCAATTCGTGAAAGATGGGCCTCTCCAGGTACCCAAACACCTTGATTGCGCTAAGGAATTCGTCCAGGTAGTTGGCCAACCCTGGTTTCGAGTCTCCATCTTGTGAGTCTGGAAATAGATCTATCTGCGGCTCCTTCCTCTGTGGTTCTTGAGGTAGGTGGGTGTAATAATTCAGGAAACGATAGCGGACGAACCAACTGACGGTCGAGACTACTGCAAGGATGATTAAGAGTCTTCAATCGTCAGTGGAGGCGAAAGCACCACAGGTGGGGGAGCAATACTTACAGGGTGGTGAAATTCATGGTAAAGGTCAAACTCATGGAAAACAGAGTGAACAACCATGTCGGCAGCGTAATTGTACAGAATGCTATGGTCCATAACAACGCATGAGGGAGAAAAGTCACGAGGGATATGAGGGCAGCAACAAAGCCCCTTCCAGGCGACGATTGTCCATGTCCCACCAGGACACTTGAACTTGCGGCGGAGGCATTCATGGTGGTGACCGAGCTCAGGTTCGACCTTGAGGCTCGTGGGGGCGCAGTGGAGGCTACCTAGGCTAGAGGAGCTCAAGGGTGAGGATGATCGATCCAAGGCCAGCCAGTGAGCACGTCACGAGGACCAGACATTGCTTCTGCAACCTACTTGCCGGGCGAATGGAGGCGGTACTATTTCAACGCGTACTGCAACTAGTAAGGGAAATGAGAGTAATGAGACTGAGGTGGGTGGTGAGAAGAAGGAGACAATGACCATTGTTGATCGAATAAAAACGCACGTGAAATGGCAAAGAGGGTTGCAAGGGTTCAAGCTTTTTGGCCGCCGCAGTCGATCAAACGTGAGGCATGACGATGGGCACAGGCGCAGGCGTGGGCGCAGGATGGATGGAATTCGGGTGGAAATTATATCCACTGCTCGCCACCATGTGCCAGAGCATGTGATATACACGTGACCGGGGCATCAGCCGTTACATAAGCAAGACATTATGCCATCCAGCGAGCCCAGCACGAACAGCACCATCACCACCATCACCACCATCTCAGACACCGGATTCCCGCTGGATATCCTGACAGTGGCATCTATCTCTCCCAAGACCCATCACCGTCTCTCGTGTACCAACCTTCCTCCAACCCAAACCCGTCTCACGTTCCTCTCGTCTCCATTCCATACCCACTTGGCAACCCGATCCTCCCAAGATTCCCATCCAAAGACGTCCACCCCTGTATCAGCTGCTCGTCCACTGGAATCGACGTCCCCCATCACAATCTCCTGCACATCCCAATACATACCTTCCTCGAATCCCCCTACCCGTCCTTCCATACCAACCACTTTCGCTCCACCCATTGTAGCGAGCCACAATCCCTCGGCAACACTGAGGTTGAACTTGCTATCACCGTCATTCAAGTACCCAACATGCCGGCTCACAATGCAAGCGTTTCGAACCGCATCGAGTATGCTGGGACTGTATCCGCCGCTGACGTCTGTGCCCAGACCGACCTCAACCCCTTCATCCAACAACGTGCGCACAGGGCAAAATCCACTCCCCAGGGCACTATTGCTCGCGGGACAGTGACTGACTTTTGATTTCCTCTGCCTGACGAGTTGCATTTCTTCCCTGCTGAGATGCACTGCGTGCGCAAGGATTGTTCGTGATGTCAGCAGCTCATGATGGTCATACACCTCTGCGTAACTCGATTGATCCGGGAACAACTCCTTGACCCATTTCACTTCATTCAGATTCTCCGAGATATGCGTCTGGACTCTTAGATCCTCTTCCTTTGCTAATGCGCCTAGTTGGGATAGTGTTTCGGGTAGACAGCTTGGTGCGAATCTCGGCGTGATGATGTGGGCCACAAGCTCTCCTGAGGGGTCCAGAGATCTGCAGTATTCGATGCTGGCTTTGGTGTTTGCTATCGTCTCCTCAGTGCTTTCGTCTCGATAATATTCCGGACACGCCTCGGGTCGATCCATGCACACCCGTCCGATATAGGCCCTTTGACCCTTTTTGAAAGCAATGTCAGCAAGGAGATTCGTCGCCTCGAGGTGAATGGTGGCATAATATGACGCCGTTGTCGTTCCAAGTGAGAGTGTCTTGGAGATGATCCGGTTGTAGACTGCTTCGGCGCGAGCTAACGGGTCAGGCGGCTCAATTGAGTCGTTGTACATGGGGGATTTTTCGCTGCCAAGTGATGACTCCAGAGGGAATGTGTATGTGGTCAGCCAATCTAGCAGTGTGGACTTTCCGAATATTCCAGCATTGGGGTATTGCGAAGCGTGTATATGGGTATCTATATAGGAACAGCGGTCAGCCTTATTGCCTTATTCCCCGGCCATCCCCTTCTGGGCGTTGCATTTCTGGCTTCGGGTGCCAGCGACAATTGTTGCTCCCTTTGTCATCGTCGACAGACACAGCTGCTGTGCCAGAGGTTGTCGGCAAGGCATGACCTACCAATAAATCCAGGAAAGAAGAATCCGCTCTCCTCGGCCGTCACAACCGGTACCTCAACGCCGAACTTGCTAATTGCATCATTTGGCCCGTTGACAGTCCAGTCTGCCTTCTCTATGACCCCTCTGCCATTCTTGCTATCCACGAGCACGGCGCCCGTCCGTATCAGAAGCTCATCAGGCTTCGGCGTGGAAATGAATCGACCAAAATAAATTCGTTTCTGCGTCATTTTCTGTCTATCTGCAATGTTGGTGTCTGAAACGAGTCCAGGAAGAGTCTAAGTTTTCAGGGAGAGTGCGAGCATGTAAATAGAGAAGAGGAAGGACCAAAGAGTAACAGGAACCCAGCAACTTTTACCTCCTTCAAGGTAGCAACGAACGACAGTCCTTATCAGGGGGTACGAATGGAAGAAGAAGCAAGCAAAAAAAGGTCCAGAGAAGACGAAGGTGGCAGCCAATCGGCGTCCCGTTGATGTTCGTTTAAGGGCCTTCGGCGGATCCCGACACGTTGCGAAATTCTCTGCCTTTCTCCCTTAAATAGCATGTACAATCTGGAAACTCTCAGAAATCGGTCCTCGTCCATGGGTTCCCATCTGCAGTCTACATACATACAGCGGCACTTCGAGTATCATTTCTCTTTTTAGACTGTGTAGCGATGTGCCAACCTCTCCTTATCGGCAGCAATACTAGGTATGTGTGGATAATTCTCAAGCACAAAACTGAAATAGAATCCCAAGGCACGAGGGCTGATATGAAGAACGATGGTGAGACTGAAAGAATGAAAGAACAATGAAGGCTATGCCACGAGGCTGACGTAGACCTGTCATACGGAACTGCATTCTTGGTGTTATTATCAGAGTCGCATGAGAAACAACTTCCAGTTGTCCAAGTGTAACTGACTGGTCCCCAGCGACGTCTCCCTACCTCCATGACTGGCTGCCATAGACATTCGTTTTCAGTCATCATCATCACTGTCCACAATAAAGCCTCCCCTGATCATCTGCCGCCGTCTCGTTGTCGGTATCACATCCGCGTCCTCGTCGCTGAGCTCTGCCTCTGCTTGCCCAGCCTTTAGGAGAGAGCCTGCAGCTGCGCGTGGTTGGTTTAGCTCTCTGAGAACTGTCTTTTCACTCGTATCAACATTCGCTGTTGCACTTTGGGATGACATCGGAGTATCGCCATCATCCTCCGCCTCATCTTCGCTATCCCACGCCCTTCGCTGCTGTGACGAAGCCGTCTCGGTGTGGTGGTCATCGATATCAGCCATAAGCAGATCGTCATTACTATCTTGCTCTTCATCGGCCTGAGGCATCCGCTTATTGTATGTTCCCTTGCTTGCTGTTTTGGACTGCTTCTCGCCGGCACCCAGGCCAGTCTGGTTTCGAAGCTCGTTCCGAATCTTCTCTGCATACTTCGTTCGCATCTGCTCTTCCTGCTCGAAGAATAGGCGATCTTTCTCCTCGTCTGATTCGTCGTCGCTGTCCCTAATGTAGGCTTCGCTCTTGATCTTGCGTCGCCTGTCCAATGCGGCTGCTCGTCGCGCTGCTCTTCTTTCGGCTGCAAGTCCTTCGTCGATGTCGTCCTCGCCGTCATCATCATCGCCTCGCTTTCGTTTGCGCTTTGCCCGGAGCTCTGCAAGAATATTCTTGGTTTTCTTTATCCGTGGATTATCGGGGAAAAGAAACTCCTCTTCGCCTTCAGAATCATCAACGAACGCGCCACGTGGTGCATTGTCCTCATCATCTTGACTTGTTTTCTCCTTGTTTCTTGCACGACGGATCATATCTTCGGCTTCTTCGTTCTCGTCCTCCCCCTGCCATGGCGTCTGTTCATATTGTTCGATTGTGGCCTTGTACTCTGCAAGTTGTCCGGCTGAGACGTGCCCAGGCACAATCCAGTTCACTCCAAACACGTCTTCATCTCCGAGCATGTCGAAGTCAACGAGGCGCATCAACAATTTCAATCGCCCGTTCTTGAACATTGCAAGTTTGATATTCTCTGACGAAGGATGCACTGTGATGTATGATGGCTTACCAACATCAACATTTTCGGGGGTGCCTTCACCATCCTTTTGCGCGGCCTCGATGGTTGCCGCTCTCCGGGCCTCGGCCTCTGCTTCCCAAGCATGCCTTTCGTCAAAGGCGTTCCCTAATATTGTCTTGACCCATCGCACGAGGTCTGTCTTGCCATCTTTCAAAAGAACTGTGACGACAATTCCGATCTGCTCCTTGACGTCTCTTCCGGGTGCTGGCCTGACTTCTAGCTCTGCAGGAGCTCGGCTTGCTGCTATCGTCTGTTTTTCTTGGCCGTATTCGAGATAGTACAATGTCGAGTTGATCTTGCTGAACAGCATTTCCACTATCAGTTCCGGTCTTTGATCAATCTTCTTGAACATTTTTTTGAACACCTGTCTTGCAAACTCCGACCATTCTTTGTACATTGCATGTCTCTTGTCAAGACCGTCCGGGCCATTGATCATCTTATTGAAAAGAGCTATAATGTCGATGCGGTACAGTAGGACAGCCAGATCTTGCTTGAAGGCCACTCGATAAAAGAATCGATGTGCACGTTTAAGTTGTTCGATACTGAGATCTCGGTAGAATGTCGTAAGAGAGACAAAGGTATTGACTGAGTTCTGGGTGGAGAACTTTGCTGCGAATCGGTTGAAATCAAATTTTCGTTCTTTGGAGACTTGAACAACATCGGCAATGTCTTCATTTTCAGAGTCTTCATCATCTGCAGTAGGATCGTCACCAGGTTGAGCCGCCATTCTCATTTCCTCCTTCCGCTTCTTCTTCGCCCTCCGACGAGAGCGTATCTGCATGTCAACATTCTCTTTCGAATATCTCTCCAGCATGCGCAAGAAGACGTGCGCCAGCTCAGTGCAGGCATCGAGGTAACCAAAGCCTTGATCCTTGTAGCCTCTCAGGATTTCCACTACCCGGTCATGCGTCGTTTCCTCGTAGAAGATTCGATTTTGGATGTTGTCTGCGATTTCTTGGTCTTCTTCCAAGGGGCTTTGTACCATCTCTTGCACTGTAAGCAAAACTTGGGTGAAGCACCGCATGCAGGCATTCAAATCCTGCCACTCTTTGTTATCCAAGGACACTTGCATGAATCGATTTAGCATAATGAACGTTTCCTGATTGAGAACAGCCGCTACAATTGAATAACTTTCATCGGTGAAGTCATCTCGGACTTTGTCTGGCTTGACTTCCTTCTTCTGCGTCTCACGTCGGATACGTTCGGCTTCGAGAAACCATGCTACCGCATAGAAGAACTGGCGATAATTGACATCCAGCAAACGTTCTGCTTCTCGCTCAATGGCTTTGCGAAGATGTGTAAAGAATGGGTTGAATCCAGAATCAAGGAACTCGTCGACAAAGTTCCGTAGTTTCTCAGATGCCGGATCCGTGAGATGTGTGGTGTGGTCGAAATCGTGGATAGTATGGTCGATGTCCCTGCGTTTTTGTTGCGGCTTGCTCCATTTCTTCGACTTGTCCATGTTGAAAAGTGCTTGTTGATCGCCCTTGAGGTTGTCTTGACCCGAAACAGCCGACATCTTCTCTCCGTCTCGCTTCACCCATAGCATAGTTCCAAACCGGCCATGCCTGCTCCACTGATGCTTCTTCGTAGCTCGGTTTTTGCTTTCCTCCACAGCCAGGGCAGCCCCGAGATCAGTGATACCCTGACTTTTCCTCTGTTGTTGGGTCATCCACAGTCGTTTTGGATCAACACCCTTGATCAGGTTGAAGATGATGTCTAACACAATGACATCCTGCAAATTGAAATCTTCGCCCATATTTGAACAGATGGTTAAAAGCAAAGCAAAGACATCTTGGTCCCTAAATGCCTCTATAGTCGCAGATCTAGAGACTTCCGAATCCAAGCCCTGGCTGGGTAAATTGGGAACTTGCTGAATGACGGCGATGTTTCGAAAGAAATAGAGCAGGAGCTTGAGAATGCCCTCGTCCCGACTCGTTCTCTCGTCCCGTGCCACGGCTATCGAAGGAAGGCCAATTCGCACTACCTGACGGAGGATACTGCTTGTATCACAGCCCAGGATCGCGGCCTTGTAGATGACTTGCGCTTGTTGAATGTAGGGTGTATGTCGGTGATGGTTAAGAGTCATTTCTCCCGTAGTCTCTAATGGCCATGTCAAGGGCACAAGTACTTCTAAGCATGCCAGCGCAACTCTGGCTTTGAGCTTGTTTTCCTTGCCGTCTTCGGGCCATGAGGCGAGGATTGGCACAAGGTCTCCCCCGACGAGCTTTGCTTCTGCCAAACATCTCGCGACGTCGAGTCGGTTGTTCTTCTCGTCGTACAGCTTCAACCAGCGCTTGAGATCTCGAAGACACGCGAGCGCATCGTCGCCGAGGACGTAGTGGCCATCATCGTCTGTACTACTACCACCAAGCTAGCTGACGTTAGAATATTTCTCTGTCAACAGCACCGAGAAACACGTACGGCGTTAACCAGACTGTATACATATGCCCGAACTTCAGGATGAACGGTCTGGGCCTTGCTGAAGGGATTGTTCTCGTCGATTGGGTCCATCTTGTTCAGTCATGCCGTAGTTGCGAGAATACAGAACGTTGACCTCAACAAGGGGTCGATGTTGGAAGAGACGCGTCTCGACGCCCTTGACGCGTAAAAAAGGATCCGGCAGATCATAGAGACTCCAAGCGCATAATCCAGCCCTTATCGTCAAGCCTCGGTCCCCGATAAGGGCCACTTGTCTCGCCGACTTGTGGGACCTGCGTGGCGGGTGCTTCAAGGAGAAATCCCGGCGTTTTGGGAGCTTGGAAGCACGTCGGCATCTTTAAAGACCGCTAGCTCGACACCGCGAATTCCTCTACAAGTATACGCAGAGACGGCGCACAGATCCTTTCACAATGGCTTCGTTGTCGAGGTTATCGTCCAGGGCGATGGCCTCTTCAAAGTCAACGGTTGCCTCGCAGAGGCTCGCCTCTCTCAACCGCCAATTCTCCTCCACGCCCTCAATGGGCTTTGAGGTGAAGAAGCTTGGAGTTGTTGGCGCAGGCCAAATGGTATGCTTCTAGCATTGGGAAATGTGAAGGAAATCTACAATTTTCTAACGGTAAAACAGGGTCTTGGAATCGCCCTCGTCGCCGCTCAAAAAGCCCAAGTCCCTGTAACACTCGTGGACACTTCCCAACAATCTCTCGACCGAGGCCTAGCATTCGCCGACAAACTCCTCGCAAAAGACGTCTCGAAGCAAAAGATTACCGAAGAGATCGCAAAAGCTACAAAGGAGAGATTAAAGCCCACCACTCAGATGTCGGATCTAGCAGACGTGGACATGGTCATCGAAGCCGTTCCCGAGATCCCCTCATTGAAGGAAAAGATCTTTGCAGAATTGGCCGAGATATGCCCTAAACATGCTATTCTCGCTACAAACACATCGAGTATAAGTATCACCAGGATTGCGCGGGCAACGACCAAGCATCCTACGGATACCTCTGCTTCGTCGCGGGTTGTCTCGACACACTTCATGAACCCAGTGCCCGTCCAGAAAGGCGTGGAGATCATTTCGGGCCTGCAAACCTCTCCAGAAACGCTCGCAGCCGCCGTTTCATTTTGCGAAAAGATGGGCAAGGTTTGCTCCGTCTCGGCGGATAGTCCCGGCTTCCTCGCCAACAGAATCCTGATGCCCTATATTAACGAAGCCATCATTTGCTTGGAGACGGGCATTGGCAAGAAAGAGGACATCGACAATATTATGAAGAATGGTACAAATGTGCCCATGGGCCCGCTTACTCTTGCGGATTTTATTGGTCTAGATACTTGTCTGGCAATCATGGAGACGCTACATGCTGGTCTAGGGGATAGCAAGTACAGACCCAGCGTGCTTTTAAGGCAGTATGTGGATGCTGGATGGCTGGGCAAGAAGTCCGGCAGGGGTTTCTACGAGTATAAGTGAGCTGGTTGCTCCGAGATTCTTTGGACTGGGCGGCACTCCTTTGGCGGAGGTGTCTATCTTTCCTGGGCTCTATAATGGGTAGTTCCCATGCGCTGGTGCGCGGATTACGTCGGAGATGTAAAAGGCCACATCATCAATGATCAATCAAAATGTATTCCTAGACAACCCTTACGCCATCTCATCTACTTTGTTTTTTTTTTTCTTCCTCAGACCTGCTGTTGTTTCCATAACTTGCCATGGCTTGATCCACCCACGAGAAAGTCCCATGTGTATAGCGCTCCAACCAGCCGTTCAACCATTCTTGAAGCAACATCCGCCTTCATGTAAACTTCCTCCTGGGGATCTCCGTACCCTCCACTCTCCCGACCTTCTCTGCCCCCGTCATGCGCGCGTTGAGCTCATCCAACCGATCCAAGGGCAAATTCAAGAACAAATGCTTATTCTTCCACCTCACCTCACTCTCGATGTATTCTTGACTACTCGGTCCTGGTGGCGGTGGTGGCTCCGTGACCTTGGTGATTAAATACGCGGTACTCGCTTCCGCAATGCCATATATCAGCACGCCCAGTAGGGGCACTTTTACCATGACTGTGAAAGCCGCGGAGAAGCCAAACAAGACGCCGCTGCGGTCGATGAACCAAATCTTCTTCTGCTGCTTCGTGAAGCGGATGCGGTGGAAGTAGGGCTCCAACAAGCGGGACATGAGACTCCGGCTCGAGAAATAAGTTTGGAGGAAGTGGACCATGTATTGTTTTGGGACGATGAGGCCAACTGCGAAGACAATGCCGGCAGGCACAGGTCCAACGGCTTTGTTGAATGTATAGAATGAGGCGGTGGGGAGAACGAAGCGGCCAATCCCAGGGAGGAAGGTGAGTGCGTAGATGGCCAGAGAGATTGCAGCTCGTCGGCCATATTTGGCAAGAAAGAGAATGACTCCATCAATGAGTGATCGCTTTTCCTTCTTCTCCTTGTCGCCGTGCGTTGGATACATCTTGAGCGCTGGGTAATACATTCCCCGCAGTGTGGCCGGGTCGTCGGATTTGTGCTTCTGCACGTATGTGGTGTCCACCCACTTCAAGGACTCCATGAACAGGTTGTCCAGCGTCGGGGTTACAGAGCCCATGACCATCATCAGAAAGAACGGAACCTGGAGCACGGATTTCGAGATGAAGTCCAAGCCTGATATGAGTTTGTCGTCCCACGTCTCGTGGTCGAGATTGACGAATAACGATATTATCCAGACGAGAATTTTGACCATATAAATTGGGATATTGAGAATTATTCGGATAGCGAGGCCTGCGCAGACAGCAACGGCGGCTTGATGGTAGTGTGCCGTGGTAAAAAGCTCTGGGTTTTGCAAAGCTCGGTGGGCGCCTACGACGGTGAGTTGCGCTCCACGGAGGATCGCATTTGGGTCGAAGTTAGACATGACGCTGAGTGAGCCAAAGAGGCAGTCAGTTGCGATGTCTTGATGATTGCAGACAAGTTTTCTTCGACAGCTGCGACATAAATTGAAAGCACATTACACGAGCTTGAAGGAGGAGATGATGCTTGAACCACTTTCGTCATTGGAGGGGTCTCCAACAAGGCTGGGCTTGGCGCGAAATATGAATCCTGTGGCAAGGCTGCATCAAAAAGGAGGCCTGGGAGGCTTGTCGTTCGAACTACGCACTGTCTGCTCCAATATCGATAGGGTAAATTCTTCTCCATGAGCCGAGGAAGTCGCCTAATACCATCTTCTCCTCAATTCCCGCTGAGAATTGAGAGAGAGCCTTACGAGGGTGAACAGCCATAGGGGTTTCGGATATTAGACGCAGCATCGTTTGGGATTGAACCTTGTCGCACAAGATCATCAACATATTTTCCTCCAAATATTAAAAGCGCACTCGCTGATTCTGCACGCCGGTAAGTGATTGAAGAAGCCAAAAAAGACGTGAAGCGGGGTATAGATATCTGATGAATTCCCCATACATCTCCGCACCGGTCCCGGCTGTACTGGCTACTCCTCACCCCTTGCACGAGGTACCTTATATGTCTCGGCTCATCTGACGAGGCATCTGGGAGTTGTACTTTTTTTTCTCCGAAGTTCCCATATTAGGAGTCGCCTGTGCAGTACGGATTCTCTGCAAATTATACTCAATTACCTCCCTATTCGGCAGAACCCCGACTGTACTTAAGCAATCATGGCAACCACGCCAGCACAATATCTCACCAGCATGTTCTCCCTCGAGGGGCAGATCGCCATCATGACCGGTGCGACAGGTAATACCATGTTTCTCCAAAGTCCTTGGAACTCCTGTCATGCCCAGTCACTCACCCGTAACAGGCGGCTTGGGCTCCGCATTGGCTGGCGCGCTGGCCCAGGCAGGGGTCTCGAACATCATTTCCATTGAAGCCCCCAATGACCCACTGTCCTCTAATTTGAAGACTGCTGTCGAAGAAGTCGGAGGTAAAGTGACAGCTTTCCATTGCGACCTACGAAACGCCAAGAATCTCCGAGAATGCTATCAGTCGATATGGAAAACCGGGGTCGAGCCCGATATTTTGATCAATGTCGCCGGTGTTATGCGGCGGAATCTTTGCGAGGATGCAACCGACGACGAAATCGACCTGGTGAGGCTAAACTCAATAGGCCCTGATTCATTCCACAAGAAGTATCAGAAACTTACCTCTTTTGTCAGTTGTTCGAGGTAAATGCGAAAGCAGTTTACATCTCTATGCAAGAAGTTGGCCGTAAATTCATGGCCCATAGCAAAGGCGGTAAAATCATCAATATTGCTTCTGTCACCTCTTACCAAGCCGGGTTCAATACGAGCGTCTACTCGAGCACCAAGGGCGCCGTGCTGCAGATGACCAAAGCTTTCAGCAATGAGTGGGCGAGCAAAGGTATCCAGGTGAATTGCATAGCCCCGGGATTTATGAGGACTGCCATGACCGCTCAATACCAAGACAACCCGAAGATGATTGAATATCTCATGAGCCGAGTACCGGCGCAGAGATGGGGTGAGCCTCGAGATCTGGTGCCCGCTATGCTCTTTCTGGCCGCTCCATCAAATACTTTCACCTCAGGGGCATGTCTGATTGTGGATGGCGGATACTGCGGTAAATAGTTTTTATATATGTCAGTTTCTCTCTGACGATAGAAGTCACCATTATATATCGTTATAGCCTTTTGAAATAGGATTCGGACTGCAATGTCCGATAACCGGCAGATGCCAGCAGCACTACACGCTATGCGCATAAACCACACCTGGCGATGCCATGTCAGTCACTCTGTGCAGGATTGAGTTTGGCACCGCTGTATGAGGGTAACCTTGGGCCGTCGTTGTGAGATTCCTTTCCCCAGCCACGAGTATGCTCGCTGCTGCTCGTGGACTGGATCTCCAGGGGGGGCAGACGGTGCGGCACCGGTGACAAGTAGTCCAGAGGCTGTGTAGTACAGAAACAGAGGAGCCTTTCTTGCTCCCCAGACTTGATGCACGAAAAGGGATGGAATGCTCCCTGTTTCTAATGCAAGTGGCTCTACCACGACGCATGTAGTATTGGCTGCTTGACTGACTCGAGCACCATCACATCATTTTCTATTGTTTGCTGGTTTCCACACCCGCTGGCCCCTTACTTGTCTGCCCCCAGCCCTTGGACCCAATTAACCGCAGAAGGGCTGGTTTCTCTAGTCTCAAGAGGGCTTGCGGCACCTTCACGGTGGCACTGGCACCTTGCGGCGACTGTTGGAGCCAACACGCCCTTGGCTTATCCCTACTTTACATTTTGCTATCGACCCTCCGCCGCGAAGTTGAATAGGCCTCCATCTTCGATATCCTTATCCTGCTAATACTTGGTAATGTAGCTGTCGGTGATCGGCTCCAGGTGCGCTCATCCAAAGTTTCTGTATTGTCACGACTTGCTGCTTCAGGCTCTTTCTCACCACCGAACTTCAGAGTTCATTTCAAATTGCCCGGGACTGTGTTGTGATAGTACGAGTGTCGTCGTGGGCGTCGATACTCCTCATCTTCTGCCACGCTGTATTCTGTGGCGACGGTGATCGTACCCTTTCCACCCGCAGTAGACAACTCTTCGGACGACCTTGCCCGAGTAAGGCGGCGCTCAGAGCCGTCACCGTCACCATCAGTGGTCTTGTCATCCTCGACCGTCTTGTTCTTGTCACTACGCTTGTTCCAGAGTGTCGCGAGCTGATGTGCCTGGCCGCTGCTGACAATGCCTGCGCTGCCTTGGGATTTCTTTGTTCCATTTGAAGACAATTCGCCTTTCCTCCAAATTGTGTAAAATGCTTTGATGCCCGGCATATTTGCGGCGAATATGCCAACCTGGATTTCGACTGCTGAGATGAGGATCATCCGTCCGAGAATGTAGGTGAAATCAGGGTTGGTAGCAAATTGATTGACCACGATCAGTCGCAGGCCAGACACGACAACAACAATTCCTCCCATCGTTATGACTGAGTACACAGCAAGTCGTCGGCGCCAGGTCATCTGGAGGCCCCAAAACACAGTGACCGGAAGGAATAGGATAATACAATCGAGGAAGAGCTCCTATAATCGTGATTGTCAGCCCATGAAAAGGCCACGCGTCTTCTGAAGGTGTCGACCTACCAAGCTTCCTGGCACAAAGTATGTCACTTTTGACGGAAGACATTTTGCCGTGGGATATAGAGTTGGATACCAAAAGGCTTGTAGAGGCTTGCATTGAAGGCAATATATCAGCCAAATGGTGACGGTGATTGCAGCAGTCAGTCCAATTGTGCCGTAAACCAGCATCCGGAACGTTCTCGCGCTGGCCAGACGGAGGTAAAAGAGCAGGAAGCAGATTTTGATCCAGAAATGCATCCAGATGTAGTATATTTCTTCGGCAAAGAGCACCTAATACACATGTTTAGCTGGGGTTGTAACGAGAGCGTCAAGTTGGGACTGACCTTCAGGAGGACAGTCAGGTTGTTGGGGTCGTCTGCTAGGACTTCCTGCATTTGTCTGTGGGGAGATGTCAGCAGATAGAGACGAAGTCCGGCTGAACCATAAATCTTACCGGCCACCGCCGTGATTGAGGAACAAATACAGTATCACTTGTTGACCGGCGTTGAAGAACTTCATTGCGTCAGTTCTCGTTCGGACATCGATCAAGGTAGAAGTGAGAAGTTCATACAAGACAAAAGAACATTGCCCAGTCATCCCTGCCCAGCTGTTTCAAAATAACGCCTCTTGTCCATAGTCGGAGAAGGATGCTTCCTTCGCCAATGGCGAAAAGAATATTGATAACGACGTGGCAGATCAATTGCAGGCTATGTGGCTGAACCATTTTGAATGAAGGACGGATATCAAATCGAGTTCTTCAGGTCATGCGGCGCCGTTGAAGGAAGCCTTTCTGGGCAGTAGGCTTGAAGTCTCCTGACGGCAGTTCATCAGTCTATATATTTTGAGATGAACAGACACTATAACTAAGCAACATCCTCGGGGAATACCTGGACATGGCTCTATCCGTGGGTCGTTGAAAGATCGTCGAGCGTCGATCACACTCCTGGGACCCAAAAGCCGTTTGCACTGGAGGAACCCTGGAAGTTCGCAGAAACTTGACCCAGTCCTTGTCGCCCTAACAGAGAAAATTGGGGAGGGCGAAAAATTTGTTCAGAAAGAGCCTAAACCCTGACGCAAATTGGGTTTGAATGCCTGCCACTCCCCGCTTGGGTCTGAAGAAACGGGCAACAAGGCTGGGATAGTCCGTGCGCGGTAGAGGATACTCATGCAAGCCTCATTGGTGCTCAGAAATGTCTCTATAATGGAAGTTAGAGCTATTATCGAGCTGGCGGAGACCGTGGCTCAGTCACAACTATCGAGGAAGAAGCAACGGGCGATAAAACGACGTCTGCCTGATGCACAAACCAGAATTGGGACTCAATATGTGGGAATAGACAGAGGACGCGATCCCGAAATACACACTGAAGCTATGAGGCCTGCTGATGAGAATTTTTCCGGGCGGGCAGGGACCCCTAGCTTTGCTCTTGCATTGCTCACAGGTGCAGAATGGAGCATATGGACGGACAGGGAAAAGGATGGGACATACTCGGTGCCAGAGTACCAAAAGAGGATGCAACGCGAACAAGGTCTCCTGAGGAAGGACGTTTTGCCTGTATACTCTGCAGAGGTGAGTGATCGACAAAAGTCCATTGCCTGTCGAGAAACATCCGTGCCAGCCAGAAGGGCTTGGGTGTACTTAGGTAGAGACGAGCTTGAGACGAGGCACTGGGAACGCGGATCCGGATTCAGTCAGCCCCAAGTCTTGAAACGCCCAAGAACAAGCGATACTTCCCATTCGGGGGAGGGGGGGGGGAGGGGGAGGGAGGTTCTGGAAAATGGCGATGGACAATGGGGTATTAAAGGTGACCGGATTCGACGTTTGCAATGGTTCTTTCTTCGTGTGGCCTGGTCCTGAATACGAGCTGGACTGGGGATCTCTGCATCCAATCATCCTCTTGGAAGGTTATTCGTACGACAGGGATAAGTTCGACAGTTTGATGGCATCAACTTGAGGCGAGCCGGGCCGCGGAGCAGGAAAACCGCGCCAAGGTTGCTCTGATCCAACGGCAGCCATTCTGGTCAACTTCATTGCAGGAATGGCGTTATTTGCGTGTTGCTGGAGCTAAAATGTGGTCCTTTGCGGCCTCCATAAAAAGATCGACAGGAAGCCAACAAGACCAAGAAGATGTGTCGGTTTCGTCGGGGACGTCCCGTTGGTGTCGTCTGAGGAAGACTAGGCCTGGCTTTTAAGGGAAGGTTGGCCGATGATCACATGACTGTTACTGCAACATTTCCTCCCACAAATATCGCGACTGAATACGAGGTAGTTCTCTTCCAAGTACCTCGTAGACAATCAATCAATATTTGGACCTTTCGTCCTACGTTCTTTCCCCTCTAGCACATAGAGTCTTATACGTATGGTGATTTACATTCAGCAAGCGTGAAGCAAGCAGAGTCAGTCTCATTCGCGCCCAAGTCCTCGGGCCCCTTCATCATCTCCCATGCTCGAAGCGAGTGGCGCCGAGCGTTGTGATCTGCATAAACTAACATAATACCGAGCAACAGTGGAGAAGGTCATGCGTGGACCTCCTGGGTTGAACGCCCAAATCTCAATCGTGATATTGCATGGAACATTAGGGGGGGACAAGCAAAATATATGGGAGGACTATCACGATAACGACCACTTCGTACTGTACGGAGTGTGCTGAACAAAACCGAATCCTGTTCTCTTGAAAGCTTGCCAACTAGGGTGGGCTCATGGACGTGGCCCAAGGCTAGGTATACCTACTTATCCAACTTATGCACTCCACTGATCGACGAAGGAGGAGACGCAACGGCCGTCAATCCCCCGGCCTTCTCCGTTCAGGCCTTTGAAGTCCTGTTTGATGTGCGGTGAGCCTCTGCGCATTCGTATGAAAATCCATCCTAGAAGAAGCAAAATGGACCGTCACCCGCCAGTCGACTGGGCCAGCAGCATGCAAGTCAGGCAAGCGCAGCATCTAACCTGGTTCTCCATGGAGCCCATATCCCTGTCTCCAAGCCTCCGACTCTAACGACGAATCCGAATTAAATGCGACCGTGCGGTTCCGTTCCCACGCTGGTATAGGAATAGGACCACTTACATAAACGCCTTAACAATCACCTTTCTTTTACGAGTATTAGCAACCGAGATCTGCACACCTCGCAACGGTGGTGAAGCACATGAAAAATGCGCCACCCCACAACCCGTGCAGCCTGCACATGGATTGTGTAGTAATACTCCGTACGTACTTAGACCTCTCTGGACTGTGCCGCAGGAACCAAAGATCGTCAATATTCAAAGTCCAGACTTGACCCTGTCTGTGCCCCTGCCTGGCAAAGCGAGACTCAGACTTGGCCGGTCATTTGCTGCCCAGCTCGGGACCCTCTTTCGGGGCCTGTAAAACTCTGCATAAGGTAGGTACATGCTAACATACCATTGGTCGGGCAATACCCCTACCACTCGACTCGCCCAGCGAAGTCGATCTCATAGTGGTGAGTCGGAGCCACTGACATATCAGGAAATTGGATGTCGCCGGTATCTCTTTGCTGATGTGGCATTCGAAAGATAGATCTCGGCAGGATGCATTTCACTCGTGGAGCCCTCCTGGCAGCATCTATCATTTGTCGAGATCACCATCTCAATACGCTTTATTACCCGGCATGTTCTTCTGGTATCATTGACATCCCACCCTTCTCCTCTTTCACGTGTGATAGTTTATTCCTCCTTGACACATTCCTCCCGGGGAAGTCCTTTGTGCAAGCATGGAGGTTGAGTCAGGGACCATAACCCTCCTCAGGTATGCCCTGAACGTCGAGCTCGGAGTTACTGCTGCGACCGCTTTTGTGTTGGGGATAATCTTCCACCACAGTATACGCCCAATCGAGATCGACAATCGAGTATGGACACTCCTTATTCTTTTCTCTAGCTTCAATGCCACGGCTTTCTTTGGCTATGCCTTTGTCGGACAACATGGGATATTGGCGGGAGCGCTCAGAGTTTTCATCGTAGATGGCGCCTTCCTCATCGGCGTGTATGGCAGTATTGCTATCTATCGGTTGTTTTTCCACCGGCTGAGGAAATTTCCTGGTCCCTGGGGCGCGAAGCTATCTCGATTTTGGGCTCTGAAAAGATCCATGAAGAAAGTCCAGTTCAATTACGAAGTGGAGGCCTTGCACAAGCAGTACGGAGACTTCGTTCGGATCGGTATACAGGACCTGATCTCCCCTTTGGAAGCGCCCTCACTGACTCTCGGGCCCAGGTCCTCGCGAGATCTCAATCAATCGTGCCTCTGCCATTGAACTTGTTTATGGACCTCCTTCCAAGTTGCCGAAGTCTCCCTGGTACAGCCAAGTATCAGACGACATCAACAAGACCTCCATCAACTCGACACGCGATATGCACATCCAACGACAAAGGCGACGGGCTTGGGACCGCGGCTTTAGCATCAAAGGTGGCTCACTATTCATATCGTTGGCCTGCAGATGCTGATTTTTATTATGATAGCAATCTCTACATACGAGCCCCGCGTCAAAGCCAAAACAGATCTCTTATTGTCCCGGATAGCTGCGTCAGGAGGTTCGCCGATGAACATCACTGAGTGGTCAATGTTTTACACTTTTGATGTCATGGGCGACATCGGGTTGAGCAAGGATTTTGAAATGCTTACCACCGGCCGTGAACACAAAGCCATTAAAGGGCTGCATGATCAAATGATCACGATCGGCACTCTTGGTACCCTCCCGTGGCTGCTGGCTTTTTGCAGTGCCATTCCCGGAATCGCCGGCACCTTTCAGGACTTTATGGGATACTGTCGAGATCAGCTCGAAGAGAAGAAGAGGGTTAGTGACCATCGTCCGCCAAATCTAGGAGCTTTGTGAAAGTCGCTGACGCGTTCTATTTCGTCGTTCCCAGTCCACGGGCAAGGACCAAGAGCCTCGTGATGTTATTTCTTGGTTGATCAAGGCCAAGTACGAGAACGACCAGTCCGCACCACCATCAGATTTTGCACTGAGCGAGGACACTCGCCTGATCATCATTGCCGGAAGGTATGCTACCATCGCTCACCAACTTGCGGTGCCCTGAGCGCAGTCCCGTTTTCTAATGCTTTGACAGTGATACCACCGCCGCCGCTCTCGCCAACACGTTTTTCTACCTGGCAAAGAATCCGGCCGTGCAGCAAAAACTCCAGAAAGAGCTCGACACCATATTCCCGGGGGGTGAGAAAGATTGGACGTACGAGAAGGCCAAGTTTGCGTACTTGGACAACATCATCAACGAATCTTTGCGCCTCAAGCCTCTTGTACCTGGTGGCCTTCCTCGAATCACGCCTCCGCAAGGGCTCCAGGTTGACGAGGTGTATATTCCCGGAGACACCGTCGTCGGCGTTCCCGTGCACACACTACAGCGAGATGCCCGGTATTTCGAGCGACCTTTGGAGTTTATGCCCGAGAGATGGGAACAAATCAGCGCGGAAAAGGCGCCCTTTTTCCCGTTTTCAAAAGGTACGTTCGACAAATCTCCAGGATTGCAATTTCAAGCCCTCCTTGCTGCATAGGATCACGAGGTACTAATTCGTGGGAGCAGGTGCATTCAGCTGCGTAGGGAAGCAACTTGCAATGATGGAACTTCGCATGGTCCTGTCACGCGCTGCTCTGAGCTTCAACATTGCGTTTGCCGATGGGGAAGATGGCGTCAAGTTCGACACTGACGTCCTCGACACGTTCACACTGACATTGCCACCGCTGAAGCTGAAGTTCACCCCCAGGCAAGCCACAGCGAGAACTTGATCTGTGCACGGACCAACACAAGCCCGCTGCTCAGCTATGTACATAGAAAAGTCCGCCGATGAACATAGAATTCCGGAACTTGCACAGGAACGAAGAATTTGAAGCCCCTTGCACTCCCCTTAGGTAGTTCCCTTGTACATATGGCCCCCTCCTTGGGCGCTACAGTAAAGTACATTAATATGACGATGCCGAATTTAGTTCGCTCTAGCGCAGCCCACTAGCCTTCTGCCCCCCCCCTTTTCTACGGCCGTCGTCGTCGGTGCACCTTCTCCTCTGTACTTGGTATAGGTATATTGTTGACGAAGCTAGGCACCAGATATAGCCGCCGCTGGTACCGCTGATGCTCCGCTAATATGCAGGCATCTGTGATCCGGCCGGGCTGATCTATGAGTATGTGAATTTCCTACACCCCCTTCAACGCGACGCTTCCTGTCTTGCCAGGTTTGCGAAATCGCTCATCAGCAATCGCAGGCGCTGAAGACCGGCGAGAAGGCTGAAGGAGACTGAACTCCTCCTTCTATGGAGTTTCCCGAATGCGGTCCGCGTATGTGTTACAGCGTGCAAGTCAGAAATTCAATGGCAACTACACGGAACGCGGCTCGAGCAGGTGATACTACTAATGTCGAACGGGCTCAAGCCATCTCCCTCAGAAGATACACTGCATTACTCATGATCGTCTGGAAGACCTTTGGACGATATGGATTCGAAAGAGTTGACGACATGGATGCTGCCTAGGTCCGTCAAATCGACAGCGACAGTCTTTTCATGTCGCCTATATCGAGCTCATTCGTCCAGCGCCCAACAAACTGCAAGGCGTGACACTTTGGCTCCCTCTTGACATCTTCGGCGCTCTTCGACTTCGACTTCGCTTCTCCTCCAATGCTTTTCCTGGAAAGCTCTCTGGCCAGCGTGTCTACAGCACGGAGTTGCTTATCGATCGAGTCTCGTCTCTTCTGCGCTTGGCCCCTTGCACAGGAGTAGCCATGACTGCCGTGGACCCAGCCTTGCGTTCGCTGGTGCAGAGTGGTCTCGGTTTGCTGATTGTTGCTATTGTGGGCAATGTCTACGAGACCGCGACGAGCGTCCTTTGGCTTTTGCAAGATCTGCAGCATCTCCCGCATGGCCAAGGACTGAGAGGAGTGGGTTGACGTTGCGTTCGATCTCGTCGAGGTGTCGTGATGAGACACTGCAGCTTGTCAGCGAGTGATTCAACCAAGGCCCTAGCAGACAACTTTGGAACGTACATACCGTGTTCACCGTTGATGAGGCCGGACATTGGCACCAAGGGTTGGCGACAGCTGGTTTGCTCGATGAGAAACGAATCAAGAGGTTTCCAACGAGAACCCGATCGCTGGTTTATTGCGAGCTTCTTATTGTTTTTTTTGGCGGGCTCGACGGCCTACCTTGGACCAAATATCTCCTATGAGGATCGAGATACATTGATCTTGCCAATGGTAGGCCGCTCCTAGGCCGCTCCATAGGCCACCGCAAAGCTTGTAGTACATTCTGAGTAAAATACCGGGATCCGTGCCATTTACTGGGGTTCAAGTGGCCTACGACAGGGCCTCAACCTGTCAAAAACCCCGACTTACATGTACTAATCCTCCGAAGGAGGTGGTGGTGATGCGGAAGCAACGACTATCACGAGCCCGGCAGGGCTTCGATACAGCTTGGATGTTGGTGACGAAAAGAACAATATTCAATAAAGAGCCAGATGCCACTCTCTGCGCAGGTATAAGATGGGTTTGGACTTTCTTTGTATTGGTAGCTATGTGCCACTATGTAATGAGCGGTCTGTAAACTGTCTTCTGGAGGACAAACGAGCGGAGGGTCTCCTTTGCCACCTCGCCCCCTATGTACTGAGCGGTGTTACATGCATTGCGAAAGAAACATAATAGTCCGTTTCCAAATAGCTCCTCCAGTTAGGCTGCATGGCAGGTCAAGCAGATATCACCAAATGTCAGCAAATAATGAAAAGCAAGACAAGTTTCATTTCTATTACGGCATTATGAGCGCGAAAACTAGTCACTTCTCCGGAACGACAAGTTCGAGGGTTTGGCCAGAATCTCGAAGTGGTTGCTCCGGAGCAGTGACTAGGCTTCGTCTTCATAATGCCATAATGGAAATGAGATTTGCCTTTGTCCACATGTTTTTCCCACTGTCCTCGCATTGAGGTGAGAGAATGTGTACGGTTGGTCCGCTTGCATCTGCCAATGCCAACATCTCGAATGCCCTCAACGTCCGAGAGATGGCAAAATACCGGAAATAACAAAGAAACTGAAGAGATTTCGCGCCAAAGTGCTCTCGCAATGGGACACGGGAAGCGTTCAATGTGTTGGTGGTATTTAGTATGAACAGTCTTCAGGTGTCTAGTGAGGTCTTTCCGATATTGAAACCTTTTGTTACATTCAGGCTGATCACACGCAAAGCGAGGGTTGTGCCGTCTTTGGTGTGTTGTAAACTGATGTTTCTTCTGGAAGGCTTTCGAGGGCTTGCATTTATGGCAATAGTAGGTGTCGTTTCCAGTAACAGGTGATGACCTCTTTGAATTCAAAAGTCCAACCTCGTCACCAGTCTGCCTGTCCGAAGTTGTAGGCACTTGAGCCAACATGCCGCTATTGCCAAGTGGAAGGGATGGCTCCTTGGACCACTCATATCGCATGCCCGGGTGAGTTTCCGTGGAGTCCCTGAGTCCTGAAGGTGTCCCCCGAGGAGGAGCTGCGGCCCCGAGAGATTCTTGTTGTTCGACTTGTGGGTGGTATAACGTCCACATAGGGGGATAATCCAGTTCGAGAAAAGGAGCATCGTCCAGCTCCGGTAGAGTCCAGTGGCTGGGAAAATTGTGGGGAAGCCACAAATTCGCAGGATCGATGAAGTTCACTCCAAGATCAAGATCGCTCACATTGGTTGTGGAACCATGGTGGTCGATGGAGATGCGCGCGAGGAGCTGCCGCCTCCCCGCGTGCGGGTAGGTATATTGACCTCAAGGGTAGTTGGGCAGCCGTAGCTGCCGGGCAATAAGAAGCAAACAAAACCTAAGAAGGATGCCCCTTGGGCCTGCTCAGTGACGGCATCAAAATTAACAATAACGAAGCGTGCCCGTGATAAGAGCGGTGTCCGAGCGTGAAGAAAGAGGAAGAGGAACTCAGTCAAAACTTGGGACGGGCAGGCGTCTTTAACGCACAACGGGGCGGCCTATTATCGGACGGCCTACCATTGAGTGGCCTACCATTGAGTGGCCTACCATTGCATTCAGTCGCTTTGCCCTCACCGGTCGCCTGCCCTTGGGCCTTGAGTGGCCTACCACTGGCGGGGTGGCCTATCAGCCATGTGATGTGTCGCTTCGCCGCCCAATGACACCATCGTCTGACCCTGTGGGAAATGGCTGGTTGGTTGGCTGAGTCGATGAGCTCTTGCAGGGTTGAGCAGCATTGGGGCGCCACGAAAACGATGAGTGCTCCGGACAATCAAGTAAAGCTGTGCAAGGCTGTGGCAGTTAAATTGCACCGAGCAAAGTAAGCTTCAACTAAGGTTGTTCGCGCCTGCCGAGCTGGCCCTACTTGTTACAAGGACAAGGACGGAACAACCATGTTCCGATGACAGTTGACGCCCACTGACCGTCTTGCTGTCGAGGTGCGAGAACTGCTAAGCGTACGTATTTTCTACACAACCTGGGGGCTTAGAACAGCGTGGTGCATGCCGGTTGATCAATGTAAATGAATATGGACTGACGTTTCCGAAAACTACATCAGTTGCAACGTAATACTGAGAGAGCGATTGACGCAGTAACTGGCCGGACGTCAACATCCCCAGATCGCAATTCGTTTCACTTTGTGGGAGGCTTTGCTCGCGGAAAGTCGCGCAGGGTTTTCCGGACGAAAAAGTCCTTGTATATTGCATCCTCAATGATGCCCGACACCAAAAAGTCCCACGTGCACAATTGCTTGTGCATCACTCCCAGGTCTGCGCGACTGTTCGCCTTGTCGAGTTGGGCTTTCAAACCTGTAAGTGAGAACATAGTGATCGCCCGGGGATCAGGCTTCCCGGCCGTCTTATTATAGTCATTGACCTTCAGTCCGCTCAGAAACTTCTTCGTGATTTCCTTGCCTGCATACTCCTTGGGCTCCTTGCCTTGGTACTTGAGCTTCACGGGTATGCTGGGGTAGTCTGTGAGTGTTCGAGTGACAGTATCGACGAACGCCATGGCATGCATAAGGCCCCAATCCAGCATCGCAGCGTAAGATCGCTTCCACTCTTTGGGATCTATGTCCTGGACGGCGATCCAGTCGCCGCGATAAGGTGCAGAGTAGGCGAAAAAGTTGAGTTGTAGCCCACTGGAGAATTGGAGTCTAGTTACGCGCCGTCAGTACATCATGCTCTAAAATGACTCTCACTGAGCAGGTGGCGTGACTCACCTTCCGCCATAGAGCATTTCGCCCGGTTTGGCCTCCTTGATCTATTCAATTTCGATCGTGGTGTTGTTCTGGGTTTGCTGGACTTTTATGACGTCGTTCGGATCTAGGGGAGCGTAGACTCCGGTTTCTGAGGTGCTCAGCATCTTCACGTCCTCGGACTCGGACGTAGGTGCCTTTGTCGAGGCCTTGTACATGAAAAGATTCTTGATCCGATCGGGAAGGCTTCGGTCTAGGTTGAGCGGCGAGTTGGCATCACACAGAGATGTCTGCAGCGCCGTCTCCTGCTCACCTTCGGCGCTCAGTGCGAGGCGGACCCAGCTCGTGGGCAAACGGAAGTCGAGCATATCCCGTAGAACAGTCCGCTTGAGCGTCTTCGGGTCCTTCGGGTCCATCTCGAACACAAAGTTCTGCATGTTCGGGGTGAGAGGCGCAAAGCCGTACAGAAGATGCAGCAGTGCTTTGGTCTCGCCAATGCGGGCGGCGTAGTTCGTCGACCAGTAAGTGTTCCAAGCCAGGAAATCATTCCCCACTGAGTTCCCGCTGGGGTTGCCAAGTCGTGAGATTGCCATTTCCCTTCACATAGGGCGTGCTCGGAGCAGGGAAATAGCGCATCGCTGGATCCAAGCGACCGAGGTCACGGAGTTGAAATCCGTAATTCTTAACCTCTACTAGGACACTGTCCTCCATGAGAGCGGACTTTAGGCAGGTAGCTGTCAGGGCCTCGGGAAGAGTGACCAGTGCTTTCTTAGCGTCCGTGACTTGGACTTTCACGCCTCGTGTCTCGTAGTAACGATCCATGGCCACCATGAGCTCGGTACGCAGAGTCGCCACAACGGCATCTGGTTCCAGCGAAGCTTTGTTACCTAAGTTATTGACTTTGCTTGCCCCTTGATTGTCTTTCCCAACAAAATCAACTCCTGCCGAAAATTAGAAACACAGGCTCAAGGTATTTAGCCTCATTAGCCACAAGAGCATACCTGTCTTAACGGAATAGCCTTAATCCTTGTGACGAATGTTGAAAGCAATGGCAGACAGCTTCTTGGCGCCGCCTGGCACTACGTTCTCTTTGCGATTAACATAATTTCACTTTCCGTTGTTCGTGGTGGGGCTGAGGCCAGTTGGGAGAGAAGCCCCAGGGGGTGTTGGTTGTGAGAAACAACTTCTGGAGGCCGTTTGCCACATTTGCCACGTCTGGTCTTCCGGCTGGATTTGTGGTTGAGAGGATTGGTACCAGCAGGCGAATCTTTGTAGCACGTACCCAAGCATTTTGCCGAGACGTCATTGTTGACCACATTGTACCGGGATTGGGTTAATTATAGTTGAGTTTGAATTGTGAACAGAATACTTACGGGGAGACGGGCTTGAGGAGGGTGTTGACTTTTCTTTTTGGCCTCATCCTTGATCTTTTTGAGAATGCCAGGAAGATTTCCTGTTCATTTGGCATCGTAGGACGGGTTGTTAGAGTCCCACGGTCTGTAGAGCAGCAGCCTCAGGTTCTTGTTTGACAACGACTCCGAGGGGAAGAAAATGGCCATACAAGGAATTCAACTTTGTGTCCCCATCGACGACATTGCTAGCGGCGATGATTCTCAGATTGCTGAGAGGCATATTGTAAAAGCCCATGGGTCGCACTTCATCCGTATGAGTGTACTAGAGCGAGATTAGCCGCGGGCCAAATGGCTGTACATGCTGTCCGTGAGAGCCAAACCTTGTCATCGTCATAAACGGACTCATAAGTGAGCCAATTGAGGGTGTCGTTCTCGAATTGGAGCATTTGGACTTGGGCCTGGCGGAGATTTGCGGTCGACTGGGCGGGTGCCACGACAAGACTCGTGTATCCATTCGCCTTGCTGCGTGACGGAAGTGGAGGGGAGGCTCCAGGGCTGCTTGATGATCCGCTGGAACCCATTGCTGAAAAAAAAGAGCTGAATTGGCTCAATGCATGAATTCGCGGTATGGTGAATTGGAATGGGCACTTACGCTCACAAAAAAAGATGTCTGAAGATGTCAAGGCTGCCATACTTGCAGAAAAGCGCCCCTTTATGTAGTCGTTGCTTGGCATAGACTTTCCAAAGAGAGGAGAGTTCCTGCGCCAGACGAGTTGAAGGCAACATACCTAGAAGATGATAGATGGATGAAGCTACCTGAAAAGATGAAAAAATTGCTTTCAGCGTGTTAGAGTCGCAACGAATGCGCCTTTGGGGCATGCTAGCATCTATGGCCTTGTCGGGTATAGGTCTCGTGGCCAATGAATTTGACTATCGATGCGAAGTGTTTGGACCTGCCTACTCCAGCGTCGATATGTGTTGCTGTAGCCTACCTGAGTACATTGAGGAGCGAGCGAAGATATGATATTTCAGTGGTGCGAGGTTCAAATTGTGAAATGATGGAAGGTTTAAGAAGAGGTATCGACGAGCTGAAGGAGCAAGACGTCGAGGCATTGATCCCAGGACAGGAATTTTACGCGTTATTGGTCGTCTCATGCGGAGCGCCATGCAGCATATCAGCCTTGTGGACCGAGACTACCAGCTACATCGCCTCACCTGCGATGTCAGGAGTGAAGTTTGCGAACTACTGGGTCGATACGTGGAGCGGCCTGCATCTCCCATAGTGTCGCAAGATGTTTGCGGCCACTAGGCTTGGGCCGACGCGTTCCGGAAGGGCGGGGACGTGGGAGGAAGTGGCCTACCCAGTACCCAGTACTGAGTACGAATCACGTGACGTTCCCTTCCTCATAGCGCCAAGACGCTAGTGGTTGTGGGCGAGCTCGGCGGTTCCCTCTCCGACGGCATGTGGCTGCTCCTCTGTACGACGTACCACAGTGCAACACAGTGATACTGAGGCGCTGTGGCTCATTCGATCTTGCGAGGTTCGTTTGAGCAGTGATGAGCATCAACATTGCCAAAATCCGCCTCATCCCTGCAGTCTTCACCATTGGAACCCAGTTCCACGCTGACATCTTCTTTATGTGATCCTTGCAGCCTGTGAAAATGCAGCATGGCCAGTCCACCTCCATCCTACGGCGAGCCTCCTCCCCTCCAAAGTTACCGCAGGTCCTTTACTGTCCCTTCGCGCGCACTCTCCCTTCATGAAAAAGCTGGCCTGGACAAATCAGACGCCGATGCCGATATCCTATACTCCCATCCCTCTGCGCGCATCATCGCCTTCTCCCCACCTAAGGAGTCAATCCCTCCACAAAGCAAGGAGACATTGCCCGATGCCGACTACCCCATTGATACGGTAGAGACCCTGCCATGGCGATCGCGCTCCGAGATCCTGGCCTCCACCGGGCCCATAGTAATAGAGAAGGTCCGTGGTTCCAGCTATTTCCTTAAATCCGCCGACCAGAAGGTCATCCACACCATCATGCGCAATTCGCAATGTTGGTGTGTCGACGGCGAATCGAAATTCGTCTTGCGCACAGGCAAGTTCAGATATTACAGAATCGAGCTGCCCTCGGAAACAGAAGAGGACAAGAAGAAGGTCGAGGAATTAAAAACCGCGCTGCCGAAAGTACTCCGGTTTGAAAGGACGCCATGTCCTTTCAAGCGCGCATTTCACGTGGATCTTCCAGAGGATGCAATAACGCCTCGAAGGAAAGGTACATGGAAAAGAAAACAGCAACCAGAACCTGTGACGCCAAATACTGACCCGTTGCCGGTCGGAAGGACGAGGAATCCACGATCGTGGAGCTTCCAAGGACAGAACGGCTTGACATCCGTTCAGACTTATGGGCGCCGTGGATCAGACTACGGTTACAGTCCAAGTCCAAGCTCATCTCGGTCCCGGCCGGCAATCGACGGCTATCGGTCCTCCACCCCATCGAGTGTGGCTTCTAGCGAGGACGTCCATGAAAGGACACAGTATGACGAGTCAAGCGAGGATGGATTGCAGCACGAAGAGGATCATGAGGAGGTTGATTTCAGGCAGAAGCTTGATAAAGGCACAGATGACGCTTCGCACCCGCAGCGGCCGCCTATCGCTGGTGAAGAATCAATGAACCTGTACCAATCATCTTCAAGCGAGCACGAAGGCGGTCGACATGAAGAATCGGAGGATGTGTCCCCTGCGCAGCTCGCTGATCCTTCAGCGGTCGGAGCTGGAGCAGAGCCAAGCATTGAAGTGAAGGCGACTTCAATACAGTCCGAACAAAGTGATGTGGACGAAATATCAGACAATGCAAATGCACGAGAACCAGCAGAGGAGAACTTGGAAAATGAGGTTCATCACGAGAGGATTTGCCCAGCTATGGAACATGCGGAAGCACGGCCGGAAGGGCGTCGTGAGGATGATGAGGAAGCTTCCGTGGATGGAGCTTCCGACGAGTCAATACGAGCGAGCCTAACATCTGTGTCCACTGAAACCGAATCTGGCATGGCTCTCTCCCAAAAATTTGAGCCGTTGACCGACGGCGCAGGTGTCGAGGCCATGAAAGAGTTGGCCTCAGCAGATACTATAGAGGACACCGAGGAAGCCCCGTCATTACACCAGAAAGAGGATTTTGAGGCGCATGAAGTAGTCGCCGCCGTAAACGAGGGTGCTCTTAGCAGGGTGTCGAGTGTGGACTCCTTCTACACGACAGATTCTGCAACACAAGAACCGCTTAATGAGCATGTTCAAGTCATCGACTTTGACCAAGCGCCCCATGCGGAAGAGTTCACTCCTTTCTCTCTGAACAGAAATCAGCACCAAAGAGGTCTTTCGGAACTCACGGTCACGGCATCCACTGTGGAATCCGAACGCAGTCCTACGCAACGGCCCTCAACCAGCGACTCAATGGACAAGCCTTCAACTCCAGGTCTCGCGCAATCTTCTATGTCCGATTCATCGTGGCCGGAGGTTCATACACCCCCATCCTCACTTCCCAAAGAAGGATTGAGACGGCGCTTGAACATCAAACGATCCTTTTCTCCTCTCCCACCATCCACGACCTTGCTATCACCTTCTCCCTCCCCAACAAACTATGGAAGCCCCTTTACGGCCGAATTTCTCCAGAAAGCCGCTAACGTGGCTTTGGTCAAGCCAATCGAAGCGGTTGTTCTGCTGGTCCACATTCTAGCTCGCATCGCCGGTGGTGCCACGGTGAGTGATCTACTTAGTGGCGAGTTGTTTCGCAGACCAGAGGCACATCGGAGGAGGACAAGTTTCCCAGACCAACCTCCGGGGCCAAGGGATGATAGCGAAGAAGAAGATGACTTTGGAGTGCCGATCAGAGGGCGGACGAAAAGTCAAGATCCGAGTATGACTCCCGGCACAACAAGCACTATGACGACGAAGGATGACGATCCAGACTCCATATTCGATCTGGATTAGGTATCCTGTGCCTGATGGAGTTTGCTGGGACCAGGCAGTCATTACCCCGTGGGAAATAAGTACATTCAGGTTATCTGCCAGGTATTGATCAACGGGAGAGGTTTATATTCGAGCAAGGCGCTCCTTCACGACCATAGCAACGACTGGGTCCCTATGTAAAAAGATTGTGGGAAGTTTGTGAAACGTTTGCTTTTTGCTCGATGATACCACCAGTTTTCACGCTTTGATGGCGAAATTAAATGATATTGGCCTGCCTCAAGTTGCTTTCTGTCTATGCGATTTTATCTTGCAGCTCTCGCGTCACAAACACAGGAAAATCTTCCTTCACCTTTGAGCCTGTCTCGTGCATCTTGATGAGCAAGGTCAGATAGACAGCTCCCGGTTGCAGTCCTGATCCCGCCCTCTCGCTGAGGTAGACTGGCTATCGGCTCTGGGGTTAGGACGTCCTCACTGCACTAGACAGGCTTCCTGCTCCTCTCGTTTGCCCCGTCCATTTGCAGTATGTTTGCGACAGTGCCTTCGCCTTCATGGTTTGATCCGGTGCGACTGGCAGAACCCGATATTGTGACACATGACGTTCAGTCCCTCTTCGCCCTTGACTAAGGTCTCTGTGCTCAGAGATAGCTTTCATATCGTCCATCAAAGGAAAGAAACACCTCGTTCCCTTCACGATCCGGAGGCCTTCTCCCCAGCACCACCAGTACCACCAGCCGCTCCAGCTTTTCCCTTCTTCTTCGCCTTCGCCTTCTCTTTGGCCTTCTTCTTATCCCTCTTCCTCAAGCCCTCCATCCCCTTCTTGCATATCTCCGCATACCTCGTATAAAACGCCTCCAACTCTGAAGTCTCCACTACCGTCGCAAACTTCACCTTCTCCTTCTTTGCATATCCAGACTTTGACCCTTTTGTGGCCTCCAACCGGTGTGGTTTTGAGAGGCCGTTCGAGGCGCGGATGAGGATCTGTGATGATGAAGGTGAAGGCGAGGGTGCTTGGTCAGTAGTGAGTTTCAAGGGCTTTTGTGTAAGATGGACGGAGCCGTGAGTGGCGGCATGGGTTGCGGAGAGAAGGGTGGTGAGGCGGTTAAGGAACTGCATGGATGCAAGTCAGACATGTCTTGTAGCCTAAGGGAGAATATAGATTACCTCGTCATTGCTAAGATGTTCCTGCGGCATGTTTGTTGTCTGGCGAAAGTGAAGTGAGTCGCATCTACATGCATTGACGAATTGTCCTTTGGTGGGGAGCCCTGAGAGTCGCGAGCGATCTTAGAGCGATACTCAAAAATATCGCCTAAACTTCGGCTAAGCCATCTCCGCATTTTCCAGAAAATTAATTCCTGGCGCAGTCTACAGAGTCCATTCCCGAAATCTCGAGCCAAAAGCCTAGGGATCCTTTGAGCTCTGCGCTCTGGACTCAATGTCGCGACAGAACCCACGAGCTAGAAATGGCCTGAAACTACCATTTGCCCTTGAAAAGGAGCTTGGGTTCGAAGGGAGACGACTGGGTGGTGGAGGCGGCCGGCGGCACCATGGTTCGGTGCAAAGCAGGAAAGAGCAGCGCAAATCCGAACGACAGGAGAGGAGACAGAATATACGGCGCGCGGGATCCCAGAGGAGACATCCGATTGCAGAGCAGGAGCTCTCTGACGGAGACGTCGACGGCGATGACTCCGACGAACCTAACCTCGCACCAATAACCTTGAAGCAAGAAACTGTCAAGCCGAAGGCCAGGGACTCAGAGCCCAAGAAGTTGAAATCGATTCTCAAAAAATCTAAGATCCCATCCTCATCCCCATCTGAAACCTCTTCTCGGTCGAGCTCACGGTCTTCCTCTCCTGGTCTTGTCCTTGACGCCAATTCCCAAGCATTTAAAGAGCGAGCCGCACAGGATGATGCTGAGATCGCGGCGCTGGAAAGAAAGCTCGGGTTAAAGAAAAAAAAAGTGTCAAAGTCTTTTGCGGACGACGGGTTGGATGATTTGCTGGAGGGGCTGGACGGGGAGGATCGAGGTGTCAAGAGGAAGAGCGAGGTTGAGGGGTGGTTGGACAGTAAGAGGAGGAAACCTGACATTGAGGAAGACGGGTCCGATGAGGACGAGTCTGGATTTGACCGCGAAAGTAGCGAAGATGATGGTGACGAAATTGATGAAGTGCTAGGTGAGAGTGACGATTTGCTGAACAAGGACCTGGAAGAGGTATCCGACGAGGAGCAGTCTGATATAGGTCTGGAGCAAGAAAGTGACGATTCTTTCGAAGGCTTCGAATCAGAGCGAGAACTCTCCAACGTCCAGTCAAAAAGGGTCCGAGAAAATCCTTACGTACCTCCAGTCTCCCAAACGCCTGCAGGGAAATACATTCCACCATCATTGAGAAAAGCACAAAATTCCGAGAGTGCCTCGTTGGAAAGACTGAAAAGGCAGGTCCAGGGCCTCCTCAATAAGCTATCCGAGGCCAATCTCGTCTCGATACTGGGAGAGCTCGAGAAGCTCTACCAATCCAACCCGAGGCAGGACGTCACGTCTGTCCTGATCGATCTCCTTTTGACCTTGTTCTGCAACAATTCAGCTCTCCAGAACACCTTCGTCATCTTACACGCCGCATATGCGACGGCAGTGTACAAAGTTATTGGCGTGGATTTTGGCGCGGAACTGCTTTCACAGTTGGTCGATCGACTTGATCAATACCGCAGTGATGCCGCTGGTGGTAAAGAGGCCCTGAACTTGATAAGCCTTCTCTCGAATCTGTTCACATTCCACCTAATCAGCAGCACTATAGTCTTTGAATACGTCCGACTATTGCTCGAGCGACTAAGCGAGGACAACACGGAATTGCTGCTGCGGCTAGTCCGGGACTGCGGCCACCAATTGAGGCAAGATGATCCGTCCTCTCTCAAAGCTATTGTCCAGATAATGCAGAAGGAAGCGGCGCGGATGAATTCGGCAGGAGAACAGATGAGCGTCAGGACGAAGTTCATGATCGAGACAATTACGGACTTGAAGAATAATAAGATGAAGGCTGCGACGAATAACGCAGGCTTAGCAAGTGAACACATTACGCTAATGCGGAAGGTGCTTGGTTCTTTGAACAACAACCGCACCATCAGGGCCTCTGAGCCATTGCGAATCACAAGGGACGATATTAAGAATAGCGACAGAAAGGGAAAATGGTGGCTAGTTGGAGCTAGCTGGAAAGGTCATGAACCCGCGACAGCACCAGCCGAAGGAGCCATGGATACCTCGATACCGACAACCAGTCTGGGACTTGATGACGATGATTCAGTGGACCTACTCGCGCTTTCCCGCCACTACGGTATGAACACAGACATCCGCCGCGCCATCTTTGTCGCCCTTCTATCCGCCGCGGACTATCAAGACGCTCACCTGCGCCTTCTGAAGCTCCGTCTTAAACGTACTCAAGAACAAGAGATCCCCAAAGTCCTGCTTCGCTGCAGCGCCGGTGAAAATCCTTACAACCACTATTACACCCTCGTGGCAAGGAAACTGTGTCTGGAAAAGAAGATGCGCAAATCCTTTCAGTTTGCGTTGTGGGATTTCTTTCGGAGAATGGGCGAACATCCCCCTCGGGCAGACGACGCTGAGGAAGATTTCACCAGCGAAGAAGACGAAGAAGTAGAAATGACCGAGATCGCCAACCTGGCGAGGCTATATGCCTTTTTGATCCTGGACGGAGCCGAAACTCTTGGTGTCTTGAAAGTCCTGGAACTCGCCTACATCAAGGAACGAACGGCCATGTTTGTGGAACTATTGCTCATCATCATCATGTCCGAGGCAAAAGACAAACCGGATGCGTTAACAAAAGCATTTGAACGCGCAGCTGAGACGCCACAGATCATCAAGAGATTGCAATTCTTCATCAAAAAGAATGTGCGGACTTCAGATTTGGTCGGCAGAAAGGATAGGGATGCTGTCAAACGAGGATGCCGAATCGCGCTGGAGACGTTGAGGATACTGGAGATGGTGAACGAGGGGATGGATGTGTGAGATGAGTTGCAGACGCATATGAACGAGCATGTGCTTGACGTGCAAACTATTCAAGTGCGTTTGGTCGGAAACTTGGACCAACCCTCCCATGTTTCCATCGGCTTTCTTGCACTCCGTTTGACGGCATTGGGTCCGACATATTACCATTCTGAAATGTACCACGAGTCGAACTGTAGTTCCAGATTCCTAGCCAACATAGATCTGATCGGCGGCCGCTTCTGCGCAGGGGTCATGGACGGCCACGCTTCACTCGGCATACAACAGAATTAGGAAGAAACTGTCGAGATGCCGCTCCGCCTCCTTCAGTGACTGCTGAGTGAGCTTGTCGAGTGCGCGAGGTCCATCCATGCTGAAATCTCTCAGAGCGCAAGCACAAGCACAAGCACTCGATCAAGCAGTAGTCGTTTCCAGGAGCGTGACAACACAGTCCATCTGCCCTCGAGGGACTTTAGACCATGCTCAGAGGTGCCGCCCCTCGCTGTGCCTCTAGCAGGGGACTTCTGGATCTCACTGGACGGCAACGAGTTGCAGAGGCTGACGACGTGCTTGCTTACCGCCATCGAGTCTTTCTTGGCGCGCCACACCCAGCTCCTGCGACGCTAGAAGAGTCTGCGGCTGCAGTGCCGGCGGGCACAGGAGGCTGGGAACGGCCTCGTCACGGGCTTTTCACAAGGATGGCTTTCTCACGAACGGATGCGCATGAAACTGGAGGCTCTGTGTCCGAGGTCGATCGACACGTCCCAGACTGAATTTCTACCCTGGAAATGAAGATGAGAGTCGGGGATAAGATCGATGTAGGGCATGTGCTTTCGACACGTTGGAACACGGATACCTACCTTTGATGCCAACAAGACCATGATGATGAGGGCACGCGTGGTGCAGAATTGGAAAGCCTGGTGAAACAGAAGGGAGGCAAAAATGGATGGGATTTATGTTTGATTTCTGGAGCCGGGGGCGGCCTTGCTCATATCGCAATACCGCAATCCATGACGATATTCTGCCCCGTAATAGACTTGCTCAGCACCAGCGTCTTGATCTGATCGGCGATGTCCTCCGGCGTGGCCGTCGATTTCAAGGCGGCCTTGTCGACTGTGGCCTTGACTTTTGACTCGGGAAATTGGTTGCCCCTGGTGGTCCAACCCAAAAAAAAGTTAGGTCGCTCATCATGATCATCATAGCGCCGGACGCGACGGCGGAGGAGGAGGAGGAGGAGGAGGAGGAGGAGGAAGAGGAGGAGGAAGAGGAGGGGGGAGAAAGTAAAAGAGAGCAAACTTTACCATTCAGTCATCATCAGGCCGGGACTAACACTATTACACCTGACTTTCGTCCCGCAAATCAACGCCAGCCCCTTGGTAAGATGGATCTCAGCCGCCTTGGTGACGGAATAAGGCAGGGAACTCCCACTGGGCCTGACGCCCGCGAGACTGGCAATGGTGACGAACGCGCCGCCCACGCCCTCGGTGTCGGCCGTCTTCTCCAGATGCGGCTTGGCGGCGTAGAGGAGCCACAGGTGGCTCTTGACGTTGACGTTGAAGCACCGGTCCCAGTCGTCCTCGACGATCTGCTGCTCTAGGTCGAAGAAGTTGGTCAACCGGGTCCACCCCGCATTGCTCACGACGACGTCTAGCCGGCCCATCTTGGAGACCGTCTCGTTGACGAGCCGCTCAATCTCGCTGCGTTTCGACACGTCGGCTTTGATGGCGTGGAAGCGCGGCTGCTCTTGTTCTGCGCTGTACGTGGCGGCCTGGATCGCAGAGGCTTCTTTGATCACTTGGTCGGCCTTCTCCTGCCGCGAGTAGTAGTTCACCACGACCCGGAAGTAAGGGGCCAGAGCCTTGACTGTGGCGGCTCCCAGACCTGCCGACGAGGCTGTTACCAGGGCGACTTTGGCGGACATATTGACGGGAGTGTTTCTGGTGAGGAGAAGGAGTGATTGAGGACGTCCAGGCCTGATGCGAGGTTCGAAATAGTCCGATTTATATATCAGGGTTGTTTTGGGACTGTGACAGGGGATTTCTCCGCATTGTTGCCGCTTCGCCGCCTCCGAAGTCGCGGCGGAACATTTCCGGCGACAATTCCGTGGGGTTGATTATGTAACTGAGATCACGTGAGAACGACGCCTCCCTTTTTTGGCTCTTTTCGTTGTGACACTGTTCTGGTCCGGTGTACTGGGTACGACTTTCCCAGCTCGACATCTTCCCGTGCCTACGCAGGTATAAAAGCCCTGTCTCTGATCAGCCTATCGCCAGTTCCATTGCCTAGGCTGTTGTTCTATCTCGAAACGGCACCATGGAGACTCGGAACCAGATGTGGTCAAGTTACTCACTAGAGGGTGGCAGCCAGTCCGGGGTGGAGAGTTTCCAATATGATCCATAGCATAACTGGTATCATCGTCACCTGGGCCCAGCCAGAAAACTACACTCTGTGCGGCTCGGAAGATCTCACCCATGATGGAGACTTGATAATTGCGCTCAGTGTCATCGCTTTGGTTGATGCACACCGGCATGATGTTGGCGAAAGGGCGAGCAAAGTCAAGTTATTGGGTCCAGTGCACTTCATGTCGGCCTCGGAGAGAGAGTCAGTAAATCGCCAAATCCTTGGCACACTGAGCTAAGCCCTAGTATTTTGAATTCACTACAAGAACTCAGTAAAAAGTAAATCATAAACCTAGCCGTTCTTCAGGTACTTTCGCGGAGATATATATGATAGCTAGGGAAGTCCTTTAAAGTCATCCCAATTTGACCCCTCGTCTGAGTCTGGCTCTTCATCTCAATCTGGCTCTCGTCCCAATCTGGCGCCTCATCCCAATTTAACTGCTCCATTCTCGGGAGATGAAACGATCGAAAGTCTCCAGGCAGCAGACTTGGCTGAAACGAATGAGTGGTGTAGCTGGCAACTGCAGCCGGAGCTCGAAAGGGGCCCTTTGAGCCCAAACCAGCTTCTGCGGATTAACAATAGGCTGGCGCACTCTGTGGCTCGCTCGGCACTCTGGCATGCTCCCCGACGCTCCCTAGTGCTCATATTGTAACAAGGCAAAGTGGCTGTGCTGTGATGGGCTGTGCTGGGCTGGTAGAGCGGAGGCAGGGAGGAAAAGTTGTCTAGTCACATGTCAAACCAAAATGGGCTGGCAGAGAGGAGGTGCGGAACAGTTTACAGTGCTGGCAGCGTGCCATTCATTACAGTTTGAGCAGAGTATCATGGATTCTATGGCTTTTTGGCGCCGTCTACCTAATTCCTGAGTGTTTTATCAGTCCTGTCCTGTTTCTCGATGCTGTCGCTGTGCCAGGTGTTCGTAGCCCTAGCCGCTGCCCCTCTGGGTGGTGTTGGTGGTGTTGTCTTGTCAGTATCAACCAGAAACGCGTTCTCGATTCTCGATCTGCTGGACAGGCCTCTGTGCGTTGTTGCACGTGCACGCCGAACCCTGAAGTGCTCTGTTCCACCATTAACTAAGTATAATTAAAAGGAAGAGTAATTACACTAGTCGCTTTTAATCTAAAAGGAGCCTTTAACGGAGTGAACAGTACAACCTTAGATACCCGCCTTAAAGAAAGAGAAATATTAACGGCAGTGAGAAAATAGATTTAGAGTTTTATGAAAGAACGGTACGTAAATATAATATTTAACGACTTCGAAACCGAGACTACTCTCCTAGATAACGCGGAATTAATCTAAGATTTATCGCTATTCTTCACGCTATTTAATTTCTTTAATTCGAATCTCATCGACTAGCTCGTCGACTTTAGAGAAGGCGCTTTAGCGTACATCGACGACTACTTCCGCTAAAGAGTCGGCCGTACTACGTAAGAGAATATTAAGAAAATTTAGAAAGAAGACATTCTACGTATTGGAGTATAGGTACGAAGTATAGACCCTCGATTCGTAGCCGAGAAGACTAAGCTTATATACCTAACTAGAAATAAAACGAGAACTTAATTAAGGCTATATTACTATAGACGAATAAACTATTTAGATATCATCGATAGCTAAGCTATTAAAGATCGTCTTCGATTAAGAATTAAAATAAAAAGATTATATTTAGTAAGCGATTAAAAGAGTAACTAAGACTATCATTATTACGGATTCGGCTAAACATCGAAAGGACGGACAACTGATACAATCAGGCCAGCAGCCAAGAGATGCGACTCGAGGAGTGCATCCTTATTACTAGCACACTCCCCGTATAGGAGGCGCACTCTTTCCTCTTTCACGCTTGAGTCGTGTACAGTATCGACCATATACTATACATCAGCAATTTTTCCCGCGACTCACAGCATTCTTATATACCCAGGGAGCCCAGGGAGCCCACAGTCGCTCACAGCTCTTATATCTAGGCTATGAGCTGTTATAGACTATCTATTTTTAGTAACTTTTATAATATATTTATTATATAATATTATTAAATTTAAAAAGGTCTTTCCTATTTCGGAAATAAGGTTTACATTAAAAGCGGATAACTCGCTAAGTCTTTATCTTAGTGAATATATTAGAGATTCTACTGAGGCCTAACTAAGTTAGGGTTCCTAGTAACAATCTAAATAGTATGAACTGGTTAAGAAGAATACAAGGTATGAATAGTCACTTATCACTAAGAACTGTATAGTCCAATAGATAACATAAGTTAGCTACGAAGAGAGTGTAAGCTATCTAGGAGTAATGAGGGTGTATATATAATGCTCATACTCTATGCGCTCTGTGCGCTCTGTGCGCTCTACTAGCAGAGCCCATAGAGCTAACAGAGCCAGCAGAGTATATTACGTAACTTAGCTTTGTGTTAGACACAGCCTTGGAAGAGACCGGTCGCGGGCTGCGAAGGCGCGGCTCAGGACATTCATTGGACAGATGGAAGGATCCACAAGGGAACAAGGCTGAACCACGTGATATGCCCTGTTGGCTCTGTCGGCCCTGTGGGCTCTGCCAGCAGAGCGCACAGAGCGCACAGAGCGCGCAGAGCACGAGCATTATATATACACCCTCATTTCCCCTAGATAGTTACACTC